TCTTCAAGCCAAAGACACAAGGGCCGCATAAGAAGAACCTACCCGAACCGCCAGAGACACAGAAGCAGCTCGAAAGGCACCCTTATAAAGAGGAATTCATCAAAGCTCAGAAAGACCACCTTGCCTCACACGAGGAGATGGGGTCCTTTCTCGAGGTTCCTTGGAAGAGGGCTGCCGGCAAGCAAATTCTAGGCTGCAAGTGGGTCTTTATTTACAAGACAGACAAGCACGGGATCCTTCAAAGTGCAAAGCTCGTCTCGTGGTCTGCGGCAACCAGCAGGAAAGGGGACCTTCCTACCCGGGCTACGACCTTAGCCGGGATGTCGTTCAGGGCCCTAATGGCGATTTCGGCAGAATTCGACCTCGAGCTTGATCAAATGGATGCAGTCAACGCCTTCGTCAACTGCCCACTCGAGGACGAGGTAGTCTATATGAGGATGCCTCCCGGATTCGTTAAGCCAGGCAGAGTTCTGCTACTTAGGAAGGCCCTCTATGGCCTACGACGATCGCCACTCCTTTGGCAACAACACCTTACCGGGTCCCTTAAATCCCTAGGCTTTCAGACAGTCCCACAAGAACCCTGTGTTATGAGAAAGGAGCAATTCTTGTCTTCTTTTACGTGGACGATATCATCTGGGCCTATAAGAAAGGAGACCAGGAGGTTGCAAAGGAAGCGATAAGAGGGCTTCAAGCTCGATATCAAATGACGCTTCTTGGAGAGCCTAGGTGGTTCCTCGGGATACACATCCTTAGGGATAGATCTCAACGAACGATTTGGCTGACGCAAGACGCCTATATCGAGAAGATCGCCCATAAGCTCCTAGACCCAAGCAGGCTCGTCTCAAATCCCCCTGATACTCCAATGGCATCTGAGGAACTGCTTCCTCAACGAGCCAAGCAGAGAAGGGTTATTTACACAGATTTCTGCAAAGGTTGGATCTATACTATTTGCGGCTATCTCAACGAGGCCGGATGTTGCTTTTGCGGTCTCTCGACTAGCAAGGCACAACCAGAACCCCGGCGAAATACACCAGCAGGCAGCCGACAGAGTGATCCTTTACCTCTACGCCACACGATCATATGGTATTAGGCTAGGGGGTAACATGGGTCGAAAGGCTGCTGCTGAGATCTTCCTCTGTTCGAGCGATGCAAGCTTTGCGGACAACTCAATCGATAGGAAAAGTTCCCAAGGTTACGTCATGACACTATTTGGCGGACCAATTGCTTGGAGAGCTTCGAAGCAGGCCACAGTCACTACGTCAAGCACCGAAGCCGAATTGCTAGCTATATCAGAAGCTGCAAAAGAAGCTATATTTATTAGTCGGTTGCTGCGATCTCTGCAAGTTCAAATCCCAGAGCCGTTGTTGCTTGAGTCTGATAACACACAAACCATCAGACTGCTTGAAGAAGCTAGTGCAAAGCTCTCTACGAGACTTCGACACGTTGATATCCATCAGCATTGGCTTCGTCAAGAGACTCAACAAGGAAGGATCAAAATCCAATGGGTTCCAACGGCCCGAATGCGAGCGGACGGCCTTACGAAGGCCCTCCCTTTCCAAAAGCTACAAAATTTCCTCCGAATGATAGGGTAGCTGACTTACGGAGCCGATTACAGCGAGAAGCCCGATTGGAACTCCTAGCTGACAAGATCAGAGCCAGCAGGAAAGCAAAACCCCAACTAGCTTTGCAATAAAGGAGGATTTCTCTGGCTTAGCTCAGTAATATTTGGGAGGTCACTTCCTGCCGCGTATACATGGCCCAGCTTTTCGCGAAGGAGTCCTACGGTTCTCCTTCTTAATTCCGAAATGATGTCCCTCCGTCTAGGAGGCCCTATAAGGCTGATCTAGCTGTTCCCTATGGGGTAGGCTACAGCTAAGGGGTGTGTCATGAAGAACGGCCCATGGTCGAGTCAACCAGGTCACCCATGGGTAGCTAGGGCAGCAAGGAGCTGATAACCAGGTCTGAACGAGGAGGCTGGAAAGCTCCTCTTAAAGACTGGAACATCTCAGTCGAGAGGCTGGGAACCCCAGGTCCCCAGCCTCCCTGAACACATTACCTTTACTACGAAAGAGGGATATAAATAGGGGCTTGGGTTTAGGGCAGAAATGGAGGAGGACAGAGACACGGAATACAATATGACCTTTCTGCTGACTTTCTTCGTGAGAGATGCACGAGAGGAGAGTCCAGGGATTCTAGACGAAATAATCGTCGCTCCTCCGTCACCACCAGAGCCTCCGGTAACATCGCAAGCGCCAGATAGGCCAGAGAACGACTTAGCAAAGAAGGCAAGGATTCCGCCCGGCCGAACGCCTCGTGCCCAAAGACCTTTTCTGGCTGTTGAGAGTGATCGGGAGATGGTAGTGGTGTATCGGAGCTCGGGACGGCCGCAGCGGAATAGCAAGCGACCACAATGGCTTGATGACTGCGAAACAGGATGATGCACATCTCGCAGTCGCTTTTTCATCACATTTTAAGTTGGACAAATTTTGGCCCCGTTGCTGTGGAGTTATTGTGGATTGATGTCTAACTTTCAGTCGCGTGTAAGTCCGGCGGGTCACGGGATCCGGCAGATCATCGGAAAATCCCTTAAAGACCTCAAAGGACATAACCAAGTACTCCTCGACTTTCATAGAGTTCACCCAAACAAGCCAGGCCCCCCGGTCTGGGCAAAGAAGTAAATGGCACAACTATATACTTTGGCCCAGGCCGCTCTTGGTCGTTTAGGCTGTTCGAGGACGAACAGCCGTTTGGGAAGGGGGTACTGTCACGGCACCAACTTACCTCAGCAAGGTCAGGCCATTAGGGTCGTGCCTCAGGCACCGGATCAGGCTAACGTAATCCACCCCCTTCCCGGTCAGACCCCCTACTCGGTCAGAAAAATTCCCCACCGCCGCGACCCACACTTATGGCAAGACAAACCGAGCACAATGACGGCGACGGGAGACCAATTGGTTCCACGCGAAGAACGGGTCCTGCTCGCCGTCAGGGCCTATCAGCAGGGCCAATTCGAAAGTACCCGCAAGGCAGCGGCCGCATACGACGTCCTCAATCGACAGTATCTGATCGACTGCGCGGTGTCATTCGCCGACGCGACGCTCAGGTGAACAACCTAAAGTTGACGGCGACGGAAGAGACTGCCCTGGTACAATGGATCTTGTCGATGGACGAGCGAGGAATGCCGCCGACAGTGGCTTACACTCTGTTGCGATTGAACTTACTTCTATTCAATTCTGTCTGACAGCTCTCAACATACATATATACATAGTGGCACGTCCGTGCCACTATCCAGTGACTCACCACTTGTAACTGCTGCCTAAACATGTCTTGGTCCATGTCTCATATCAAGTCAACACTCCCTAGAGCTGTCAGACTTCAACTGCAACGCTATTCATAGCGTATGGGTCCAATTCAATCCTCCTCCTGTTCCTCTCGAAAGCATCCCTAGGCAGAGGCTTGGTCATCCCATCTGCTAGCATATTCTCCCCTGGAACCCAGTAGACTTGGATTCTCCCTTCCTTGACCTCATCAACGACGTGATGAAATGCTATATCAACATGCTTGATTTTCGACGTGTTCGATACTCCTCGGGTCAGCTGTACAGCTCCCTTATTATCTCCAAGCCGTAGTGGCACTGTTTGCTCCCCCTTTCCTTCCAGTTCTGCAAGTAGTCGACGTCCCCAGAGAGCAGCTTTTGTGGCCTCCCCCATCCCAACATACTCTGCTTCTGTCGTAGATCTTGCCACTGATTTCATCTTCTTGCTATACGTCATGACGGCGCCTCCGTAGACCATAAAGATGAACCCCAGGATACTCTTCCGGTCCCTTGGATCAGTAACGTAGTCGGTGTCAGAGAACGCTTCCCCATCTTGTAGGCCTGCAGAGCCGACGTGCCCTTCGATGTTGTGGTCAATGGAATAATAGTCGATATCGCTGCCTTCGACTCCTTGAGCGTGCTCATTATTTCCGCCATATGTGATACCGTGGTGAATAGTCCTGCCGACATAACCCAATATTCGTAGCAAAGCCTTCCAGTGGTTCCAGCATGCCTCTACCGTGAAAGATGCCATTCTGTTAACTGCGAATATAATGTCGAACCTCGTATTGCATAGCCAAATCAGCTTTCGAGCAATTCCACGTATTTCAACCATTCGTCATGGTTCAGAGGCCGTCCCGGTTCCTCAACGAGCTTCCGTATAGCTCCAGGTTCCATGGGGTTGCGTGCTTCATTGAGTCGTCGTAGAAATTCTGCCACGATTTCCTTCGCAAATTGTGATTGATCAATCATCAGCTTTCCTTTGTGCCTTTGAATCCGAATTCCGAGAATGTTCTCTGCTTCTCCGAGGTCTTTCATCTCAAATCTTCCCTTCAGCTTTTCCTTGACCCGTTCAATGGCATCCTCGTCCCCCCTGTGATGGGTTCTAATAGTGTAAATTACAGCTATGTAGTCCTCGTGCGTTTTACATTCGAGCTGAGGAAAGAAGAAGGAAAGGAAAATAGAAGGACAGAAATCCTCCAACAAAATAGACTAAGCCGTTACTGGAGCAACAGTGCTTAGACCGACAAGGCACTGCCTTGTCCAGCAGGGCCTAGCCCGTTACACCCCCCTGTAATCATAAAGTCATCCACGTGCACGCCGATGATTACCCCCGACTCTGTATGTCTGAATATTGTCGGGTCCACTGTCATCGGTGAGAAACCAATCTCCTTGAGATATTCTGATATTAGCAAATACCACATTCTTGCAGCTTGCTTCAATCCGTACAAACTCTTCAGGATCTGAACGTATTTCCCGAAATATTGCTGGAGCTCAGTTGGCACTTTCATGAAGATCCTTTCCTTTAGTTTTGCTGCAAGGAACGCAGCCACAGCATCCATCTGGTATACCTTCCAGCCTTTCTTCGCCGCTAAAGCTAGAATGATCCTCATCGCATCGACCCGGATCGTGGGTGCGAAGGTTTCCTCGTAATTGATCCCGTGTTTCTGTGTGAACCCTCTCGCGACTAGACGTGCTTTATACCGTAGTATCTTCCTTCTTTGTCTTTCTTGTGATCAAACACAAGCTTGGCATCAACTACTTCTTCTCCGTGCACGTCAACTTCGTTGATTTCCTCCGAGAATGTCTGTCGTCGAATGAGATTCTGAACTTCCTCATCTATAGCTCCTACCCATTGATCCTTCTCACTGCCTTTCATCGCCTGTCGGAAGGTAAGCTTTTTCGGGTCGAAGTCGTACAGGTCTGTATTAGGCTGGAGAAGCGTCCTTGCTACCATGGCTCTTTCCTTCCTGCCACTCTCCCCTCGCTTCTTCAGACGTTCTGCCATGCGCTGTTCTTCTCTTTGCCGCCATTCCAGCTCTGCTCGCTGCTTCTCTGCTCTTTTGAGTGCCACGGCCTCTCGTCGAATCTGGGATCTTGTTTTCGGCAGACTCCTTTCAGGAGAGGTTATATCCGCCTCCCTGTATTGACAATGATTGTGTCTCCTTGAGCTCTTCCTCCGAATCTGCAGTGTCTTGGTCGGTCGGGTTCCCATCCGCTGCTTCTCCGGCATCCCCAGCTTCTGTAGCTTCCTGGTCCGTAGTCCTATCCCTGACCGAATCTTCGGCATCAGAGTCATCATCAGTGAGCTCCCTTGCTCCTTTTCTCTTCCTTCTCATCGTCATACTGCGATTGTGATTCTTGGCTGATTTCATTGTCCATATACTTGCTCTCATCGAATTCCACGAATCGAACCTCGTGGACCTTCTTATCAGCTGGGTTCCAGACTAGATAGATTTTATCTGTCTCCTCTTTGTATCAACAAAAACTCCTTGCCATGCTCTTTTCAGAAGCTTTGTTCTCTTTTCTTTGGGAATAAATACCCAGGCAGGACATCCGAACACTCTCAAGTGCCCTGATCTTGGCTTCTCTCCACGCCATAACTCCCATGGGCTTTTAGCCATTCCCTTGACAACTCCCTATTTCTCAGATAGGCCGCTGTTGCGTTCGAAAACTCCCAGTATGCTGCCGGGAGGTCCATTTCGTGACGCATAGCAGACCCCTCTCTGATATGGTTCTCATGCTCCTCTCAGAGATACTATTCTCCGGGTGGTAGCCCACTGTTGGTTTGATCCGAATAGCTCTCCCGTGCAAAATACCCTCATTGCCTCGTTTAGAAACTCCTTTCCGCGATCAAAGCGCATCGCCTTGACCTTTTCGCCTTTTCCGTACTCGCGACACTCTGCCTCTGCAACAACTACCCAGGCTTTGATCTTGTCGGTAATTCTCGTTTTGTCTCTAGAGAAATAAACCCAAACTCGCCCGGTAGCCTGATCGGTGATTGTCAGCATGTACTTCATTCCTTGAAGTGATAGCTCAACTGGCCCCCAAAGATCTATATGGACTCTCTCCAGCTTTTCTGTCACCACAGACATTGGCTCCCTTGAGACCTTTCTTGTCATTTTGGCCTCGGTGCAGCTTGAGCAGAATGACGGGCAGAATGAGTTGTCTCCGAGATCATCCATTACGGCGTTCAGTTTGCCCTCCATATGCTTTCCAGGGTGTCCCAGCCTAGCATGTAGTAGTCTTTCAGGCATCTTCAGGATTGACTTCAGCGCTACCCCGTTATCGCCATCCTTTTCTTGGATTGTATGGGCTCGGTGCCCTCTTGTCTGGCTCAAGCGCCACACCTTTTTATGTCTGTGGCCAAACAGCACCTCCTCCTTGCTATCATCGCCACCATCCTGTGCTTTGGACCTGTTGTTCCCTTTGTTCCATGCACTGCGGCCACGACCTGCGAATTGTGCGGTTTCTCCCTTGATTGTCGTATCGACGAGCTCCAACTCTTTGCTTTCCAGAGAGCTCTGCACCTTTTCCATTGTCAACGTCTCTGTCGAGGCGTTCAAGATCTCGACCGTAGTGTTAAAGCGTCGTCCATGCTCATTTGCAAGAAGCAAATCAATAGCTGTTCATGGATAACAATGTCCTTGTCTTGGCTATTAATCTGAGCTCGAAGTCGCTTTAGGTCGTCGACCTTCTCCTGCACAGTTCTATTCGTCTGCGTACTAACGTCGTATAGCATTCGGATCAGCTGTCGAAGGCGCGCTTTGTTCGATGTCGCATATCGCTTAACGAGGGACTGATAAATTGCTCGTGGATCGGTGAGATGGTTGACTGAGTTCTTGTGGATCTGGTCAATACTCTGTCGTATTTTCATTCTCGCGAGAGAGACATTTTTAATGTCCGCAGCATTCTCTCCTGGCGTTGATAAATCGGACGATTCCGCTGTTGCCTTACCGGTGACGCAGCTCATAAGATCGTCACTCAACAAGTTATCTTCAAGATCCATCTTCCAGCTGTCAAAGGAGTCTCTTCCATCAAGGATGGTTCCTTTGTAGTCTTTCTTGCCCATAGTGCCGGGTCTTTGCTGTCAACCGTCGATTCTTGACGAAAAAGTGTTCTCATATGCCGAGTTCAATCGTGCAGTGGAAGCATAATAAAAGCAACCGGGCTCATAACCTGTTGCGATTGAACTTACTTCTATTCAATTCTGTCTGACAGCTCTCAACATACATATATACATAGTGGCACGTCCGTGCCACTATCCAGTGACTCACCACTTGTAACTGCTGCCTAAACATGTCTTGGTCCATGTCTCATATCAAGTCAACACACTCGTCGGATGGCCAACTTATTGCTTTCCGAGCGAGGCAAAGATCCTGTCGGGGAGAACTGGGTGCGGAAGTTTGTTGGCCGCCACGGCGAAATCAAGGCAAAGTACTCTCGCCGATACGATTATCAACGCGCCAAATGCGAAGACCCCCAAAAGATCCAAGGATGGTACGATCGAGTCGCGGCGACGAAACAGAAATGGGGGATTCTTGACGAGGATGTCTATAACTTTGATGAGACGGGGTTTCAAATGGAGTCGCCGCAACGGCGAGAGTCCTTACCCGGTCTGACCGGCGAGGTCGGGCAATACTCACGCAGCCTGGAAATCGCGAATGGGTTACTGTGATCGAGTCTATCAATTGCCAAGGTTGGGCTTTACCGGCGAAGGTTATCTTCCAGGGCAAGTTACACCAAGCAAGCTGGTACGAATCAGGAGTGCCCGATGACTGGCATATCGCCGTTAGTGAGAACGGCTGGACTTCCGACGACCTTGCTTTGAATTGGCTAAAGGAAGTCTTTGATCCGAATACACGGCGCCGTACGGTTGGTACGCATCGACTTCTTATTCTCGACGGGCACGGTAGCCACGTCACGCCGGAATTTGACAAGGACTGTACGGCCAATTCCATTGTGGTACTCCAAATGCCTGCACATTCCTCACATCTGTTGCAGCCCCTTGATGTCGGGTGCTTTTCGCCGTTGAAAACAATATATGGCCGGAAGGTTCAAGAGAAAATGCTCGCTGGGATCCATCATATCGACAAGCAGGACTTCCTTCCTATATACTTAGAGGCTCGCCGACAAGCACTTTCGCCGCCGAATATCCGAAGCGGATTTATGGCAACAGGCCTCTTTCCGTTCGACCCAAACAGGGTATTATCGCGGTTACAAGTTCAGGTTGACAAAGTTGGTAACGATCACGGCGACAAGAATACCCCAAGCCCCAACAAGAGCCTGGAAGCAGCCAAGACTCCGTATAACGTCAACCAGCTTATCACTCACGCCGAAAGCCTTCTTCAACGCCGGCCACAAAATCCAGACTCGCCAGTCTCACAATCTGTCAACCAGCTTATCAAAGGATGTCAAATGGCCATGCATGGCGCCGCCCTCCTTGCCGACGAAACCGGCAACTTCGGTCAGAAAACCAGCGGCGAAAGCAGAGAAAAGAAAAGCGCCGTGAATACATTGGCGACGGCGGTACTCTATCGGTTGCAGAGGGCACGGCTAGGATAAAGCGACGGAGAGAAGAAGAAGAAGAGCGGGTTAAGCGACGGAGAGTGGAGGAAGAGGAGAGGACCAAGCGCCGGCGAGAGAAGGACGAGGAGGGCCAAGCGACGACAAGAAGAAGAAGAGCGGGCCGAGCGACGGCGACAAGAGAACGAGGAATGGTTCAAGCTACGGCGAGAAAAGGAAGAGGAGCGGGTCAAGAAACAGAGAGCAAAGGAAGATGAGCGGGCCAAGCGACGGCGGGAAGAAGAGGAGCGGGTCCAACGACAGATAGAAGAGAAGCTAAGTGTCCCAAGACAGCGTGCACCACCACGGTGTAGTAAATGTAGGTCTTTTGAACACACTGCCCGTACGTGTAATAGATACCGGTAGTCCTAAATCGAGTTACTTGTCTCTTGGAGTAAATATGTCGTGTGTATGTATGTATGTATGTATGTGTGTGTGTATTTCACCCGGAGGATTTCTCCTATAAGTCCCTGCACATAGAAATGGGCACCCCCCTGTTTTGGGCACCCCAAAAAATCACGACCATTTTCAACACCATTAATTCAATCCCTTCTCACTGCCCACCACCGTGCACTACGATACAATCGTCACCTATTTCTGAAACCTCAGCTTCGGTTTCATCAGATTCTTCATTCTCAGCTGCGTTCACCTCCTCCTGCGCCCGTCGTATTGCCTCAATATTGGCGAACCTCGAATTCGGGCTCGTGACCACCCTCTTCCTTTTTCGGCTTGACGGCCGCCAATTGTGTTTCCAGTGCCTGAATCTGCAATTGAGCTTTTGCTAAAGGCCATCCTTCTCGTCAAACCCTTTGTGATCTTCCTGAACAGCAATCTCTTCGTGGGCACGTCGTCGTCTAGCTGGTTGAATTGAACTACCTGAACCTTCAGATCTTGCGAGCGCCTCGGGGTCGACCACGCAATCTGGGATGTGTCTGATTGCCAGTCACTGGTGGGTAAGTGGCTATTGAATGCATTGGCCACATTTTCGCGTTCTTTTTGCGTCTGTTGCTGTTCTCCAGCAGAAGAGGGCTCAAAAGTGGCTTCGCCATCGACACCGGCCACAAACCCGTCGCTTTCCAGCCACCCTTGATGTTTGACACAGTGAGCGCTTGCTCGCGTGCTTTCTGGTAGCAGGAAAGAAAGTTTTGCTTGCCGACTGGGCTTGAATCGGTCAGGAGGCTGAGAAATCCGACCTGTTTGCGGTAGTAGTGCTTAAGAGCGAGAAGACAGACAAATCGAGCGGTTGCAGCACATGAGAGGTATGGGGAGGTAAGAAAGAAGGTGAATCTGATGCTGGTAGCATAGATACATGAAGTCAACCGTCTCGTGACTTCCGTGGCCGTCCAATACTAGCAGTCTTCGCTCCGAAGGGTCGGGTGGCTGGGTTCTTGGAATGAACACCTTTTCGAGCCACTCCACCGCAGTTTGGTCCGAAGTCCAGCCGTTCTTTGTCGCAGTGAATTGCCAGTCACTAAAAGTACTGAGATCTTCTGGGAACCACTGTTGCTGGACCGATTTGCCCTTGAAAATGACGGGTGGAGGAGGAAGGTGCCGGCAGCGGACACGCACTCGATGAACGACGTCCAGACCCGAGAACCAGGCGTCTTCTTTTGTACAGATCGTTTTTCAGCACTGCCAACGACCAGGCCATTCTCCCCAAGTCCTTCCATGATGCCTGCTTCATCCATGTTGTACCTGTTCTCCGGCTTAATAGCCAGAATCTCGGGAAGGAAGAAATTGTTGAACCAAGGCCGAATTACCTCGGTAGAAGCGCCGTTGACACGCGCAGAGTCTCTGTGATGGCACTTCTGGGTCCGAACTGCAGGATTTCGTCTTAAAAATGCTTGCATCCAGTGTTTTCCGAGCGGTGTGGTCTCCTTTGACGGCGAGCATGCGCTGCGCGAACTGCCTGATCTGCGAGTGAGTGGGAGGAAGGCCCAAGGCGTCCTGAATGAGAATCCATTCGGTAAGTTGCTTTTCCTGTGTCTGAGAAAGCCTCTGAAGAGCAGAAAATGCATCCTTTCTGCATTCGTGACCATGCATGCGATTGTAAAGAGTTGCCCTCAGGACGCCCCAATCGCGAGCAGCCTTCTTGGCGGATCCGCCATTGGCGATTGCCTCAAGGGCGCTGTGAATGTCAGACTCTGTATATTTCATCAGTAGTGGCTTGAAGACACATGCGTCAATTTTTAGCAGATTGGATGCGTTTCCGCGGTGAAATTTGCTGTTGAAGTTGACGCAGCCGTTTAGGTTGGGCACCCATCTTGGGTGCCCAAAACAGGGGGGTGCCCATTTCTATGTGCAGGGACTTAGGGCCTCGACGTAAAAGCTACTGACATTTAGGCAACAGCGGCGTTGCGTAGTAATATCGCCACTTCATGAGTAATCATCCTAGGCAGGCTTGATATGCGACACGACGAGATCCACCCAGGTCGGATTCGCACTGTGAAGGGTGGTTTAGGCGCGAGGACGAGCGAGGGAGGGCACTGGGACTTGGAACTCTTCGAGAAAGAGTCCAGCCTGAGAAGATCGGCTTCGTTCTCAAGCTACACGAGGATCAGACGCAGGGTTCTCTCTAGAGGCAGTGCCCCCTTGGGACCTCATCAATATCAATCAACGAGACGAATGTATGCATTATTGAAGGATTATTTTGGCTCTAGTTAATGGGCCCTTGGCTTTCCTTATCGGGCCCTTGAAGTGTGGCTGAAAGTGTGGCGGACTGTCAAACCTACTTTGCGGCTTTGCTTGCACGCGCGCCGGTGCACACATTTGCCGGCGTCATAGGCCCGACAGCATAACTGCATTTCACGTAGAGCCGTTAAAAGTAGGGTGCTTAATGTAATGTCAATGAGTGAGGCAATTGAACAGGCTCGTGGAACATATGCCCGAGGCTACGTCGCTACAACGACACAGTCCCTGATTAGGCTCTCGCTCCGTAATGCAGCTACGGCGCTCTCTGCAGCAGCTTGCCAGGTCTCGAACTTGCGGCGGAAAGGTGACTTCATCGGTGCGGCGTTGGTGCGTTGGGGATGCCCTCACCTTGGTATGCGTTCGTGCGTTCGTACGTTGGCGTGCGTTGTATGCGCGTTGTCAACTTTGTCGCGTTCTAGCTGGATGCACCATTGACTACTCGTGCCCGCCTCCACTTTGGGATTCGCTTTGGCTCACCCACAAGTGGGGGCGTGCACGAGTACGGAGGCCGTATTGACAGCTTTTCACAGTTGGCGGCTAATGTTTTGGCGGGGAAAGGGACGCGACAGTCATGTGACTATTTTAGCCACACTTTAAGGGCCCGATAAGGAAAACCAAGGGCCCATTAACTAGAGCCATTATTTTAGCTATGCAGCCGTGGATTGATGTGGATATTGATTGACGTCAATATATTGATCAACGCGTTGAGTTGATCTGGTGGATTGATAAGCATCTCTGGTCTTGATTCCACCCGTAATAAATCAGAATTCGCTTTTATCGTCTGTCTGCTTTCCCGAGACTTTGTCTACCCAGTGCCAATCTCCAATATGGATATTCTGTTTGAAATCCGGGGCGGCACCACCACGCTTAAACCATTCATCGACGTTTTGGTATTTGGTGACTCCGGCCTCCGTCGAAGAGCCAGCGCATGTTCCCTTCAAGGTTATCCCTAATAAGCGAGTGTTAGCGGGCCGTGAGTGGCCTGCATCATGAGTGACCTGCATCACGAGCTAACAAACAGAAACGCACCTTTCATCTTCCACTCATCTGGCACATTTTCTTGAGAGGGGCGCAGAGCAGGGCCTAAGGATGGACCCCAGTATTCTATTGATGTGAAGTTAGCGAGCTAGTATAGTGGGTATATAAATAGTAAGCTATCAGCAACATACCTTGGGGTTTCGAGTCTAACTGTCCGAGATGGGTGTTGGAATAAAGATGGAAGGACTTGATATCTCGTACGAGAACGCTTTCTGACTCAAAAACCTCCGTGAGATTGATGGTTTTCGAATACTCTGTCCCCCGATGAGGTTTCTCTGCAATTTTGGTATCGCGCTTGTTTGTGTCTTCTTTTCGGAAGCCGATGTATAAATCATCCCAGGTTCCGGCCCAAAAAGAGTTGCTCAACGAAAAATCCACCTGGAGGTGATTAAAACGAGGGCAGTCGACCAGCAAACGCCAGTCCTTTTTAGCATCGATAGTGCTTTTCCAAGCGGGCCATTCGTAATTTTTTTCAACCCATTTGGGTGTCTGGGCTGCTTGATTGACTGATTGAAACTTGTCAAGTTGGATCTCGGTAAGTGAGCCAGCGCATCGTCCTTTTAATTTGAAGCCTAATAATACACTGAGCGCCATGGCTTTCGCTTCGGAGCTGAGGGTTCATCAAGGGAGCGACATACCTTGCAAGAACCAGACACCGCCCATGAAGGAATCGTGCACCTGGCGGATCTGGACTTGGATGAGATGGTCTACCGCGACCGTCGAGGAGCCGAAAGTTGCCTTGATATCGATGTTCTGCCAGTCGTGAAAGCCAGCTGAAGGACTAGACGCAATAGTGTGTTTTTCATTATCGTTAAAGGCAAGGTGGAGCGTGTCGAAGGTCCCGTCAAAAAAACTGTTGCCCAATTGTATTCCGAGCTTTAACTCTTCGAAATGAGTGCATGCCGCGGTGCCGGCTTCTGCTCCACTCCCCTCACGTTTCTTTTGTGCTAGGGCAGCGAGTTTCTCACACATGGCTTTCAATCCCGGCGTTTGCCATCCTTGAGTGACTATGGTAAAATCAGCACTCGTAACAGCATGCTCGAATACCTTGACGGGGTCCTTACATAAATCGGCGGTTATCACTGGCCCCCTTTTCGATTTTTTGTGCATGTGGGTATGCGAGGAGCTGCATGCAGAATTGATGAAAGATATGCCACGCTGCCCTTGCAACATGTTGTCGGCTTCATCAAGATTTCCGACTAGGTTGAGTCCCGTATGGTTGGGCTGCGCGTTTCGAAGACCTTCCTGAAGTGACGCGATACGTGCTCTGAGACGGTCCCTGAATTCCCTCACGGTAGCAGCTTCTCCCTCTCTTGGATCAACATCTTCTGGGAACAGGGGCCCGGAGCCGTCCACTTCGCGCAAGAATGCCGCGATGTCCAAAATTTCGCTGTCCGTGAGTCCGGATCCGGAAACTTGCTGCCCTGGTTGTTGAGGGGAGGAATTCGCGCCCTGCGTCTCCTCAGAACTGGTCTCCTCAGAACTGGCCGACGGCGACAGACAAGGAGAGTCGATTGGGAGCAGCGGAAACTGGCCCGTCCAGCCGACAACCTGGCCGACATTAGGCCGGTTCATGAACTCTATTGCCGCTTGCATGGAGCCTCTCGAGTAGCCCTCTGCCATCGAACTGTCGGCGACAGAGTCACGAAACCGTTCCGTGTCGTACTGGGGGTTTGGAACGACGTTTGCGACAGCGACATCGTCGGGGATCCCATATGGATACTCACCATGCAGGCTGTTCAAAGTTTCCAGCGGCATGTGTCCCACCACCTGTGACCAGAGGATGCCTCCAAGGGCTGCGAATTCCATTTCATTGTCGTCCGCGTCAAGTGCTCGCACTGTGTCTATCATATTCGGAGTGCCGCGAATCAGGTAGATCCATGGGAAACGAGATACCGCGCTGGACGAATGTGCCGTCGACACGTAAGCACTTGCCCAGCCCATTTCGGACGGTGAGCAACTTTCCGCACTCGATTCTCCGCTGTTATACTGGTCATCTTTCCATGCGACTGCGCCTTGCTTATGACGCTCAAGATCGTATGCTTCCGTATCGTTGACGTAGTTGCCTCGGGGTCTGAATCCGCCGGCTCTCCGAATCGTGTTATCGTCTCTAGCATCTCCGCGCCAGACGAACTTCTGACCATCTTGGCGCGAGTGAAAAGTGTTGGGTGCTTCAAGGTTTCCTGACACGCTCGGGGATGTAGGGTCTCCAGCACTACCACAGCCCAGCCAAAAGAGCCACAGTAGCGCGGCTGAAACAGCCATACTGAGTGAGCGCACAATACTCATGTTTGAAGGATCCCGAATGGCACACTTGTCTTGTTGAACGACGACGAGAAAGGTCTGGGGAATCCTAGTTGCGTCGACAAAGTCGGCTACTTATACGTAGAGATAGTGTCGGGACAGGGCCTCAACCACAGCACCACGCCCACAGCACCACGCCCACAGCACCACGCAGCAAATTGGAAGGCTCACTCCAGCAGCTATGCTGGAAAGTGGCCTTACGTACATAGCGGCTGACAGATAGATAGCCTCTTTCATCGAATTAAAAAACTCGAAATTAGAGTCTCGGTCTTGGCATGCTTTGCAACTCGGATATAGCTACTTCGTTCTTCGTACTTCGTAGCGTGTTCTAATTTGCACAAGGGGGTACTTCGTATCAGGGCTATCCCTGCCAGCTAACATCGACACCGAAGGAGGATCAAGACACTCGCGGGGCTATGTTTGCTAGCTGAGCCGGGCGAAAAAAATCGAAGCCTCGCGCATGAAGGTATATGATGTATGAAATAATTTACTCTGTGCCCGCCCACCTAACTCATCTACCGACAAGGCACTGCCTTGTCCAGCAGGGTCTAGCCCGTTACACTTGGCTGTATATACCCCTTATCACCCCGAGCTCAAGATCTCAGACGTGCTTCGCGACAGGTACATGGCTTCGGCAAGCCCGCGGTCCACTAATCAACAAGGTCAAGGTGTCCGGAGGTGCCGGCTTGCATCATCTCGTATGCATTCCATGGCAGCAGCTTGTTGAAGTCTGTAGTATCCGTACTATAATGTAGCTATTGACGGCTATACTGAAGACTCTTTAGCTATATGTGAGGGTAATCCTTGTCGCCGGCTTTACAGGGCTATTATAAGCCGTATTTGGTCCGTGCCTTGGCGCGACATGATGTCAACCTCGCAATGACCACCTATTCAGGAATCAGGTATAACTACGGATATAGGCGTTGGCATTAGTAGGAGGAAAGAAGGATTTAGAAGAAGAAAAACACGCCTATTTTATGCCTCAAATTGCTCCTCGCTTTACATATTCAGCAACGCCTCCAGTTGGCGCTTTACGGTATGCCAGCGTAGGCTGTCGGCCACTTTCGATATGTTGAATTATCTTATCTCGAAGACCAAGGTAAAAACGCTTGAAAGGTCGCAACTTGTCCGGCTCCTGGTGAGTTCCAAGGACTACGTGATCGTAGCCCATTTCAAGGAGAACTTGGCGGCACCAGTTCTTTGTCTCCGGCTCCAAACTCGTGCTAATGTCAATATCAGCCAACGGCCGCTCCATTTCGTCTAGAATGGAGCGGTCAATCGGATACCCCAATTGCATGCCTTGTCTGGGTCGGGGTAATGGTAGTTCATCCAGGGCTGGCCGTGGACCACATGGGGACGGTTCTTTGGAGGCGTATCCGATGAAGATTCCACGCCTCCACGAAGTCGAAGAGTTCTCGGCGTAGTAAGTCTTCGAAGACGGCGTAGATGGAAATCTGATCTTCCAGCATATCGCCGTCGAAGTCCCCGTCCTGGCGAGTTCTCCAAAGTAGTCTACCCACTGCCGGGACGAGACATGCAGCATGCGCTCCACCAACTCTCGATCTTAACGTTCTTCGTACTTGGAGCCGCCTTGTACGAATCCTTTAGTCGATTTCCTTGTTGGAAAACTTGCCCATGCCATTCCACTCGCCCGTCTGTTGCCAAGACAAAGTTCCAGTGTGCTGCTGCGACCAATGGCGTTTCGCTCCCCCTGTCTGCTTGCAAATACCGTGGCCGAAAGCCGTAGGCGCCACACGCGGCCAAGTACTGCTTCAATACGCTCAAAGCAGTTGTAGCGGAGTGGCCAATATAAAACCAGATAATGTTGCGCGAGTATGCATCGATTGCTGCATATATCTCGAATCCATACGCCTTGAGCTTGTCGTGACCGTCAATGCACCACTGGTAGTTTGGTCCTGGGACAAGAAACTGTCCCTTCTTCCTCCGAAACATCCTTTTTCGGAGTTCGACCTCATTTGGGAACATGATTTTGTACATCGCAAAGAGGGGGTCTCTCGGGACCCAGAGCTGCTTTTGCTGACGAAGATAAGGCTGGAGAAGGCTTTGCCATATCCCGAAATGGCATTGGACCGTCGCGTCATCTCGATGATAACCTGTTCTGTCTTTTCCAGCAACACAAGGCGCTCCTCGTCACTATTGAGCCTGCGTACCCAGCGGCGGTCCGGGTGAAGTCTGATGCGCTTTAGACCTCGTTTCGTGATCGGCCAGCCTTGTCTTTGTAGCACGCTCAGCGTCTGCTTCTCGGTAAGCCCAACGCGAAAGATCAGGTCACGGATGGTTTCTATCAGCTCTGGAGTTTCTTTGGTACGGGCTTGCTGGCGCGGGAGACCCCAGTTTGCGATTCGGCGAGAGAGTGTACTGAGATTGACGGCGACATGGTAATGCTTCCGAAGCTTATACTTAATCTTGCTTCGCGAGACACCGTTGAGGTATAGATGAGTGATATAGGTACGGTATTGATCGATTGGATTGGGCGGACGTGCCATTGTTGCCGGTAACGTCGAAGGGATGGTGATTTTCTTAGTCCTCATACCAGGAAAAAGGGGGACAGCGATATAAATTGACTTACCGCGTTTTCCCGCAGCGGTGGTGCCGCTGGCCCGCAGCGGCTTAGTGCCAGGGGGCTGTTCGTGGAACGGTTACCAAACCAGGAACAGATCGACGCTGCTCACCCGCAAATATTTACAGAACCCAGATCCCTTCCAACCCTAGTTCCTACCTTTCCCTTCTATATCATCATTGCCGTGGAAAGCCAATGGTCAGCAGCGTTGTCATGTCCACAGCAGATTCCGCTATCGTAAGTGAAACTGCAGTCGCTGGCCCGATGGATGGGGACTCGCCCAGCAGGAATAAAATAGTCAAGGGTAGAGGATTGGTCCGACCCAACGCCCGCAAATCCACGGCCAAGATTACCGTACAATCCAATAAGTTCTTCTATGAAGAAGAAGCGGCTGCTAACTTGCTCGCCCGAGCAGAAGAAGAAGCAGACAAAAAAGGCCCCTCCCGTCGGCTCGGTGCGAGACTTCCCATGCCGTCCTTGTTGAAGGCTGTGTAGCGGATGAAGTGTTCATTGAAGGTTGAAGAAATCTGTGAGTAAATACAGAGAAATGCCACCTTAATATATCACTTCCAAGCTAGTGTCAGAGGCTCCTCAGAGAGCCTTTCAGGGGTTCAGGGTTTCTGATGACCCACTTCAACACTCCCACTCGCTCTGAGGACGGCTCTGACAGACAGGCGAAGGTGCTGTGCAGCAGTGTGCTGTTCCTAGGGCCCTCGCTAAAACCCAAAAACACCTCTTTATGGGTGAAAAATATTGGGAAAGAGTGCGCCACTTTAGGTAACGTGAAATAGTAATGACCTTAATGGGGTGACCTCCTTAATATGCCACTTCAAGCGGCTGACAGAACCCCTGGGAGCGCCTTTCAGGGTCCGGATGACCCACCTCAAACTCGCTTGAAGGGCGGCTCTGTCAGACAGTCAAGGTGCCGTGCAGCGGCAACGATAGTCCCGTCTAGGCCCTCGCTAAAACCCAAAATCACTTTCGTGGGTAAAAAACACAGGGAAATAGCGCGCCTACGGGTTCGTTGCTTGCAACGCGTGGACTGCGGAGGGATGACCAGATTGATCTCGCGGAGTGGCCATCAGAGCTCCGTCAGTGTGGCTGCCTTCTTGCAGAAGGGTCTTCGCCAATGGAGGGCCAGATTGATCTCGCGGAGTGGCCTCAGAGCTCCGTCAGTGTGGCTGCCTTCTTGCAGAAGGGTCTTCGCCAATGGAGGGCCAGATTGATCTCGCGGAGTGGCCTCAGAGCTCCGTCAGTGTGGCTGCCTTCTTGCAGAAGGGTCTTCGCCAAGGGAGGGCCAGATTGATCTCGCGGAGTGGCCTCAGAGCTCCGTCAGTGTGTAGAGGCTTGAGTGCCTAAGGAGGGCCGAAGATGCCTGTGACACTCCCACTCGATTAGAGGCTGAGCAGTGTGGTGCTTCTAATCGGACTTGACGCCTAGAGAGTCCCGGAAACGGAGGAAGGCATCTCGTGGCAGGGCCTTGGTGAGCCCATCAGCAGGCTGCTTGGTGCCTTCGATCTTGATAAGGCTGACGGTCCCTTCTGCAACCTTCTCTCGGATGAAGTGCCACTTAAGAGAGATATGCTTAGTGCGAGAGTGGTGCTGAGCGTTGTTGGCCAGATCTATAGCGCCCTTGTTGTCCTCGTGTATGGCTGTTGGCCCAGCCTGTGGGTGGCTTAGGTCCTTCATTAGGGAACGCAGCCAGATGGCCTCCTGGGCTGACTGGGTCAGAGCCACGTATTCGGCCTCTGTGGATGAGAGCGTGACACAGGGCTGCCTCTTGGAGGTCCAGCTGATGGCTGCTGAGCCGAGGCTGTAGAAGAAGCCTGACGTCGATCGTCGGGTGTGCAGGTCCGCCGCGAAGTCTGCGTCAGTGTAGCCTTGGATCGGCTGCAGTGGTCCCTCTAAGAATCAGTGAGCCTACCCTCTTGGCATAGGCGGCCTGGTCCTTGGGAGGGGCGTGCCAGTCCTCTGCGGGTGGTTGGAGCGGATCTGCGGCCATAGGGGTGTCCGTTGGGTTGCAGTCTGACATGTTGTAGGTCCTTAGGATCTTTTCAATGTAGGCTCGCTGGGACAGTTCGATCCGACGCCTGGCCCTATCTCTAGTGACTTTAATGCCTAGGTAATGGGAGCAGGGACCTAGGTCAGTCATCTGGAAGCGTTTGCTGAGGGCATCCTTGATCCGTTGGACCTCCCGAGGACAGGCTCCAGTGAGAAGTAGGTCGTCGACGTAGATTGCAATGATGCTCTTGCCACGGACGAAGACGCTGACGTCTGCCGCAATGGGCCTGTAGCCTAGTGTCTCAAGAAACTTGGTGATGGTGTGGAACCAGATGCGAGGCGCCTGCTTGAGCCCATAGATGGCCTTCTTGAGCCTGCAGACGCGGCCAGTGCCGTCTTCGAAGCCCTCTGGCTGCTCGAGGTAGACTTCTTCGTCGATGTCCCCGTAGAGGAAAGCGGTCTTGACATCCATTTGCTCGATCTCTAGGTCTTCAGCGGCGGCTATGGCGAAAATTGTTCTGTAGCTTTCTGGCCTGACCACTGAGGCGAAGGTTTCGCTATAGTCGATGCCTTCCTGTTGCTCGTAGCCCTTTGCAACGAATCTGGCCTTATGGCGGACGATTTGGCCGTCGGTCCCTCTTTTCAGCCTATAAACCCACTTCCTCGTAGGGCCTTCCTGCCTGGCGGGAGGTCAGTGAGCTCCCAGGTCTTGTTGACCTGCAGGGACTGGATTTCGTCCGCCATAGCGGCGTGCCAGTTCTTGGCGCTATCTGACTGCATGGCCTGTTTGAAGGCAAGGGCTCGTGGTCTTCCCATTGCTGTGAGATGGCCATAGCCATTGCGAAGGCGTGATCGAAATTATAGCCATAGCGCAGAGGGGAACTCTTTGTCTGGTGGACCTTCTGACCGACGGCCTGATCGGATCAGCAGCGGCATGGATAGTTGAGTAAACAGATGGTTCGGGGCTTGTCTCTTCCAGCAGGTCGAGCAGGGCACTGTCGTCCGACTCGTCTCTATGGGACACTATGTTGTCTTCAGAGCTGTCAGACAGGTCTCGCGTGGAATCTGAGGTTTGGCTATCTTCAGGCTCGGGCGAGAGCGCTGTGGAAGTTGCTGTGTGTAGAGAGACGCGGTGTCGGCTGTTGTATTGTTGCCGTTGCGAAGTGTCCGAGGCGGACATTCGGCTTGCTGGCCTTCCTCCCGGATCAGCTGGTCAAGGCTTTGGCCAGTCTTGGGCCTCTTGGGCTGTCTTTCAGAGACCGTAGGCTTGGCGACGTGTCCGACAAAGATGACGTTGGGAGACACGAAGACCCTGTTGCTGCTATCAAGCAGGATGTAGTTACAGTGCCCTTGGTACCCCAGCATTCTGCACGGGATACCCTTAGGCTGCAGCTTCCTGCGTTTGGCTGCTGGCAGTAGTGCCCAGCCTTTTGATCCGATGACTCGAAGATGGGTAACATCAGGTTTTTCGCCGTGCCAGGCTTCGTACGGTGTTGTAGGTAACTTGGCTGTAGGAGACAAGTTGCGGACGTAGGTGATGCTCTGGAGTAGGGCCACCATTTGCGCTCGAGGCCGGACCGAATTAGCGTAGGGTTGAGCTTCTCGCTTAGGACCCTATGGAAGACCTCAATGGCCCCGTTTTGCTGGTGCTGTTCCGTGGCGGCGTAGATGACTTCGATCGCCTTGTCGGTGCAGAAGGCATCTAGCAGCGTGGAGCGATTTTCACCTCCTAGGTCCATCCGCACGTAGAGGCATCGCCTGGTAGGCGTCTCATGCTTCTGAAGGAACGCCTGGAAGATCGGGAAGAGGCTGTCTTTGGTGGCCACGCTAAAGGTCCATCCGTACTGAGTGTAGTCGTCTAGGATGGCCACCCAGTATCTGCTGCCGTCGTATCCAGTGTCCGGAAACGGCCCACATATGTCAATATGCAGACTTTCTAGCGGCCAGGTTCCCTTTCGAATAGAGTGCCTGTGAGATCCTTCCTTGATCTTGCCAATAGCGCAGGCCTCGCACGGGTCTTGTGGCGATTGGGGTCGCAGACCAGTGGACATCCCTTGCAGCCTCTTGATGTTGCGCTCGCTGAGGTGGGCCAGTCTCTCGTGCCAGATGCGTAGGTTGGGATCTTGGACCTGCGAGGTGACGAGGGCAGCTGGGTCGCTGCTGACGACAGAAAGGTTGCTATGACGCCTGATTTCATCAGTAGCTTCGTTCCAGAAGGTCAGGTCAGGATCCCGAGTACGCAGGCTAGCCAGTGCGGCGTTGATGTCTCTGTTTGGCTCGTCAATCACGTAGACACCATTAGCCACAGTGGCCGTCAGCACAATCTGGCCGCCTTTAACGATGGCAGCGTGCTCGCCATTGCCAAGGATCCAGCACCCCTGCTTGCCGAGAGCTGTGACGGACACCAGGTTGACGCCTGCGTCAGGGGCACAGAGGGCGTCTTGGAAGGTCAGCATGTGGTCTTTCCCACAGACCTTCACTGGCAGGTCATAGCTGCCGGCGCCCATGGGCAGGAATTGGGCTCCCTTGGCCCCTGCGTAGGAAGACCAGTGTAGGGAGCAAGGCCGAATTTGCCTCGGCGGCAGAAGATGTGCTGTGAGGCGCCTGTGTCGAGGATGTGGATCTGTGAAAGCAGCGTGTGCTGAGCGGCCAGTGCTGCCGGATCCAGATCATCACGCACTCCCACTGGATTGGCAGCACCAGGAGGGCGAGGTGTATCGTGCATGGGAAGGTGAAACGGGGCATAGCGAGGTTGGCAAGAGCCTGTGACTGCGACTGTGGTTGGTCATTGGCTTGACCTTGCAAGTAGGCTAGGGCGGTCTGGATATCTGTGATGGAAGGTGTAGTGGAAGATGTAGTGGGCTCCTGCCTGCCGCGATGATCCTGTTTCTTTTTGAGTCTCTCTGCATGTCTCTTGTCGAAGTCGGCCTTGAGCTCTGGATGGACTCTAAAGCACTTATCCACGGTGTGTCCTTTCCTTTTGCAGTGGGTGCAGACGGGCACGTCTCTGTCTCTCCGAGTCATGGCAAGAGCTTGACCGGCGGTGGCGCCTCGTTGCTTCTGGCTCTGTTCTTCGTGTTCAGCAGCGGCGATGGCTTCTTCGAAGGAGACTGCTGGTCTTTTGACTGCTCCAGCAAGGTCCCTCTTTGGCAGCAGGTTGTGTTGCTGATAGAATGCTGTGAGAAACACCTCGTAGGCTGGACCTAGCCCTGTGAGGAACTTGCTGATGAACTGGGGTTCCCCGATTTGACAAGAGACGTCGAGCTCTAGCAGCTCTGAGCGGGCTTGTCGGAGTTTTTCGGCGAAGTCCATGACATCAGTACAGACATCGAGAGTCAGGTCCATGTACTTCTTATCCAGCTCCTGGAAGCAAGCGCTGCCACTGGGCTTGTAGCGCGCCTCGATGGCTTGGAGGATCTGCGCGGCCGTTTCTAGGTGCTTGACATCCTCACGGCTAGAAAGCTAAGTCGGTTGCAGAGGACTGCTTTAACCCTGGTCTGTCTGTCTAGCCAGATTTCAAGCCTATCTTCGAAGACGTTTTCTGACTCTTCGTCTCGCTGGGCTGGCTGGACGGCTTTCCTACCGCCCGGAAGAAGGTCTCCGTACCCTGCCACGGTTAGCAGGTCCCTGATATCCCTGTTCCAGGTGATCCATCCGGTTTGTGAAGACAGCTTGAGGATCCCAGTGACGCTGGACATCGAGAGGCTGCTGCCTGAGGAGTTGGACGTGCTCATCGTTGCTGCTGAGGATGCTTTGCAGCACGTGCTTCTTGACCGTACGCTTGCTAGCTATAAGGAAGACGAAGTGTGTTGGGCTGGCAAAGGGCTCTGTGTCTTGTGGAGGAGGCGAGCGGGCTGCTGAGGACGATGCCTTTGCACTTGACACATCGCGGATCCTTGGATGGGACCATTTTCCCCCTTGGTTTCAGCCACTACCCCTTTTCTTATGCACACCTTCAAATTTCAGCCCCTGCGAGATCAGTAGTGTTAGGAATTGTAGGAGGATTGGGTCAATGTGGCTCCTGGGTGTATTCGGCACAGTCGTAAAAGGGGGAGATTGTGTCGATTTCAGCTTCGTGATAGCAGATTCGATTTGTCTGTATGTGCAAGAGAGAGGTGACTGTCATGGTGCGCAGTGGAAGAGGCTCGCGAGAGCCTATAGGATCTTTGCGGTTATCGTGCTGCTGTGCTTGCTGTGTAGTTAGCTGTGTGATTAAGCTGTTTGGTCAAACTCATCTCTTTGCAGTTGGCCTCCCGGGCTCATAACCTGTTGAAGGCTGTGTAGCGGATGAAGTGTTCATTGAAGGTTGAAGAAATCTGTGAGTAAATACAGAGAAATGCCACCTTAATATATCACTTCCAAGCTAGTGTCAGAGGCTCCTCAGAGAGCCTTTCAGGGGTTCAGGGTTTCTGATGACCCACTTCAACAGAGGCAGAATATACCGAGTTCGTTGATACTCACCAGCAAGTCAAGTGCCTCCTGCCCTTATCGGAAGAGATTGTCGCGCTCTATCAACTACGGAAGGTTCTGAAGCCGTTTAAAGACCACACTCTGAAAGTCTCCGAAGCTATGCCGCAGATCTCACAAAGTCTCGATATCTATTGGGATTTGGAAGCTCTCCTTGATGATGTAGTCGAAGGGGTTGGCGACTTTTCAGACCTTGATATGTCCATTCGAAACGCCTTCTCGAAGGGCAAAGCAAAACACGTTACATATATGAAGAAGCTTGACGATCAAATGATGCTATTCGCAGCTCACATCCTGGATCCGCGTTATAAAACTCACCAACTAGAAATGATGATACCGGATCAATACTCTGAGATTATGGCTAAAGTCAAGAAGTATTTCAGAACGGAGTGGCCGGAGCTAGCAACATTGGATGCCACAAACTCATCTATGAGCCAATCCAGACCAGCTGAGCGTCCTCAAGGAGTCTCCATTGCGCAGTGGAGAGCCATCCAAATGAAGAAGGCGAAGGAGGCGGAGGCGGGCGCGGCGATCCCTATTTCGGAGCTTGAACGGTGGTTTGCAACTTCCCGAATAGAGTTCGACGAGTCTATTGCAAAGTCTCCAGACTTCTTACGGAAGTGGTGGAAAGAACACAAGGAGGAGTGGCCACTTTTGGCTGCGGCGGCGCGTGATCTCCTCTCTGTCCCTGGCTCTGAAGTTGACGTGGAACGCCTCTTCAGCGGTTGTAGAGACGAATTCGGTATCCGCCGTCACGCTTTGAAGGCAGATACAGCGCGAGTACTAACACTTCTACGGAGTGCTTATACTCAGGAAGATAAGATCGATCAGGCGTTGATCAAGGCGGCCATGGAGTATGACATCTTGCCCTTCGCTAATAGTATTATTTGGAGACCAGACCACATTCCGGGAATGCTGGTAAATGGTATGAATATACCCTCATTGTTTGTGTATGTGAAAGGCCTCTAGTGAGTTGATACAACTAACTAGTCCCTATGCTGTTTACTATCAAGATAGAGAAGAAAGAAAGAAAGAAAGAGAATCTACTACATGAGAGCACAATAGCATTTTATAGCTTCGAGCCAATGGAAGGTTCTAGAAGCTAGGCGGCGCAGCCGCCGTTAAAGCAACTTGCCCGTTACATTACCTCCCTCCCTTCCAACGTTTCCTCTTCCGGGGGATCGTGGCAATCTGTGGCAAGATGACTTGAGAAGGTGACACTCCTTTTATGCTTCTTCCATTGCTTCCATGCATCGGTGTGTCGAATAGTAGTAAGGGGTTCCCACGTAGGCTGCGAGTAATCATGCCATTTACGAGCACCTTCTTATGCGTACCTTCCATTCTTTCGTCCAGAATTCTTTCAACAAGGTACATCTTTTCGCCGTCCACCAGCACCGGTGGGCACTCTCTTGATCGAGTTTCTGCGAAGGCAATGGGTCTCCGGGGACTGGCCGGAGTAGGTCGACGTGAAAGACTGGATGGATGCGCCCAGGCACATCCAACCTGTAGGCATGTGGGCTAACTTCCGCGAGCACTTGATATTTGGCATGTAGCCAATCGAGCTTCTTGCAGGGTCGCGATGTTTTGACATTTCTCAAGTTGAGGTATACCCAATCCCCAGGCTCGTATCTCGGTGCGGCTGTCCTGTGCTTGTTGGCTTGCGCTTGCTGTATTTCCTGGGCCATAGCTATCGCTGCTTGCGCAAACTCCGTGGCGTCCTGTAGTCTCTGAATAAAATCCTCCGCTGTCGCTTCCCCCTGCGTCGTGTCTTCCGTTCTTCGATGCTCAACTAACTGGATTGGCTCGTTGTGGTAGCCGTGCATGAAGAAGAACGGACTCAGTCCGGTGGAGGTTGCTTCCTCTCGTTAATAGTCGCCATCGCGATTGGAAGCAAGTCTAACCAGTTCTCCTGCAGATAATTCGTCCATATCCGAAGAATCCTCTCTACCTCTTGGTTCATTCGTTCTGTTGCACCGTCGGTTTGTGGATGGTACGCCGTCGACAACCGCTGCTCGATCCCTAGCATCTGACAGAAACTTTTCCACATACCACTGACAAACTGGGGACCCCGATCACTGGTTATAGCCGTTGGGATGCCATGGACAGGGTAGTGTCGTTCGAAGAGTCTTCTTGCAACCGCTTCTGTGGAAATATCGTTCAATCCTTCGAGTTCGACGCCTTTGGTGAGTCGGTCCGTGACCACCATGCAGTTCGTCGCGCCATCTTTCCCCGACGGTGGGAGGTCAGTAATAAAGTCAATGGTAATTTCGCTCCATATGCGTTGCGGAATAGGGAGCGGCTTTAGGAGTCCTTTCTTTGTATCCCTCCAGATGGTGTTTCGTCCGCAAACCTCGCAGTTGCGCACAAACCGACGTACATCGCTAGCGGCACCCGGCCAGAAGAAGCGTCTCGACAGAGTCGAGTACGTGAGGTCCCTTCCAGGATGTCCGGTGATATGAGAGTCGTGAGTTTCCTGGATGATCTTTGTACGTAGCGGCTCCGAACCGGGTATCCAGACGCGTTCTCTAAAGCACAGCAGGCCTCTATTGTCTAATGAGCATTCTGAAATGCTGACAACCTTCTCCTTCTGTAAGTCTGTTGGCAAACTCTTCGCTCCATCTGCTACCAGCTTCGTGAGTTCTTGATAAAGCTTGTCTTCTTGCCGTGCGGCGTGCCACAGCTGCTGTAACTCCTCATCTTCAAATATCCTGATCTCTTTCCGAAGTTGATTTCCTGGGCACCCTCGGTGTTGGTAGACAATGTCGATATTGGGACCCTTCTAAGGTGATCATTTTGGAATAGCCTCATAATGCGTCCCTTTAGTCGTTCATCGGAGTAGTTGGCCGGCATATCCTGGTCCCGTCGAGAGAGTGCGTCAGGCAATCCGCCCTTGCGGCCCGGCCTCCATTCGAGCTCGAATTGGAACCTGGACAGGAACTCCGACCACCGCACTTGTCTCTCTGTCAACCTCCTTTCCGAGTAGAAGTACCTCAGGTTCTTGTGGTCCGTTAGGATCTTGAAGTGCTCTACTGCCCGTAGCTCTGGTCCCACTGCTCCAAACATCTGAGAATGGCGAGTAGCTCCTTGTCATGGATAGCGTAGTTCGCTTCGGCTGCCGAATGTTTCTTCGAGAAGTATGCGACAGGTCGTACCAGTCCATCCTTATCATCTCTCTGCAAGAGCACGCCTCCCGACGCGAATCCTGAAGCGTCTGCTTCCACGATAGTCTCCTTTCTGGATGGAAGTGTGCAAGGATCGGGGCCGTGATCAACAGGTCCTTGAGCTTCTCGAAGGCTTCTTCGCACAATTCATCCCAACGGAATGGCACGTCCTTCTTCGTTAGCCGCGTTAGCGCTCCGCTATCACCGAGAACTCTGGCATAAACATCCTGTAGAAGTTCGCGAATCCAATAAAACTCCTCACGGACTTAACATTCGTCAGGGTTGCCCATTCCTTCACAGCCTCAACCTTCTCAGGGTCGACTCGGATCCCACACTCCGCCTCGATGATAAACCCAAGGTATTTCACAGCCTTGACTTCGAATTCACTCTTGTTGATATCCAGTTGCAGCCCGGCGTCCATCAGTCGTTGGAGGACCTTGCCGACCTTGTCGCGGTGGTCTTGCAGGCTTCCAGAGGAGAAGATCAGGACATCGTCGATATATGCTGACACAAAATCGTCTAGGTAATCCTGGAGCGCGCTGTTAATGTACCGCTGAAAGGCTGCTGGTGCGCCTGTCAGGCCGAATGGAACTACCAGCCATTCGAAGGATCCATAGCGCGTTCTGAAAGTTGTCTTTCCTCGTCGCCGGGGCGACCTTGATCTTATGGAACGCTGCTATAACATCTACCTTGGTGAACCACCTTGCCTTGGCTATCGTTCGCAAGGTCTCGCTCAGTAAGGGCAAGGGATAGCGGTCCCTCTTCGTTATATGGTTCAAACCTCTGTAATCCACGCAGAAGCGGATGCCTCCGCCGGGCTTCTTCACCATAAGGACTGGTGCCGCGGCTGGCGAGCTGCTGACTCTAATAAATCCCTTGTCGAGTAGTTCTGTGAGAGTCTTCCGTAGTACCAATAGCTCCTCGCGGGACATGCTGTAAAGCGGTCCCCAGGGTAGGGCTTCTCTCGGCCATGCTCGTCTTTCAGCACTTCGATCTTCAGGTCCACACCTGGCCGATGAGGGGGCAGCTGGTCGGCCAGTTGCTGAGAGAAAGCTCGAGACCACTTGTGGTACTGTGGTGGCAGCTTCTCCATTACGTCAGTCTTCGGTTTCGGTCTTAGGGCCTTGTCAATATCCGCCATCGTGACCGAGTGAACTCCAATGCCGCCTTTGCGTTTGTCACGGCGTGCTTCTGTTGAACTCCATTGGACCCGATCTCGAGATATCCTTCCTTCGCATGGATGTGAACATCCTGGTCTTCCATCCATCGTTTACCCAGGATCATATCCCAGTTCAGATCGTCGATGACGTACATGAAAACACGATGCTGCTGATGTCCATCGAGGTCGATCGACACATACGTGATCTTGTCGATTTTGACCTCCTTGCCGTCTCCGGCTGCGTTCTCCAAGATACGCGGCTGAACGCGTATATGTGGCAACTGGAGAGAGTGAAATGTGCGCTTGCTAACCGCGCCGTAGCAGAGGCAGCCATAGTCGACAAGAGATGGCACGAAGTCTGTGCCGTTCACCCTGACGTCTGCTATGAACGGTTCTCCGTCCATTTTGCTTTTCCGCTCACATCCCATTCTCTCACAGCCGCCGCGTGTCCCTAGTCTGAATCTTCATCGTTATGAGAAGAAGTATCGTCTTCGGCGACCTCGGCTTTAGTGACCGCTGGTCGTGACGGGGTCACGGCATTGACCTGAGTGCGTCGGGTCGTGTTTGCGGGTCGGATAGGCGCAGCCAATGGACAGCGCTCGATTCTGCAGTTGTCTCTTCCACAACGGAGGCAACGCCCTTCACGGTAACGGGCGTCCATCTCGGCCTGGTCGACCCACTTGGCACGCTTGCCCAACAGCGCTTGGTCTTCTGGTCGCTTGGATTGGTAACCATATGTGTTCTTATCACTGCGGGTGCGCGCAGCGTTCACTTTCGCGGATGCTTGTAGAGTTGGTTCCCATTCCATCATATCCTCTCGTCTAACTTCGGTTTTCTGGCCAGGCTGTTTCTGGGCAGCCTGGCCTCCATGATTCTGGTGGTTGTCATAGTTGTCCGAACTCTTTGTGTTGCCTCGAGGCCTTTTCCACTGACCCAACAATTCCATCTGGCTGCTCAGCGAATCGCACCTCCTCGCCAGCCCAACATAGCTGCTGATGGCAGAGAGTCAGAGCCTATGAGGGCTGCTTTCATTTTATCGTTTAGTGCCTCCTGGAGGTAGGAAATCTTGCTGTCATCTGGCCAATACTCGGCGTTGGCATTGGCGATCTCCTCTCAAAGCGGGGTAAAAGGACGTGAACGGTTCATTCTCTCCTTGCTTAATCGAATGCAGGTTGCGTGTAGCTCTCTGCTTGCGATCCCTCTCCCGTACAGCAATTCGAGGCGGTTGAGTAGTTCAGCAACATTGAACGTTTTCTTCTCGGTTTGCATCTCCACAAATGTGGTCACGTTGTCTTTAGCCTTGCCTTCTAGGCTCATGAAGATGTACATAAAGTGGCCTTCTGCATCTCCAAGGGCTTCTTTGTCGACTCGTAGCTTTCCTTCGGTTTCTAGTTTCCAGCTTCGCCACTGGGCCTTGTCGCCGCCGAATTTCGGTATGTCTCGTAATTTGGGGCGCTTGGTTGGTGAGGGTTGTGAGTGGCGACCACACGGGTGTCCTCAATGGGGACAGCCGGGGTGACAGATGGCGTTGGCTCTAGGAGTTCAGACGAACGGGCTTGCTGGTGTTGTTGGAGTTCCAGGGCAATAAAACGTTCTTCAAACTGGGTGTTTCTTCGGGAACTCTCTTCTCTCAGACTTCGTATCTCGGCAACCAGGGCGCTGAGGACGTCCGGCTGCATGTTGTTGTTATCTTCGGCCATCGCGACTTCGCTGAACGCTAATAGTTCGACGGGACTCAGTTTGGTGTCTTCAGTGTCTTCGGTGTCTTCGGTGTCTTCAGTGTCTTCGGTGTCTTCAGTGTCTTCAATGTCTTCAGTGATCTTGATAGTATGTGAAAGGCCTCTAGTGAGTTGATACAACTAACTAGTCCCTATGCTGTTTACTATCAAGATAGAGAAGAAAGAAAGAAAGAAAGAGAATCTACTACATGAGAGCACAATAGCATTTTATAGTTTCGAGCCAATGGAAGGTTCTAGAAGCTAGGCGGCGCAGCCGCCGTTAAAGCGGCTTGCCCGTTACAGTGTATAATGCTAATCTGCGTTCAGGCGAGAATCCTCCTCCTAAACCCCCTGCTCCGGCGGAAGTTCCCACCGAGGGTCCTACCGAGGCTCCCACCGAACCTCCCACCCCCAAACCTCTTGCTTCCCAAGCCAATAAGTCTGCGATATCAACCCTTGTCTAGGTACAATGGAGGCTTCGGAGGATTGAGGCTCTACGAGTGTGTAACCGTGCACAATGGCGATTCGAACGCGTTGTACCGACGCATTTTGAGGATTCGGCAGAGCTTTTGAAAGTGCTTATTTTCAGCGATTTGCCTAGGACATGCGGATCAGTATTTATGTAAGTTAATTTTTGTGGTATTCGGGATTATCAAGACACTTCTCAGAGGGCTATAAAACTATATACTACTTATTGGAGTTTTGAGGTATTTTGCAATCGCTTAGGTACACACCAAATTCACTTCGTTTAGGGATCCTTCAAACCATTCATGAATGGCCTGAATTGGCCCAAACCCAACTTGAATCGCGAAAATTGGAGCTTGAAGATTTTGAATCGAGATCCCAAAAATTCCATTCATTTGATTCATCCTTCATTCAAAATCTTCAAAAAATTCACCTTCGTATATCACCCCTAAACAGGTAGTGCTCAATGGCCGCCCTGACCCGGGGATCCTCTATCGCGTTTGACATGGTGCAGGCGGTCGCCGTCGCGACGGTGGCAATGGAGGAGGTGGAGGAGGGAGGTGGGGAGGTGGAGCGCAACGCGCGTGAGCGAGACCGAAATCGAAGGTCTCGCGCCGCGCCCCGCGGGCGTGGACCTTCGATTTTGCCGTCCGATGGCGGTAATCCGACTAAGAAAACGCCAGCCCCGCAGGGCCGGGCCTTCGAAAACGACATGGTTTTGCATGGGGCGGGGCGGTAATCCGATTACCGGATGACCGGTCGGCCGGCCCCGGGACCTGTGACACCAGAGGATCACGGCAGACACGGCTCGATTTAACTATGGCTGATTGGCTATACATAGATTACCGCAACAATACGAGGCAATATAACTTTTCCTACTCCGTACAGTTGCGAAGGGTCGCTTGCTGGACGGGGCTGCCATGTTGACTCTTACCTTTCCAAATTATTACCCTGCGAGAGATACAGCCATCTCCGGCCGTCGTCAGCGTCAGCGATTTCTCGCTCGGATCAGCGTCTTCTCTCACAGGGAATGAAAGTAGAGGGTAAGAGTCAAAAATATACATTGTCGTCTATCTAAAAAATGAATGTGAGAAGTTCTGTCTTCTTAGTCCTGAGGGAATGTGACTGCCTTGCGGTGGCGAATTTGCCACTTGCCACCCACGGTGCTTTTGTAATGTTATCTAGAAAGTTCGATGACATGGCTTATCAACCGCGCATTTCATTATACGTATCCTGAATGCGACACCTTCCGCTTAAGCGCCTTCTCTATATCTGACAAGCTTCATTGTATTGAGATCATGTTGCACTTCTTGCGTCTCTTTGCACGTTGACACTCAGTCGGAGAATGGCTAGTCAGGCATGCACAGATCACCATTTGTCGTCTCGCGGACTGCAATGAGAAAAGGGGAAGTAAGGATGGTATCAAGTCCTCCAAAGCGAACCCACTGAATGACTACCGTACGGTCCGTACCCCTTATGACAGTGGTACTTCTGCCGGTGTCGATCTTGCATCTGCATGTGGACCCAAGAACTTCGAGGGCGGCATCTCGAGGGCGGCATCATTTTCCCTCGCTGTTCAAACACTCATCTTTCGATATTGTTTGAACCTCGTCAACCGGTGTTGTGGTTGGTAAGGGATTCATTTTGCCGATGCGAATTAAGAGGCGGTACATGTCTAGATCGCCAAGCTGCGCCGCTACCTGCAATGGTTCTTGCTGGTCGAACACGAAACGATCATTCTCGTCGACACTACCTTCTGAAAGCAATATCCTTGCCGATTCGCATCGATCCCGTGAGTTTGAAGAGCTCTCAATGATCCGTAACAAGGCCGTTTGGTTCCGCATGTTTGTCTGGTGCACACCGTCCTTGAAACGAGGTACCAAATGTTGAAACATCGCGGGATTGCAACGTCTGGATGCGAGGTGCAGCACATTCTCGCCTTGTGAGTCGCGATATCGAAGGTGGGCCTCGATGCCTTGTTGTCCCAACAAATACTCCACAACATCGACGTGGTTCCCTAAGACGGCGTCTCCAATCAGTCGATGTTCAGGCCCGTCTAGCAGCTCGGCCCTTAGCTCTACCATGTGCTGAGCTTTGTCCATCAACCGTTGAATGATCGGCATGCAACCCGTGCTGGCAGCGATACGCAAAAGCTCATTGCCCCATCGCTCCGCAACCATCATGTATAACACATCATCGACGAGGTCAAAGACATCGTCCCAGCCTTGGCGATGTCTATCAGAAAGACTACTAGACCATTGTTTCACGGCGAGTCGAAAAAAGCCGAGGTTTCGAACTTGATGGCCAATCTTGCTTCGCAGGAGCGGCTTGAGTCTCGTCAAGTCACCCCACTGGAGAACTTGATCCGCAGCCCCCATCGCCGTGTTGGGGAGGAATTTTTCTTCATCAAAATCTGAGCTCTCAAGCATACCGTGTAGCATCGATTCCGAGCCGTAGAGTGAAGTGATGCTGAGGGGATCGTAGAGGCTGCTATCAAACACGAATCTGGGCTTGATCGTGCAGTTTGGACGACAGTTCTGAGTGGTCCAATTCTGCAGCCGCGTTGAGCCCGCTTGACATAGGTTTTCTATATCTCCCCGGCCCGGAAGGAGAGGTTCAGCTGATATAGCGCCAAAATGTTCAATCCAATGGCATGAGGCGTAGACAAAGAAATCACCGAAGCCGCGATTGATTGGATCGTAGCGAACCATGTTTTCTTCCCATACTTCCCAGGTACAGTGGGGGTCATAATCTCTCGGTTCGTCGTCGTCGAATAAGCTGCAATCCTGAGGCAGTTCTTCAATTGCCACATGCTCGTCGGAAAACAACTCGATGCGATCAATATCATCCAAGAGAAGATATCTAATGCACACATCCAAGATGCCCGCTTCCAGGCTCATGGTACGTTGCTTGAGAGTCACATCCTTTGTTGCTGCTTGCTTTGAAACTGTCGAGCTATCCTGATAAATTCGAATTGGTGCCCATTCTCTGATGATGAAGTCCTTCACTGACTGGTGCACAAGCCTAACTTGACGCCTACTCATGTCGTCGAAATTGACGTGAGAAACAAATGGCTGGATCAGACTCATGATTCTTTGATGATCTACCAGCTTGGCAAGAGCATCCACGTTGAGGTTCCTCTCTGGATTCACATCCAGAGCGACGGCCCAGGCAAGTTCTGATATGCTTAAGGGCCTTCGGGAGATGGCAAGAATCTCTAGAGCTGCAGTGGCAAGTTTCAAGTTCTCGGGGTCGTTTGAGGTGTATCGTGAAAAAATGTTGACGTAGAGCTCCGAGAGCTTGTCAGGTTGCGGTAAATCCTCTAGCAGAGCTTGGATCGAACTAGGTGCCTTGTATCGGCGGACTCCGATGAGATTGACCGTCATTCTCGTCCATATGGCGCTCCCTTGTGCCAAATGCGATAGCGTCTTCGTAACAGTCCTCTTGACGTCCTCCGATAAATAGAATAATTGCATTTGGACAGTCTTTTCCACGATAAGTCTGTCCCGCTCGGCGTCCGGATGCAGAACAATTTTGGCTATCCCATTCAATTGCTCCAGGATCTCCTCTTCAGGACGCGAGGACAGTAAAACTTTAACCCTCGGCGTATCTTGCGATAGATTTGTCAACGACTTAAGAAGACTGTTTCTGCATACTCCATCGCACTCATCCAGACCATCGATGACGATGAAAAGTTGGCGATCAAGTGTTTTGAGAGTTTGTTTGAACCAGCCTTCTAGCGTTTTGAAACTCGTCGCCGGCTCGATCCCGGAAGCAGTGGCCTGCTTGTACCACTCGAAAAATGGCCTCTTCAAACCAGGGAACTGTTGAAGGAGTGAGAGAGTCAAAGCAGAAAGTATGTTAATAGCTTGGCCAGTTTGGTCGTTTTGACAATAGTGGTAGCATATCTTGGGCTGGGGCAATTGATGCTCGTTTCGTCGGCGTAATTCGTCTATAAGAAAAGACATGGCAACGGTTTTGCCGCACCCCATGTTGCCGAGAATTACTAGCTGCTTATACTGGCTGCCCTGATACCAATTCTCGAATCTGGTGTCTGTCAGCAGAAAGTAGCAGGCCTCATCGGCTCGAATATCCTGCAACGAAGCGTGGTATTGGCTCTGCCGGTTCGTCTTCTCACTACCTAACCACCTTGCAACTAAGGATTTCTTAGCATGCATCTGACTTGGTTCAGCGTGTGATAGCATACTTTCATGGTCGTAGAGCATAGCTTTGATATCCTCAACGATCTCCCAAGTGGCGTTCTGCACAAGTCTCCGAAGATTGTCTGCATGTCTCAGGAAGTCTTGAATGATGTTTGGTAGACGGTCGTTCTCCACAATCAGCTTCATGACCAGCTTCACCCCCTTTCTGGATAGTATCTCAAATGCGGCGTTGTAGAATTCAAGGAGTTTCTGGTACACCAACACGAGGGCCTGCAAAGTGTCAGAAATGCTTTCTATAGATACACGGGACATTACCTTATGTATATCCACTTTGTTTGATCTCTGACCAAGTGTATCGCAATCATCAATGTAAGAGAGTTGATCTAGCATTTCCCCGATTTTCTTCGCGAATTCGATGTCAGCGGTTGAAATGCTAATGGCAATCTATGTGGTAGGTGAAGTCAGTGCCTCGAATGTAACGACTCTCGCAGAAACGAGAGGCACAATTTTTTTTTCGTAAAGTGAGTGTACTCACCGCTGTTACGCTTTTTACTACACCAAAAGCCATTCCAACAGGAGGTTGAATGCTCGCCAACGGAATTGCTATGTCTAATGCCAGCCTGAAACACTCCAGAGGAACCTGGATAGAATGCAGATATCTCACACCCCTCAAGAAGGCAGAATCCTGCATTGTGTCTTCGTCAAGTTTTTCGAGTTGTTTAAATAGCTCCAAGGCATTGTCGCCCTTGAGAATCGCAGCGTTAATATCTTTTCCCAGGTTGTCCACTGCTTCGCGGTATGCTGTGCTCCAAAGGTCTGATGTAATTTCTATTTCGATGCCAACACCAGCGATTGCGTCATTGACGTCATTGACTGAGGAATCCCCTTCGAAGCCGCTTAAGCAGGTCAGCGACAGGACATTGCCTTGATCGGCTTGGCTTTGAGCTGCGTCATCCTTAGGGACGAATGATTCCTGAGTGGCTCTCGAAGTCGGTTCTGTCTGGACATGTCCCCGAGGATGTCTAAATAAACGCCGCAATCGGTCGAGTCTCCCACAAATCTTGTGCTGAAACTTTTTATTTCGGTTTGCCCAAGTCGACATCGTGTTGCTGGAGTGCTTCCGTTTCCGAGGTGCGATGATTCCGTCGCCTTATTCAAGTGTAGAACCTCGAATGAATCAAATACTACATGCCTTAAGCCTGGAGGGAAGTGTCTGGATTTTGGAGGATTGTCGAAACCAGTGCAGCTGGATGGGTGATGCTACTGCGCTATTTAACTACTCTTTAAAATCCCCTGATTCAGTGGAAGCCTGGAAGCCTCGGTTCAAGACCAATGGATGTGGTCGGATAACCGCCGGGAAGAGCACCTGCCTGCAGGAGAAATGAACGACGAGATCGTGCCGGCTTTTGATTGGTGGAGCAGGTGCGGGGCTGCAAGCGGTCCGCCAGTCAAATAAGGAAGCCCTCCGTCCCTTTGAGAGGGGCGGGAGGAGGAGCAAAGAAAAGGCGATAATGGATTACTAGGGGCCATTGACTAGGAAAAGGGTCACTGACTGGGAAAGGAAAGGTACCTCTATCTCGCCGAGAAATTAGTGTAATAGAAAGTACCGCATTATACCGCTTATTTAGATCGCCCTGATAAATAAATCTACCTCAAGGGGTACTTTCACTTACTGCCCAAATATCCGTAAAGTAAAGTACTCCCAGGCATTTCCCAGTCAGTGACCCTTTTCCTAGTCAATGGCCCCCCCGTGCTTGATGTTCAAGCGCGGGGGGTCGACTTTTAGACCCCCCTAGTAGGCCTACTTTTTGAACCCCACCATATTGCTGATATGCCTTTTGTCTTAAGTACCTCGCATCCCTTTGAGTGTGCGAATGCCGCACCTAGGTCACGAGATCCAGAGCTACGTAGCGACTTGTCAGATACGCCGTTAAAAGATGGGATGTGACCAGTACAATGTAGCTACCGTCACGAGTAGTGAGCCACTACCCCTGCACAAATCCAACCGTCCCCAATTCCATCGTCGCAGAACACACTAAAAATGGATAATCAATTAAATACTTATATAAATGGAGTCCTTAATTCCCGTGCATGATCGGATATTATGCCCGGGCAATTTACACCTACTGCGGAGCCGTTGTGTGCCGGTTTTCACGGTCGCGCCAGACTGTACCCCTGACCCCTCGCCGTCACCCGCCTTCCCCTCTGCAAGCCGAGGACCTTTCTCCACAACTAAAACACCCCCATGAGCTACGCATAAGCGGCCTAATATCCCTCTTTCTCATCTGCCTTTGGATTTCGCTTCGGAGTCGCTCGTTTTCATCCGACAGAAGGGCTGCGCCGTGCATCGCTATTTGGCCGAACTCGGCTAAGTGACGCACTGCCTGATCGGCTGGGCTGGCCTGTTCATGCGCTGCCCTCGTACGATGTTGCAGAATCGCCTTGACTTGAACCTCAAGTTCCATGATGCTATGAGGCGTTTTGGGCAACAGTTGACTCACTGAGCCTTAGGGATCGAGGGTTGTTGGTTGAAGTAGAGGACTCAATGTCCTCACATTCTGTCTGGAAAGGACCTTCTGTGGATCGTACGGGATATCTCCGACGGCCTCAAAATGCATTCTTAATTTCTTGTCTATAATCGTTATCCAATAGGCTTCGTGATAGAGATCTGAGAATGCCTGTTTTGTCGATGTGAACAGTCCCTAGTTCCACCTTCTAGACAAGCCGTCCATGCGAGTGCTTGAGTGCTGAAATGCACTTAAAGTCGAGAGCTTCCAAACGATGCGTTGAATGTAGTAGATAGCAAAGCCTAGATAAGGGTGATTTAGCTGTTGAGGAAGGTCTTCGCCTTGCAGAGGAGAAGGCGGGTGACGGCGAGGGGTCAAGGGTACAGTCTGGCGCGACCGTGAAAACCGGCACACAACGGCTCCGCAGTAGGTGTAAATTGCCCGGGCATAATATCCGATCCTGCACGGGAATTAAGGACTCCATTTATATAAGTATTTAATTGATTATCCATTTTTAGTGTGTTCTGCGACGATGGAATTGGGGACGGTTGGATTTGTGCAGGGGTAGTGGCTCACTAGGTGGTGAAGTACGTTAATTGTCACGTCATTTTGCTAGGCAAAAGTAGAGTGCACACTCTAGCAGGTGATGCTGGAAGTGACTGTTATATTTGACTGTTTTTGACACGTGACAATATTTCACTAGTAAAGTAAAGGATCCCTGATAGCGTTGCGTTCTTATTGGCCAAGAGCCCTGTCTGCGACCTAGGTGCGGCGTTCGCATGCTCAAAGAGATCTGAAGAAGCCCTATATTCGGTGTCATCATTTCATCGTAGGACAGTATGGTTCTGAGCAAGTCCAGCTAATCCAACGTAAGAGACCATCCGCAGCACTGTAACTCTTGGTAGTACAAGCGGGGATAGGCTTTGGTCGTGATTGAAGCCACACCGCCTACCACTTTGGCTTACCCGAGCCCCCTCTCAGGATCCACAAAGTTTCGCCAATCAAGGTGTCGTAATTGGGTGGCACCGTACCCCTCTTGCCCCACCTTACGGTGGCGAGGAAAAACCACGTCACCCGTTTTGCCTCCGCCTTGCTCACATCGACGCTTTCTCTCCCATTCGGAACTCGGGAAAACGAGACAAGCGACAGGCCCGTCTTTGTTACGGTTTTACTTCGTTGTCTGCATCTCCAATCATCAAGAACTCTTCTGATTCATAGAGAATCAATTCTTCGGTTGGTGGTCACACTTCGCATGAGAGATAGCATCGCACAAGAACAGAACCTTACACCTACTTTAGGCCAACTTCATCACCTGCATCTATGATTCACGACCAGTTCATAGTCGAACTACATGCGCAGTCGGCCTAGTTTTCGAGGAAGCGGATGCCAAAGAAGTCAGCTCGCACGTTTCATTTCTCTCGTCGCCCGATCGTTTACACTTCCCAGTGGTCAAGCTCGACAAACCCGTCGAACCCTCTTCTGCGTCACGTCCTCGCCCGAATCGCTGGATGCTTGCATGAGCCGCTAAACTTCCCTTCGCTCAAGAGGACCCCGTGCTCCCGGTCCCGTCTGTCATGGATACTTCTGAGAAAGAGACGACCCATACGTCACATACATTGCCTGTTAAAGGGTTTTTCAGCCTACCTTGCACGGCCCGCCAAGCCATCTACCGAAGAGTGCTCGTTGTGGCGCACCCGCTATATATTTTCCGGGAGACAGGTTCTCGCCGTGTTGAAGTATTTGCGCCAGATAGGCCGGCTCGTTGGCTTGCTCTGCTGTACACCAACAGGCGAATGCGCGATGAGGCTCGTGCAGTGCTATACGGTTCGAACAAATTTAACTTCATGGACACAACACAGCACCAGGCCGACCTCTTGCAATCTTTCTTCAACTGCATTGGATCTACAAATGCAGGCCATCTCTCTCATATCTGCATCAACTTCCCAGTGGCCGAGCATAGGGAGCGTCAACCAGGGAGACTTATGCTTAGAGAGGATGACTTGCGCAGTCTGGGACTTCTCCAGACGATGTGTATCAACCTGAAAACGCTAGAAACCCTCGTGCCAAGTCAGACCCCAACGTATTTCGTCAAGGAGAGCCAGGACTCGCCTGACTCAATATTCGTTCGGGAGACTTTCTCTCAGATCGACGCGCAACTGAAAGCTATTCCTTCACTGAGAAACATCATCGTCCAATTCTACGGCGAACTTCCAAATCTGGAGATAACGAAGTCGATACAACAGCTCGGATGGGTAATACTGCCTGTTCAGTAGAGGACAATGGAAAAGGCGGACACATATTACTTGCAGGTTGGCGTTTTTAGCAGCACCCTTGTTCGACTGTAAGCTTTTCGGAATTTGAGAGCGACGACAAGAGCCTTGGCAGCATGTTAACCCTTGTACCCATCCATGGCTGTGTTCCAGGGGCTTGCCAAAGCAACTCAGCCTAGGTATTGCGAACGGCTAGTTAAGTGGCACTGTCACGCGCCTAAAGTGCTTGACCACGGTAGATGGCTGGTTGATTCCAACCACTGGCTGGAGTGACTTTTCCAGGGAAAAGCACGGGGCTGGGAGGCCTCTCGTGGTTATAAAAGTAGGTTGCATAGCACCTGATGGAGCTCGTCAGAGATCAATGAATTGAATGATTGACCCCATTCCTCACTCTCTGTTTAGTTGTGTGCGCCTTACAGGACATCACATGACCTTTACAATGGCCTGAGCTCGCTGAGGTAACCTCGTGCATATGCACATAAGGGCCAGCTCGATCGTGTAGTCTAGTCTTTCTTTGCTCCTTAGCTTTGAGTCTTCGTTCCAGGCTTTCTAATCATACGCGTATGGTTTAATTAAACCATATATTGCCCATATATTGTCAATAAACCTATACCATACTGAATCAGCCGTATGACCATATATGGCCATACGTTTACTATAGAACGAGCGCAATTGCTATCTTAAAGTATGGCAAGAAAGTTCGCAACGCACCAACATACCAACATCTTTAATGCATATAATATAAAGAACATGGGTTTAAATAGAATTTTTTTGGCTAAATTTGAAGTATAAAAAATATATATCGTGATTGTCTCGCGAAGGAGAGAGCAAAAGTGGGCATAGAAGTGGATAAAGGGACTTTTCGAAGGTCGAGTATCATATGATCAGATGGTATGCGAGAATGCATGTGTTGATTGCTCTCTCTCCCCCGTTCAAGCAGCCCCTTTTATATCCCTCCAAGCTTCTCCCAAGTTGATATCCCGTTTTCAGGTATAGTATACATTCTATCAGGAAGAGGGCACTTCTTGCCACTTACTGAAGGCCACGTAAGTCATCTACGTCAGCAACATCAGCTCCATCTCCCGATCGAATAGCTCTTCTAGCTATGAAATCGATAGTTCAGTCTCTCGAGGTCCCAGCCAGTAATAGTTATGCCGGACTCCTCAAAGGGTCCCCGTTCGAATAGGAGATCCTCCGGACCCCTCAGTGGTCTAGGAAGAAGAAACAACAGTCTGCAGACTTCCCTTCTTACCTGGTTTCAAGCTGTATTACCTAGAGAGACCTAGAGACCTCAACTCGTTCGGACCTTCTTCTCGACAGTGGGCCGACAACAAACAGAAGCATGTTCGCAAGAAGAGAGACAAGAACAGCCACGTCTATTGGTATATGCAGAGGGAAGCTATAGACAGAAGCTTTTACTCAGAGGATAAGGATGGGCCGAAGATCTTCCAAGAGTTCCGGTGGACTTGTATAGAGTGCCTTCAAAATCCCAATACTCTTCGGAAGAGATTCCAGGTCCTCGAATCGAACCGCCGAGGGGTTACCTCTGGCATGGGAGACCATTTAAAAATCCACGGTATTACGAAGGAATCTCACCACGCTCGAATTAATGGATACGGCCGCGCCATTGGTGGAGGAGATTATACAGAGGCAGACGTATGGAGCGGTCGACCTAGGCAGAGAGCAAGACTCACGGCAAAGGAGTCTATCCGCCGGTGGTTTGTAAAACACCGACAACCCTTCTCTGTTATCGAGACTCCTGCTTTTCAAGAGATGTTCTTGGCTCACAACACAACATGTGTGTACAGGAGTCGTATAACGTTACGCAATCATATATATACAGACTTTGTCGAACGCAGGGAGAAGCTGAAGATTGAGCTTGAGTACAATTGTGCCACCATCTCGTTCACCCTTGATATCTGGACAGCACCGAATCGGGTGCCCATTTTCGCCATTATTGCGCACTGGATTACACTGGAGTTTGAGGAGAGAGAGGAAGTTATTGAGTTTATTGAACTCAAAAGATCTCACACTGGCAAACAATTAGCTGAGATAGTTGAGAGGACGCTTGAGGAGCTCAGGCTCAAGCCTAAGCTTCTCGCCATTACGGGAGACAACGCCGGCAATAACGGCACGCTCTGTCAGTCTTTGTACGATTCTCTCAAGACCAAATTCGACGACAAGGTGAGCCCAATAGGGAGGCCCGCATGCGCTTTCACGGCAGGAAGAGTTGGATCCGCTGTCTAGCTCATATTACCTCGCTCATTTGTGAGGGCGTCTTGCAAGATCTCAAAGCAGGCACAGCGAAGGAAGCCAAGAAGATGCTTGACAAGTGGGACGAAGAGAATAAAAGCAACAACTACACCATTCCTGGAGACTCTAGTCGAAGTGGGATTGCCAAAATCCGCCTCCTCAATCTCTGGATGTTGAGATCCGGGTCTAGGAGCAAGACTTCAAAGCATGCCGCGCACGCACTACCGGAAGCCAACCTACGATGTCGACACTCGCTGGAATTCGGCCTACGACATGATTGACCAATTCCTCGAGCTTGAGGCAGAGTATACCGAGTTCGTTGATACTCACCCGCAAGTCAAGTGCCTCCTGCCCTTATCAGAAGAGATTGTCGCTCTCTATCAACTGCGGAAGGTTCTGAAGCCGTTTAAAGACCACACTCTGAAAGTCTCCGAAGTTATGCCGCCGATCTCACAAAGTCTCGATATCTATTGGGATTTGGAAGCTCTCCTTGATGATGTAGTCGAAGGAGTTGGCGACTGTACAGACCTTGATATGTCCATTCGAGACGTCTTCTCGAAGGGCAAAGCAAAACACGTTACTTATACGAAGAAGCTTGACGATCAAATGATGCTATTCGCAGCTCACATCCTGGATCCGCGTTATAAAACTCACCAATTGGAGATGATGATACCGGATCAATACTCTGAGATTATGGCTAAAGTCAAGAAGTATTTCAAAACGGAGTGGCCGGAGCTAGCAGCATTGAATGCCACAGACTCAACTATGAGCCAATCCAGACCAGCTGAGCGTCCTCAAGGAGTCTCCATTGCGCAATGGAGAGCCATCCAAATGAAGAAGGCGAGGGAGGCGGAGACGGGCGCGGCGATCCCTATTTCGGAGCTTGAACGGTGGTTTGCAACTCCTCGAATAGAGTTCGACGAGTCTATTGCAAAGTCTCCAGACTTCCTACTGAAGTGGTGGAAAGAACACAAGGTCGAGTGGCCACTTTTGGCTGCGGCGGCGCGTGATCTTCTCTCTGTCTCTGGCTCTGAAGTTGACGTGGAACGCCTCTTCAGCGGTTGTAGAGACGAATTCGGTATCCGCCGTCACGCTTTGAAGGCAGATACGGTGCGAGTACTAACACTTTTACGGAGTGCTTATACTCAGGAAGATAAGATCGATCAGGCGTTGATCAAGGCGGCCATGGAGTATGACATCCTGCCCTTTGCCAATAGTATTATTTGGAGACCAGACCACATTCCGGGCAAGCTGGAAGATGGTATGGATACACCCTCATTATATATGTAGGTATATGCTAATCTGTGTTCAGGCGAGAATCCTCCTCAACCTCTTCCTCCCACCGAGGCTCCCACCGAACCCCCTACCCCCAAACCTCCTGCACCCCAAGCTGATAAGTCTGCGACATCAACCCCCTGTCTAGATACAATGGAGGCTTCGGAGGATTGAGGCTCTAAGAGTGTAGCCGTGTACAGTGGCGGATTCGAACGCGTTGTACCGACGTATTTTGAGGATTCGGCAGAGCTTTGAAAGTGCTTATTTTCAGTCGATTTGCCTAGGACAGGCGGATCAGTATTTATGTAAGTTAATTTTTGTAGTATTCGGGATTATCGACTTCTTAGAAGGCTATAACTTAAAACTATATACTACTTATTGGCGTTTTTGAGGTATCTTTGCAATCGCTTAGGTACACACCAAGGCAATGACTATGTGGGCCGAACGGGCCGGGTGGCTGACTCTTCTAAATCGGGTAATTGACCTGCTCTACAGGCATGCGCACCGCCACCATTCGGTCGGCTATCGGCCCGGTAGACAAGCACAGGCAGGAAGTCCGCATAAAAAAACAGCTGTCCTCGGTCTAGGCAAGCGGGCAGGTCCGTTGTAACATTACTCCCGAAGCAGCGAAACTAATAGAGGCGATTGTCCGAACGGGATCCCATTAGTGACAATTGGAGCGAACCGGAGTAAGGTGATTCTATACATACGTCGGACCTCGCGTAAGCGACTCGCATGCTTAACGTCCTCGGCCACGCCAAATTTAGGTCCCTAGACGGCTGTGAAGGCTGTACGCTATACCACCCAGAAGAAGTCATCGCTCGCGAGGCTCTTCAAGAGCGTTGGAATACAGCTACGGATAAAGAACGGTCTTTCCTATGGACAACATACCCAAAGGCGACCTCATGGCTCTCCCAGACATTGTGGCCTGGTCACAAGCCCGGGAAGAGGCGCGGGCACAAGAGGTTGCCCAAGCTGACGCCGACAAAGACTCTGACATCGATTATAACTACATCTCTATGATGCTTTCTTCAGAGCCGGATCTCTCGCCTCATAATAGCAGCGACGATGACGTTCAAATCGTGACAACACAGCGCCAACCCCAGCGTATTAGGGCACCACTATCCCAGTTTCCTCTTGAGCAACAGCCACCATTGAGAAGACGGCGGGTGCAATTGAACGAAAAAGACGAGGCCGAGCTCCAGGCCGAGCTTGAGGAGGAACGAGTCATCGTGCGTGCGTCCGATGAAGAAGATGAAGAGGATGAGCCGGAGCTTGTTATAAGTGGCAGACGATTTTGCATACCAAAGTCGCGCGAGCGTTAGGTACCCTTAGAACTTTAGGTATATAGTGCAACACCAACCACCCGACCAATTCGTATGAGACTTGGTACATCAATTATATAGAACCCCATGTATGGTATACATTTTTGGAGGATTTTAATAAACTTAATTGACATAGTGGCTGTTAATTGAATTCGCGATAGAGGGAAACACAACCGTCAAAGAAACAGATTTTGTGCCCCCCTCTCCTGCCGGAGAGGGGGGGGCCTACAGGGCTCCCCTGCTAGTCAACCCCCCGAGTATATGAAGGTCAGGTAGCCGGGCCGGGAATGCGGCATATTAACAAGGTAAGGATCCACGTGGCAGCGCCACTCTAGCTCTTTCCTTGACCTGTGCACGTCAATGAGTATTGAGAAAGTATTCCATGGACAGTGACACTTGGATTGTTGAAGTGACGATGCAGTTCAAATCATAGACGATTTGCCGATTATGGGAATGCATTCGTTAAGCTTAGTGCCCTGTCCTCGTACCAGCCAGGGTTGCGACCGTACCCGTCGCGGGATGTTTGAAGGGCAACGCTGATCGGCTACCAGATACAGGTACCAATAGTGTGGTGTCCGGAGCGGCGCCGCCAACCATCTGAAGGGCGCCCGCCAAGAATTGTTTAATCGAGGCAGTGATTCCGTCCAAATGAAGCATCGCGCATGAGCTGGCATTCGGTGGCCAATGCTTTCGTCTACAGCTCACGCGCCATGCTGAGGGTTTTTTATATGAGGCATTTTTCTCTTTGGTTGGCGATACCCGATAGCGTGACGCACAAGGCGTGCCACCTTTTAACCCGGGAGAATGCCGTTTAGCCGCATGGCACTACCCGTTGGCTAAGGCTAGGTGGGCCAACGGGTAGTACCATAATCCGCGTGAGCCGAAGGTCAGTAGAAGGATGTCCCTGCTAGTCTTATCGGAGCCATCCTAGCACAACCTCGGGGGGGCATAGCTATTAATGGCCTCCAACTTTTCGACCCGTGTGTACATCAGCCCTACGGTAGCCTTCAAGGAGAGGGGTGGCAACAGAGACTGGGTCGTACCGGCCAATATTCGCTGCCATCTCTCAAATCAGGCCTTCATTCACTACGTGCCTTACAGTGCATTGAATTGCATCAGGCGGCTCGACAAAATCCAAAAGTCGAGTCCCAGTGCCGCACATGGCGCCTATTTAATCTCCTCCTCTCCTCACCATTGCGTCGGTGCCTCCTTCAGAATCGTACAAGGCTGCATGCAACATGAGATAGTAACGGGAAACCCCGTGCACACATGCATGACACCCTGTTCCGGCCCAACAAACGGCGGATTCCTGGGAATCAGAGGCACACCGCTCAAATCGTCAGTCACCTTGTCGTTCCTCCGCCATCTGCGTACAAACCCATCAACATCAACCGATTTTGCCTTCGCTTCGCCAATCCCGACGAAAAATGCCGGCCGCTCCCAGCGACTCCAAGCCAAACTTTTGTCCATATTTCCTGACCCCTCCAAGGCGAGAATCATCATTTTTGGACTAGCCTTAGTCTTTCACCTTCCCTTTATTGGGGCGACTGTCTGGCAGACGCGATGTGGTATTGCGAGGTGGGTGGTTATCACGAGTTATTTTGGCTTGTGGTGTTGTATCAGGAGGCACTGCTTGCCGCGACGCCAATTGTGTGTATTATGGTGTGTTACGCGTCTACGTGTGGAGTCTTGCTAAGTACGGTAAGGTGCAGGGAGACTAAAAATCGGGCACAGGGAGCGGAAGGGGGCCGTTTGTGTGTGGTGGCAGGGTGGTAAGGGCGGGACTAGGCAGATTGATCTTGGGTACAAGTTGGCTGTGGGGCTGATCCGTGCAGCCCCACTGCTCCAGACCGCCAAGACCAGTTCAATTTAGTGAGTTTCTACGGGTAATGTGGCCCAGCCGATTTCCCTATTTCAGGGACACTTAGGACACCCTTTTTGGGACCCCAACAAGAACACAACCTTTTTGCCAGCGGCACGCAAGCTGCATCGAACGGTTTAATCCGCCGTGCCTCATGAGGTCAGAGCCGCAGAACCACCGTACTGACACTAGGCGTCCACCTGGCAGGGGATCTCCGACAAGGGAGCTCCGACAGGACGGACGGGATCTCGGAGGCATCCCTTATTTCCATCCATCGGAGCCGATCACTCACCTCCACAACATCAAAGCATGACCGAAAACCAGCACGTACGTGTCCACTCTCGGTGTGGAGCGTGTGGCTTCCGCTTCAATCCCGGTGACCCTTTTTATGCATGTGAGCACTCTATTTTCTTCAGAGCTGGCAGAATTACGGTTGACGTTATCGCCATAGTTTGTCAAGACATTTTCGGAAAATCCAAATTTCCGACTCTGGGTATTGCGAGAATCAGCATAATCGTCCATGGATGTTTTGTCGCATACCCGATTGTAGACACTGCCGTTTGTCTCGGGACTGTGCTACAATTCATACGCATTGTCTGAAACTCTTCCTGTCTGAATTCAAGGAGGGGGGACGTCCCAGGCTACGATGGCTATGGCTCGCAGCGACATGGAGGAGTCCTTGGCAAGGTGCTCTGCCTCTCGACGTGGAACCTTCTGTGGGCTACCAAAATCCTTATGGGATACTGGACGAACTGCCCCGGATGCTGTTGCTGCCTCCAGAACTTAAATCGACGATCTGGGAATTTTGCGCCTCAAGCCCTCTGTGGCTTTTTACCGCTGTCTCGGACCTTCGCGGTGAAATGGCAGCTTCTAAGCAACACAAACGATCGGTCGTCCCTCTCATCGATATTAAGTCATGGGCTCGCGGTTGTCAGCTGGAATACAGCGACAACCCTGATAGCCCCATTATCCATCTCACATTCGACTCGCGAGGGCTTCGACGCATCAAGAGATTGAGCAAGCGCCCGTCGAGGAGTAGCTCAGGATCTGACTTCAACGCATTTGTCGTTGAATCTGTTGAGCGCTTCTCTGGCGTGCTTGTAGAGTTCGAGGTTCGTCACTCCGGTAGACTCGACGACGGCTTTCACTTATTATTCTTAGCTTGACCTGGCCCGTTTGCAACTTCCCGCGGGCGAAGCAAATGAGTTTTACATTTGGGATACACCTTCTCCACCTCCTCTGGAACGCTGCTTCAGCGATCTGTCCAAACCACCACCACCTTGTCATCTTGGTACAGTACAGCTCCGCGCTTGTACAGGCATCACTTTCTTTATGTCATGCGGCTCAACATATGCCGTACACGCTCATACAAGTAATCGTCCGTTTGCTCAGAGTACTTTCGAGGCGCTTCCAACCGCACGACAGAAATTGGTTTCCTGGGTGTATGTTCCCATCGACGGCGAGATCACAAAGTTCGGGTTTAGTCACGTACCAAGGCGAGCTGGTAATGTTACCAGATCACAAAGTCTCCTGGTAAGACGCAAGGTGATATTCTGAAGTAAATCGTCTAACAGGTAGCAGCTAAGCACAAAATTTACCGAAGATATCTTCATTGGGCGTTATAGGACGAGCTTCTCAGTAATCAAGCAGCCTCTAACGCTCATATATGACAAGCCGGATGGTTTACCTATCTCATTTGTCGGCGCATACTCTGAAGATAAAAACCACGGATTGCAGAACACCAATCTTCCCCAGGAAAGACCGCCACTGGCTGCGATAAGTTCTTCCTTCTCATCAGCCCCGCTCGAGCGCGCTTCTAGACTGGAAATTTTCTACATTCCAGAGACAGCGATCTGCAGAGGCATCGTGATCCAGTACGAGGACGGGCTGCGGCGCGCCCTTGGACAATGCAGACTGGGCATCGATCCAGCCCGAGAATATGAAATGCCTACGCACCTCTGCTTTGCCAACGCTACATGCCGGCAACTTCACATGGACGAAGAACTGCGGGGGGTCAATGTGGTGAGCACTACTATCGAGCGGGTTCACGATCACGCTGGGCCCTGTTGGACGTGCTGTGAGATGAGTGGTGTTTGCATTTTGGTTTGAGGACGGGGCAACGAAACTAGAGCATGTCATTGGAAACTAATGAACTAATCCGTGGCTTTTCCCTGCCCTTGCCGGTCGGGTCATCCCATGTTCGGTACTTGTTATTCGTTGTTTCCGCGATAAAGCCCGTGTTCCGGCTGCCATCTCTGTTGATGATAATTGCCTTGTCCCACTTGCTGCAGCGAACAGATACTTTGCTGCCGTTTTTGAGCCTAAGAGTAGTCCAACCGTCTGCGACCTTGGAAATTTGCACGGAACTATATTCACTTCCGTTGACTGTGCGAGTGAACGCGGAAGTCGGCTCCGTATCGACGTCCATGGATGCATCATAGGACTGCGCTGAAGATCCATCGAGATGGTAGGCCTGAGTGGAAGATTGATTGTAGGATGAGCCAGCAAGGGTTTGTGTGACTGTGGTGTTCCCTTCCTCGGCATAGATATCGTCGAAGCTTTCGGGGTCTGGTACAGCAATGGCCTTGATCTTCTGAAATGCCCAGAGAAACTCGGTTTCGAACTCAAGGATGTCCCTATAGGCATCTCTTTGCCATGTCCCCTCGAGAGGATAAAATGGATCCAGCCAGCCAGAACCTTTGAGCTCACATGCCCACAAACGAGCCTTGGAACCAAAGTAGGTTATTGCCCAGACTGATCGTATACTCTTGTCGATCATGTACGCTTGGCATAATTGGTAGGCCTGAGTTTCGACCTCGACGATTTTCGCTGGAGTAGCGCGTCCTTTCTTTGCCTGCCCAATCAACCGAAACATCAACGTTCTCTGGCCAGTCGAATAGTGTTGGACAGCAATATCCATCCGCAACTGAGAATGGTGCTCTCGAGGAGGCACCTCGGTGCCGTGAATCCACTCAATCTCGGAGAAGATATGTCGAGCGAAGTATCGCGAAAAGAACCTAGTTGAGGCCCATTCATCCCGATTAATGGCTTCCTCTCGGAGATGAACTAGGATAGGATCGGAATGAAAGATGCTCATTGTGGCAGACAAAGCGGAAAACTCGAACTCCCAGAATTTTGGATCGAAAAGAACGGAGCCTGTATAACTGAGACTCAGGAACGTTGAAGATCCAACACAGAGCCAACCTCCTGACTTGGGCACTCTATATATATGTATGGAGAGCCGCCTGTGGCTATTGAAATTGACCAGACGAATAACATCGTCTCGAAGGACATGCGCGTACATATATTTCCCGCTAGAACGCATAAGATCGTTGCCATTTCCATGGTACATGATCCTACGTGGATACGCAGCCTCCGATAGTCCGATTCATGATGAGCAATGGGTGCGTGGGGTCGGGGATGGAGCGCCGCGCAGGTTGATCTGAGCCGCGGTTATCTCGCCAGCAGGCAATTTATCATCAACCCATGCAGGCTAGGTGGCTGGAAAAATCTGCAAGTCGTTAGCACGTTGCTTGCGGTTTTACTCATTGGCGCGCAACTGCTCGTGGCGCGCTATAGCTGTTGCGCTGGGCTGCTAGTGCAGTTGTCCAGTACCCTGCGCAAAGCTCATCTGTTCAGGTTATGTCGACGTAGCAGCGCGCTATAAAACCGGTCAAGTAGCTATTAGTACTTCTTGGGCCATGGAATTCCTGGTAATGTCATGTATCTCGGTGAGCGTCGTTCGATAGGCTCTAATCCCTCCACATGAATCTAGGCATCATCCGTCCCGTACCCGCATCTCTGCGCAGAGATACCACAATTCCGCGCAGACACAGAATCTGCGCAATGAATGTTTTCTACCACATTTATCTAGGTGAAAACAGGTTGCGTCATCAGAGCCTAAGGAGGAATAGTCAGGCTTCAACGGATCACCTCGGCAGGAGCTCCGCTTACACCTGTTTTTCCCGTCGAACCACCCGAGACTCAGCAGTCAAGCCTTCAGACCCTTGGAAGTATCTGAAGAAGATCATTTGTATTTCTCAGGAATCCATAACAAGAACTCAAAGGTACCTCGGGCGAAGAGCTGACGGTCAACTGCCATTCACTGGAGCCGTCTCACATACCGAAGACCTCTCCCCATCTTAGGCCATCCAAATGGCAGGTCCATCCATCCATATCCCTCAAAACGTAGCTAACACAAAGCGCAGGATCCAAGCCAGGATCCCAGCCAGGATCCAAGCCAGGATCCAAGCCAGGATCTTGACAAAACGACCTTTAGTAGTGCGATGGAAGTCGGCGTCGGGGTTTACATGAACAGAGAGTTTATGTTATGGAAAACTGTGCTGCCTACTATAAAATGTCTGCGGATAAGAGCTGGTTGAGCATGAGGTCCACTGGGCAATGGATGTTGCCGGAAGGTTGTTCAGTCTATTTAACTGGAAATCAGAAAGAAGACTTGATCGATGCCAGTTACTAAATCAAGCTCGCCAAAGTTGCTGGTACAATAAGGTCAGATTCTGTGCCTCAACGATGAAGTTGAGCCGACTTGGATGATCAACCATGTCCCAGACTTCCATAGATAAACACTCCGATAGCATAGCACCCATTGAAAGCTCGGTTATACGTCGCGGACTATGTCGAATTGCTGCACCTACCATTTGTCCGAATATACTGTCCAGAGCCACGGCTATGCCCTCTTAGCGTTATACTGCTGTTGATGTCCATGGTCGCACCCTTCTCAGAAACGACACGTCGTCGTCCATTTTCTTCCCGAATATGGATGTCAAAAACTTCCTTAGCGACATATTGCACCTCTTTGCGGATATATCGAAAACCAATCGACAATCGGTCGGATCTGATGGGAAGGATAGCATAACAGAAGCCTCATCAGTCCTCTTGGTGACCGCAGTGCAAATATAATGTGAGAAGACGAAGGGAAGATTCTTGGCTTTCGGCCAGGCATGTTGATATCTAGAGTCGATATCAAAGGCCATCCATTCACAAGCCTTATTCTGGCTCGCGAGTACTGTGTCCGGCTGGGCACGTCCTCGGCCTGGATGAGAATCCGAGCCCTCATCTTCCTGTGTCATGACATCTGTATTCATGAATTGCGAACGATAGGTTTCGGTCGAGTCCGGCTCTCGAGACAGACTTTGCTGCTCGCAATCAAGACGCGAACGTTGGGTAGGACGTGGATTTGGATCGGGGGTCGATGCCTCCGGTGGAGCGGGTAATTCGACTTTGTTCAATCTGAGCAGTTCTGAAATGTTAGCCAACGGCGAACATAAAGTCTTAACGACTTACTGCAACGTTTAGCGCTACGGTCAGAACGAAAGATGATGTGGTGAATGCGTCTTTTCACGGAATCGTGAGTGTTACTTCGAGATACCTCGGCGACTACGTGTCGTAGATTGGAAGGTGATAGCTGGGCCGCAGAATCCTTGAGAAATTGGTTGCGTTCAGTCGCAAGAAAATACGCGTACCAAACCCCGAATCCAGCATCTAGGAAGGCGCGCGAAGTATGGTCTGATGGGGAAAGAGCCTCTAGAGCTCTGTCGAACCCAGGCGGTGCTTTGTCCGTGGTCTGTTCTTCGGTGAGGCATTGTCGAAGGGCTTCAATGACCGTGCTGGCGAGATTCGCACCTCCGCTCGCATCTTGGAGATTCGCATCGATATGTGGCTGCTGACTCCCGCCATGATTGCTAAACCTGGTGCAGGCAAGGCTTGGGGCGAGGATTTGTGCGCACGTTGCGCCAGCTGCGCAAGGAATGATTATTAAGTAGAAAGCATGAGGAAAATTGTTGCGCAGATATTAGTAATTTTGCTCGCTTCAGCCCCGCGCGCTTTTAGTGCCACCTTCCCAAACCGGAATCCAGTGGGATTGCTAAGCTTTGCGCTCTTGCACGATTGCGCAAATATCTTGCGCAGAACAGTGGGGACTGCGCAGCCAGCCCGTAACCAGCTTGTTACGCATGAGATCAACAGCGCATGCTGCAACAAGTGACTTGCAACTTTGAGCATCTGGCCCACTTCCCGTCGACCCATCGGTCACGAAGTAGGTACGTACTGGCTTTTTCCTGGTCGCCTTAATCATGCCCGCCCCACTTTCTCGGATTTCGCTTCGACTCACCCACCAAAGCGAAATCCGAGGTGAGATGGAACAATGTACAGTAGGTCGTGGGGCTTAAGGTGTTACGCATTAATGTATTGAAATGTCGGTAGCTTTTACGTCTAGGCCCTATAGGAGAAATCCTCCGGGTGAAATACACATACATACATGTACAGTAGGTCCGTAGCTTAGCGTCGTGGCCCTATGGGGAACCCTCGGGCGTAATAAAAAAAAGGGGAAAAAGCGAAATCCGAAAAAGTGGGGGCGGGCACGATTACCTACCAGATTGAACTCGTACCGAGCTTGCACCCTGCATGTGTGCCGCAGGTGATACCGCCAACGACATAGCATAGTAATGAGACTTCAACTTTTGCGACAGCTTCTAGATGAAGTATTAGCTCTTCAAATTGTAGGCTCAGAAAGAGTGCTGACAGCTATGAAGCTGGATCTCTCACATGTAAGGCATTGAATGACCCACACATTGTTACGGGGTCAGCACTGTTGGCACAGGTGCTGGGCGTAATTGATGTAAATTGAGCTACAAATAGTGTAAAAGGGAGATGTGTCTACCATCGCTCCCTTTAGGAGCCGTGTCCGTGGCACTCGCACGTGACTAGTCTGGCTATGCCAGATCTACACATAGGGCGTAGCCCACACACATGAACACACTCATAACCAATACCGTACCAAGTCTTCTGCGGGTCAAACAAGCGCTGTCAAACTACCTGCAATAAAACGATGGCATCACATATTATCACCCAAGGCTCGATTAGATGCGGTCACGTCAACGATGCTGATCTGAAGGAATGCAGCCATGACCAACCATGCCGACTTGGATTCCAACCCTTTCAGATCATCACCGAAACTTGCAAGATGTGTATGCAGGACCCTCACAAAAGACTCAGCCACAATTTCCACGACCTCGAAGATGAATCACCTTTATTCCGTTACTGGTACTGTCGAAAGCTCAGTGGGGATGAAAATATCTGGGGGCCTTTCCGGGGAGTGAACATCCCGAGCATCACCGCCGAGATGGAAACAAGTGTCACGACCCTGGGCGCCAGCGTAGAGCCGCCAGCGCAGAACCTCACCAGTGTCACGTGCCCAAGCAGCATCACGTGCCCACGCGCGACCTCGTGTCTATATAAGGGCCCGCTCGGTCGTGTAGTCTAGTCTTCCTTTCTTGCTCCTTAGCTTTGAGTCTTTGTTCATAGTGCCAATACATCTTTATAGCCGTCAAGGCTCGTATGTGCCTGGCCGTAACACTACTCAAAGCTCAATAAGATCGCTTGCCAGCGATTAAGCAAATAGGCACCGAGCTTTCACGTCACACGCGCCTGACGTAAATCCAGCGCATCCGTTCTGACCGTTCCGACCAAGACTCCGACCACCGACCAAGTGATCCTCAAGGCTGAGATCACGTCCGTTCCGACCAAGACTACGCGTGTGTGTAGTCGTCCGACCAACCGTTCCGACCAAGGGATTCGTCCCGTCTGACCTCCGACCGTCCCTGCTCGTGCAGGCATCTGCAGTGTTGCTAATAATATGACAATAAAGTAGTATACTGCAGTATATACAATACAATACGCGATTTCTCATATTGTACCAATACAATATGCTCGCCGTCATATTGTGACGATACAATATGGCGCCTTCCATACTGGCAATATATGGCTTGTATTGTTTGTATTGGTTGGTGGTCATTCGCCTTTCCGTTCCCCAATTCGCGCCAATATGATGACGCGTCAAAATACACGCGTAAATATAAGCATGTTCTATGTATTGTTTTTCGTCTGGCGGACCTCCAGGACGTAAAATCTTCCTATTGGCGCACGGAAACGCGTAAATGTATGTATAAATCCAGACCTACAGGGTAGCGGCTCGCCGTCCAAACACTGTTTTCCTCCTCAACCCCGCTTTCCCACCCCAGGACTTACAAGCAATCTCGATGCCTCAACAACGCCTGCCTTTTGTTCAAACATCGCCGCGACGGGATTCGTCAATATCAGACGAATACTCGGAGATTTCCAGCCCACGGTTGCATGATCCAGATGAGACCCAAACCACTGAATGCCAATCGTCGCAACCTCGCACGGCCTCCATAAACCCTTCGGCCAAGCCAAGAACATCATGGGTCTTTTCTCATATGCCAGACGAGGACATAGAGACGAAATACTACAATCAGCGGACCGGAAAGAAGAATGGCGCTGCAAACACTGTGACAAAACGTATTGCTGTTCCGGTGGAACTGCGGCCCCAGCCAAGCACCTTACGGATCCTCCTCCTGACGGTCACGGCCTCCCAAAAGGCGCGCCACGAACAGCCAAAGTCACGAATATACGAACTATTCTCGAGATAGCTCGTGTTATGGCCAAAGAACATCCCCGAAAACGCCGTCGGCTCAACGATCAATCCGGAGACTCGATCGACCCAGACCAGCTCGAAGCTTTATACGTAAGGTTTATTACGTCCTGTTCTCTCCCATTTAGGCTTGTGGAATGCCCAGAATTCCGAGCATTCTTAGCCTACCTCAACGCCGATATCGATACTTGGCTTCCAGATACACACGAGACCATCAAGAAATGGATTATGCGGCAGTACGAAGGTCAGAAGGAGAAGGTCAAGCAGCGCATCCAGTCAGCAAAGTCAAAAATTCATATCAGCTGCGACCTATGGACTTCCCCCAACTCTTTGGCCATCTTAGGCGTAGTTGCTCATTACGTTGCAGAAGACAGTCAGTTGGAACACCATGTCTTGGCTTTGAAAGACATCGACAGTGAGCACGACGGATATCACCTGGCAAGGGCAATTTTGGAAGTGGTTGATGACTGGGGTTTGCTTCCAACCTTGGATATTTTGTGATGGACAATGCAGGCAATAACGATACAATGATGAGATCTCTTTCCTTGGTAAGTACGGCGCACTGTTTTTCTGACTGGCCCTAACATCTACAGGCCTTCTACGTCGATATGACATTCGATACGATCCCAAATCTCACCGACTCCGCTGCCAAGGTCACATTATCAACCTTGCCGCCAAAGCTTTCCTCTTCGTTACCGATAATGAGAAGCTCAAAGACGACGAACGTGATGGGCATAATGTGACACTAAAAGAGATCGAGGCGTGGCGGAAAAAGGGTCCCTTGGCAAGCTCCACAACTTCGTGGTTTTCGTCCAAAGTAGTGTTCAGCGTCGCCAAAAGTTTCTGGCCATCAGCCATAATCGCAAGCTTGCGCGAGATAATGACACGAGGTGGAGTTCGTGGTACACCATGCTACGAGCGGCCTTGCATCTTAGAGGCGCAGTCGAGGATATTCAACAAATGGGTGGAAGGAGATTGTGCCGGAGACGAGCTCTCCCGAGGAGTGGGTCATCCTCGAGAAGATCAAGTCTTTCTTGGAGAAGCTTAAAATGACGACAAAGGCCCTTGAGTCATCGTTTGCAACTCTTGACAATGTTCTCTTGGCTATGGACTTCGTATTGGCGCAATTTGAAGCAGGAAAAGAGGCACATATCGACGATCCGATTATGGCACCAATGTATAACTCGGGCTGGGCGAAGATGGATAAGTACTATTGTCTTACTGACGAATCGCCTGCCTACGTCGCTGCGATTGTGCTTCACCCTTCGCATAAATGGCACTACATACACGAAAACTGGAAGAAGGTGGGCTGACTCGTCAAAGAAGCTGATGGAGACACTGTGGGATGATTATAAACCTGTGGAGCCGCCTTCTCTATCTGAGGTTCCGTTGACGACCACGAACGAGTTCTTGAATTGGAGAAACAAGCACCTACAACCAGCACTTATCACAGACGAGTACGAGCGATATTGTAAGTCTGAACGGGTTTATGGGTTCACAAGCGCCCTCGCATGGTGGCTGGAGGAAACACAGCAAAAGAACTACCCATACCTGAGCAAAATGGCGGTGGATATACTGTCAATTCCCGCAATGTCTGCTGAGCCCGAAAGACTCTTCTCTGGGGCAAAAATAACCATCACAGACCGTCGAAATCGACTTGGGAGTGATGTAATTCAGGCATTGGAGTGCTTGAAGTCATGGTTTGGGATACAGGATTTTCAGGGTGACGATATTTCAGCAACGACGGTTGAATAATGAGGGTCACGTGGGATATACGGGATATATTGTTTTACTGGCAATATATTGGGTCACTGGCAATACAATACAATATGGACCAATGCCATATTGCGCAATACAATACGCACCTCTTGACAGTACAATAATATTGCGAGGGGTCCATATTGCCAATATACGTATTGTTTATATTATTAGCAACACTGGGCATCTGACCGTGATTCCGCGTGGTATCATTTCCGACCCTAGACTCTGACCTCGAGACTATGATATCTGAGGAAGCCCTGCCATCGGATCAGCCTCGCCGTTCCACCCGGCTTGCTGGCCAAGCCACTGAATCCGAAATAGTAGCCATGGCTGCCCCGAACCCCCAAGACGCTCTCATCCGCGAGATGAGAGAACAGATTGCGGCCTTAACGGCCCGTCTAAATGAACGCTCTCCGTCTGTTGAATCAAATCGACAGCACCGGGAGCCCTCGACTGCTTTTGCCGGCCCAAATGGCCCGGCCTTCCGACCAACAGGCAAAGCTGCCTGGCCTATTTTTGCCCCCTTCCCAGAGGGCAAGAACCCCGAGTACAGCGACGCCGCCAAATCGCGCATCAAGGTCTCGCGACGTTCTCAGGAAGAAGGACGAGTTCCATTCCTTCATCCTGAGCATAAAGAACAAATTTGACGAAGACGTGCGAACCTTCCGGACTGAGAACAGCCGGATGGTCTGTCTGTATAACCTGCTCGAGGAAAAGCCCGCCGAGCACTTGAAACCCGCTTCTCCTCTGACACTCGACCCTTCTCTGGAGTGGCAGAGATGATCCAAGCCCTTGAGTCCGCCTATGGCAATCCGAATGAGCTTTCCGAGGCTCTTGACCGCCTGCAACGCCTCCAGTTTACCGTGAATGGGAAGACCGACATTGTGGACTTTCTTGCGGAATTTGACTACTTAACTGCGACCGGTCGTGTGCCGAGGACCAGATGAAGCATACCCTGTGGCAGCACATCCCGGCCAACCTAGATAACAGCCTCTTGACCAAGACCCGCGACGAGTCCGTGACCTACGAGGTTTTCTGTGGGTTCATTAAAGACGCTGTCCACTGCCAGAAGAGGAGTATGAGGCAGACACAGGACTCCCGCTCTTCCGACCGATCTCGCCGCGCGCCGACTAAGACTGCTCCGACTACCGCCAAGACTCCGAACAAGACCGGCTCGACCCTATCACCTCGCGTGATGCTGGCAGAGCCTTGACCGACGATGAGAAAAGGGTCCATTGGGATAATGGCACCTGCTTTATTTGTGGAAAAACAGGGCACCTCTCTCGCGAGTGTCCCGACCGCACCCATGCTGTCTCCCGTGTCGCCTCCGTCCCTGTCCCTGCCAACGACTCTGATCAAGATTCGGAAACGAATAGGACCATCACAAGACTCCTTGATGGTCCCTAAGGTGTCACAGACAGCGAGTAGGTCTAGCAAGTCATTCACTCTGCCAAGTCAAGTCCAAGTGGATGGTGTGAGCCTACCTGCCCGCTCCCTCTGTGATACCGGAGCCGAAACCCGTTTGCTGGTTAGCCCAACCTTCGCCCAGTCCGCCGCCCAAAGACTCGGAGCCCAGATTAAGGAGCTCCCGAGTCGGATTCCCCTCCAAGACTTCCGTGGAAAGCCAGCCGGCTATATCCAGAAACAGCTGGTCGCCACTTTCGTCATCGATGGCCGTTCGTTCGCAAACGAGACATTTGATATAGCTGAGTGTGGCCATGATATCTTTATCGGTCTTTTCTGGATGCGGGAGAAGCGCCTCCTGCTTGACTGCGCCGCCCGACAGATCATCTGGCCAGATGATCTTCCTGCCCTCGCCAAGTTCTCCCCGACGATCCAGCTCTCTCGTCAAGCCCCGCTCTCGGGTCGGATCGACCCTAAGATCCAGGCCGACGCTGAGAGGCGGAACCGCCTGCTCGAGAAAGAGGAGAAACGCTACCGGATCCTCCACAAGAACTGGGGCCGCTCTGATCAAACTCCTCCGGCCTCTGTCCCGACCCCGTTACCGACTCCGTCTCCGTCGTTTCAGTCCAAGTCTCCGTCTGCCAAGAAGTCTGTCCGTTTTCAGCTCACGACCGCCCCTGCTACCGACTTCGTCTCCGTCGCCTCGATCCAAGCCTCCGAAGATCAAGCCCTGATTAACGCCCTGGTCTGCCAAGTAGAGTCTCACGAGAGATTCGAACAGTGGAACGAACTCGAACCGTTGATGCCCGGGATCCAGTCCAGCTCGAGCCAAGCTCCGGCCTTGACCAGACCGTCCCTAGTGCTCGAACCGTTGCTAAAGTCTCCCGGATCAAAAGACCTACCAGGGACAAAGCATTCCGTTCCTCAGGAGAAGACCCTGAGCATGTTGCTTGTGTCCGTAGTCGTCTACCGCCCCAGCTCACCCATCTAGAGGATTCTTCTCGAAGAAAGAGGCCCACACCCTACCTTCGAGCCGACCCGGTCACGATGTAGTCCTAGAGCTTGAGAAGCCTCTTTCGCCGACAGGACCCCATCGTACCGCACGCCCGTTAAGTATCTGCCTCTAGAGAAAGAGACTGTCGATCACCTCCGGAGATAGACTTCATCGAGCCCGATCCGAGTCCGCACGCCGCTTCTGTCCTCTTCGCTCGAAACCGAACACGACCGCCCGCCGCTTCTGCATCGACTACCGTTGGATGAACGATCATCTTAAAAGTCGCATCACGCCCGCTCCGTCCCTCGAAGGTACTGCTTTGGTTGCCGTGAAGCTCAACGCTTCACGAAGATCGATGTGATCCAGGCCTTCCACCGTCTCCGCATGGACCCTGACTCCGAGTATTTGACCGCCTTTCGCACCCGTTTCGGAACTTTCCGCTGGAAAGTCCTCCCGTTCGGTCTGAAGGTAGGTCCCGCCTGGTTCCAGCAGTTTATCAACGCGCAGCTTCACGATCTCCTCGACCGGTGCGCCAGCGCCTACGCAGATGACGTCCTGATCTACTCGGATAAAGAAGAAGACCACTGGAAAGACTGTCAAGAAGTGATCTGGCGACTCCATCAGGCAAACCTCCAGGGAGACATCAAGAAGTCTAGATTTAACGTGACCAAGGTTGACTACCTCGGCGTTCTGCTTGAAGCCGGTGTGGGCCTTAGTGTCGACCCTCGGAAAGTTCGATCGATACAAGACTGGAAGTTTGAGGACCTCCGAGACCGCACCGCGATCCGATCATTCGTTGGCCTATGCAACTTCATCCGTGTTTTCTGCTACCACGCCTCTGGAGTGGCAGAACCCTTGAACCGGTTGCTTAAGAAGGATGTTGCCTTTGTGATGGGCCCGGAGCAACGCGAAGCATTTGATCAACTCAAGCGCCTGGCTATCGAAGCCCCGGTCCTCGCCTTCTTTAGACCAGAACTGCCGACCCGACTGGAGACCGATGCCTCCCGGAATGCCACAGCTGGTGTTCTATGGCAGGAACAGCCTGATCAGACCTGGAAGCCCGTTGGATTCTTCTCTAAGACCATGACCCCGGCCGAGCGAGCCTACCCAATCCAAGATCGAGAGCTCCTCGCCGTCGTACAGAGTCTAGAGCACTTCTACCCAGAGCTCTTAGGCCAGAAGTTCGATGTGATCACCGATCACGAAGCCTTAGTCCATTTCTCTACGAAGCGCCTGCTCTCGGTACGACAGATCAGATGGTCCGACTTTCTCGCCCAGTTCGACATCCGTTTCCTCTACCGCCCCGGTCGACTGAACGTAGTCGCCGATGCCCTCTCCAGGAAGACAGCGGAGCTCCCTACCGTAAAGGCCCGGGAAGCCGAGGAACGCACGGTGACCCTGATCCTCCGGAAAGGCTAGGCTTCGCGACCGACTCTCTAGACCCTACGGCCGCCGGCAACCTGCCCCTCAGAACTTTAGTCCCGAACCTAAGCCTACTAGACCATTAGTTCTGAGGGCCACGAGTGCCCTACAGACCCCAGAAGACCGAGGGATACAGCAGACGCCCGATCAAGACCGCCCAGAACTAGACCCGAACTCGGTCCCGAAGGGAGCCGAACTCGTTTCGTTGATCCGCCAAGAGAACCTCCTCCAAGACCTCGGTACCCATGGAACACACCTGGTCGTACCAGCCCAGACCTCAGACAAGCAGACGTTTCTTCAGACCGCGCTCATTCGCGAAGCCCACGAACCCCAGATCTTCGCTCACGCCGGACAGAACAAGGTGATCAAGCTGCTCCAACGAGACTTCTACTGGCCAAGGATGAAGGAGGATATCCGTCGTTATATTCGGAACTGCCACGACTGCCGCCGCAACAAAACCCCTCGAGACAAGACCCCTGGACTGCTCCATCCACTGCCCGTACCGACCTCTGTTTGGGAGCACGTCGAATGTGACGGGAAGGATATGCCGAAAGACCGTTACGGATATGACTATGTTTGGACCTTCGTCTGCAAGCTAAGCCGGATTATCGCCACGCTCCCAGGAAAGAAAAACGATACGGCAGAAGTCTTAGCTAGCCGCTACTTCCGCTACCTCTATCGTTTCTTCGGTATGCCCTCGTATGGATTTCTGACAACGCTGGACAGTTTATTTCTGCCTTCCTCGCAGAGATTAACCGGCTCACGGGAACGAAGCATCGTCATGGAAGCTCCCTACACCCTCAGACCCAAGGGGGTGTAGAAGTCACAAATCAATACCTAGATCAAAAGCTACGATTCTACGTGACGAAGCATCAAGATAACTGGAGTTCCCTGCTGCCCGCCCTCGACTTCGCCCATAACTCGTCTTGGCACTCTTCCATCGACATGGCACCGTTAAAAGTAGCCCTAGGCCGAGATATCCGGAACCCCCTGTCACTGCCCCCGACTGACAAGACCGCTGCCACCGGACCCGCCGCCAGAGCTAGGGAACTTGTGCAGACCGCCCAGGAAACCCAGGAAGACGCCAGGAATGCTGCCACCGCCGCTCAAGAACGTCAGAAGGAACAGGCTAATAGGAAACGACGACCAACCGACTTTGCCATCGGTGACCGAGTTTTTCTCAGCAGGAAAGGCTTCGCCACGAACGCTCCGACTACTCGGCTAGATAACCAATGGTCAGGTCCGTTCGTAATCCTGGAAGAACGCGGTCATAGCTACGTACTGCAGCTGCCCGAGTCGTACAAAATGAAGAACCTATTCCACGCCGACCGTCTTCGAAAAGCAGCCGATAACCCCTTGCCCCAGCAGATCCAGTCACCTCCGCCACCCGAGGAGATCAACGGAGAACCCGAGTGGGAGGTTGATCAAGTCCAGCAGTCTCGAGTAACCGGTAGAGTCGACGACTGGAATACCAGGTCTTATGGAAGGGATGTGACCCTGATGAGACCTGGTACCCGGCTAGGAATTTCCGTAACGCACCAATGGCATTGAAGATTTTCCACGATGAACATCCGGACGCAGCAGGCCCACCCGTCAACCTGCAATACTGGATCGAATGTGCTGCAGCGGAGGAGGGCTGCGAGGAACGAGACGATGACGACACAGCAGAAAGCCGTGAAACCAAGAACCCGCCGCCACGACTGACTACCTTGATACGCATATCAAGGCCTTAGACGGGGGCAGTGTCACGACCCTGGGCGCCAGCGTAGAGCCGCCAGCGCAGAACCTCACCAGTGTCACGTGCCCAAGCAGCATCACGTGCCCACGCGCGACCTCGTGTCTATATAAGGCCCGCTCGGTCGTGTAGTCTAGTCTTCCTTTCTTGCTCCTTAGCTTTGAGTCTTTGTTCATAGTGCCAATACATCTTTATAGCCGTCAAGGCTCGTATGTGCCTGGCCGTAACACTAAGCATGCGCGAAACATGGCAGGAAGAGACCAAAAGAATCGTCAAACTAGCGAGTTCCAGTGCGAGAGCGCTTTTATGGAGGGTCAAGGATCGTGTTCTGTTGATAAGTTAGACAGTGAGGGCAGAGCACTTTTAGCAAGGGCGATGGAGATGATTCTTGAGGAGACGAACAAGCCGGAGGAGTCGCCAGGTACCTAATTCTCTTTTCCCATCTCAGAGACCTCTCTCCTGTTCCTTCACTTCCCGCCTGAAAATCCTGCCTTTCTTGATGCTCACGACCGACGGCCCTGACGAGGTCGAGATCAGGGACGACCAGGAGAGCTGACCTTTTGCTCGTGTCTTTGACCTTCTTTGTTTGGTTCATCTCCACCAGAGAGCTCCTGGTGTCGTCACGACCACGTTCATTTTGACAGCAGTTGCCCTCTGCGCAGGCCCATGGCGTTCCGACGTCCCTTGTCAATGCGAGCTTAGACGCATGCAAGCCATATTGCATGAACCAGGTTGTATGCACTGCTGGTGATGTAGATCTACTGGATGGCCTCATAACAGGAGGCCAACCGCATTGACCCGTTGAAGACGTGCCGTTCCGCCCACCCTAATCTGTCCAGGCCGCTTCTATGTGGAGGAAGCTCACCCGCCTCATATATGTAAATCATCATGTCAACTATAGCCCAGTCTCAAGGCAATGATGGTGTAACCTTACTATGCATAAAGCACCCATCACCATCTCACTCTAGGTATGTCTGCCCGTTTGCAAAGCGACTAGACAACGTCCTGTGGCTCTCTTCACTAAACGTTACTCTTCAAGTACCAACATTCGCTGTTATGACTTAACATTATATAAGGTACGCCTTGTTCCGGGCAAACCCAGTGCTCATATTCTCATTTTCTTTAATTCCGAAATCCGCTCTCCACCGTCCAAGGTTGCCACATGTCGACATGCAAGACGAGATTGCCATCAGGAGGTCACCGAGGCCGGTGTAGTGTTTGCCGTGACCACGATCTTCCTGGCGCCGTACCTGTACTGGATGATCAGAGTCAAGCCACGAGAAGCTTCGCGTAGGCGAACTTGGGCGTTGATCTCCACGGCCTGTCTCTTGGGTATCGGACTGGTATTCGCCGCTTTGTTCGGCAGTGCGAGAAATGGACACCTACCAAACGTCCTTGCCTACCCCTTCTTCACAGCCTGGAAAGGGGTCACCATGTTATGCGTCGACATCATTGAGGTACTTCCCATTCAAGCCCATCTAACTACCTCACCGATATACTCATGGTTTACAGCTTATTCAAGTTGTCGATCCCTTGATTTACGCCTATTTTTGCAGCGCCGTTGAGCCTGACCCCTCCAAGGCGAGAATCATCATTTTTGGACTAGCCTTAGTCTTTCACCTTCCCTTTATTGGGGCGACTGTCTGGCAGTCCAGGCTATCCGGCGTCGAATATTGGTGGGCTGCTCCAATGGTGTCTCACTTGGTTACCGTTATTATGGTTATGGCGATATGGAGGAAGACACAGTCTTTCCGTCGTTTTGACCGGCACTCTAACCAGCTTCAGCCAGAGCAGCCGACGTCAAACCAGGGATGCCGTGGCTTGGAGCAGTGAGCGGATTAGTGTTCCTAGCATCATCTGTGCTCCTGATATGTTCTGTGACTGGTTGGGTGAGACACCAGTTTGGAGGTCAGTGTGGACTTTGTCTGGCGATTTTAGTTGTGCCAGCAGTACCTCTAGACAGTATGATGAGAGCACCAGAGGAAACGGGTAGACAGAGAGGTGCAGCTGTCTGTGGTGACAGCCCCCGGTGCTGAACGGTCGACGGAGCACCTTGTACTATCCTGAGGGCTGTTACGCGCTAGAAGAAATCACACCTCCGAGCAGGAAACGGGGAATGCTATCATATAAAGAAGAGAGTCTATTCCCGGGTATTTTATGAGTTCTTCAGAGATCAATCAATTGAACCACTGGCCCCCGCTCCTCACTCTCTGTTTCGTTGCGTGTGTGCACCTTACAAGGGCACTGAATCAGACAGACGATAATTACATCACTTTATGCCCTCCATCTACGGCCACTTCCTTAGATTTAAGCGTCCCAAGTTTGGGCCACACGCACATACTGCATTCAGGTCGTGCAAAAGCTCCAAGTAATCCAAGTTGGAAGCGCGACGCAAGTGTGCCTTCGAAGCATAAATGAAGCCCTGCTTTCCACGTCAATCATGATCTTTAGTTCGATCTTTACTTCAGTTACTCTCCTCGAACGAAATACCCACGATAGTTCACGCAAACATCCACCAGTCGTTTGAAAGACATATCCTTAAAGACTTCATCGGACTCGCAGAAGGGCTCGCTAAGGATAACCGGCTCGTCTCGCCCTAATATGCACGCTGTAGACAGTGTCCAGACGTCCAGATATGCTTAGATTACCTCCGCAAGTGAAGTATCAATCAAATTCCAAATTCGGGGGGGCGACGAGCTCGCCGTGAGCGACTACAGTTCTGATGGCAGTGAAAGCGGCGAGCCGAGCATGAAGTGGCGGCTGTTCCACCGTACGACACCTAGGGAAAGGCAATGGCAATCACTCATCACGCTTATGGTGGAGGGTGCAAGAAAGCAACAGTCAACCTCAGACAGGGATCTAGCGAGGAGCCTCGATTCAATTTTCTGCATGCTCAAGTCACATGCGACCCCGGAAAACCCGGGCAGTTCTATCGCCACGAACGACTCGCCGCAGTATGCTCATGACCGAGTTGACCGACTCACTTAGACTTGGACTCGTGTTGGAAAGGCAGCAGGGGCACTCACACCCGACGCCGTTTTGGATCATCGATACGCCTCGCATGATTCGGTGACCCGAGGGCAATTCCCGACAAGTCTCGCATGAAGGCGAGCGGTATGCAAATGCCAGCTTGTGGAACCAGCGTTTCTTAGAGGATATCTGGACTACTACCATCATAAGGGCTGGTGAAGATATAACAATTCAACACTCCTCCACGGCTGGTTGCTTGCTCCTCCGGATTTTGTGAATCCGCTGTCGCTTATGCCCTTGCCCATGGCTTTGCCATATTCTTTCAGGCGCTCGACATTCTGTACTCACACCCCATATATCCCGCCATGGTCTCTCCGCTCGCATTTCCTGGTGTGTCGTGATGAGTCCGAAGGAGAAGACTGAGAAAGGCTGATAGTAATTCTAACAGGCTTGCAGAGAGGGAGGTCAAGTTCCATCTCAACCTGTTTGCCTTGTCCGTTCTCGACTGTACCGCTGGCCTCTACTCGATGGCAAGTATCGGATACAGTGACTCGAAAAACGAGCCCAGTAGGAGGACGATTCTCCTTGTCATCGCCCCAAAATGAAGAGTAATCACTCTCTTCAAGATCGCTAGGTGCAAACGAGGGCTGTATATTTTGTGTAGGTGACACTTCAATCTCGTCTTGTGGATATTTGTCACGGCAGTTTGTGCTGTTGAATTGGCTTTCGGTATCCGAGAATTCTGAGGTGGGCGAGGTAGGACAAAGAAGCATATCGAGAGCACGAAGATGACCAGTTTGTCCACAGGCAATCGATTCAGTGGAACTCATGTTCCCCTGCATAGTCGAGGTAGTGTCAGTCGACATGGCGGGAAGGAGGGCTTCGTTGGCTTTCGGAGAGTTGCAAGAAAATGGGAGATATGGAAACTGGGACAAAGGGGTGGTGCCTACCTCCTTCACTATCTAAACGAGTATGAGACGGGCTGCCTTGGCCGGGACGAGCTCCAGCGAATCATCCGAGAATCCCAAGGCGCAGCTTTGGCCATCTCATTGCACATATCGTCGGGTGGGATCATGCGCCTTCCTCCACTTCCGGGCTGTGGTCCGTTGTTGCTTCGCTGACGCCTGCCGGCCACCCCTGAGATGGTTTATGCGTCTTTGACCAGGTTCAGCTTCTGCATCTATGCGCCGATCACATCCGCTAATGCTGCAAAATTACGAGTAGCCAAATTCTCTGTAGGCACAGGGGCGAACCGAATCGTGCAGACTAGTCCGCAGCCTCCCTGCGACGGGGTTCAGGAGGAACGCCAGGCAGGACTTGTCCGTTAATTTCTCTTCCCTCGTCGTTGACCCAATGTATGACAATGTACATGTGCATGCCTGGGAAGTGTCGGGGTGGCGAAGCTTGCAGAGGAGGGAGCCTCGCGACAGGGAGGGCTGCCCACGTCGGCATCAACTTCGGAAGAAGACGGCGACCTTCGAGACCTACATTTGCATCTAACGAGGTAGCAATACTTCTCAATATATGAAAATTAGCCGGAAGTCCAAAGGAGCGGCTCTAGAGAGCCGTCAGGGACACCCTTAGGGTGGGAAAACGAGACATCGCGATATTTACACTCCGCTTGCTAGATGCCACCATAGACTGCTGGTTTGTATGATTACCTGTCCGGCTTTCACGTCGTGTTTCCCAGCTCTGCTACCAACTACGTCTTCCATTCATTCCTTGACTCAACGCTCGACTTCTAGGTCGTGAGTATCTTGCGGCACTTACGGCTTACACGCGCTACTAAGAGCACATGCGAGAGCTCGTGGTAGCGAATCTAAACGAGACAATGTCACAACCTCGGCGTCCTCTTTTCGACTCCTACGCAAGTGCGAAAGGCTCTCCGGCTCAGCAAAACCCCAACCTACACGCCGAAGCCACGACAGCCGCTCCAAAGCCCGAGCGCCAGGACGATAGTAAGAACGGTTTCGTGATATGTCATGGCGGCAGCGAACATTTACTGACGTGAATGGTATAGGGGAATCAGGCAACGCCGCGGACGAGTTGAACAATGCGACTCAGCACAAGCCCCAGATGGCACAAATCGAAGAGGCCATGAAATCTCAATCCGAGGGCCTCCGTCAGACATCCAGTCGCTTACCCAGCACGCATACGGAGGTCCCTACCGTCGCCTTCCAAACAATTGTCTTTGGTATCATGCGGCAACTTTTCAAAGAGATTGAAGAGAATTCGGAGAGAGCACGCGTATTTGCGCAAGCGTGCTCATCAACACTATCACCTCGAGATCTCCAGACGATTGCACAATTCCAAGGACAGCTTGGATCCTCAGACACACTCGGAGGAGACCCTCCATACCCTGTGGCCGAGAACATGGAGATTTCTCGTCGGTATATCCTCTATGAGGGCGGCTGTTTTGATCGCGAGGGGACGGAGAACGCATTTGTAAGTTCTCCCAGAAGCAACCCTGATTGGGAACTAACCAAGTAGCGACAGCTTTTAAAGCCGTTGAGAATATAGCGAAGGAAATGAACCTTGTAAAACTGAAGAGATATGCGAGTGAAAGCTTGAGAGAAATGGACGAAGATGCCACAGCGAGAAGAGCATGTAATAATATAAACTCGTCTTCTAACACTGGCTACTGCTACCTTGCGCCGTAGCTACATTGCTGTACGCCGTCGCAGTAGAGAACACTACAAAATAGATCATTGACATTAAAGTTGGAGGTCGCCTCTCTATGACCTCGTTTTGCGGAATTCGCGAGGAATCCTGAACCACTAAGCATTCCGCGCCAGACAATGTCACACTCTCCATTGTCCTCGATCGGCTGGGGTGGACAGTCAGCGAGGCGCATGAGGACGTGCGCATGAGGACGTGTAGTTATTTGAGACGCCGAAATGCATATCCAACCGTCACCTGTCCAAATATCCGTGAAGGCTGCAAGGGCTGCGCCATGATTTGCATGCGTCTCGAGTGATTGGAGCCGCTGGAGCAATTCTTCCAGCTCTTCCCCCCAACTCTCTATAACTTGTTAATTTCGCATTTCTCGTTCTCTTACGCTCACAGATATTCTACTTGGAGACGCTTATTTTTACAATCCTTTCCTCGTTCATTAGTCAAGGAGAGCGGCCCCAAACAAGCTTGCAAGCCAAATGTCCCTCGCGGTAAGTGACATCAACCCAGGTGATACCGTAGACTGGAAAGGCCTTAACTAACAGCAGAGTCCTTTCTCTTTCTCTGCTCTAGCGCGAGAACAAATTAGCCCGAATTCGAGACAACCAGAGGAGATCACGCGCCCGACGGAGAGTATGTCCAGGACCTCAAACGGCGACTCAGAGAATACGAGACTCAGGGCATCGAGGCCTCGACCGAGGTCCAGATGGCCGCGAGAAGAGTAGCCGAGGAGAACAAGCAGCTCCAGGAGCTCTTCAACAGGCATGGCATTAGCGACGACCAAATAACCCGTTTCTTGCAGTCGGGCACCTTGCCACTTGATTCCAACCAAGGCCAACCCTTTCACGCCGACGACCCTAGTGCCGCTGTCCAGTCGCTACAACGGCTCCTGATGCCGCGACAACTGGCCAGTCTAGATGAAGACTTCTCCCTATATTTGTCGGGACAGTCGATTCCGAACCCCTCCACCACCGAGGGGTCGACGACAAGTTCGTCCGTCTGGGAGCCGTCGCAGCTCGTAACGTCCTCGTACGGCTATCAACATCACATGGGCGTGGCTACTGCAGTCATGGCATCGGCTGTTCATTCTCCGTATCCACCGACAACCCCATTGAGTCGCGCGAGCACCACGCGACAAGGCTGCGTCTATGGCGGGCAACCGTCCCCGTCGATGCACGACAGTCCCGGCCAAGCCATGGTAACAACACAGCCTACGTCTACTGGCGGCCGTACGGTAATGCACTTGCATTATTCTGTGCCGACTTATCCAAACGCAGTGGTACCGCATTATGATTCCCTAGGGAGCACCTGCTGACACGCGTTGACGAGGGCCTGCAGGGGCGTATCGCCGATTCCATTGGTTGTTTTAAATATATATTGAAGATTGGCACTGTTGGCCATGCCCTTACCGATTCACTAAAGCCTTTTGATATCCTTCTGTCTGTGGACCAGGGCAGCCCCGTTAGGGACCTGGAAAAGATTCCTGGCCTCTGTAGCAGTAACGCATCAGGACTTCCTGAGTAAGGAAAGCTACCCCTTTATGCGTGGGCACAGCCAACTATGCACGGTAGAGCCCCATACTCAGGAGGTCTCCAGAACTCCCTAAGGCCTCCTGTATAAATAGCCCCTTCAGACTGCCCCTTTAGAGATAGAACATGCATCTTGAATCTAGCTGTGGTGACCCCCTTATTCCGATGTGTATTGACACAACATTTCACCAACACCGTCATATAAGAGTAGAACAGACTTCCTGATTCCTGTCGAGCTTCATTGTAGCCCCTGATGTGAGCTCCAGCAAATCATCTCGTGAGTCACAGCAATGCGACTCTAGCCGTCTAGTGGCATGTATCTGCCCGGTTTACTCATGCGCCTTCCTCCTCTGTCGGAACTGTGATCTACTAGTGCTTGGCTGATGCCTGCAAGCCGCCCCTAAGAGAATGCCTAGCAATTGGCCTTACTCTTGGCCACCCTTCCATCAGATAATGCTCATCCTTGGCTGGAACACCGTCAGATTCTGCATCTATGCGCCGGTCATCCGACTCATCCCTCTCTAACGTCATCAGCAAGCCAACTACCAAGCAAGAGTAGGGACAGACTTCCAAAGTGATTAGGTGGTCTTAGGTCAGACTAGCCCACAGGATCCCCGTAGTGAGGGTCAGGGGGTGGACCTGAGGCAGGTTCACCCCCTGATCTCTACTCCCTCAGCTTAGTCCGAAGCAGGGCAATACATATTGAAGTAACGGAAAGTGGCGAGGCTTGCAGGAGGCTGCCTGCGTGGCAAGGGCGGGATGCTCACGTCGGGATTAACAGCTTCAAGGAGCGGGTCAAGTTGGTGAACAGGTGGTTGCACGACGTGATGGTCACATTGCGTCTCCAATCTGCAAGGCATGGTCGGTCGCATCTCGGAGAGTTCGTAGGAAGGGAAGGTCGGCCCCAGGGTCGTGCCCGGGAAGCCGGTATGACCAGAGGGCGGTCTGAGGGCGGTCTCGACTCGGCTAGAGTCGGCGTAGCTACCCGCTCCGTGGTGTCGTTGGCTGGGATATTTAACGCCGGGGAGAAGGGGGTGTAGGGGGAAAGTTTGCAATGGAGGGGGCGTGGGAGAGGTGCAAGACGATGAGGCCGGATTCTGGCCACTTGATGCACCTCATATTGCCTTGTTGCTCTGGTCTGTAGCATCAGCCAGATATACTGTATCCTGCACGGCTGAATGAAAGAGACGTGCAAAGAGGCTGGGGAAGGCGAAATTGACAGGGAAGGATGGGTGCGACGGGAACCGCGATGCCCATATCGGCACAACGGAGTAGTAGTAATGAGACATGCGATGCATCTGGGACAAGAACTGGGCGTAATGGTTGGAGTTGTTGGTTACCTCAATCATCCAGCCAGCCTGACGACCGTGACGCGCGCTGCAATACAACCGTGGTTCTCTCCAAGTCAGGGAAGCTTTACCTCGCCAGCTCTGTTCTCATCCACTCGCCATCGATCACAGGCTTCATTTCCCGCCTCCATTATTTCCAAATTTCACTCTACTATGTGCTCTATTTTTTGAGCAAAATATGACAACATGGCACGACCAGGACGGCGACAACAAACCGACGGAAGAAAGCCAAATCGGACGCGGAGCAAATATTCTCGAATTAGGGCTCCCGGGAAGACTACAGGCACCTCTAGATGTGCTGATGGTCTATTCGACGAGGACATGGACGTTCAAGACGGACTTCCGCCTTGCCATGGTCGAAGTTGCATCCTCTGCACTCGCCAACGCATCGATCACCTGGAAAGATATGCTCGATGACTACTCAGAACCATATTCAGGCCACTCTGAGATCATGGCACATGTTTTCAAGGTTGAGATCGAGTCTAAGCACTACGCTTTGAAGGTGGTAAGTAGTGGTGAGCTGGCAGCTCGAGAGGTTAATTATGCCTTAGTTTATGCCGTACGATATTTCGTATGACTACCACCAACTTTACACTGCGGGTATCCGCTGCACTGAAGAAGAGTTGGAATGGCATGTTATGCCCTCCTCAGAATGCCGCGCATACGGTCGAATCAAGCAGGCGCAAGACAGGCGATTACTGCCGCATCAAGTTGCAGTTCCATGCCACGGCTATATCCGCTTGGAGGAAAAAGACATCCGAAAACTGGAGGATGAGTGGAACCTTGATTTCAGTGTTGAACAGGACAACGCCCTAAAAACACAAACCGTCCGATCTATGCCATTGTTGAAGATCTTGCAAGTGCAGGTTCGGGGTCAGTGTCAAAAGCTTGCCGCGCAACCTACGAGATCTGCGATCTTTACACTCGATGGGGATATTTGTCCGTGATATAAAGGAAGATAACTATAGAGATGGGAAGCTTGTTGATTTCGGAACTGCTTGGACTGAACCGCACGTTATATTGAACCGCTACGATAGGTATATGCATTTTGATGCGGTGGAGGAGAGGGTGGGGGATTTGGCGATGTTTGATGATATTGTTACGGCCAGGCACATACGAGAGCCTTGACGGCTATAAAGATGTATTGGCACTATGAACGAAGACTCAAAGCTAAGGAGCAAGAAAGGAAGACTAGACTACACGACCGAGCGGGCCTTATATAGACACGAGGTCGCGCGTGGGCACGTGATGCTGCTTGGGCACGTGACACTGGTGAGGTTCTGCTACGGCAGGCTATAGGGTCACTGTTGCAAACCCCAAAAAGTCACCGCGCGAGAGTCAAAATGGGTTAGTGTCGAGAAGAAGGTCCGAACGAGGAACGAGTGACGAAAGTTCTCTTGCCCTGCGACCCCTGCCCCCTCCCCTTCGATCGAGTTTTCCCGTGCCTTGAGGAACGAAGTGAGGTACGAACGTAGTGCCTTGAGGAACGTTAGTGACGAAGGTTCTTCTGGTTCCTCCCCGGGGAGAAAGAAAAAAAAAAAGCCGCCATCAATTTCCCCCCCCCTAAATGCCGCCCTCTGATTCGTCGGCTGCCGTCCTCTAATTCGTCGGCTTGCTCTCTTCAGATTGGTTTAAAATACAACCTCACCGCCCTCGTCGCCGCCCCTTTTGCCCTCTTTCCTTGAAGCCCGTCTTCTTCCTGGCCCTTTCTTTCAAGCTCGCCCCGGAATACGCCCTTTCCTCTTTGCCCCCTCCTGGCCCTTGACCTGTGCTCCTTTTACGTCGGTAGCTACGGCAAGCCCGCTAGCCTAGAGCCGGCTGGCCTGTGAAGTCTAAATCTCCGCCTTTGCGGTCCGTCTATATTAGACACGCACCCGTCGATGTCCATTAACTACCTTGAGATTGTTGCTCTTATTTCTATCTCTCACGTTGCGCCTTCCCATAATTTTGCTTTCTCCGCCCCTGATTGTGTGCTAGGTAGTCGTCCTAAGGGCAGGATCTCCTCCGCTGCGAGCGAGACGCCTACGCCGCCCGCGTTACCCGCGGAGCCAGTCGGCCGCCTCCTGCGTCGTCTGCCTGCTAAGCTCCTCTAGCCGGGCCTGCGCTGCCGTCATCTCCTCGGGCACCCGGTTCCCGACTAGATCCCGCTCCCGCACCTCCGATACGAGCATGATGCCGTCGAGCGTCGGGCACCGCGACAGCTGCACGTACAGGCTGTACGGGTCGCACGGCGACGGCACCGCCCTCCCCTCGACCGTCGTCATCCTCGCCCCCCGCAGCTCCAGCGCCACGCGCTCCAGCGTCCCGCCCTGCACCTTGTAGTCGGTGCAGGCGAAGGCCGCCGCGCACGGCAGGCCCCTCCGGCTGACGTCGTTGCGCTGCCACGGCCGCTTCCGCTGCGCCGTGATCTTGACGCCGATGGGCGTCAGCAGGATCGTCCCGGCCGGCATCCCGACGAAGTGGAAGTCCCGTCGTCTCCGAAGCCAGCACGATGCCCGCCGGCGGCCCGAAGTGCATCGTCAGCTCGGCCGAGACCCGGTGGCCGGGAAGGCTGGTCGGGGATGACGTCTACCGCCGTGTACCCGGCGCCGTTCACTAGCTTCAGCCCCTGGTGCGTGTTCTGGTTCACGACGACCGGCATGCCGGGCACGAAGACGAAGACGGCCGGGACCGGCGTCGCGCTATCGTCGCCCTGGCCCAGCATTAGCAACGCCTCCTCCTCCGTCGGCAGGCCTCCTCCACTTGTGCTCGGACAGGAAGACGCGCGCCGCCGTCCGCCGCCGCGTTGGAACGCGAGCGCCGGTCTGGTTGAGGTTCCAGCGGTTCCGGTTGAGCGGCGTGACCACCGTCAGGCCCGTCTCCCACGGGATCCGCCTGCCCGGCCGGTGGCACCTCGAGTTGAGCAGCTCTCTTCCGACCGGTCCTGCTCCCCGGCGGATGCGCCCGAGCAGCCGCCGCAGCTCAGGTCGCCGGAGGCCCGCATCGGCTCGTACAAGAATGACGCCGTCGTGAACCGCCGGCACACGCGTGCGATGTCGAGCTGCCGCCGCTGCTCTGCCCCGAGCGCCCGTCGCCTCGTCCTCGCCACCGCCGCGCTCGGCCCCAGGATCGCCGCCTCCTCGGACGGCCGCGACGAGCTCGACTTCGGCGACGACGACGGCGACGACGACGACGACGACGAAGAGTCTCGCGCTCGCCCGCCATCCAGGCGACGGCGACGTCCTCGACGACGACCCCACCGCCGACGGCTTGACCGTGCCGCTGTCCTTTAGCGCAAGCCGAAGCCGTCGCTGCTGTCGGCGCCCTCGCGATTCTTCTCCTCGCCGCCCGCTCGCGGCGCCCGACCTTTCGTCCCCGGCGCCAGCAGTCGCCCGCCGCCTCGCATGGCCTCGGCCCGGCGGCGGCCGGGATGGACTGCCGCTCGACTGGCACACCGAGGGCCCCGGCCGCCGCGTCGGCTACGAGGACCTGACGGCCATTGACTGGATCTTCGAATATACAAAGGAGCGCCAGAGGCTGCGCGCGCTGTCGAGCGCGAGCGGTCTGCTCGGCTACTTCAAGCACCTGCTGGATGCCAGCCAGGTCTGGATTGTCCTGGTCCTCACCGGCCTCCTCGTCGGCGCCATTGCTGCCGTCATCGACATCACAACCGACTGGCTGGCCGACCTCAAGCTGGGATTCTGCTCCAGCGGCCCTGAGGGAGGACACTTTTACCTCAACAAGAACTTCTGCTGCTACGGATACGACCAGGGCTCCAACTGCCTGGGCTGGAAGTACTGGAGCGATGCCCTCGGCGTCCATGGCGGCGGCGGCAAGTGGGTTATTGAATACTTCTTCTTCCTCGTCTTTTCAGTACGCAAGCTTCTCTCTTTGGGCTTTTCGGCGAGTGCTAATACGGGCATCAAGGTCACTCTGGCATACTGCGCTGCCCTGCTTGTTCAGGAGTATGCCATCCTCGCCAAGCACAGCGGCATCCCGGAGATCAAGACCATCCTGGGCGGCTTCGTCATGCGCAGGCTGCTCGGGACCTGGACGCTCGTTACCAAATCGCTCGGCCTGGTGCGTTTCTTGTCCCATCCGTGCTCTCCGGCTGTGTTGGCTCACCAGCAGCAGATTCTAGCCGTCGGCTCTGGCATGTGGCTGGGAAAGGAGGGCCCGCTTGTTCACGTCGCCTGCTGTTGCGCAAACCTCTTCATCAAACTCTTTGGCAACATCAGATACAACGAGGGTGAGCCTGCCGCCCCGCACGCTCCTTTGGAGGCAGACGGCTGACTCGACCCAGCTCGCAAGCGAGAGGTGCTCTCTGCGGCCGCCGCATCGGGCATTTCGGTTGCGTTTGGCTCCCCCATCGGCGGCGTCTTGTTCAGTCTCGAGGTACTCGCAGCCCTTCTCTCGCCACTGCTTCACACTTGACTCGGCTGACGCTGCAACAGCAACTCTACTACTTCCGGACAAGACCATGTGGCAGAGCTTCGTCTGCGCCATGACGGCCGCCGTCGCGCTCCAAGCCTTGGACCCCTTTCGCTCCGGCAAGCTCGTCTTGTACCAGACAAAGTACAGCGTCGACTGGCACGGCTTCGAGATTGTCCCCTATGCGCTCCTGGGCATCTTCGGGGTATGTCCCTTGTCCTTTGCCGTGTCCGGCACCCGTCATCCGTTGCCTCCGTGTTGGGCTGACCAACCCCCGGCAGGGCGTGTACGGCGGCCTCTTCATCAAGGCCAACATGGCCGTCGCGCGGTGGAAAAGGCCACGGCCTGGCTGCCCGGGCCTGTTGCGCAGGTGTCGGCCGTGGCGCTGTTGACGGCCCTCATCAACTACCCCAACTACATGAAGGTGCAGTCGTCGGAGCTCGTGTCCAACCTCTTTGCCGACTGCGCGCGGGTCCTCGACGACCAGGTCGGCCTGTGCAAGACGGGCGCTGCGTCGGCCAGCACCATTGTCCTGCTCATCTTGGCCGCCGTGCTGGGCTTCCTGCTCGCCACAATCACGTTTGGCCTGCAGATCCCCGCGGGCATCATCCTGCCGTCCATGGCCATTGGCGCCCTCACGGGCCGCGCCGTCGGCATCGTCATGGAGATCTGGGTTGCCAGCCACCCGGGCTTTATCGTCTTCGCGTCGTCGTGCGCGCCCGACACCCCCTGCGTCACGCCCGGCACCTACGCCATCGTCGGCGCCGCGGCGGCCCTCGCCGGCGTCACGCGCATGACCGTGTCCATTGTCGTCATCATGTTTGAGCTCACGGGCGCCCTGACGTACGTGCTGCCCATCATGGTGGCCGTCATGCTGTCCAAGTGGGTGGGCGACGCCTTTTCGCGCCGCGGCATCTACGAGTCGTGGATCCACCTCAACGAGTACCCCTTTCTCGACAGCAGCGAGGAGATTGCCATCCCCGACGTGCCCGCCGCCCAGATCATGACGCGCATCGAGGACCTCGTCGTCCTCACCGCCACGGGCCACAGCATCGCCTCCCTCACCACCATCCTGCACATGCACCCCTACCGCGGCTTCCCCGTCATCTCGGACCCGCGCGACGCCGTCCTGCTCGGCTACATCTCACGCGCCGAGCTGAGCTACAACATCCGCACCGCCGCCGCGCCGCCGCGCTCCCTGCCGCCCGACACCGAGGTCTTCTTCGCCCACCAGCCCCTCGCCGACCCGCGCTCCACCCTCGACCTGCGCCCCTGGATGGACCAGACGCCCCTGACCCTCCCCTCGCGCACCAGCCTGCACCTCGCCGTCTCCTACTTCCGGAAGCTCGGCCTGCGCTACGTCCTCTTCAGCGACCGTGGCGTCCTCCACGGCCTGCTGACCAAGAAGGACGTCTGGTACGTCCTCGACGGCGGCGGCGACGACGACGCCGCTGCCCGCCGCGCTGGCCTCTCCCCCCGCGCCGCCGTCGCCGCCGATGGGACTGCGCGCCGCGCCTCCTCGCTCGAGGAGGCGGGGGTCGAGGAGCGCGGGCTGCTGCGCGGCGAGGATGCGACGACGGATGACGGAGAGGGCATGGCCGACGAGGATAGACGCTCGATACTGTAGAGGGGCATCGACGGTGCCGTGCCGCCTGGGCGAAGAATGGGAGAGAACAAGGGCAAGACGGGGCATCTCGACGGAAGCACCACGGGAGAACGAGGAGGAGAAGGATCAGAGCCCAAGGCGCATGCTAATAATATTTTTAAAAACTTTTTATATTCCATCTCGTACCAACGAGTAGCATGGCGCAACGTCACCCCAGCGCGCAAAAAAAAACACCTCATGTATAACAATCAGGATATGGTCTATCATCACCGAGATCAAGTCAGAGTGAACAAGAAAGGGAGAAACTCGGCAAACACACCCATCATCCCATGTCCCGACAATACGTTCGTGCAATGCCGCCGTGAACCGTCCCAAAGCCCTGTACCGTGTCTAGTTTCGCCCGCGCCATCTCTGCCTCTGCTGAACCTCCCTGTGAAGCCAAAATTGCAAAAAAAACGGTACCTTTCCTCCTCCGCCAACTCCCGCCGGGGCTTCCGCCGCCAGCCCGTCAAAACTTGGTACCGTCCAGGGCCCCGTTGACAACCAGCGTCTTCTCCTTGAGGGCGTCCTGCGTCACCTTGGCCAGGCAGCCGGCGGCGGCGGCGACGAAGCCCAGGTAGGGGCGCGAGGGGTCGAGGACGCGGCTCAGGTACTCGGGGTGGTACTGCACGCCGACGAACCACGGGTGGTCGTGGAGTTCAAACACCTCCATGCGGTTGCCCGAGTCGTCCTTGCCGACAAACGTCATGCCGGCCGCTTCGAGCTCGTCGACGTAGTCGGGGTTCACCTCGTAGCGATGGCGGTGGCGCTCCTCGATGACGGTGGCTTCGCCGTACAGCGCCCGGAGCTTGCTGTGGTCGCTGCCGGGCTGGAAGTGCGTCGCCCGCGAGCCGAGGCGCATCGTGCCGCCCATGGTGTCTTTGGAACCTTCGGGCATAAAGATGATGACGCGGTGTTCGGCCTGGGCATCAAACTCCTCCGACGTGGCCTTGGCCTTGCCGCAGACGTGCCTCGCGTACTCGATCACGGCAATCTGCATGCCAAGACAGATGCCCAGGAAGGGCCTCTTGCGCTCACGAGCATACTGGGCCGCCTTGATCATGCCCTCGGTGCCGCGCTGGCCAAAGCCGCCGGGGACCAGGATGCCGGCGGCGGTGGAGACCTGGTGCCACGCCTTGTAGAAGCCGACGGGGTCGCTGTGCTGCGTCTTGTCTTCCAGCTGCTCAGAATCGACCCATATTAGGTTTAGTTTTCGACCGCACCGCATCGTCGAGTGCTCTAGGGACTTGACGACGGATAGGTAGGCGTCAGGGAGTTCAACGTACTTGCCCACCAGGGCGATGTCAATCTTCTCCGAGTGCTCCTGCGGAATGATTGTGTTCCACTTCTTCCAGACTTCTGCGCCCTTGGTCACCAGGGCCGGCGTCAGCGACACCTTGTCGAGGACCAGTGCGTGGCGCAGGAGCTCGAGAAGGCCCTGTTGCTCCAGCAAGATGGGGACCTGGTAGATGGTGGGCATATCGCGGACAGCCACGACCTGCTCGACCTCGACCTGGCAGCTCTGGGCAATCTTGCCCATGGTGACCTTTTCCAGGGGTCGCTCGCAGCGGCACGCAATCTTTTCCCGGGTTAGCATAGTAGTATGAAGAGCGAGCGGGACGGGAACGCTCTTACCAAGTCAGGGATGAGGCCAGCACTACGGACACTCTTAACGGCGTATTGGGTGGGTTTCGTCTTTTGTTCCCCGTTGACAATGGGGATGTATGAGACGAGGATGTTGATGAAGTTGCCCTTGCCGGCCTTGTGCTGGAGCTGAGTGAGGGCCTCGACGAAAGGCATGCTCTCGATATCGCCAACGGTGCCGCCCTTGATTCGACGTTAGAGGGAACAAGGAACGGGAGGCGGCAGAGCGGCGGGCACATACCAACTCGACTAAGGCGTCATGTTAGTCGCGGCGGACACGGGGACCCAAGATGCAGCAACATACCAATGCACACGTCCGGCTCCGAGTCGGACCCGTCAACGGGGATCTTGGAGACGCGCTCGATGTGGTCGATGATGGCAGAGGTGACGTGGGGAACGACCTGGACGGTGCGGCCCAGGTAGTCGCCGCGGCGCTCCCTTTCAATGACATGCTTGTATATCTTGCCCGTGGTGATGTTGTTGTCTCTGGTAAGGTCAAGGCCCAGATAGCTAGCAGCAACAAGGTCAGCTCGGGGGGCGCGCTTCGGGGGCCCGCTGCCATACCGCTCGTAGTTTCCAAGATCCAGATCAGACTCTCCGCCGTCTTTGAGCACAAAGCACTCTCCGTGCCTTTTTTTTTTTTGGGTGAACCGTCAGCAAAGCCAGCGACGAGAGCAGAGCAGCTCGGGCTCACTCTTTGGGGTTCATGGTGCCGGCGTCGACATTGATGTACGGGTCGATCTTGATAGCCTATATGCAGGCTCGTCAGCCCAGATTGGAAACCGGGCTTCATGTCCGACAGGCATACCGTGACTTTGAGGCCAATCGTTTTGAGCAACAGCCCCGCCGACGAAGCTTGAGTGCGTCAGCGAGGAAACCGGGCGTCCGAGGCGAGCAGCATACCGATGATACCCTTGCCCACGCCGCTCACCACACCTGCAAGCAGAGAGAGAGTAAGCACCAGACGAGACGAGTACGAGCGCGAGAGGGGGATACCGACCTCCAGAGACCAGCACGTACTTCATCTTGTCGGTTGCGCAACGAGCAATTGGCGGACCAATCTGCAAGGCCCGCGAAAAATTGGCGTTTGCCGGACGGGCGAGTAGGAGGTAAGTTGGGAAGATGACTCAGGCCCCGTTTTTCACATTGGCGTGGCGCGCGGGGGCTGGCGGGGCGCGAAGAGGAAAAGAGCTGTCTCAACTTCAGCACAGCAGCATCGACAAGGCCGAGCAAACATCTATTCCGCGTCGTGGATACGTAAAACATCCAACCACTTCGTGCCCCGTATCCTCGTGCCGTTGACCCAGCGTCGAAGCGATCCCCTCATGCACCCGCCCACGTCGCGACACGACTCCGAGTCATGCAACACGCGACACGTAGTAATTCGCTAGTACTCAAAGTCATCGTCCACCGCCGGCCCCTTGCTCTTGGTCACGCTCTCCTGCTTCCGGTACATGTCGGCCACCTGCCGGCTGCTCGTCGCCTCGTCGGGCTTCTTGTCGTCGCGCACCTTGACGAAGCGCGGGAACCGCAGGCTGATGCCCTTGCCGCCCGCCGGGTCCACGCCCTCCTTGCAGCCCGCCTTGTACCGCGGGCTGAGCGTCAGGTCCGCCGTCTTCACCTCCCACACGTACCGCGGCTCCAGCCACACATCGGGCTGGTGCTGCCCGCCCCCCGAGTGCGAGTAGAACGGTTTGGCCCGGTCGATTGTGATGGCCGACAGCTGTGCGTGCAGCTCCTCGAGCACCTGCTCCGAGAAGCCCGTGCCGATGTTGCACACTGTTTCGTACGTCTCCGTCGCCGGGTTGTAGCATGCCAATAAAAAGGCCCCGTACACCGATGTCCGCTTGCCTGCCGTGGTACGCCCCAGCACAACGAGGTCGAGCGAGTCGCCGATGCCTGACAGATAGTCCTTCTTGACCTGTTGATCAACATGTCAGCCCACGCTCCAAAGCCGGATGGGAGCAGCCCGCCCTACCTTGAGCCAGTTTCGACTGCGCTTGCTGGGCTCGTATCCGCTCTCGGTGCCGTCCAGCATCTTGACCATCAGCCCCTCGCACGAAGCCTTGACGCTTTCGTCGAGAAAGTCTTGGATCTCATCCAGCTCCTGGCCGTTCATGAACGTGGCGAAGCCAAACTCTCTCCACGGGCGTAAACGCTTCTCGGAGCAGCTCTCTCCGCTCCCGAAGCGGCTTCTCCACCACGGGCTGTCCGTTCAGGTAAAGCAGGTCAAAGGCAAACACGCACACTTTGACCTTGACATCCTCCACCTTGACGTCCTTGCGCTTCCGCGTCATCAGCTGCTGAAAGGGGAGCACCTTCTTCTCGTCCACGTCCCATGCCACCGTCTCGCAGTCGAGCACAAAGCTCATCGTGTCTTGCTTGACCCAGGAATGGAGCTTGGCGAGAATATCGGGGTACTTTTTGGACAGATCCTCCGAGTTTCGCGAAAAGATGCTAGCCACCCCGCTTGCCGCCTCCCTGCTCGCACTCGCCGTCGCTCGGCTCAGCTCCTGCGGCGCATCTTTGGCCACGTAGTGAATCTGAGCGCGCTCGCCGTCGTATTTGTATTCGCAGGTGAATTGCTGCCCTTCGAACCGATCTAAGACCTCGGTGATGGCCTTGGTTGGCTTGGCCAACATGGGCTTCAGGGGCACGCCGGGCCGGAGCTTACAGCTGTCCCTCAGATTCTTGATGCCGTGTTCAAGCACGGCAGGGATGATGGCATCGTAGCTCGGTAGCTCGCTACAATCCGTCAGCCGACTACTCCCTCAAAGTATCAATGACACCAACTCACCTGTAGACGGTCTTGAGGATTGACTCGCCGTTTTCTAGCTCCGTCGTGGTCGGCACCTTGTCCTTTTGATCGGCTTCGTGACAGACAATCGCCTGGGCTAGAGACACCAGTACGGTCTCTCGGCGAGTCCAAGCCGGAGCTTGCCCTCGAGAAACCGGATGATGAACTTGGCCTCGCTCGGCCCGCCCTTGTCCTTGGTGATGTCGACCTTGCCGGTGGCGCAAGAATCGGCCGCTGACAATAGCTTCTTGATGCCGTCGACTTTGCGACTTTGCGCACCGCTGCCAGTCACCGTCGCAATACCCATCAAGCCTTGGTGAACGCCTCGGACCGTCAACGGCTTCGGCTTGAACATGGTGGGCTGCGTGGACCTGCTCTTGACTGCGACCAGCCCCAGGTCACCAATATCCTTTTGATCCGCCTTGATGACCGGAAGGCTGCGTCCCGTCGTCTCGCCAATGGCCTTCATGATCAAGGACTCGCCAATGCCAAGCTCGATGCCAGCGTAGTCGGGCGCGAGCTTGTTGACCATGAGGAGGACCGTGGGCAACAAGTCGTCGGGGGTGAGCCGCATGACCTGCCGCAGGAACAGCGCGCAATGCTCCATGATCACCAATCGTTTCGTCGTCATCTCAATGAGAGAGAATGTCTGGCAAAGCGCGGCGTACGGCACTGGAGCCCCGGGATTCCAGTCGGGGAAGGGGTGCTCGCTCTTGGTTTTGAGCCGAGTCTGGGCCTTTTCTCGTGCCTTGGCAGCAGAAACCTCGGCCTTTTCCTCGTCCGCCTCGGCATCTTCCTCTGCTTCCGACGCGGACTCGGCTGTCGATTCTTCTTTTAGACCGTCGTCAACGACGTTTTCTGGCTTGGCCCGGCGACCCCTTCTCGGTTTTGGACTGGCTGAACTCTCCCTTTTGACAGCTGGAGGCTGTTCTTCCATGTTGACCCCTTCCTCCCCAACACCGTCTTCCTCTTCCTCAGGCTTAACCCGATTCCGGCTTCTTCTTGCGCGCTTGACCACCGGCCCGTCGTCTTCCTCGTCGACTTCATTCTTCGTGGTGTCCTGGTCGGCCAGTCGTGCTCGCTTCTTGCCATCTAGCCTCCGCGTCAGCCGGCCTGCAATTCATGGTGAGGAGTCGCAGCTGAAGAACCTACCCTTCTCCGAGTCTGAGTTCCCCTTGGTGCTCACACCTGCCTCGCCATGTCCATTCGCTGCCTCGTTCTGCCTCGTCTTGGTGGCAAAGGTCAACTTGGTCTGCTGCTGGGGCGCGGCCCCTTTGGCTCCAAAGAACTTTCTGCCAAGCCGCAAAGCGCCGGTCAGCAAATGCACAGGAGTTGCGACAGTGCCCAAGGCAGCCTCTCTGCCTTGCCACGCACCCTAACGTGGCTTGCCTGGGCTTGACGTACCCCAGAGTCGCCTGCTTTGGCGCCATGATACACAGTCTTTGGGATGGGGGCCGAAGTGCTGTGAGGCGGAGCAGACTGCAGCAAAATCGTTGCGAGGCCAGCGTGAGGACGGGACGACGAGAGCTGTGGACGCACGCGAAACTGGCTGGCGACCTGAACATGACGCGCCTTGGCTCTAGGCAGAAGGTTCGCGTTAATTGGCTTCGTGACAGGGATCAGGTCACGGCGCGTTTATCACGTGACCCGGTCCGGCACTCGGACATCGCTCGGATTGCGCGCATCGCAAAGCGGGAGAAGCAGAGCAAAGGAAATATCTGGGATTGATTGGCCGCCCTCTATCAGGTTTATAGTACAAAGGCAGAAGCTTGAATAAGTCATTACAGGTGCGCGCCTACTGAGAAAAGTAGAAGTTCTCGTCCGGGGTGCGCCCACGGATGAATTGCGGCTCGGTGCCGCGGACGTAGATGTCCTCGAACAGAATCGACGGCTTCGGCTCCGGCACGGCCATGGCCTCGGCGGCCGCAACCTCCTCGTTGACGTGGTTGCGCGCCTCCTTGTCAATCTTCTTGAGCTCGTCCTCGCTCGTCACCTCCCAGTCCAGGATCTTCTGCTTCAACCCGGCAATGGGGTCGTTGGTGGAGCGCATGCGCTGAATCTCCTCGCGCGTGCGGTACGTGGTGCCGGGTCGGACATGGAGTGACCGCCGTAGCGGTAGGTGACGTACCCAGGACCAGAGGGCCTTGCCCGACGCAGTCCTCCTTGCCGTACTTGACAGCCGCCTTGACAGCCAAAACGTCCATGCCGTTAACCTTGAGACCGGAATGTACTGCCCGCGCTTGTAGTAGTCGGTCAGGGCCGAGGAGCGGGCAGCCGAGGTGCCCATGCCGTACTTGTTGTCTGCAATGTTTGCCAGTCAGTGTCCACATGGTTCCTTCGGCCGTCGATCCAAGGTAGTGGGGGCAAACTCACTCTCGCAGCCGAACAGCGCAGGCAGGTTCCATAGCTTGGCCATGTTGAAGGCCTCAAAGACCTGGCCCTGGTTGCTGGCGCCGTCACCGTACAGGATAATGGTTGCCGTCTTGCTGTCGTTGTACTTGTGCGCAAACGCCAGGCCAGCGCCGACGGGGACCTGAGCACCGACAATGCCATTTCCGCCGTAGAAGCCCTTGGAAAACATGTGCATGGAGCCGCCCTTGCCGTAAGCAATGCCCTCGCGTCGGCCTAGCAGCTCTCCGATGATGGACCGGACGGTGCCGCCTCGCATCAGGGCGAAACCGTGGCATCGGTAGGCAGTGATGAGGTCGTCCTGTTTGGTGATGGCATGCTCAATGCCTACGGCCACGGCCTCCTGGCCGGTCGATAGTGGCAGAAGCCACGGATCTTCTTCTCCTTGTACAAGCGGTCGGCCGCCATTTCCATCTGCCTGCGCGATTATCAGCCGACGCTCGTCCAGCTACAGTCTCTGTAAGCTGGAAGCCACTGGCTGCGTACCTGATGCAGACCATGTCGTAGTACATCTTCCTGAGGTCTTGCTTGGTGGTGGCGATACTGTAGGGTGGCGGATCCAGCTCGTATGTTTCGAAGCTCTCGTCGCTTAGGTTGACCTGGAAAGGCTCATCCTCGGCCTGCGCAAGAAGGCATTAGAAGGGAAGGCCGAAATCGCCAAGCATTCTTTACGCAGTCATGGCAACGAGCCAAACCACAGGCCGACGACAGCTCACCTTGGGGACGGAGTGGCTCAGGGACGAAGAGGCGGCGTCCGTGGTGACAGACCGGGCGGTGAGCGGCACCCGGGCGGGCACATAGCGGCACCGCTCGAGGGACTCTGAGAGCTCGGGAGAACATGGCGGGGGCTGAGGGCGCCTCGGGTCGATTGAGTCGGGAAGGCTGACGGCGAGGAATTACGGTTGCTCTTCTCGATGGACACGGGCTCCGAGATTTCGCGGTGTTGAGCGTTGAGCTCCGTGTTGGATGGCGCTAGCGTCAGAGCAGGACTAGCGCATGTTCACGTGACGCGACATGGGGTAGCTCTCCACTGGGCAGGCAACCAACTGTCTTGGTAAGACAACTTAAGTCGGGTCCCAAGCGTCATCTTGATTGAATAAACTATCCCTCCCATATCTTTGGTAGGTATTATTCCTACCGATAATCTGGCCTTCCTTGTCAGCCCCTCGGCGCAACGCCTGGCTCGCCTCGAGCTTCGAGCTCCCCTTGAAACCCTCATGCCTCCACGTCCCGCCCTCTCCCATGTCTTTGTCGATGGTAGGTGATGCAATATTCCCGTCCTGCTATGCTCGCCCCAATAAAGTCGCAACGCCGTTAACATGCTGTCCGCAGATCCCCTTCGCGTTCTATAGCCTGAAGCGCGCGAAAATACATAATACCAAAGTAAACGAGTCGTCCGCGCCGACAGCGTAGGCTCGGCCCGTTGTGGAGTCATATGAGAGGCTGTGTTCCGCTTCCGGCAATGTATAGCCGGCCCAGCAGTCTGGGAAGCCGGCAGCGAAATGCCGTCTAGTCATCATGGAAGGAAGAATGTCTTGTTGCCGCCCTGCAACGGAGCCGTCGAGGGGCCGGCATCCTGCATGTCGACGTCTTGCGCTGCCGTGTCTTGGCTGGGGCAGGCGAATGGTGCCTTGCCTGCCCGATATTCCAGCCTGGCGCTCGACGGTCGTTCGGGATCATCTTCGAGGACGCGCTGCTGAAGCGAGAGTGGGCGCTCATACTGCTTTTCTTCTGGCGGAGAAAAAGACCAGACCTGCAACGCGTTAGTCATAGAGTCTGCGGCGCTGCAGCCTGGCACTACTCACCTCCATCACGGTCCGACCGTGTCTCAGAGCCAGCGCGACGCACTTTTCCTCTTCAAACGCCACTCGCCACACCGCCTCGCCCTGGGCAATCAGCTCGCGCACGAGGTGCCCAGTCTTCAAATCCCAAATCTTGACCCGACCGTCGCTACCGCCGCTGACGACACGAGTATCGTCAAACTGCAGGCTGGTGACACTGTTGTCATGAGCGGCAAGCCGGTGAATCGGGCACATCCTCTCCAGCGACCAGACTCGGACAGACCCGTCGGATCCTCCAGTCACCAGAGTGTCTCCCCGCATCTGCAACTGACCGACGAGGGACGTGTGGCCCTGGAGAATGGCCAGGCACTCCCTGCGATGATTGTCAGTAAACTTGGTATCAGATAAGACCCGGAGAGGCAGAAAGGACGTCACGAGACGGCTTACCCAGTCGTAGGATCCCACACCCGCACATTCGTATCCAAGCTGCCCGTTACCACTCTTTTGCCGTCGAAGGCGATGGCGTAGATCTGGCTGAAATGGCCTTGCAATGTCTGCAGACAGCGACCCTCCGAGATGCTCCATACCCGAGCAAAGGTGTCGTAGCTCCCGGAAACGACAATGTCCCCCTTGATCTCCAGGCATCGAACACTTGACTGGTGCCCGACGAGCACGTTTCTGCAGAGTCCCGTTCGGATGTCCCAGATTCGGAGGGTGGTGTCTCGCGATCCGGAGATGGCGGTGTTTGCATCTGCCATTTTGAGGCATCGGACCGTCGAGGTGTGCCCGCGGAGGGTATGCAAACAGGCTCTATGCACGCATAAGCTTCCCGGTGAACCTTGCCATGGCCAAGGTCATCAACCTACCCCGTCTTGAGATCCCACACACGCACGTCGCGGTCACAGCCGCCGCTGACCATGGTGTCTTCCCACGGGACCATGGCCCAGACCCCCATCACGTGGCCTTGGAGGATGCGCTGGGAGTCGCCCTCGGTGTCGAAGACGTGGATCTTGGCGTTATCCAGGGCCACGATGATGTACTTGGGAGTTAGATGCAGGCTGGTGACGACGCCGCCCTCTTGCGTGATGTTTCTGTGCACGCTAGTTCCGCGCGAGCGCCATGCCGCCTCCACCAGATAGCGTTGCTTGAAGTGAGACTTGTAGGTTCGCAGCTTCGGCCTCTCGGTCGTGCCGTCAAAGCTACGGGACCCTGACGGGTGGCTGGAAAATGGGGGGTGGGAGCCGGGAAAGCTGTTGCTGACCGTCATCTCCGTGTCCATGTTGCAGGGAGTCAAGGCGTTAGATTTCATCAGGATAGGCGATAGTGAGTTGACTTCTGATAGCCGACGGCCGTAGTCGTGCTTGACGCAGAGGTTCTTCCATGTCATGTCGTCGCCAAGGAGATCCCGCCACCGCTTGGAGACCTGTGACGCGCGAGCCAGGACTTTGGGGTCGTCGACAAAGGACAAAATCTAGGCACTGGATTAGACGGTGACGCCAAAGGTATGCGGAGAGGTAGGGGGCTTCTCACCCTCAGGCATAGCTCGTCGGGCAAGCTAGTAAAGGGATCCTTCTTCAAGAGCGGGCTGACAAATTGATGGACGAAACTCAGCTGCGGGCTGGTGCAGAGGTTGAGGAGGTCTGCTAATATCCGTGTCCGCTGCGGCCCCGAGCAGCCCTTAAAGTGCTGGCGGACCTTGGAAAGGAAGAAGTCTTCGTCGTCGGCGGCGTCGCTCCAGTCGGGCTGGCAATGTGCAGGACCGGGGGAAGCGGCGGGCGTGGGGGGCGGCGGCGGAGAACCCGTCAGCTGCTGGTCGTAGTCGGCGGCAGGCGTGGGCATGCTTGGGGTTGGGGGCCCCCGCAGTTGGCGCTGCTGGGGCAGCTTCTCCAAGCGCTGGCTCATGGCCGAGTTGTTGGTGTTGAGGGCGAGCTCGTCGCTGAGGAGGCTACCTCTCCTCTGGGAGAAGCTCATGGGTCGCTCGTAGCCGGCCATGACCTGGCCTCTCGACGTCGATGATGTGTCGCAGCGACGGGCGAGGCAGTCGGGAATGGCGGCGGCGAGTGCACGATGCTTGGGGAGCCGTCGTCGATGACTTGGAGAGCGAACCGGGCGCCGACGTCAGCAGCGCCTAAAGCGAGCCCAGAGCGGGTCACGTCAGCTCTTGTACAGGGGCGCGGCAGAACGCGCCCACGACTTGAGGAGCGATGCAGGGAGGCAGAGTATTTGGACGCTGGTTGGTATTGAGGGAGGCTTGCATGTGGTGTCTTCGGGCCGGAAGGCAAGCGAGCAAGACGTAGACGGTCATGGATGGAGAGGGAGGGGGGGGGGGACGAGGCGCTAACGGAAAGGCATACCTGTAGCCGCAAGTGGCATGGGGCGGGCAAGATCAGGAGACGGCCCTAAAGTGAGAGCAGACGCCGCGTGGGGGGCCAGGGAGGGGGGGCAGAGGATGAAAACGGCACAAGCTTGAAGCACCCTTTTCTTGTTCTGTTCCCCTGGCAAACGGTGAGCCCGGGCGCGAAGTGGACGACGGGTGGGCCAGCGATTGACGGCGATGTACGAAGAGAGAGTGAAGGGATGGGGGCAAGGTTTGACTTTGCGCGGCAAAGGCCCCGTACTTTGTAGAGAAAGCCCCGTTCGCTAGGCTGGCGAGCAAGACGGCGCGAGGAGCAGGTGAGGATGTGGATGGGGGAGGGGATGAATGAGAAGGCGGGGAGGAGGAGCCGAGGAGGAGGAGGCGCGCGCAGCCAAGATGCGATCAATCGATCGTCGGTTGAGATGATGGGAAGCGAGTGAGCGTGAGTTGAGCGAGCAAAGGTGAGAGAAGGCGAGGAGGAGTGGAGGAGCAGCAGGGGCTCTGGGGCTGGGGGCTGGGGGCTGGGCGCGGTACCGGTGTGGGTGGATGGGTCCACGGGAGGAATGGGCTATTTAGGCTCTGAAGAGCACTGACGAGTGACGGCCCGGGGGAGTGCAGTGGGTTGTGCAGCACAGCGGACAGCGGGTTTTAGCAGTGCATCAAATCTCACGGGGAGAGACAGCAGCGTGCGGGGCCTCTTGGCGTCCCGTGCTCGCAGTGCGGAGTATGTACCTGCCGCCTGTTCAGAAGGGGGCGTGCACTGTACATGTGCCGGTACAGTACGTGCCGCACCGGCTGGCTGTCTTCAAGTCATGGATTTACGGCAGGCCAAAAAGCACTGCTAAGCGCACTGAAGATGGCGGTAGACATGACTCTCGGCCGGCATCGGCACAAAAGCAAGCAATTCCGTTTATTTATTGGGGTTTTGGCTCGCAGAAGAGCAAACAGCGCGGCGGCGTTAGCACCATGGCGGCAAAGAAGAAGGAAAAATGGCCCGTGCCAGCGGGCAGCGCAGCGGCTGGGCGGCTCTGAACAGCTGGCGGCGGCGGCTGCCGTTCCCGCCGTGCATCTGCATGCAACCTCTCCGCCGGCGGGACAGTGTCAAGGTTGCGGTCAAGGCACTGTATTTACCGCAGAACCGGCCGACACGCTGGGCACACGGATATGGCGGGGACTCTTTGGCAGCAGGCGCGTGCTACCGTGCAGCAGAGATGGGTCTTTCCAACCTCCAAGATTTCCTAGCAATTAGCAGTCAAATTGGCGTCGATTGGTGTCCCAGAACGTCAGTTCGGAATTGAGAGTGTCGTCCGTCGTGGGTGTGATTAGTAGACTGGGTACGCGCACAGTGTGGCTGCCGGGCAGAATCTCCACCGCACGAGTGCGCGTACAGTGCGATAGCTGCCTTCCACTCGATGCCTGAACCATGTCTATTGACCTGGAAGTGGATGTGATAAAATATCCGTCAACAACGCAGAATACACAGACATGTCGCCAAGCTGCAGCGGCACCACAAGTACCCAGCATCCGCGGCGCCCGGCCGGTGAGAGCACCTGGTGCTGTAGACGCACCCTCATGCATCATCCGTCCAGACGTTGCATCTTGGGCTGCAGAAGCCGGCAAATTACAGTACCCAACTCTTTGCTTCTTTCGATTCCACATCCGGCAAGGAGACTTGGGCCAGGCACCATTTGGCCAAAGATAGGGGCCGGGGGAGGGGCCGGGGGAGGAGCCGGGCGGCTGCTGTCGAGCGAGATGCGATCAAGGTCGGCGCCCTCTTCTCGCGTCATGCTCGACAGCAAATCGGTACTACAGTATTATCACTTGCACAGAGTACAGTAAGGTAGGTAGGTACTTACCTGGCCCGTGGGCAGATCAGTACCCTGAATGTACGTCGAGACTGACCTCGTACGAGCTGCCAAGTGCTCGGCATCGGAGGATTGGCTGAGCACGGATCGCCGCCATGCTGCCAAGCAGGTATGTGTGTAATTATATTCTGGACTGTATTTGCAGCAGGCGGCGGTTGGACGGCGGGAGCAAGCATGCCGGCGTAGACCAGGTCATGGGAGATGGCCGACGATTCTCGAGACGTGTCAGTCTCTCTGCTGTCCGTCAGTCCGCCTGCACCGTCCCCGTATAACAAGGCTCCAGCAAAGCACCCTCGGCCGCAGGTGGCGCTGCACCCGGATGCGCCTGACAGCAGCTGGGCTGACAATGGGTTCAGTTCTCGTCCATCACGCCCCTCGTCTCACGAGCCCCGTCATCCGCCGCCGCCGGCTCCCACATGTCTTACGTCTCAACTCCCTTTGCCAGCTGGCTCGGCTTGTCTGGAGACACCACGCTTCTTTCCCCCCACCTCTTTCTTCGGACCGCAGCACCCTCTGGGCTTTACATGTAGCACGACGTGCAGCTGACGACGGACTGTGCGACGCATGGGCGATACTTTGGCTCTCGTGCTCTGTACGAGACAGTGAGCATAGTTACGTACCGCCGTTGCCGTTTCTATTTCGGGCGTACCGGCGGGTGCGGGCGGGCACTGACTGACCAAGCACAGGACGATAAATGGCCGTTTCGCGCTTTGTATCCGCGCCTCTTTGCACAAGCCCGGAATACGTACCTACCACTCACCCTTCCATCATCCGTCGACCAAGTCAGGCGCCGCCTGAATGCAGTCGAAGCGGCAGACCGTCGGGGCACGAGTAATGGGCGCCACAAACGCTCAGTCCGGTGAGCCCGAGACGAGGGCGCATGGGCCCCGACTTGAAACACCCGACCTCTGCACCGGCCTTTGTCCACCAGCGAGCAACGACGGCGCATGGCCAGGCAGCAAGGGCCCATGACCAATGTACTGGATCATCCAGGTACCCGCGGTGAACCAGTGGTATTTTGCTCAAGAGTCGTCCTCCAGCCGAAACACCCTACGCAGGGCCACCGTTATCGTAGGTGCCGCCGTCGAGATTCGAGCAACGGCCTCGCCATGCATCCCCCATGCTAGATACCATGCCAGCATGTCAAAAATCCATCCCCCTCCCCCTCATCGCGTAAAGGACCATCAATGATGATGACCAAACTGTGTGAGCAGAGGCAGAAACATGCCCGCCACCGTGGCAAGCGTGTCGCGCATCTGGGGACCCTTGGTTTCCGCTGGTTGGCCGAGGCCCCCTCGACGTACCCGTTGGCTCCTGAGCCGTGGTCGTGGCTGTGCGATGTCCCGTCCTCTTCCATGGCATGCATGGCGACATATCTTGTGCATCGTTAGCATACACATGCCAGTACAGCAGAGACCAACCCTTGGACTCACAAAAAGGTGCCGCCCGAGAAAAGCAGCAACATGCCCGTCCACCACTGCCCCTGGGCATCCCCGAGGTCATCGCCACCGAGCAGCTTGATCAAGAGCCACGTCGCCAGCGCGCCCACCGGAGCGGCCATGCTGAAGACAATCAGATGGCCTCTGGCCGCCCGCTTCGACAGTCCCTGTCGGAGAAGCACCGATGTCAGGCCAAAGGCGGCCGGGGCCTTGTGGATCATGATGGCAATAAAGATGATGAGCCCGAGCTTCATGTTGGACGTTGCCGACGATGCGCCCATGGCAATGCCGTCAGCCGCCGCGTGAATCACCAAGCCAATGGTAGTCGCCAGGCTGCGAGCCCGCCGGGGCGTCGGCGTCAGGGAGCCGAGGAACCCGTCGGCCTCGTCGTCAGCCAGGGCCCCGTCCACCCCTAGACTGTCGAGGCTCATGTGCGTCGTCTGGGGCCCGGATTGGAAAGTCTCCGTCGCGTGCCTGGGCAGCCTGTCAATGAGGAACATGAGGACGAATCCCAGAACCATGGAGAAGCCAACTTCAAACGCCGGAATCTCTGCGTGGCCTTGCTCGCCGTGCTTGTCCCCGTCTCGCTCGGGAGCCCCCCGGCGCATTTGCGGATGAGTCGGAGTCGCGCGTGTCCTGCGTCAATTCCGTAGACTCGGACGCAGCTCGAGAAATGATAATATTCGAGAGGGCGTGCTCATGCTCGAGCTCATCGCCCACCATGTCTCGTCGTAGATCGATGCTCGCTGCGGGAGCCAAGGTGGGCTCATATCGCTCCTCGATCGCTAGTTTCCACGGCGCCCTTTGCGCAAGACTCCGTGCGCGATGGGCGTGGGACGACGAAGCCGGCGTAACGGCCGCTTGGATGCCCTCTGGTATGATGACGATGAGGGAAGTCCCTACGAGGACTCCGACGCCGATGCTCGAGATGAGACGTAGCTGCGAATGCGACAGCGTCATGGACAGCGGCAAGGCTCCGGCAAGGAACGAGCTGTGAGGAAAATAGTCAGCGCGCTGCATCGGCGGTCTCGATGCGATTGTTCGTACGCCAATGCCATGACCACCTGTAGACAACTGTCAGCCAAGCAAGCTCCGTGCGCAATGTCAGAATCGGTCTGGGGATCAAGACTGACGCATAACGACAGGAGCAGAAAGATGCCAGCCATGATGGCTGCGAGGCCGAGGCCAGCAACGACTGGCGCGGGAGAGCAATTGCGTTGCCGGCTCGACTATTCGCACGACATGGCCGCTCCAGTAGCGCTCGGGCGGAGTAGTTGCTGTCTGTCTGTTACACGGCTCCCGATGGAGAGGGGAGGTTGGTTCTCCTGCAGCAGGGAGATTTGAGAGGCCGGACGGGATGGAGGAGGTTCGCCGAAGCGATCCAAGCTTTTGCACAACGTGGACAAAAAAGGGTAAGGTGAGGTACCTGATGCAAGGTACCGCGCCTCCTGATGCCTTATCGATTCGTTTCCGACTGGCTTCAGGCCTTTAATGGGTGCTCCGTAGCTCTACATAAGAAGCGGTTAGATAGTACATCATTTGGAAAGTACCTCTACTTACACTCTTCTCCTTCTAACAAGGACCTTGCACAGGCCAAAGTTGAGTACCGCCTGGCACTTGCACAGAGAGCGGGTACTTGCAGAATATACAAGTACACTCCGCCTTCGTGCTGAGATGCCCTGCTAAAAATTCGCCCTCCAACTTCAGCCTCGTCACTGCCGCCCATCGAGGGTCTCTTCTCCAACGCATGTGCGCCCACCCTCCTGCTGGCAGGCAGCCACACTCTGTAACGACCGTTGCTCTGCGAATCACCCCCCGGGGCCTCTTCAAACCCTTGTGCTTGGCCTTGTTGTCCCTTCCTCACCGCCGGATCCTCGGAGGATGAAGGTCGCGACATGAGCTACTTACTCTCATCCCCAAACAGGCACCATGTTCTCTCATCTATCAATCCGACGCCGCCTGCCGGGTCACGTCATACGACCAGCAGACACACCGCGGACTCTGAGCGCGAGCGGCCCAAGGTCACCCCAAGGTCACCCCCAACGGAACCCAAGCAGCCCGAGGATCACGATGAGAACCCGCTGCGTCCGAGATCGTCGCGCCTCAAGCTCAAGACTTCTAGGCGACGACATCGCTCCCGAACCCGCCGCCCGGACCGGGATGAGGACCTGAACGAAGCTACCTCGTCCCACGAGTCAGGCAGCCACCATCGTCGCCATGGCCACCGCCATGGCCGACGGCACAGATCTGCGTCCCGAGGCGACTCCCCCGAGATCCCCGGCCCGCCACCGCTCGATCCGGAAACGGCTTTTCGCGAGTCCCTCTTCGACGCCATGGCCGACGACGAGGCAGCCTCGTACTGGGAGCACGTCTACGGCCAGCCCATCCACGTCTACCCCAACGAAAAGGTCGGCCCCCAGGGCGAGTTGGAGCGTATGACCGACGACGAGTACGCGGCCTACGTGCGACAAAAAATGTTTGAGAAGACGCACGCTGGGCTCCTCGAGGAAAATGCCCGCCGCGAGGAGCAGCGCAAGCGCAGGGAGCGCCAGCGGCAGGACAGGCGCCGCGAGCAGGACGAGCACGCGCGCCGCAGCCGCAAGCTCCAGGACGACGTAGAGCTGAGCCTGCGCCGCGGCGAGGCACGCAAGCTGCGCAAGGAATGGGATGGCCTCTGGGCAGACTACGCCGACGGCTGGGCGGCGTGGGATGGCCAACTGGCCAAGCTGCCGTGGCCGGTCAAAGGGGGGCGGCGCAAGGACATCACGGAGGAGGATGTCCGGACGTTTTTCGTCCAGGGCTTCAACCTCCAGGCAGTCGGGGAGCGGGCCTTTGCCGCCCAGCTCAAGGAGGAGCGCGTCCGCTGGCACCCGGACAAGATCCAACAGCGCCTTGGCGGCGTGGTGGACAGCGACGTCATGAGGGATGTGACGGCCATGTTCCAAATCATCGACCGACTCTGGGGGCAGACACGATAACAACCCGTCTGCAGGGACGGCTCGCTTCCGAGATGACATCACGGCCAAGGTAATTGGAGTTCGGGCTATTGTGCCTATATATGATAAGATACCCTTTCCTTGAATCAATCAAAACGTCTTAAGACTTGCGAGGTTTCACAACAGGAGCGGATAGAGACGACATGGCCGAGTATTCGCGTGCGTGCTGAAGTTGCTTTCAATTGACGCCATCAAACCATACCTAACGCCATTCCCATAGCAGTACTTCCATAACTTCGTTTCACACTCTCTTTGGTGGAAACTCACATATCAATGCAACAATGATTCCGACATGGCTGCTGGCCTCGTGAAGAACCATGGGTATTATCCATTCCTTTGCCATCCGTCACATATGGTTCTTGCTAGGCCTCGCCACTTCATTCCCAACCCAACCTGACCATGGCACCTGGTTGGTCGAGTTGGTTGGAGTCCTCCGTGCAGGCATGTCTAAAAGTTGGCAAACATGGCCGCGCCACCCATGAGGGCACCCATGGCGACGGCGGCCGTGGGCCCGGGACCGTGTGCACCGGCTCCGGGGCTGTCGGTGGCGCGGCTGGCGACGCTGCTAGTGGCCCTCGCGACGCTCTCGGTAACCTTGCTGAGCTCTGCGCTGATGCTGCTGCGGACCGAGACGTCGGTCTCGGTGGCAAGGCGCTGGCTGATGCTCGAGGCCTTGGCGAGGGCCTCACTGCTGGCGCGGGCAATGTCGGAGCCGAGCTGGGCGGTGCGGGTGGCGACGAAGCTGGAGGCGTCACCGACGAGCTTGGTGCCGGCGGAGCGGCCGTCCGAGTAGGCGTTGGCGACGGTAGAGGCAGCGCCGTTGACAAACGTCTCGGCGCGCGAGACGGCACCATCGACAAAGGTGCTCACTTGGTTGATGATGTCTTGCTGGGGCTCGGGGGTGGCCTGCACATGAGGTCAGTTTGCATGCCGGTTTGCGACGAGGCGAGGGTTATGGAGTGGAGGACAGAGAAGGCAGAGTGAGGGGGCACGGATGCAGGCAGAGGAGAGGGATTCATACCTGGACAGCCGCGGCCAAGGCGACAACAGCGAGGTTGGAGAACTTCATGTTGACGAATTGTTCTTGAGCGGGTTGGATTAGAGAGGTGTGGGAATGCTTTGATAGATAATGGTGATGGATGCTCGCGGGGACCAGAACGGACGCTGAAGAAGCGAAGACGAGCTCGGTTGGCCGGATCGCCTCGCAGGTGCTGTACAGTACGAAGGTACTCTATGCATACCTTGTTTGCTTGGGCTCCGTAATCCCCAAAGGCCCCACCATGCAGGCGGCGCAGTCCGCAGCTAGTGGTGTGCGTGCGAGACGAGACAGGTACCGGTACATGTCGGTGTACATGTCGGTGGGCTGCCTCCCTGTTTGCATGGACGCGCAACGCTGTCGTCTGCGGCGTGGAGAGGCAAGGAATATTAGTTTGGGCCTCTCCACGCTGAATCAATGTACATAGGTACAGTACTGTACAGAGAAGGGCACCCACGGTTGCTGGGTGACGCACTGGCGGGCGAGGATGATCAGCGTGGATAAACCGAGTGCACTCCAGGAAAGCCAATCACAGCACGCCGTTGGGCCTGCCGAGTGGGGACGGAGCACAATGACGCTGCTCCGACCAACTGCTGCCAGTGCCCAGAGCTTGGCGCGACGGAATGCTCGAGCAAGTCGGACATCATGTCGGGCGAGTGATTCGACTTTGCACGGCTCTGCATGCCTTGGACAGTTGCAACCAAGGCTGTGTGCTGTTACAGCCTGGTTTTTAGGCTCCTCGGCCAATGTCTGGTTCTATTTTTGGACTGAGATGCTGTTAATGCTGCTCATCACCAAGGTGGATGGGGGAATGCGACCACGCTTGGCACCTGCGTCCATCTGCAAACCCATCTCTGTACCGGTACTTGGTTGACTCCAGGGCAGCTGTGCCGGGGCCCACCGACTTTTCAGCTTCGCCCAGGTCGAAACAGGAAGCAGCTGCCGTTGCCGCTGCCATGAGAGCTGAGCGCTGACGGAAGACGCCACTACGCCTTTGTGGCGCGCGACTCCGTTTGCTGCTGAGCCACACGTTAGTCGCGTCATTGCGTACGGAGTTGCAGTAATACTGTACTGTACAGTACATATCCGCCGGGCCCTTTCCCAAAGGGTCAATCTCTGGTACGTACATGGACAGTTGCGTGGGTACCTGGTAGGTACAATGTGCAATTTCGCTCCGCCCTATGCCGCCTTTGAATTTTCATATATTAAAGCGTCTACCGCGATGAACCGCGTTCGAAAGCCAAACGTCTGCTTGAGGTGGTCGGTCGGTAGGGATGCGTGTACGCGTACCACCGTCGCCGAGTTCGCCTTGAATTCTGTGCTGACGACAGACAGTCCGTGCGTTACCCCCATCTGACGTCTTGCGTGCAGATGGCTTCAGGCCAGCGAGCCAGTTCCACGCCCTTCAAGTGTACTGCACGCCTCAAGAGATCGCTGGCCCAAAACATCGGTAAAGCATTGCGCCAGCCGTGTAGCGAAGAGGATTTGCGGTGACTTGATCTGCTGCAGCGCAAATACAATCTGGACAGCGCTGAGGGCACCAGGTTGCCACCAACTGTCCAGAAAGGCTCCATGGTGTTGCGCTACACTGTCGAGGTTCCCGGTGCCCCGTCAAGGTTGTGGGTTGGCCACCCAACAACGAAGAGGGCGGATACCAAGTGACCGATGACGAATAGCTTGAACATGAGGCCTCCCCGGAAACAGCCAGTCCCTTGTCCATCTGGGCCTGGTGTATCGTGGCGAGTAGCTGCCGACTGCTACGCATGACGGCCGGCGGGCACCACCAGCGGGGTGTACTGTGCCAGAAGCGGAAGCCGAGGATGAAGTCGCGGAATACCCATTCCGATTGCAAGATGTTGCCGCAAAAGCTGCTGACGATGACATCTGCGTATTCACCGACGCCCCAGCTAAAGGCATCGTCTTCGGGTCTGTTTACTGGCGGTCTCGGCCCCGGTGGTAGACTCCGGGGATGCGCACGGGGCCCCAGGCTCTCGACTGACCCCGATTTGCCCTGTCCACTCGGGACAGAAATTTGTCGTAGGTGCCATACTCGTCGACGTTGAGCGGGTATGTCGCTCGTTCTGGGGCCTGCTTTCGCGGCTCGTGCCACGCAAACGCCGATACTACGTCGAGATATTTCCCGGCCTGGCCAAGAAAGCGCTGGTCGAGCTCTACCTGCCAATAGTGGTCGAACCCCGGATGATACAGTGCAAAGAGCTGCAGAGGCTGGAACACTTGGAGCAAGGTCCTGAGCAAGGCTTGTGTTAGTTTCCGATGGGCTCTTCAAATTGATCAGGATTAAACTGGAAGCTTACTGATGTTCATTGACTGCATCGTACCACGACTCCAACAACTGATCGCTTCACAGTATCCTCATGGACCGAAACTCTGGCGCAATGTTGGCAGCCTTGAACGCCGCATCGTACCTCTTTTCGGAGTCGAAGACGTTCGCCGCTGGGTCTTGTATATGCACGAGCAAGAAGACGGCATATTCCCCGCCAGAGTGAAGTGCCGTCTCGACAATGAGAGAGCGGAGGTTCCACAAGTCTTCTGGCTTAAAGGCGAAGCTGGAAAAGCCGCGAATGACAGTGGCTGTCCTTCGAGAAGGACTGGTCCCTGAAAACTCGTCAAGGGGGCCCGCCGTCGCGTCCGATGCGTTTGCATTCTTGAGCGCAAATTTCCTGCCGCCCAAGATTTTTGCCGGAGGCGAGTGGATGGGGAATCGCTTGACGTTTCGCTCCGGGCAAAGATGCTGCATGCGCCCAGTCGACCTGGTTTCAGTCGACCTTGGTGCGGTTGTAGCCATCGGTATCCTCTCCGAATCCATAACGGCCGTATCGTCCATCGGCCGTCATCCACACTCGTCGATGCCAAGTTCTCACTGGGAGCCTATAAACGGAGAGGGATACACTGCGCGGCGGGTTAGCAAGAGCCGTGGTGCCTCTGCAGCATGCAAGGGCTCGTCGCACCTTGGTCTGGATGGCCATAGCGAAGCTCGTCGTCAGGGCTGTCGGATAGGAGAAGGCGTCGCGGCCCATGGCACGATGTCGGCTTGGATAGAGCGGGCAGTTTGCCCTCGCCAAACGCGCGCACAGGATGGCCGTCCTGCCGCTCTGGAAAGGTTGAGAAATGAAGAACCAACAAAGTGCGCAAAGCCGCGGTGCTCAGGTAGAAGAGGCGTGAAGAGCGGTGGAGAGGGCCGAGCATTGTCAACGGGGTTAAGCAAGAAAGTCGGCATCCTTGGTATCGAGCGAGCGGACTGGTGGGTGATAATGAGCCATGCCCCAGTCATCACGACCGGCAAGATTCCCCAGGGGGGAAGCTTCACGCGGCGCGGTCGTGCTGGCGACAGCAACGTCGCTAACCTTTCCCTGATCATGGGCGACGCACGCGTGGGCCGTGCGAGGCCACGACTCGCGGGCCACTTTGTCAGGCTCTTTCGTCGCGACGCCTGCGGAGAGACATGCGGAGGCTGCCTCATCGTCGGCTTCAGGATCTGGCCTCGGGTTACACGCGTGGTCAAGACGTGTGGCTTGAAGGTGCGCGGAGCAGCCCTGGCAACCCACGGTATCAGACTTGTCCATCGGAAACCCCATCGGGCTGAGTGGAGGTGCGGGTTCAAGCCGTGAATCGCCCGAGGGCGGCGGCCATGGTGGAGCGCCTCGCCGCCCTACGATGCTTGGTTTTCTCCGTCGACGTTCTCCGGGGGTGCCGGGCATTATGCGGCAGCAGGAGAGGCCCGGTGGAGTCGTTGGCCAGCGTCACACGAAGACGCCCGACTCTGTCTACCAAGCAGAGCGCCGAGAACCTCGAAGCACCACGAAAAAGAGCAAATCTCGTACGCGTGTTGCAACGCGGGGCCGAAAGCCGCGCAAGCTGCGTCGACAAAGCGCGAATCATGGTGCCGAGGAGGGCAAAAGAAAGCGTGACTCGTCATGCGCAGGCCATTCATCAGTGGCTTTTCACTCCATCTCATACTTGTTGCAAGGGATATAAAAGTATGACCTCGAAGTTGGTAATTAGATAGGACCTTCTGCGCCTCCCTTGTATCCATGAGAGAGTCGAGTTACATCCCCATTGCTGCTCCCAACGGGTTGTGCTTGTCTTCTATTGGAACGAGCTTCTCCGGCCTGCCTAGTAGGGCCATCAATAGTTCGAGGATCAGGTGGTTGAGCCCAACAAAGGCTGTAGTAAATGTGTGTTGATGAATAGCATCCGCCCTGGCTAATACGCACAGCGTTCAGTGTCAACCCCAGCTTCAGCTGCTGACTGATGCCTTCCAGACCTAATCCAAGAACTAGTTGGTATCCATTTACACATACTGCCTATGTAGGGCAGATATGGGTTCCGAGTCTACCCGTCTACCTACATACTTGACAGACCGACCTCGACAATCGTAAGAGTAGACCCCCTACTGGAAGTAGATATTCCATACCGATACAGCCCGCACCCGATGTCAGCCACGTCCACGACACGAAACACCAGCCTGCCAGCATCTGCACCACAAAGCCCGCACAACTCGTCCTCTCGGGTGCTCACGGATGCCTCCACAGTCGATCCATCAGTACACATCGCGGTACGGCGAGAAGCCCTTGGTCAACTCGGCCACAATCTCGGCCGCCTCGTCGGCGCTCCGGGCCTCAAAGTCGTACCGCTTCGTCTCCGTCGCCTTGTAGATGACGAGCTATCCGACGCCGTCAGCATCAAGACTCGAGGCCACACCAGAGAGGGGGGAGAGAGAGAGAGAGAAAGAGAGAGAGAGAGAGAGAGAGAGAGAGAGAGAGAGAGACGCACCTTGACGTTGGCAGGGTGCTTCCGCGGCACCTTGCACCCAATCACGTTGCTAAAGTGCACCGTCGTCGACTTGCCCTCGTGCACCCCCTTGCCCCCTGACGCCGGCGAGATGTGAATGTACTCGCCGTCAATCACCAGCGACCGCTCGCTCATGCCCACCAGCCGCATCGGCTGCTTGCGCCACACCGTGTACCGCTTGAGGTTCGCGTTGCCCACCTCGTCCTGCTTGCCCGCCTCGCGCGCCAGCGGGTGCAGCCCGGCCCCGACGCCCCTTCGGCCCAGGCCCCGACGCGCTGCCGCCGCCGCCGCCGCCGTTGCCGCCCCTTGCTGCCCCCCCTCGCCCAGCGCCATCATCTTGGGTGACGCGCTGCTCGGCGACCCCGTCATGCTCATCGGCCCGTCCGTCGCGAACCGCCGCCGGTACAGCTCCAGGTCCGACACGTTGCCGATCGACGACACCGGCCGGTCAATCATCACCACCGCCCCGGACCCCGGCAGCTTCAGCACGTGGTTGCCCTTGTCCAGCTGCCTCTTACGGCACACCAGGTCCAGCACCTCGGCCAGGTACGTGTCCGTCAGCACGTCCAGCGTCACCATCTGGCCCGGCGCCGTGTCCGCCGACATGAGGTGGATCCGCAGCAGCTTCTGCTGGCCGCGCGTCGTGTTGGGCACCGCCACCGGAGCCTGCGGCGTGTCGGCAAGTGATATGTTGGGCCGGTACGTCGTCGTGACAATGGGGTTCAGTCGCGGCCGGGCCTCGCTCATCGTCGTCACCGCCGGCGGGATTGACGGCTTGGGCACGGCGCCATCGTCTCGGCCCTCGCCAGGCTGCGGCTCCTCCTCTTCCTCGCCGCCCTCGTCCTCCTGCGGCGTCAGCGACTTGTTCTCCTCAAACTCCTCCTCCGTTGCCGGCACCAGGGCAAAGTCGTCGTAGACGGTCGAGTTGGACCGCAGCCTCCCGCCGCCCCTGGCACCGGCGTTGTTGACAGTGGTAAAGGCAGCCAGTTGCTTGGTCCTCTCAAAGGCGGGGAAGTCGTCGTCGACCTCGCCGCCCTCCTCCACCATCCGCAGCGTCCACCAGTTGATGTTGCGCTTCTGCGGCGCGATCGGCGGCTCGCGCTTCTCCTCGTTGAACCGGTACAGGCTGAGGCCAATCAGGTCGGCCACGGTGACGACGCGCTCGGCGCCCTGGCCGTCGTGCACCCGCGGCCGGATGAGCACCTCAAACGGCTTGTTGGGCGTCTTGGAAGAGGGCGCGTAGATGCGCACGTTGATGGCGCCCTGCGTGCCCTGCCCGCTGAAGTGGGCAAACTTCTGAAAGGGCACCGACGACTTGTGCCGTTTGGCCTTGAGCGCCGCCGACAGCAGGCTCTGGGGCTGAGCGATGCTGAGCGGGCGGATGGTGCTGAGCGGGCGTGGCGGCGGCAGGGCCTCGAGGACCATGGGCTTGGTGGGTGCATACGACTTGCGAATCGTAGACTGTCTGGTAAACTTTCTCGGGGGTGTGCCGACGACCGGCTGCGTGGGAGAAGCGTTGATTTGATTCTCGACGCCGTTGAGGATCGAGGCCGAGTCGATGCTCTCGACGTAATCCCCCGAAATGTCCGATCCCTCGTCCGAGTCGTCGTCGTCTTCCTCCTCCTCGGGAAGCAGTGTCGTCCCGGCCCTCCGGATGCCGGGCGCCGGCTCTTCGTTGATCTTTTCTTGCAGCTTGACGGACCTGGCCGCCGCGCGGGCCGCCTCTCGATGGCGGTGGGCTGCAGGGAGGTCGAGCTCGTTCTCCGACGACACCTCGCTGCTGGTGACGGTGTCGCGGCGCAGCCTCTCCCTGACCGTCTCGAGGGCCGACTGGGACCCGCGGCGCGGCTCGCGGGGCGACGTCTGCTGCTTCATCATCTGCGAGGCCTGGATGGGCGAGGAGCCGGCGCGCGGCCTGATGGGCATCTTGGAGAACTTGATCTGCTGGGCGGCGCGCTGCTCGCTGTCGTCCTCGCTGTCATCGCTGAGGTCGCTGCTGTCGTCCTCCTCCATCTGCTCCCGGCGGCGGCGCCTCTTAGTGGCCATGCCGGGGCCCATGGTGTCGGCGCCGCCGCCCGTGAGCATGCCGCCGTCGTCGTCGCCGTCCTCGAGCGTCAGGCCGACGTGTCGCGGCGCCTGGAAGTACTCGGAGGCGATGGCGGTGGGGATGGGCGGCGAGTGCGTGCGCTTGGTGTGCGACGTGTCGGGCCGCCAGCCCGCGGCCTTGAACGAGGCCGAGTTGAGGAAGCTCTCGTCGACGGTGATGAGTCGCTCGCCAACCCCGTCGGCGATCTCGTCGAGGTATCTCGTCCGGAGCTGGTACGAGACGAGCCTGCGCCGATATCAGCAACCCAGCCTTTGTCTTTGCAAGGTGGTGCACCTACTCGTCTAACTGGAGGACGGACATGATGGCGGCTGGAGAAAAGACGGGCTGGCAGAGCAGTCGCCACGAATGCCCGTCTACATGTTCATCAGCCGAGGGGCGCTAGACGTGGTTCGCGGTGCGGCAGTGTGTTGCGAGGACATGAAGGTGCTTGCTGCGATGTCGACGGTGATGAGGGTGTGAGGTTGCATCACGTCAGTCCGAGGGTGGCACAGTGACTGCAGCAGTGCATCCGGCCCCGCCCCAGGGGTCTCTAGGGGACACGCAGCATGAGATACAGCATGAAATACAGTGGAGTGCAGCGAGCAATGCGCTAGCACGACCACTAGTGGCCGAAATGCCGGGCGGTGGAGACGCATTTTGTCACGGGCCGACTTTTGTTGACAGGCAGCTGCAGCAACTTTCCCGATACATCGGCTCATTCCCGACCCAACCTCAAACCACCACCAGCACGGCTTCTCCTTCTGCTCCGCCCGAAAGACAAGTCGCTACCATGGTTCTCGTCGACTACTCCGAGTCCGATGCCTCAGCCTCCGAGTCGGAAGCGCCCCCAAAGCCGGCCCCCGCTCCAAAGGCGGCAGCAGCAGCGCCCAAGAAGCAGGCCTTCCAGAAAGTTGTCGACCGCTCCAACAGAGGCAAAATCACCGTCAGCCTCCCGCAGCAGGTACTGCCGGCGACCGGCGACGCCAAGCCCGACGAGCCCCCGGCCAAGCGAGCCCGCACCTCCGGCGCGACCGTCTTTTCCGGCTTCAACTCGATGCTGCCGGCGCCCAAGAACGCGGCTAAGGCGGGTGGTGGTGGCCAGGCGAGGCGGCCGGGCGTCGCCCTCAAGACGAGCGCGGAGCCGGGATTCAGGCGTGGCGGGAATGAGAATGAGGGCTACTACGGTGGGCGAGGCGGGGGTGATGGGGCGGCTGCCGAGGCTGTGAGCGAGGCGCCGCTGAGCCGAGCGGCCGAGACGTCGGTGTCGCAGGAGCAGAAGCCAGCAGACGAGGTCAAGCTGGTCGGCAAGCCCTTGATGTTTCGGCCGCTTTCTGTCGCAAGGACCGCCAAGAAGAAAAAGGGCGCCAGGGTCGGCGGGGCCCAATCCACGACACCCTCGTCGAGTGCGGCGACTCAAGAAACGGCCAAGACGCAAGCGGCCTCGGCTTCGGCGCCCCCTCCCGCCAAAAAGGTTTCTCTCTTCTCCCTGCACAGTGAGGAGCCGCAAGAGCCAGCAACGACACGGCCAGCGCCAGGCGGGGCCTACGAGCCTCTCTTTGAGGCCGGCCCTCCCCCAGAGCCTACCCCCCAAGACTATGCCCACTATGCGGCTCAAACGCAGCACGGTGCGCCGCTGGCAACGACTGGCCCCGGCCCCGACAGCCTGGACAGCATCGCGGACGACCTGCAGCTCTCGGCGGCCGCCCGGCGCCAGCTCTTTGGCCGCGACGGCGGCCCCCGGGCTGCCAAGCATGTCATCAACTTCAACACGGACCAGGAGTACCAGCACAACGAGACGGTTCGCGCGGCGGGCGAACAGCAAATCCACCAGCCCGTGCGCGCGCTGCAGGGCGGCAAACACAGCCTGCGGCAGCTCGTCCAGAACGTGCACAACCAGCGCGAGGCGCTCGAGGACAGCTTCGCCAAGGGCAAGAGCAACCGCAAGGAGGCGTCCAGCCGATATGGCTGGTGATGACCCGAGGAAGACTTCGAAGCGGCTGTGCTTGAACAGCAGACACGGCTATCGAATCCAACAAGTCTCTTATTAAATCTTGTTGGCTGGCCATTTGGTGGGCCCTTTTCCTACAGTGTTATACAGGGATATGATGCGATGATGCCGCAAGAGCATGATCAAGCCTCAGACGGCGTCAACAGACGAGCGAATACACTCCAGGGCCCGCCCAGAGTCTTCCATTCTGAGACCATTTTCAGCCCTGTCCACTCATCGTCGCCTCAACAGGTTTCCACTGTGACGGTACGTCCGCTTCGGAGCACGCTATCCACCATCAAGAACCCCCACTCGCCGCGGGTAACGGGTGATATGTCGCCATAGGTCTTGGGGGTCAATGGCCCGGGCCCTTTAGCGAACGGATCCGGGCTGAGGACCACGGGCTTTGTGCTCAGGACGTGGTCGATGGACGGCTCGGCCCAGGGGTCGAAGCCTATGGTCAGGAAATTCTCGGGCAGCGCTGTGCGGTCGCCATCGTCGTCGTCGTCGTCGTCGTCATCTTGCCATGGCCACCGCGGACTGTCAGTCGGGGGCGGCGTTGGGCCAAAGTCTATTTGCAGCTTGAGGGTGGGGACTCTCGGGGAAGGGGACAGAGAGGTTTCGGGGGTGGTGATGGCGATGCCAATGTCGTCGGGGTGCGGAAAGGCAAACTCGGCCTCGAGCAGATCATCTTGGCACGGAGAAGGCGACGTCTCGGGCTCGGGCGCGGGCTCGGGGTGGGGGGGAGTGGCCGGATCTGGCATGCCGGCGATGGCGCCGACCTGCTCCGGGCCGCCATAGGCGCGGCGATACATGCGGTCGAGATGGTCGACGGTGTCATCGGAGAGAGAGAGCCAGTCGTAAGAGCGGAGGAGGGCCGACTTGCTGACCCTGGTGCCGTTGTTGGCGAGGACGAAGCGGTGGAGCTCGTCGGTGGCGTCCTCCAGGCGGACGGGCGAGCGGGTCATGGAGTAGCTCGACAAGGCGCACTTGAGGCTGAAGAAGCGGTCGAGGGAGACAAGGGACAGGCCTTGTGAGGCGAAGAGGACCTCGTTCTGGACGAGGGAGCTGCTGAAGAGTTGGACGGGCAGTCCGCAGGCGGCAGGGCTGACGGGTTGCGAGAACCAGGGGCCACTGCGACGGGCTGCTGTTAGCACCGCAGCGGGTCAGGTCGTTGGGGGGAGCGTATCTTACCCGGTGCCAAACCTTTGCTCGGCCCTGGCGAGGATGCCGCACAGGGTCCTGTGGGCGCGCGTAGAGAGAGCCGGGTCGTGGACGAGGCAGACGCCAAAGGGGGGCTCGGGCGCGGCAGGGCTCGGGAGATCGGCGGAAAAGATGGACGAAGGCGACGAGGGCGCGGCGGAGGACGGGGTGCGGCGGATGGAGTCGAGGTTGAAGGGCAAGGAGGCGACGGAGGCCTGGCTGCCCTGACGGGTCCTGGTCGGGCGGATCGGGTCGGAGGCGCGGCGAGAGGCGGTGCGGACGAGCTGCTTGAGGGCGGTGACGGGGGCGAACCTGGGCTGCTGGGGGGAGGAGGAGGAGATGGAGAAGGCGGAGGAGGAGGAGGAGGAGGAGGCCAGGACAGAGGATGCTGCTGTTGGTGCGGGCTCTTGGCGGGGCGAGGCGGAGGCAAAGGGCGGCAGGATGGAGGGCAGCTGGTAGTCTCTGCGGACGAGGACGAGGTCGAGGGCCAGCGACTTGCGGGCGAGGCGGGCGGCGACGTACTCGAGGGCGGCGAGGAGGTGAGGCGGGACGAGGTGGACGTCGAGGACCGAGGGCCCAGCCTCGAGGGGGAGGGAGATGGTGTCTTTGAAGCCCATGGAGGCGACGGTTGGTGGATGCCGACGATGCCGACGATGCCGACGATGAGGAGGAGGCGAGAAGATGTGTGTGCAATCAGTGACGGGCAGCGGTTGGATCTCGTGTGCTCGAGAGCCAGCAGCGACGAGGGTCGGTCAGATGATGATGATGATGATGATGATGATGATGATGATGATGGATCATTAGAGAGATGGGACACCCGTCACAGAAGGGACAGCAGCCCAAAGGACAGCCGGGAGAACAGACGGATGGGAGCAGACACGAGGGAAAGCCGCTCGCACCCCTTGGCCCAACTCGAGGTACGGATATTATATTCAGCCCATTTATCGCCCTCGCTGCGGATATAGGCAGGTGTCTTCAACGCCCGCTAGCGTCCTGCTAGTCTCAAACACGGGCGGGACGCGGCAACCACGAAACGCCCCCGCTGCGCCCGTGCTTCTGAAACCCCGCGCCGTCTTTTTTCCTTCCTTTGCTCCTGTGACGACGAGGGCCTCCTCCCATGGTCCCTGCGCCGACGGGCTGCCACGACTGCGACGTGGTTTAGATTAAGGGTTCGGGGGCAAAAACACCACGCCTCTGGTTCCGTCTTCTTCCCCTGCTTCTTCTTCTTCTTTCCTTCTCCGTCGCCCCCGGAAAAGGAAAACCGGAGACCCAAGCACGCACGCACGCACTCTCTCTCTACCCCTACGTAGTACGGGCTGTACAGTTACGGGCTGGGCATATCCACAGGGACGGACAGCGGGACGGCGTGTGCTACCTACACCCGGGCCCCGGCGTCGAGGGAGAGAAGACGTATCAGGCCGTCGGCCGCCCCCCCCCCCTCCCCCTACTTTAACTCTATGCTTTACTACCTACTTTACGCGTGCAGTGCACCCGGCCGCTACTGGCTTGTACATACCGCTGACGCCCGACGGCTGCCGCCCTTGGCCAGAGACAGAGACCAGGTCTGGCTGGCCTTGCGGGTGGAGACGCCATCGCATCATCACCCTGCTTTCACGGATACGAAGCGCTCTCGAGGCCCCAGCACAGCGCAGCAGGCACACAGCCCCGGCCGGGAGCTCTCGAAACAAAACAGAACACATCCAAACGAACCCCCCCCCCCTTCCCCTCTTTTCCCGCGCTACCTTTTTGTTTTTATTTTAAATCAATCAGCTTACTTGCGTGGCGGCATGATGCGTAATGCATGCGGGTGACGCTGTACGACGCACGCGGCATCATGCTATTTTTACTCGCCATGCTCTATATATATATATATATATATACATATACATATATATATACACGGTTACAAACACACACACACACTCGTGAATACTATGCTGTACTTACTATACGTGCACACTCGCGAATATGTACATACGTGCTTCGCAAGTTACATAACTGTACTGTACTTGTTACCGCCAGCCTCCAGTCAGCCAGCCAGTCAGCACCGAGAGACCACCGTCTACCGAGTAATTACACCACACCCATTCTACTGTACCCTGCCCTTCGCGCACGCTTCTCAAACAAGGCCCACGTGGCCGCACCTCTGCGCGCGCGCTTAAGCCAGGGGCTCGCCTCCAATCGCCGTCAGACGCCCGTCAACTCTACAGTCAACTCTACAGTCAACTCTACAGTCAACTCTACACCACACCCACCAGCTCGCCACCGTCGACATAGAGCGCGTCCCAACTCGGCGGTCCTTATTAAGCTCCCTGCCATCACGAACCCTTCTCGCCGCTTCCCACCTCCTGTGACGCTCCCGACAACTCCACGGGCGCACAGCACATCAAGACCAAGCCGTCGACGACAGCACCGACGGAGGCGCACAAGAGCCAAGGTCCAAGGCATGGCTTATGACGAAAAACAAAAGAGTGGGCGATAAACTGGAACTCCCCTGGACGCCTTGCTCAAACACTGCCCTCCACACTCCACCTCGGGCCATTTTTTCTCGCGCCGAATGCACGCAGCAGTGACATCATCATAAGCTTCGTTTCAGACCACGTCTGCTTCATTCATCGTCGTCTACACCGGAATGCCCACGTTAGCCTCCATCGGGTCCGACGACACGCACGACTCGTCCCAATCTGTAGCCAGTGTTAACCCCGTCCAGCCTCGACACTTTCCGCACTTACCCGACGCCTCGTCCTCCACCTCGTCCACCATCAGTCGTCGCAGCGGTTCCATAACCTCTGCCAAAGAGTCAGCAAATGACCGTGCCTCGCCCGCCCGCGCCCTAGACGCAAACTTACCGCCCTGCAGCGCCGCAAACTCCACGTCTTCATCCCCGTCCGCGTCCAGGACGCCTTCGTAGCACGGCGCGCACCGGCCCACGACCCGTAGTATGCTCCACGCAGCATCGCGCTCAATCTTGATTCGCCGCCTCGTGTGCACCTCACGCAGGTACACCAGGCACTTGATCCCCAAGTCCCGCACCACCCGGTCGAACCGCTCCCTGTTCTCCGTTCCGTTCTCATTCTCCCCAGCCTCCTTCAGCGACGAGTGCTGCAGCACTTCGTCTTCGAGCAGCTGCTCTGCCTCGCGCCTCGTGTTGGCGTCCGGGTACACCAGTAGGTATGGTGCCCAGCCTGTGACAGTGTCGATGCTGCTCTCGCGTCTGGATCGCGCCAGCTCCTCATCCGGTCTGTCGGACCGCAGTGCCACCCTGATAAAGTTCAAAAACGCGGCCCCTTCCGTGTTTTGCAGGTTCCGGGCCTGGGCGCAAACGTGGCGGATGAGAGCGTGCGCGTTGTCTGCCGACTGGGTGCACTCGAGGTATCGCCCAGCCACCCTGAGAAAAGGGTCCATCGGCTGTGTCGAGAGCTCGCCCTGGATGTTGTTGCAGAGGGTGTTCACTATTCTGAGGTCCATCGGTCCTCCCGTCAAAATCAGCCGGCCTACAATGTCATTGGTCACGCTCCAGGCCTGATCGATGGACACCAGCTTCTCCACAAAGAAGCTGGCCATCTGGCGGTCCGGGTGGTTGTGAACTTCGTGCACTTCCTGCGACGTCCAGGGGAAAGGGAGCTTTGAACGCGAGGCGCTCCCCCCCGGCTGGTCGATAATGACCTCTGGGCCCAAGACCGGGTCAAGCTGTGCGAGCAGGTAGTCGATGAGCGACATGATGGCAGAGTACGACGGCGGCCGCGTGTTGATCCGCCGCAGGACATTGTTCAGCATGCGAGCGTAGTTTGGCGGCAGGTCCATGGTCGTGTCGGCATCCACGATGCGCAGCAACTTGATCAGGTAGTCCTCGGACAGGACCAGCCCGGCCTCTCGATGTCCGAGCTTGGCAAACGCCAGTATCGTGCCAAAGTATTCGTCCCATGACCGGAGGTGGATTTGGAAAAACTGCCAGAGGTGGTTGAAGAGCATCGCGACGCCCTCCAGGACCGAGTGCTCCGATCCACCCTCGCCATCGTGCTCGAGGTCTCGCTCCATGCCCTCTCCGTCGCTGCTCGATTCCGCGTCGGCCGGCGCCTGGCTGCCATGCTCGTACACATCAGGAAGCCTTTCGGCAATCTTCTCCGCCGCGCGTACGAGCACCTCGCCCGCGAATGCTCGGACGTGCTGTTCAGGGTTTCGTTGCACAAGGGCTCGGTACGACGTGTGGCGTGCGTCGAAATAGTCGTAGAGTGCCAAGGCGCATCGGGGGCAGCTGACAACCGCGGCCCTGATCGTGCTTGAAAACGCCGCGAAGAATGGCGTGTCTTTTGTCCGTGAGACGATCTGGTCCAGGTGGGACAAGGCCATCTCCATTGCCAAGTTCTGCAGATCGTGATTCGAGGACGGCCCATCGTCAGTCTCTCCAGCCTCCTTGGCCGCCGTGGGGCTGTTCGCCTCTCCCCTGTCCACGGATCTGGCCCGGGTGAAGCAGTTCTGCACAAATATTGCATGTCCTGGGTCGAAGACGCAATGCCGTCGCAGTATGACCGTGTTCTCGTTGGCGATGTGCTCCTTGAGCAGCGCGGGCATGTCAACGCGTAGGGGAGCCGACAGTTGCTGCGCCACCATGGATTCTTGCTCAGTCTTGAGCGACGAGACGCGTTGATAGAAAAGCATGTAGGCGCTGTAGCTCTTATCGTAGATGACGCCATTTGTTTCGTACACCGAGCGGGTGTCGGGACCACCAAACGTTGAGCTTGCCATGAGGGACGGATCCCAGGGAGTGACGACGTCGTCATTGAACTCGATCCAGCTCTCCTTGGCCGCCGAGGGTCGCTCCTTGATGTAGGAGTAGTAGTGGCCCGACTCAGCGGTTCCCGAATGGACGAGGATGCCGACAAGCTCGAAAACGTCCTCTGCTGCCTCGGAGCTCGTATCGCTGAGGTGCTCGATCGTGTACGGCCGTAAGTCGATTGTCGGAGGAAAGGAGAAGTGGTCATTGATCTTACTTCGCTGCAAAGTGCGCAGGTTAAAGTCGAAGCGTTTCAGATGAAACATGACATTGTCCGGCACATCCTTCAAACACGCCCTGCATCCCGTTAGCAAGTGTCGAGGGCTTCTATTCCAGACGCCGAGGTCGACATACCTTTTGACCGCATCGACGTGACGATCACACGTGGAGCACTTGTACTTGTTGTCTGAATCAAAAGTCAATAACGGACGGGTACGCGCATCGAAGCAGGCCAACATACCGCCTTCCATAATCTCCCCGTCGACATATGCCTGTAGGCTCTCTTCCAACGTCCCTTTGCCCTTGATGTCGCATTGGATGGCGGAAAATGGCTCGAGTCGTTCCGAGATGTGCTCGCACTCTTTGGATTTCACTTGCTGCACGAGTTGTCCGCCGTAAAACGAACGGAGCCTTCGTTTGTCTTCGGGACGGGATATCTGCCCTTCCCATCGATCGAACAGCAAGCTGTAGAACTCGTCAACGTCCATCTGGCTGTGGATGTCGATGACTGTGTCCTCGTAGGTCTTGATGGATCCGACGAGGCTTGAGGGGTCCACATATCGGCGGTAACTCTCTTGCATGAAGCCAAAGACCTTTTGGGTGTGGAAGAGCAGCTGCTGGGAGCTTGTTGGACCCCGACACGACGCCCCCAGCATGAAGCGACGGAACTCCGTGTTCATGTACAGCTGCGTGAGAAGGGAATTCAGGTAGCAAGTGTTGGAAAGATTCCGCAGGCCGACGTAGCCGCAGGGGGAGCGCATGGCCTTTGAGCGATCAAACTGATAGGGAAGATCATAGAGGTAGGGTTCGTCTTGCGAAATCTCGTAAGCAGACGGAGGCATGTGCCAAAGTGAATTGAGCGTACCAGTATCCTCAGAATAGAAAGGCACCAGCTCGTTGAGTAGGTGCAAGGTCTGGCCAAACTGACGGCCGTCGTGTCCAACAAGACGGAAAATGACCTCGTACAGCTTCGCTCGAGTCTCCGTGTTCAGCACGACGTGACGGACCGAATCGGCGCCTGGACTGAGCTTTTGCGGAAAGAGGTGTCGCCAAAACAAATCTCGCGCCGTGTCCCTATTTATGTTAGCGACGTTCTATAATGAGGGGCTCGGAGCCGGTTCGACTCACTCTGGAAGTGCTCTCGAGGCCGGGAGTGAGGCGTCGATCTGGAGACAGAGGTGCAAGACCGAAGCCAGGCCGTTGGCAACGGGGTCGTAGGGCTCAATCTGGCTCACATCCTGTGTCAGGCGCTTGTCAGTGCAAATGAACCCGAGCCTGAGTGTGAGACCACTTTACCTCTGTTGAATCATGTTCAAGCAAGAGCTCGTTCGTCTGCCTTGTTAGCTGGTCAAACTGAGACTGTCCGGGAAGCGTATTCGACATGAGCAAGAGCAGCTTCTTGAGAAGCCGAAAGAGCTCGTCACACTGCGCTGTACGCTCCACGGCCTCTGGGAGGAGGTTTGAGACGATGGGCCAGAGGTATTTTGCCAAAAGAGAGGGTTCCCTGACCTCTGACGTCGCAAACTTGGCGGGCTGCGTTTGCGGGACTTGTGCTTCGGCCTCTGCGGAAACCTCAAGCAGTTCCACAACAGCAACCCTCACTTCCCTCCTTGGCTCGAAAAGCACCAGCTTCTGGATGAGGCCACGAAAATCGTTGCTTTCCGTGATCTTTATCCAAAACCGCGCATCCAACTTGCCAACAAGCAGAATCGCACTGCACGTGCTCGCTATGAGCGGGATAGCTCCGTTGTCCGGATAGTCCAAAGCGTCGGAGAGAACTTCAATCAGACGCTCAGGTGTGGGAGAATCGACTTTTTCGGACACAGGCCATAGTCCGGGGCCGCAGACTCCTAGAATGCTGTTAGCCAAGCCTCGCGAGATTGATGGTCTGTGAAACGTACCTTGGACGAGTTGGACAAACTTTTGCATCAGAGAGCTTACGACGCGGATCTGCAGCCGTGTCACGCTTCCTTCAAGCACCTCTGGATCCGACAGCGCCTGAACCACAAGATGCAGCGATCTTCTTAGAGCCGCTTCCTGAGATGACTGCAGGTCTCTTCTCTGCGGGGTTGAACCCGGGTTACCACTGGAAGTAGCTCGGCAGGCACCCTCAATGTACTCTGACAACGCGTGAATGGCATACAGAGACTTGAACGGCTGTCCTGGAAGAAAAAGATCCTTGTACGAGGTTGAGTTAGTGTCGAAGCGTGACAAGATGTAGCCATCCGCAGGGAGCCTGATGACGAAGTCGTAAATCTGAAACCCAGTCAGCGAATCGAGTCAAGTACAGGTGTTTGCGCCGGTCACTCACCTCCTCGGCTGTTTGCTCGTCCATGCTCAGGTAGTCCCAGAGCTCCGGAAAATGGGCCAAAATCTCGATTTCTAGCGGCAACGAGCCCGGCTTTATCCGGACCGGCGAGGCCGAGTAGTTATCTTCTCGCTTCACCAACATGAAGCCATCCTGGATGTCCAGTTCTTGTAGAGATTTGCTGATGTCTTGTTCTACCAAAAGCAGTTGGTGGCCTCGATAATACACGCGGTAATTGTCGAAGCCCGTCTCCTGCCTAAGGCTTGCGAGCAGAGACGACACCGTATTCAGCTTGCCAATGCTCAACGGCATAATGTCTGTTTGCTCGTCGCCGTCAAACGACTGATATCTGAGGCGGGCCGAGTCACCCTCAATCTGCTGGGGCGTCTCGGACATGAAGGATCGGAGGTCGGCCACAGCAAATTTTGGCTTGGACTGATACTTTTCCAAGAAAAACCTCAGGAGCTGCAGAGACCGGGTGAAAATGAGCTCCTGCTGCTTGGTCTCCTCGGGCGTGGCGACGATGATCATTGGCTCGTCGTCGCCACTGGTGGTTCCATCGCTCGACCGCCGAAGTTTGCTCGCGGTGTCTTTCATCTGACGCAAGCAACGGTTGACCAGGGCAAGATGTACTTGCCGTGTCCGGTGGAGGGGATACGACATGATGGCTTTGCTTTCCAGATAGACGTCGACGGCCAGGATAGAGATGGCCTGTGCGACGAGACCAGAGTCTTGAGCTTCAAGTATGATTCTCCACAGGTGTTCAATGCCATACCGCGCAACTATTGCCTCATCGTCGAGGACAAAGTCGCGCGGGTTCTCTTCCAAGAGCAAACGGACTCGCTCCTTGACGAACTCGAGCATCCCTTCACAGAAATAGCCGGCCGGCAGCCTCGGCAAATGCTCCGAAAAGCACGTCCGAAGGAACGCATTCTGCAGAGTCGCCTTCCTGGCCACGCTCAGAATAACGTACCAGCCGGCCTTTCGATCCTCTGCACAGGTTGACTGTGGCCCGACAAGAATATTCCAAAGCTTTGTGCCGAGGTCGTTGTCAATCGCCGCCGGCTGGAGCTGGATGAGGTTTGCCACAAAGTCTCTTCTTGGCTGATTCGAGGTACCAGAGAGAACCGGAAACACGCCGGCCGATCGTCCGGCATTCCCTGCGTGCTCCAGCTCCTCCACAATGAGCTTGGCCAGGTCATGTTGCTCCGTGAGGACCTGCATCTGACCCTCGGTCGCATGTCGTATCGCCATGGAAAGGCACCACAGACTGCCCAGCGTGGTGGCTGACTTGGCGGATATGTCATTGATGCAGCTCAGGTACAGCTCACGCCGACCCTCAGCGTCTGGTCCGTGGCCCAGCAATTCCCTGGATTTTTGCATCGCGACCTGTTGCATGTCGGGGTCTGCGACCTGAGAGCCCGAAGCACAAACAGACGACTCCCTGAGGAGGCGCAGGCAGAGCCCGTAGGGATGGAAAGTCAGCGTCGACTGGTTTGTCTGAGCTCTCGCCATCATTTCACTCAAGACATTGTCCAATAAAAGGCGTATCGAAGGTGAGAATCCCTCCACAGGCAAAGGCTGAAACTTGTTGCAGAGATGCAGCAAGCCAGCGTAGTCGAATAAGTTGGTAATGTTGGTCATCATACGCGTCAAGGCGTCTACCACACGCGGGTCTTGGCTCGAGGTGATGCCGTGCCACACACGGTCGGTGTGCTCTGAGCGGTATGTGCGCGTCACCACCAAGAAGCCGACAATGTTGGCGCTTTCGACGATGATCTCTGGATGGCAACTTGCGCCCAGAATGTAGTCAATCAGGCCGGTGTTGAGCAAGTAGCCAGCCAAGTGATCGAGGAACTCGGCGCTGTACTCTTCGCCTCCATCGCAAAGTCGCTTCCAGACGGCCACGAGATGGGTGCACATGGTGGTGACGGCCATGACACGAAGCTGCATCTGGCTTGAGCGGATGAGCTTCTCCAGAATGTCCACCTTCCACTGCCAGGCAACCGCCTCGTGGGCGTGCTTGGACGCGAGAGCTGGGTACTTTTCCCGGTGCGCATCAAGAACGTCTATCGCTTCCTTGTGATCGCCCTGCAAGCACACCTTCAAGACTTCCGTCAGAGCCTGGATCGAGGAGGCGGCGTGATCGCCGTTAAGGCTGGTGACGTGTTTGTCTATTGCTGCCATGAGAGAGACCGAAATGATGGCCCACGCCGCATGGCCCTGCTCCAGGCGTTTCCTCGCTTGCGCCGCATCGTCCTGGCCGAGGCGGAAATGGCGCAACGAGTCTCGTACACAGTCTGCCAGCACTTGGCTTACTGGAGCGAAGCTGTCGGCTAGCCGAGGGAACTGCGGTACGAGACCGACGAGAGCGGAGGCGAACTGAGACAAGTAGTCGATGCCCCCTCCGGGACTCGTCTGGAACTTGTTGGTGAGATATAACTCTACGTCTTGCTGGGCCCAGACGGCCGCGTGTGACCCATCGTTGGCAAGGTGAGGAGGGAAGCCATGCGATGCGATCAGGCCGTGTAGCTGCTGGAGGTAGAGTGGGGAAAGCAGATCCGGACCGCGGCGGCCCAGCGGGATAGCCTGAGTCTCTCGAACGGCAAGGCAGTCCAGGGCGACGAAGCGGGCCGTCAACGCCGCAAAGCCCGTGTACAGATTCAAGATGGGGCTGCGTAGAATGGCCACTTTGATGAGGTCTGGTCTAGGGTCATGTCAGCAAGACGAGGCTCGTTGATGGACGACGGGGATTCAAGAACTCACTTCCGAGATGTCAGGGCAAGAATGATTTCGGGAAAAGAGAACCAGAAGCCCTTGTGCGTGCGGCGGGACGTCAATACTGTACTCGTGTCGGCACGTTTGGTAAATTTGAGATACTCGTCAAGCCACTCGACGACCTGGCCGAGGATAGTCGGGTCGATGGGCGTGTCTGCTGTCAGTGTCAGCAGTTGAAATGATGCAGGGACACGCAGGCTTGTGCAACTCACTCGTCGAAAGATACTGAGTCAAACGCTGCAGTGTGTCGCACAGGCTCTCTTCGGGCTCTGTGTATGGAAAGTGAGTGGTTGGGTCGAGCTGGAGCCAGTCTCGGCCAGCGATATCAGGACTCGTGGGGGCACAATTCATGTCGTCATTATCCCGGTCGTCGCTGTCTGCCACGGCGATGAGCTCGATGGGAGGGCTCGTGGAGAGCGAAGAGGATCCGGGGCTTCTGGAGCCCGATTCGCGCGCATTTTCCATGGCCGTCTCTGGAGCCTCTGTGGTCTCCCCGAGCGCATTCAGGTCGGGGATCATAGGGTGAGCATCGGATGGCGGCACCGAGGGAACGAGTGCAGCAGTCGACGACTCCGAGCCGGTGCGTCTGCGAAGATTGATGGTGACCTTACTGGATGGAGGCTCGGTCGGAGAGCCGGCGCGGGGGTTATGTTGGTTTGGAGTTCGGGGCGGGTCGGGGCTGTCGTCGACGCTCATGGCGCTGATAGAGGCGGGCCGAACAAGGTGGGCGGCAGCGAGAGTGGGTGCTTCAAGCGCCAGGTTGGCGGTGTCGAGGGAAGCGGCGGGAGATGCAGACACCGAGGTGCGGCGCCGCTTGCGAGAGAGGTCGGTGTCATCAAAGGGGTTCGGGCGAGCGAACGGAGGCTCAGGGTCGGCGGCTTCTTGCTGAGGATCGGCAGCTGTGGTCGGCGTCGAGGCCGAATCCATCTGACTTGTGCGGCAGGCGCTCGGAGCACGAGGCGCGGAGGACCAGCAAAGACGTCACAGCGTCGTGAGGGCCGTCTGGACGGCAGCTGCGCCAAATGAACATGTGTGTCGGATTAGCAATGCTGCCGCAGAGGCAAAGACCGGCCGAGAGCGGGGCGGAGGAGGGCGAACAAGGGAGGGGGGGGCCGCGCGGGCCAAGGAGATGGAAGAGAAGACAGGGGCTTGAATCCGAGGAAGAAAAAGCTGATAATGGTTGAGGTCGAGGACGGTGGATTCTGGAGGGCAGAGATTGGCTGGGGTCGACGCGGTGCTTGTGTGGGACCGTGACGGGAAGGGCGAGGGGTAGCTGTGCTGTCGAATAGCGGGCTTGGTGGGGGAGGGGACTTGCGGACGTGCACCAAGAGCCACTGCCAGCAGCTGCGAGTCCGGTACCCGGTAGGTACCCCGTGGGCGCCAGCGTTAGCAGCCGGACTCCCGCTAAAAGTCGACGACGGCAGCCAGGCCAGGGCCCTACGCCCACCCACAGCGTCCCTCCACCGCCTGTGCCAAGTATAAGAGATGACAACGTACCTTTTGTGCAGATTGTATGGTAATTCTTCGTTGCGTCAGGATCAAAATGGGGAATTTCCTCTTCCTTGGCCGTTGGGACGTGCGTGGGTGCTGAAGAAATGAGGGGGGGGCGTGTCTGGAGTGAGCGTAGCCAAGGCAGCGTACCTACACAAACACGCGCGCAAAGTTGGACGGGAGACGGAGAGCGGGAGATGGGAGAGGAGATGGGAAGACAGAGGGTAAAAGATGTGCGTGCGGATGTGGCTTGGTCGTGCGGTGCGGTGCGGTGAGAGGGTCGACAAGACTTTGACGCCGCTGCTGTTGATTCTGAGTGAATAGATGTGCACAGAACCACTTCGGTCGGCTGGGGGGAGGGGGGGGTGGCTCCGGAGAGCACTACTATACCGCTAGTACCTACGTTGCCCGTCCAGGTACCTTGATCACGCCAACAGCTCGATTGGCACCTGTCGTGAGTGGCGGATCAGGCAGCAGGAACCTACTCTGCCAGGCGTGGTACCTTGTCGAGATAAATGAGATGCTCGCTTACTGATATTGGCAGGATTGGGCACCACCGAGTTGCTGAACCTCGTCTGTCGGCTCTGGCTCACCGACCAAAGACGCACTTGGATTTTGTATGCCTCCCCAAATGGCACCGCAATTGTGCGTGTGGGTGTGCGCGTGTGTGTACTGTAGGTACTTTACGGCAGCCAGGGATGGGCCAAGCCATAATAAACTCTGAACTTTCCTCGGCCACTGCCCACTATGATGCCAGTGATGATGCTCCCTGCGGCAGCAAAGAGAGGAGGCAACGACTCTCTCTCTGCCCCCCCCCCCCCTCAGAGCGGCTAGTCCTGTCCCCCGATTGCTTGTCTGTACTCCGTAGTTGCTTCTGGCCGGCAGCTCGGCGCCTCCAATGATGATGCGGCAGCCATCCGCGGCTCACCGGATCGTCGCCCGGCACATCCCAAAGTGTCCGCCCGGCACGGAGCAACCCAGGGCAAACGGCCGTGCTCCTCGTGGGGCGCAGCGTCTAGATAGTCCGGTCCCCATGCCAGCTTCTGTCTTGTTTCTAGAAGGAAGCTACCGTCGTCTCCGTCACGCATGAAACCCCGGTCCCGATGCGCCCTCGTGGCCGCGTCCCGTATTTACACCCTGAACCATCAGCCAAGATTCGGGCCACGCTTGGCCGCAGCTCACGCGGCCAACCTTGTTTCCGTAAATGTACAGTGCGGTATAGTTGCTGTATGTATGTACATGTGCAATTGTTATGCCAAAAGATCCCCACCAGAAGAAGCACTGATGGTGTTTGGCGTTTAATCATGTTGAGTGATCACGTGCCAGCGAGGGCGCTGGAGTGCGTGCTCGTACTGTGCGTAATTACGTTGTACTTTGTATTCGTGGCTTCGCAAGATTGCGCCTCGCAAGGACCTCACTCTCTTCTCCGTGAGAGCACTGAAACCACCGCTTCCGTCTTCTAAGCTGAAAGCCAAGAAGAGAAGAAGAGAAAAAACAACCAGCACCCATCATGTCGAGCACAGCCCAACCACCAGGCCGAAGAAAACTCGTCCATCACCTGGACACGCCCTTCTCTACGATATCGTGGTAGGCATACCATTTCACGCCAAACTCCACCTTCCAAGGTCTCGCTGATGGAAACCGAAGGCCCGAGATCTCACCCGACGACCAGGACACCATCTTGGAGTTGCTGTGCAAGTACGCCCCGTCATTTCGCACCTCCCCGAGTCCCCTGTCAGGCAGCATCCATGCTGACATGCGCCGCACAGCCTCTTGAGCCCTCTGGGCCAGCATCGCAGAGCTCACATCAAGCGGTCAAAGGGGAAGCGGGCCGCCAGGAGAGGGGCCAGGCCCGGGCCCGGGCCCGAAGACCGCTCACTCCCCAGCGCCCCAGCGCCCCCTAAGCCGGAACTCAGTGCCAAGGTGGACGTGGGCTTCAACTCGATAACGAGAGGGCTGGAGGAGCTGTCCCAAAGCACTGGCTCCAGGGACAGTCCCTGCCAGTCGTACTCAATGGTCTTTGTGGCTCGAGGAAATCAGTCGTCGGCATTCAACTGCCATTTCCCCAAGATGATTGGTGCCGCATCCAAAGACTCCCCTCAGGCCGACAAGACCCGTCTCGTGGGATTCTCGAAGCCCTGTTCCGACAGGTTAAGCTCCGTCTTGGGCGTCGCCCGGGTCTCTTCGGTCGCTGTGGCGCGGGACGCTCCCGGCGCAGGAGCGCTATGGGAGTTTGTCCAGAAGACGGTGGCGCCAGTCAGTATGTCGTGGCTCCAAGACATGGGATGCACCGAGTACCGAGAGGCCAAGATCAACTCCGTAGAAACGCTGGTGGGCGCCAAGAAGGCCAAGACGGCGTGAAGGATACACGGACCGGCAGCTGGGCACACCACGTCATTCGGTGCTGCTTTGGATTCGTCGACGCAAGACGGCGTGGCCTTGGATGGGGTGGACCGTACAACAAGACGGGATACAGGAATTTTATCTGTATTCTACAGAATTCTACAGAAGAGTCTTTGCTGGATGGACGGGCCGAGCCGTTGAGGGTGCAAGCCCAGCTGTCTTGAGTTGCCCGAGATGCCGGCCAGCTGTCAGGACAGCCAGTCTCATGCCACATTACGGGGTGGCCTGGGCTCAACAGCCGTGTCAACTGCTTTCTACGTTTTTCCTCAGTCTCTGGAAACACTCTACTTTGGGATTGAAGCGTTGCGCCCGCTCTCGCCCGCTGCCGCCTCAGACAGCCAGCCTGCCCGGGCCACTATCGAGTGCCGCGTGCCTGCCTCTATTCGTTCTCGAAGCCTGATAAGGCAACCAACTCTTCTCAGGCTCAAGGCTGTTCTTCCCCGGGAAACACGCTTTTCGCCCGCCCGCAAGGCCTGGACAACGCGCTCAATAGTTCCCGTCGACCCGGCAACTCTCCTGCACCCGCCTTCTTTCCCTCGTGGCCTTTTCTCGTCATCGTGTTTTCTTTTCGGCGCGCCTTCGGCCGTCCCCCTGCACCAACCCAGCGCTCTGTTGGCAAACAAACGCGCCCCCTCCGAGAACACGGGGAGGTCGACCTCTGCATCTCAGCCACGCGCCAAAACCCTTTTGCCAGAGCAACTCACTCTCTCGCCCGCCCTCATCAGTCCTTGGCGCTCTCTGCCTGGAGCCTACGAGACACAGACTCTGGCGCGCAAGACAATCGCAATGAACGCCTCGGGATACAACGACAAGGCGAAGCTAGCTGCTGCCTTGGAGCTGGCTCGCAGCTTCAAGTCGGGCAAGCAGACGGGCACCAAGGGCTCCAGGGGCTCCAAGGGCAGCCAAGCCCCTCGAGGCACGCCTGTGGTCCCCGACTCTCTGCTCATCATTGTCTGACGAGTCTCCAGGCAAATCGCAGGCCCTTCCTAGCAAGTTTGTCTCCAACACCAGGCCTCCCCTGCCGAGCCAGAGGAACTACAATGGGATTGGAAAATTCGGGATGCCGGCCCAAAATTTCAGCCAGGCGCCCCTCATCGGTAGCGCTGATCTGGACTTCTTGTCCAGACGTGATCAGGCCCCGGCCGCCAAGGGCAGCGCGCCGCAGGTTCCTGGCCAGCTGTCCGCTGCTCCAGTTACCGTGGTCTCCCAAGCGGCCCCGGACCGCGGCAATGTGTCTGTTGCCCATGACGCTGCAAAATCTGCGACGGTCGACGGAAGCGGCACGATTAGCGTCAGGAAGGAAGCAACCGACGTGGAATTCACGACGGAGGATGGCGTGTTCTCACTACGGAAGCCTGGAGGCGTCGCCCCGGGATCGGTGCTGGACGACTTCTTGACTTTGGTTGGCGGGGACAACAACTCCACGGAGAAGCCAGCAGAGGCTGACGAAAGCCTCATTGATTTTGGAGAAGGGGACCTTATCGCCCTTGAGCCAGGCGAGCAGGAATCTTCCATGGGCACTGATTGGCTGGGCTCGGAAGTCAATGATCAGTCGTCTACTCTCATGGACGCACTGTCTGCGAGGCCGCCTGTGGCCGAGGCCAAGACTTTAGAAGACAAGCCCGCGACGGGCTCCAAGCACAGCCGCGAGGCGCAGGAAAAGGGGAGCTTCTCCCCCCAGGCGCCCGAGTTTGTTCCGGCGGAAGCGGTTGCTCCTGGACACAATGTCCAGACTTCGGGCGACGTTCCACAGGGTTCGTGGCTCAGCCCCGTGCCCGTGGCGGCTGTGCCGTCAATGGCTTACATGATCATTGTCCCGATGCCAGGCGTTGCTCCCTTCGCCGGCCAGCAGACATTCCAGGCACAAGCTCAGATGGTCCCGTTTGCAGCGCTTCCGTGCGAGAACACCCAGGCTCAAGAGATGCCCGAGGTCAAGAGGGTGAGGAAGCCCAAGGGGGGTCTCAGTACTTCCAAGTGGGCTTCGTAGATTCAGGAGTCGACAAGGGCGGGTGGCGTCAGGACAACTTGCTACGGATCTCTGGTGCATTTGGGGAGAAGCAGTGGGGATGACAGGAGAGGATTTCGAGAGGCCCAGCTGTGTTTATATGGCATGGGATTTGATTTCGGGTTGGCAGCGACGGTGGAGGATCATGCAGTCAAGGTTGATATTGGAGTTGAGCCCGTCATAGCAAACAGCACTGACTGGACACTGGCGTTGCCCTTTGGCGGCGTCTGCCACGTCGTGCCGTTTAACTACAAGACCCTCGGCCCGCAAAGTAAAGAAGTTGCCCGGTAGCGGGTGAGAAATGAAAAGACTTGCATTGAAATATGTGCACTCTTTGTTTGCTTTCCAAAATTGCCTCCATCTCCTCGCGCTCCGTTCCAGGGGCAAGCAACTTTAATCACGCCGTCTCGTCACCTCGACGAGATGCCCTTTTCCAACAGCTGGACGCCCTCCCTCACCCTTGGCGAAAAGTGCCTCCTGAGCAGCTCGCCCTCCCAGACGGTCGAGGCAAAGGGGTTGCTGCCCTCGACGGTGTCGCTGAGGGCGTTGAAGGTGCCGTCGCCCTTGCGCTCCTCGGTGTGCCACAGGCTGGCGACCTTTGCGGCGTGCGTGGCGGCCACGTCGGCGGCGAGGGCCAGCACGGCCTGGGCCGACTTGTCCGGGAGGTGCAGGGCGGCTGTCATGAGCTGCTTGGTGAAGGCGGCGAGGCGGAGCGGGGGCACCTGGCGGATGTTCCAGGGGGGGAGCAGGATGCCGGTGAGGGAGCGGAGCAGAAGGACCGTCGTAGTCTGGAAGTTGACCCTGGACGAGAAGGTGGCTGACGGGGTGGACGACGTGGGGCGCGTGTTTTCGAGGCTGGTGTCGGTGGAGAGCGAGAGGAGGGACTTGAAGAGGTGTGTGGTGAAAAAGGAGAGGTCGAGGTGCAGCTCGCGGCGCGAGTTGTGTGCGTCCTGGCCGGCGAGGAGGGCAAAGGCCGTCACGGTGCAGAGGAGCGCTTCACGAGTCAAGTTTCGCCCGGACGCGTCGTCGTCGTCGTCGTCGTCATCAGCCTCATCCTCCTCTTGCACTTCGACGCCACCCGACTCTTCGTCGGCGTCTTCGTCGCTGTGACGAATCAGGTCCTTGAGGGCCTCGAGCAGGTCCCCGAAAAAGTCCTGGTTGATGAGGTGCGCATATCTCGCCAGCCCCTCGAGCACGGCGCCCATCAGGTGCGGGGACCGGAGCTTGAGGATGCGAAAGTAAGTGGCAAAGACGAGCTTGAGCGTCTCCGACTGCATGCGCTCGCGCTCCTCGTGGCCGACGAGCGCGTCGGCCTGCGCCATGTCCTTCTCCAGCGCCTTTTGCTCCTTGAGGTTCTTGCGTTCCCGCTTGGTGCGGAACTCCCGCTTGCCCTTCTTCGCCCGGGGCGCGGCGCCCTGGTCCTGGTGCTCGACCCTGTCCTGGGACGCCTTGCCCGAGAACTCGGACAGCAGGCGGAGGCTGAGGAAGAGGTTGAGCGCCTTCTCGTCCACCTGGTAGTCGCGCGCCTTCATCATCTTGGCCAGCAGCGAGGCCGCCTCAAGCGAGGGGCGCCCCTCCTCGTCCTCCTGGAACAGCTTCTCCAGCGCCTGCAGACACTTGACGGCGTCGGCGTCGGCTTTTCTGCGGCTCAGCCTTCCCACGAGGATCTTGAGGAGATCGGAGCGGAAGTTGAAGTGAGGCACCGCCGTGACCAGGGTGCACGCGCAGGTGATGGCGATGCTCGCCAGGCTCTGTCCGTTTTGCAGCGGCCTCGTCTCAAACTTGGCGCATCGCGCCAACTCCTTGACGTAACTCGAGTAGCCGTGCACGAGCGCCTGCTCAAACTGCCGCATCTGGCGCACCTCCTTGGAGATTTTTTCCTTGGACGCGTCCTCGGGCAGCGGGCGGATCCGGTATCCGGGGATGACGTCTTTGTAGACGGCCAGTTGCGTCATGAGCGTCAGCATCTGAATCGTAGGGATCTTGGACTGGCCAATCTTGGCAATGGCCTTGAGCGCGCCGACGTGCTCATCCGGGTTTTCGTTGACGGCCGTTGCCAGCTTGGCCAGCTCTTCCTGCGCCTCTAGAATCTGTTGCGACTCGGGAACCTCGGGCTTCTTGTCTTGCCGCTCGGCCTTTTCCGGCTCTGACTCGACCTCGTCCTCGCGGCCCTCGAGCCACTCGGCGTCGCTCTCGACCGAGGCGGCGTCGTCCTCGGCCTCGAGGTTCTGCAGGAGCTCGACCCGCCCGTCCGTGGTCTTGATCTGGGGCAGCCTGTTGCTGTCGCCGACTCTCTTCTTGGCCTTTCGGCGCTTCAGCTCGTAGTCTTGCTCGAGGTCCCAGCTGGACGCATTCTTGAAGAAGTCCTTTTGCGCCCGTTTCGACGACACGCCCTCGTCGTCGGACGAGTCGTGGGCCAGCTTTCTCCTCTTGGAGCCATTGGAAGTCATCGCAAAGGCTCTCTTGTCAATCCGGGACTTGGATTTCAAGGCGTCGAGTGGTCTCGTCGGGCTCTGATGCTGGCCCTCTTCACTGTGAACAAAGTTGGCGATATGCCGGGTGGAAAGTTTTGGGTCTTGCCAATCAAAGGCGGCGCTGGTGGCTCACCGCCAAAACTTTGAAAAAAATTTGCCGCTTGTCCATGCCCCTCTTCCTCTGGGGCTTTTCTTCCCAACCTTTTTTTAATCGAATTAAAGCTCAGCAGACAGTCAGTCCAATTATTCGGTGAATCCTTCAAAAGGCCATCGAGAAGCCGCGTCGACACCATGGGTCTCACGAAGCCGCCCGTGAGGGCGCTCAAGGCGGCCAACAAGCTGAAACGACAGGAACTCTTCGTCGAGCACAAGAAGCTCAACGGCAAGGAGCGGCGAGAGGAGCGGTTCCGTCGGAAAAAGCATGAAGACCAGGACACTTCCCTCCGAGACGAACGGCTGGCCAAGAACAAGCCCGTCACATTGGACCAGAAGCGAGTCTGGGACGAGGGCGACGATGACAGCCTCGGATCCAGGGTGGACCTGGAGAAGCTCAAGAGGCGGCGGATTGAGCAGGCTGAGGAAGAGGAGCGGCAGGCTGCCCAGGATGCCGAGATGCAGGATGCCAGCGACAACGATGAGGAAAACGACAGCATGCTGGAATCCGACGACGACGACGACGACGACGAGGCGCGGCAGGCGGCGCTTGATCGGCAACGGGAAAAGCGCGCCAAGAGGGATAACAGCATCGCACCGTCGACGACGAGCACAAATCTCGACCTAACGCCCACGTCGCTCGCCCTCAAGTTCCCCTCGCTCTTCTCGGACATTCCACCGCCAGAGCCAAAGATCCTCGTCACCACCTCTCTCAACTCGACCATCCACGACGACGCCCAGCTCATCTCAACCCTTTTCCCCAACACCACCTACATTCCCCGGTCGGCGCATCGGTACGGACACAAGTACTCGCTGCGGGAGATTTGCAAGTACGCCACGAATCGAGCTTACACGGCCGTTCTTCTCGTCAAGGAGGATCTGAAGAAGCCCACCGGCCTCTCCATTGTGCACTTGCCTTCCGGCCCGACGTTCCACTTTAGCATAACCAACTGGATCGAGGGCAAGAAACTGCCCGGCCACGGCAACCCCACGAACCACTACCCCGAACTCCTCCTCAACAACTTCAAGACGCCGCTGGGCCTCCTCACGGCCAAGCTGTTCCAGACGCTGTACCCTCCGCAACCCGAGTTCCAAGGCCGCCAGGTGGTGACCCTGCACAACCAGCGAGACTACATCTTTGTGCGCCGACACCGCTATGTCTTCCGCGAGAAGCGCACAACTGAGAAGAGCATCGTCGACGCCGAAGGGAGAGAAATGAAGGGGGTTGAGGGAATTCGGGCAGGTCTGCAGGAGCTGGGACCCCGGTTCACCCTCAAGCTCAGAAGAGTCGACAAAGGAATCGGGCGGGCTGGCAGCCAAGGCGATGACGCTACGCAGTGGGAGTGGAAGTCCAAGATGGAAAAGGACAGAAAGGTTTTCAATCTCTAATTGTATCGCTGTTGGCGTTGTGTGCTAGATTTCTTGTTGCTACATGACGTGTGTGGACGGCAAGCAGTATTTACAAATCACGACCCAGTCGGCGGCCGAGCAATCGCCGTCGTGCCTACCCAGACTTACGAGCATTGTGCTGCAACATTACAATGGAGTATCTGCGCTCTGGTAAGCCGCCAACCTTGAGCTGTAGGGGTGAGCAATGGGAGCCAGAGCGACTCACGTTATAATGGCGGCAATGGCGAGAAAGACTCCAACGAGAGCTCTGTCGCTCGTGGCGCGACCCGACATGATCCAGCCGATGCACACAATGCTACAGGTCTTGACGTGTCCGACAACGGTGCTCGATACTGGGCCAGTCTGGGCCACGATGAAGAACTGTGAGATGTTGATGAGGGAGGCAAAGAGGCCGGACTAGGAGCTGTCAGAGCTTCACGACGACGAGAGGGAGGGTGTGCGTACCAGGCCTATCATCATCCACCTGCTTGCTGAGACGTGCATCCAGTCGGGAAAGGTGTCGAGAAAGGGAATTATGTAAAGAAGTATGAAGGAAGCGATTGGGGCCTGGTTGTAGAGCAGTTGCATACTGCTCATCTGGAGTGTTCTGTGGTGGCTGGCGATCCACACGGTGTAAAGGGAGGAGGCGACGATGCCAACGAAGGCAAAGATGACGCCCAACGGGGACGTGGTCTTGATGCTCGCGTCGGCTGCTGGAAGGGAGTCGTAGTACGAGACCATGCCGACGCCTAGACAGGCGGGAACAAGGGTGGCGATGGCAAGCGGCGGCAGGGTTGCGCCGTAGAGGATATAGTTGATGAGGGCAACCGTGGGGGTGAGCAGGATGCGCGCGAGCTGGTAAAAGGTGACGGAAGAGAAGGCCAAAGAGAGATTGGGGAGGACGACATTGAGACACATGGCGACGGCGAGGGGGAGAAGACTGTGAATGGAGGCTCGGCGGGGCGTGAAGTAGGCGAAGGTCGGGCGCGACAGAGCGAAGAGGGTGATCCAGGTGACGAAGAAGTGAAAAGAGGCAAAGGTGAGCTGCGAGAGCCTCCAAGAAGAGTCGAGGAAGATGGCCTTGTTGGTGAAGACCTAGATAGCTGGGCGGTGAGCGGGTTTCACGGGCGTCTTGAACGGGACATGGACGCACGATGCCGACCGTCGCCAGGGTGTTTACGGTCATCCAGACGGCGGCGACGATGAGGCTCGGAGGGTCTGCGGGCGTCTGTCGGAGCAAGCCGGTCTCTGCATCATCAGGGCGCTCAAGGTCCTTTTCGCGCGACGGCGGCTCGGGGGTGAGCGGCTGGAAACGCTTGCTCATGGCTGCGAGTGCTCGAGTTGGGTGCGATGGGGTGGTCCGTCTTGGCCGTCGCGTGGCACGAGGGCGGCAGAGCGTGCGTCTGGGGGTTCGGGGGAGCAAATGCCTGGTGTTGGTCCATCTCTTCAGAGGTCACAGAGGCGCCTTCTTGTTTGGAGGCGAGCTTGACCGCCACAGCCCAGCTCTGTCTGGACTCGAGGAAGGCGGCGGAGGCCGGCACCGAAGAGACGCGAGCGGGCGGGGAAGGAAGGGTGAGGTCATGATGAATAGAAGCGAGCATGGACTGAGTGAGTTTGACGCGCAATTGGCGATGCTGGCGGCTCTCGGTGGCCGTGGTGTTTAGAGCCAACCGCCGCCGCTACTCGGTAAATGGGTTGAGCCTCGACTCGAGATAACTTACACCCGGTAATTAGTTGTGCTTCCTTTTTTTAAGACTGCCAAGTGCCAAGACTGCTGCCAGTCCCACATTTATCAACCCACTAATTACTACCTATTGGAGAAGAAACAACATCATCTTCAATCAACCTGGTTACAAACAGAGGTGTCTGGTGTAACTCAGTTGATACCTAGGGAGCCTTTTTTTTGGTTCACCCCTTGCATACCTACCTGCCTACCTACTGCGTTCCCGGCTACACGTGCCCGTACGGTAGGCCTCGTCGGCGGCAATCTCTCCTCGCCTCGTTTCAGCCGAATGACGCGGGCCGCCGGCACCAGTCGCGACCCTGACTCGGACGCAACGCATCTCCCCTTCCCTCTGATGCGACGCCGCCACGGCACCTCGGCGGCACCCTCGAGTCCCTCGCTCCTGCCACCATGACGCGGCGCCTTCTCAAAGATCTGCACTGGGGCGGCGGCCGCCGTCGTCCCCGGCGGCCTCACTCATCGCCACCTTCGCCTCGTCCTGCCAGCAGCCCCAGCAGCCCCAGCAGCCCCGAGCAGACGACGTCGCTAGCCACCGTCGCCATGGCAAACGCTGCGTGTCCAAGCACGGCCAGCATCTCCGATGGCCATCGCGCCAGGGTCAACGGCCATCGCGCATACTCGCAGGCCCTCGACGTCTGGAAGCGCGCCCCCGTCCTCAAGGGCACCTCCCGGTTCGAGCCCCGGCCCGATGTCCGCAACATCATGGTCACGGGCGGCGCCGGCTTCATGTGAGCCGCCCACTCGCTCGCGGCACCAGCAACTAACCGCAGCCGCAGAGCGTCGTGGGTCGTGCGCCACCTCGCCCTCACGTATCCCCTTGCCTACAACGTCGTCTCCTTCGACAAGCTCGACTACTGCTCCACGCTCAACAACACCAGAGTCCTCAACGACAAGCGCAGCTTTACCTTTTACCACGGCGATCTCACCAACCCCTCCGAGGTGCTCGACTGCATGGAACGCTACCACGTCGACACCGTCCTGCACTTTGCCGCCCAGTCGCACGTCGACCTCAGCTTCGGCAACTCGTATGGCTTCACCCACGCAAACGTCTATGGCACCCATGTCCTCCTCGAGAGCGCCAAAAAGGTCCGCGTCAAGCGCTTTGTCCACGTCTCAACCGACGAGGTCTATGGCGAGGTCAAGGAGGACGACGGCGAGCTGCTCGAGTCGAGCATTCTCGCCCCGACAAACCCCTACGCCGCCAGCAAGGCAGCCGCCGAGATGCTAGTGCAGTCGTACCAGAAGAGCTTCAAGCTCCCCACCATCATTGTCCGGAGCAACAACGTCTACGGGCCGCACCAGTATCCCGAAAGTGAGTCCACTCCTCCTGGTCGACCAACGTCTTGTGCTGACCCCCCCCCCCCAGAAATCATACCCAAGTTCGCCTGCCTCATCAACCGCAAGAGACCGGTGGTGTTGCACGGCGATGGCAGTCCCACGCGCCGCTATCTCTACGCCGGCGATGCGGCCGATGCCTTTGACACCATCCTCCACAAAGGCCAGGTGGGGCAGATCTACAACGTCAGCTCCTCGGACGAGATTTCCAACCTGGAGCTCAGCGGCAAGATTCTCGACGCCTCGGGCATTGGGGTTGACAATGCGGAGCGCTCCCGCAACTGGGTCAAGTGGACCAAGGACCGGCCCTTTAACGATCGCCGCTATGCGGTGGATGGCACCAAGCTGCGGAAGCTAGGCTGGCAACAGAGAACAGGGCTCGAGGATGGCCTGCGAATCACCGTTGACTGGTATCGGCGGTTTGGAGAGCTGTGGTGGGGAGACATCAGCCACGTCCTGACGCCCTTTCCCGTCGTCAGCGAGGAGGGCGAGGTGATGCCTGATGACGACAATTTCATGAAGGATGAGCCGCCAGTGCCCGGTGAGGAAGGCGAAACGACAGCGACGAAGAGCGACAAATGTTGACGACCATGTGTGTGGCGACTGAGCTGCAATATTTGCTGATGGCTTGCCAGAGACGGAACTTATAGACACGGGCGCTTGCTGGTTGCTTACCCCGGGGCAGAGACGAGAATCATAGACGCAAATGGATCCGGCGATTTGATGAGTCGGTTCCCTTCTAGACGCCACCACCAGTGACTTCTGACGGCCGATGGCCAGTGCTCTTAGGGCCGAGACGGGTCGATGACAGCTTGTTTGGCAGCGGCTGAGACACGAAGGCCAAGTCTTGTACAGATACAGTATTTTGTCAGTCCCCGGCTTTGCAAGCGCAGGCTGATTCGAAGTTGTGGCGGCGGGCGTTGCATCTGCCCTGGAGTCGACCGGGGTTCACGAGGTCGATGCCACACCGCCCACGCAGCGCAGGGGCACTACCGACAGCCGTTCTATAGCCAAGGGGGCCCGATATATGAGCTGTGACTGTTTGTACTCCGCACAAAGTACAGGTGACAAGTTCCTGCATGCTTCCCTCAGGGGAGACTTGGGCTCGGCAGGGGTGGGCAAGGGGAGTGTGTAACTTATACGGTAAGTTAATAATTAAGTGGCATCTCAACTCCACGGAGGGCACCAATCTTTGGCTACAATTCAGCCAGCCATACTGTACATAACCAGCGCTTTACCCAAGAGGCCCATGACGCTGACGCTAGCACCAGATGCCGGCCCTCTGGAGCTACCGGTACTCGCCAGCGTACAGTAAATCGCCGGGCTCGCCGTTGACTCTTGTCCAAAGCCGGCGCAGCGCTTCCTCGTCGTCCCCCTTGGAAGCACGAGCAACCAGGTCTTTGCTGACTTGCTTCTCCAGTTCCACTATCCGTTTACTCGATTAGCCCTTCACCTCGACTGTAGACTCCAGGCCACGAACCAGCCAGCAGATAAGGGGTATGGATGATATGGACCTACCGTGGATGTCGACGACGGCCCTCTTGCCAGTGTACAAGGCGTGCAGGACATTGGTGCTGCCGTCCGAGTTTGCGTCTCCGACGGCGTAGATGCCGGGGACACGGGTGCGCATGTTGCTGTCCACAGCCATCCTGTCACTGCGCAGCTCGACGCCCGTGTTCTTTCCGAGCGTAGATCGCTGCCCACTGGGGTAGTTGGCGAAGAGAACAGCGCGCTGCACACGCTCCACACCCGAAGAGCCGGCGAGCTCGACATCAAAGAGGTCATGCTCGGGGTTCGAGGGCAGCTTGGGGTCCGCGTGGGCATCGGCACCGTCTCGGAGCCGCGTGATGCCGGTAATGGTGCGGTTGTCCACCTTGACCTTGAGTTTCTGCAGATACGCAGAAGAATTGGGCGCAAACGTCTTGTCCGCGCGTGCCCGGTTCTCGGGCGTGTCGGTGCCGTTGGCGAAGACGATGATATCGGAATGCAGCGTGCGCACCTCGCCGACGGCCCCGACGGCCTGCTCAAACGAGCCCAGGATGCCCATCGGCTGGCCTGCGTGCTCCATGCCGTCGCACCACGGGCACCAGTAGATGCCCTTTCCAAAGTTTTCCTCGAGGCCCGGTGTTTGGGGGAGAAGGTCGCGCAGACCGGTCCCGAGTATGATCTTGCGCGCGGTATACGATGCGCAGGTGTTGTTGAAGAGCCTGACGTCGGCCGTAAAGAACTCGTCGTCTGCCGAAGACCGGATCTCGACCACGGTCCCGTTTGTGCCTTGGACGGTTCCGTAGCGGCGGATCTGCTGCATGGCGGCCCATCGGAAGTAGGACGGGGTAACCCCTGGGCGGCGGTTAGACACGACTGATTATGCTTCATCACTCGAGCACAGCTGCACACCGTCAGAGCCAGGCACATCGTGCATGCGTCGGGTTCGTGCATTGCGGTATTCGGCTGAATCGAGCATCAAGGCCCTGCGACCAACCCGGGCGAGGGCGCTCAAGGCGGCGATGCCCGAAGGACCGCCGCCCACGACGATGACATCGTAGACGGCCCACACGGCCGGAGCGGAGAAGTTGCAAGGCGCGGGAGAGGCGGCGGCGAGAGAGAAGACAAAGAGAAGGAGTCTGGACTTTGTGAGCCACATCTTGTCGTCTGCCGGAAGCCACCGAGGGGGAACAGCGACGAAAACGTGACGGCGAACAGGCTCAGACTTATATATATATATATATATATAGCACCTCTGAGAGGAATCAATTCAGGAATTTCAAAGGGCCCCTCTCGTATTTCGCTCCCATCCATCTAAAGAAGGGATATGCCGAGTGTTATCATGGTAGCTTTACCCTCACAAGTCCGGGATTGCCTGCTGACCACCATCTCCTCTACCTCGGTGGAAATACTGAAGGTGGCAACACAATAAGACAGGAGAGAGATACGAGGCTTGGCAGCGATATGTCCCCCGGCTTATAAGTACCAAAAAGAGAGCCGCAGCCCGGATTTCTTTCCGAAAGCATGACCTAGCAAAGAGGGCTCCTTTGGCCAACAGGCACGGAGACAGTGCCCAAGCGGTCCCCGGCCATTGTACATAAGACTTGCGCAACGATCTAGTTGCCAAGCATATCCATTGACAACCTCTCCAAGACCGCATCTGTCTTCCTGTAGCTCCTGATATACTCAAGATTACGGGTAAGCCATTGGGGAATTACACAACTTGCATTCAACAAGTAGACAGCCAGAGCTCTGGTTCCGCGTCCCCCAGTTATTCGCATGTAGCTGCCCTGTAAGAGCAACTGCATCAACCCCACAACAAGCATACACTAGTAGAGTGGATTTATTGCCGACTATTGAAGACCTCGATGACACCCAATAGACCGACAAATGGCGGTATTTGGGCCCACATTGGGTCCCGCAGTGAACAATGTACTGCCAAGCTCATGACGATCTAATAATTCGTTGAAATCCCTGTGAGTGACCGGAGGACTGCTGCTCCCCATTCAAAGGGTTGCGTCCGAGCCGAATATTTAACGTACGGTCGGCTCAGATGCAAAGGTATACGAAAGCCCAGCCAACTATAAAGTCATGGTTGGCTTAACTACGACGGTTTCTAGCTGTCGCAAAGGGGAGCAATAGTCGGCCCACAGGGAAGGGACGTCGGCTTGTCCATGTACTCTACTTGATGTCGTCGTACGAGAGCACAATTACACAATTACTCTTAGAAAAGAATTAGTAATGCACCCGAACCCTTCTGGTCTGATCACTCGGAAGGCGATCGTGGGCCCTATCGCCGGAGGTGCAGCATTGAGGGACAAGTGGCGGTCGGCGAGGCCGTTTCGGGCGTGGCTTGAGAAGCTGGCGATCGGTGGGACGTCAGTCTCTCGACAGGGCAGAGAATGCTACATGGTCGGTCTCTCCTTGACTGGCTGCGTGTACATGTCCTGCCTGGGAACCAGGCTTGAACGCCGTTGAGCATCTCGCCCGGCACTGGGGGTCTTTGTCACACCTCGACTCTGCACGGCCTACACGTGATGGACTTATGAAACAAAAGCATCTACGAGTTATTATAGTCTAGGTCAATGTGGCTATACGACTATACCCAGTAGTGGCGACAGAGCCGATCCCCAACCAATGCCGTGTTGAGGCCGTATTCGAAAGTAAATCTTATAGTATCCGAGGGCCCTCGTAAGTGGTTGGCTTGAGCTTTCAGAATCAACTCAACCTCGCTCCCGCGGGGCTGAAACCTCGGGAAGCCGTTTTAAAAGGGCTTCTATTCTCTAGACAAGGGACGACGAATAGCATGGACGAATCAACTTCTTTACCCCGTATTATTATTATTGAAATACGCCAGAGGCTTATTTGGCATCTAGAACATCTGCAGCAGAGAAAAACCCTGGCTTAATGCCTTTGGACGAAAACTTGGACTCCGCCTTACCCCTTTATTTTTCCTTGGAAAAGTTGATGACGTCTAGGCGCTGTGCATCGGCTATGGAGATACCATGGGGGACACCTCGGCGCCTTTATATTGCTTCATCTGGTTTATATAGAAAACCACTGCTGGTATTTGCACTTTCGCACATGTACTTACGGACACTTGCTCTGGTGCCGGCCAAGACGCTCGGCAGGGCCGGCCGTGCAGTGAGCGACCGTTGCCGGGTCATCCCAACGACTGACTTAAGCCCATTATGAGAGTATTGTGTTCGTAGATGCACTTGCCATTGCCCTCGTCACGACTAGCCCATCGACGCATCTCGTCCGGGTCAGCCACGGCTGGATATAGCTCGGCCGCGTCATCAGAATTGTTCTTCAGCCCGTGGTGGCAGCTGCTGACCGAGGGGACCATGAATGTGGCTTGCAGCCAGCCCAGGGCGTAAAAGGGAGCTGCTACGTATAGAGCGCGTAATTGGTTGGATCGTTGAAGCTCAGTGATGACCGACGTCTGCCCCCGCGGATCGGGCATGAAGAATCAACGGCGGGACCAACCAAGAACTTTGTCTGGCCAATACGCACGAGCCCCGTCTGTTCCTCGGCAAGGACCAGGATGGAATCGGCATCTCCCCTGCCGCAGCTCGCCCAACTCTGCGCCAGGTGCAAGGCTCTAGAATTGAACGAGGCCGTCCATGACCTGGGCTCCGACGACACCCACCAGTACCGGGAAATCAAGCTCGGCTGGGAGTTGGCCGACCAGATCCCTGAAATGTCCCAGGCCTCCAAACGAAGAGAAAAAGGCTGTGGGTTTTGTGGATTTCTTGATTCTCTTCTTTTTGCTTCACGCCTGGCGGTTTTCAGGAAAATGAGCAGCATGGCGGTCGTGATATCGCTTTGGTATGTCGTCTGCCGCAAAGGGGGCGGCGGCTATGGCCTCGCCTGTCTCAGAGTCAAGTTTCGTAGTGGTAAGAGCCGCAGGAACTGAATCCAAGGCCGTTTGTCCAACTAATCAAGGGCCACTCAGATGAAGGAAAGGACATCGTCTACTTTGATTGTCCCATCGCTTCTGCCACACGGCCCCTTCAAAACTCAGCGGTTGGTCTCGCCACGCCGCTGACCCAGCTCGACTCTGACCGCATACGGTGGATAACGTCAAAGCTGGAGGCTTGTGTTGCCCATGACCACCTTACAGCCCAGCCGGGCTTTGTTCCGGATCGACTCATCAAAGTGGACCAAGGGCAGCTGCGTCTCGTCCTCACCAACGATGCTGGCAACTCGGACTTCCATCCACCCCCGGGCGTCGAGCCGCCACGCTACGCTGCACTCACATATTGCTGGGGGCCGCTTCCCCATGCAGACAAGCAGCTCAAGACGCAAACTGGAAATCTCTCGCAGCACCTCCGCGAGATACCCGCATCGAAGCTGCCCCTAGTCGTCAAAGACGCCGTGTCTGCGGCCAGAGCATTGACTATCCCCTATCTCTGGGTCGATGCCCTCTGCATCCTTCAAGATGTCGGCTCAGACTGGGAGGCTCAGTGTATGCAAATGGACAAGATATACAGCAACGCATACCTGACCATCAGTGCTCCAGTGTCCAACAACTGCGAGGAGGGTTTCGTCGACAGATCAGATAGAGTCGTTCTTCCTCTGCATCAACGCCGTGGCCCGACTACCCCTATCATGTTCGCCATCTACCAGCCGTCTTGTAGCGCCACGTCGGCCTATGAGATTGCAGCAACAACTTGGATAGAAAGGGGCTGGACACTCCAAGAACGCCTATCCTCGACGCGCATGGTCTTCTTCGGACGAAACAACATCCATTTCCAATGCATCGAGGGACACTGCTCCATGGGAAGGTTCCAGCTCCCCTGTGAGTTTGGCATGCTGAACCGGAGACTGATCAACCAAGGCTCACCGTCTGTGCTACACAAGGAGTGGGCCGACGTTGCCGCCGAGTGTTCCTGCGTGTTTCCTGAATTTACGCGCCCAACCGACTTATGGCCGTCGATTGCCGGGATCGCGACCTTGTTTGCCGAGCGGCTGCGCGATGAATACCTGGCCGGCTTGTGGAAGGGGGATCTCAGCCGGTCTCTCCACTGGACCGGCGCTCGAAGCAATAGGCCCAAATATGCAGACCTGATGGCTCAGCTGGAGCATCCTTCGCAGTACATTGCTCCCTCCTGGAGCTGGGGAAGCCACTCGACCCTGGTCTCTTTCAGCCTGTACGCTGACCACACCGTGGACCACTGTCGACCTGAATACTCCATCTTGCGCGCTTCTGTCAAACTAAAAGGGGCCAATCCCTTCGGTGAACTCGAGAGCGCACATTTAGACATTTCAGCCAAGGTGTATACAGGCTCACGGCGTCTCGTTTTCGACGAACTCAAAGACACCGGTGGCATATCTAGGCAAACGCTGCGACTAGAGGGTCGATATCTAACGGACTTTGAGGCAGACTGCGAGTCTGAGGACTTGTTCGATCTAAGGGATGGGCAATATGGGTTGGAAGCGCCAGTCAGTTTCTTGCTGATTGGGAGCACGGTGAACGAAGACAGCAGCTCTCGTCCCGACAGGTTCCATGGATCGCCAAGCTCTCAGAAAAAGCTGGACGACGACCTTTACGGAGACTCTAGGCGGGAACCAGAGGTCCCCGATGCTTGCCACCCTGGGGGCGAGTATCTTGGTGATGGTTTCGCGGGCGAAAAGCCACGTGCTGCGTCGCCCTGTCTCGATGTCCAGGGGCCGCCTCGAAGTGAAGAGAAGACGGGGAAATATGGTGCAGCAGAACGGGTAGCCTATGGGCTCATGATTCATCCAGCAAACAAACCTGGCGAGTTCTATCGACTCGGAGCCTTCTTCTCCGAACCCTATGGGCGCGGGGGCCTTGCATTCTTCGATGGCTGCGAGACGAGGGCGATACGGCTTATTTAGAGGTCCTCCCTACACATCGGCAACGAAGGCCTAGAGGGGCCGGCAAAAAGCGAGGAGCCATGTTGATGAGTGAAAGAGTCCCGGCTCGGTAGCCCATGGGCGCCTGCGTTGTGTCGTCCGGACGGCTGACCATATAGCGCAGGCGATGAGGGTTTGCGAGCCCCTAGGAACCAAGGCATGGCCGATGGCAACAATTTGCTGGACGGTCTGGAGGATGTTCATGAACCTCAACTTAGACTATGGCAGGGTTTCTGCGGACTTCGTGTATCCAGCTTGCCTAGAAACACGGCGACATGGTTCCCATCAGAGTGTCTGTTGCGATAAGCTGTTTGTCTTCGCAAGACTCGTCTCCCTGCTCGGGGAGAGAGAGGCAACGGCAGGACAGAAGAGTCCACCAGGTGCTTTTGATGCCTTGAAATGGCAAAAGAGCGGTTCCTGCGGTGACCTGCCTCACCACCTGCTGACGGAGAGTGAGGCTGAGGCAGCAGGTTGACTTGTGAGGCTGCAGGTTGACTTGTGAGGCTGCAGGTTGACTTGTAAGGCTACAGCAAACACCCATTGTTGCCCTACCTCCTCTGCTTCGGATAATGAGAGCCCAAGAATACCCAATAGAACAGCATACCGTAGTGGTAGCGCACTGGAAGACAGCCGTCCAACGGAAGAGGAGGCCATCATAGTGCCCAACTACGGAGACGATGGCTCCATCCAGTCCAGCCATGCAGAGCTGGGCCATGCACATGGCCGTTTCGGGCTTGCATTGCAGGACACCAGTCGCTGACCCGGCTCCCGTTCTCGGGACCGGGGACTGCATCCACGTTACCACCTGTTGCTTCGGACCAAGACAGATCCGTTGCGTGAATATGCTCATCGTGCATATCGCTGGCTGCTACTGCAAGGATCTCATGCACGACCCAAGCAAGGCCCTACCCCGAGGGTGTCTCCAAGGGGCCGACCGATGACGGGAGCGGAGAGGTGGTAAGAGTAGAGATGGAAGCCTGCAAGCTCTGTGCTGACATCAAATGTTGACTCGGGACAGACACGACGCTCCGGGGGTATAGACCCCGTGCTTTCAGGGGCTGTCCGGCAGGACTGGGCAAAGGCCATTGACTACGCCGTCTCTAGGTACACCATAACGGCAAGGGAAATATAAAAGTTGGTAGCGTAGATGGCTTCAGAGGGAACTGTTGACGGGGGTGGATTCCCCCTTTCCGCTGCATACTGCCCGTTGGCTCTTCACTGTAGAGTGCGTGGTCTCTCCCGAGTAGCAGCCACGATGGCTCGAAGACCAAGGCTTTGAGCGATCGTTTGACCTTGTCTGCCATGGCCAAGGATATGAAAGCTCAAACGACTCGGTCCAGTAGACACATGTGCTCTTCACGCCATGCTTAACCCAAGGCCGCCCGGACTCAATCGTTTCTCTACCCGCGTCATGCAACCCGGACGAATGTGCGAACGAAACCACTGGAGCATGTGGCTCAAAGGGGCAACATTCCCCTGCTCCTACCCCAGCACTGGTCCTTTCTGCTCCGTCGGTAATTATGCCTCGTACGTGCTCTTGGCGTAGAAAGAGTCCCCAGAACAACGACACACACGTCAATGTCCGCCCAAGCCTGTTGAACCACTTGCCGGTCTGGCCTCTGCTTGCCATCGTTTCGTCTACTGTACCCCATATCGTGTCGCTGAGCCCCTTCCAGCGCCCGTTTCTCCACCGGCGATGCTGATGCATGGTGGTAACCTACCAGAAGACTCAATGGGGATCGATATCGGTGGAGAAGCTCTCGACGTGCCTCGGTCTTCGAATCTGTCCCACTTGGAGACTCATACCCTTTGCGTCGTCGCCGCGCGAGTGGAGTTGCCGGGCAACGGAGAGGTTGCTTGATGGCGTTGCATTGCCAAGCGCCCTGCTCGGACTTGGGTGTAAATAGCCCACGGTCGTCATCCTGTCTGCGGGCCTGGCGGTATCCATCCTCTGTTCACCCTTGATCCGTTGTTTGAATTGGTCGCAATGTCTGGTCTGGCCTACCTCTTCCTCTTCGGCCTCGTGGTAACAGCTGCCGGCCGCATTGTCGTCACACTTGGGTAATGGTTTGTCGTCGATAACAATGTTGGCCCTCGTTCTGGAGCCGCCAAGCTCACTATTGGTATTTACGCACATGTCAAGGCCACCTCAATACATAACTACCTCAGCGTGAGTGTCCACAGCTTTGCTTGCTGTATTTGACTGTAATGCTTACCCCCTTGGCAAGACACAGTCAACAAGCAAGTTAGAATCATAGGCCGCAGCTCCGCATCGGCCGACATTTCCTTTAACCTTGTTGACGCCGAGTATCGCGGGCAAGGACTCGATGAACATGATGTACGACAATGGCAAGGGGAGGCTCGAACTCTCAACCTCGACCTCGTCGACGACTTCCAGGCCTTCCCTGGACGAGCTGCGGAATACTCCACGCCCGACGCTCTGGCCAAGGACGTCGCCGGGTACAAGATAAACGTCTGGCTGCATGGTTGCCTCGTCTGCGGTTTCTAGAGACTCACTCACGCCCCAGGGCTAGAGGGCCTCAACGCGCTTGGCGCCTGGTTTGAGATCAGGAATGCCTTCGTCGGAGGCCGTGACGGCCTGGAAAATTCTTGCGAGGCAGAGCTCACATCCCACGACGCCGTGGCTGACCCGGCCCTGTCGCCCATCGTGCCGATCCAGCCGGTGAACGGAGACACTAGGCTGCCCTCGAGCAGGGCACTGACGCTAACGCGCTGCCACCCGACCGCTTCGGAAATCTGCGGCAGACGTGTGAGGAGGATTGCGGCGCCCCCTTTTCCTGCTACCGGGTCGAAGGGCCGGCTTCCAACAGTAAGCGTGCTGCAGGCGGCCAGGACATGAGTGTAGCAAACATGCCATGCACGGTCAGAACGAGGCTGCATGTTAAGGGTGGTACGAGGGGATGACGATTCTGGACGCTGACCCACGGGACGATGGCTAACAATGAGCGAGGGCCAGGGGTCAAGAGACCCCCTGTTGACCAGAATGCTGCTCAGACGATGGCAGAAGCAAGAGACGTCGAATCCCTTGTGCCATGCATGCTGTTGGCCTCGCACACATGCCCGGTGTGCTGTCAGCGTTGATACTTCTGACGTTGCACCTGCTATTCTGTCATGATTTCAGTCAACCTACCTTGACGAGGTGATGAAGTTCGAGGTCGAGCTGGGATCGAGCTCTATTCACGCGGGCGTGGGCGTAAGAATGTGTCGCGAATGTGCGGAGACGACTTTGCAGATGATAACTATACCTATTCGACACTTGCATAAGCACCTCTGTACAGAGTACATGCAGCTTATGCACATCAAGGGTCCCGGAGCGCATGTGCAGCCCGTTGGGACCGGGCTCATGGGCGTCAAGTACCGGTACTTGCCCTTGGTCCCGGCAACCAGACGGCTGGAGTAGGCCGTTGTCGGCTCACGTGACGGGAGCACTCAGACAGGAACGGTACCAAGGTACGAAGGACAAAGTCTATGCAGAATGACGCTTCCGTGGCCGTCTCAGGCTCAGACAAGAGGAAATGAGAGACAAGGTGTCTCCCAGCACGGGCTTGGCCTGCTGTCGAAGTGCGCCCGGGCTGCGGCTCTGATTGGGCCGCGCGTCCCAGCGGCGTCTGGAGGTGCATTTCAGAGCCAGGCTCCTGGTACGAGTATCTGGTACGAGTACCGTACTCGTACCTGGTACTCGGGTGTCGGTACACTTGCAAGATGAGTGCGGGCGTCAGCCGGGTATCGCCAACTTTGCCCTCCCCCCTCCCGATGGGACCTTGCATTCTCACGTATCCCGCACGGTACATAGCGGCGAGTACTCGATACATGCAGCACCATTCGTCCCCCAGGAGGCCGCACCCTGATCATCCCCCCCTCCCAACCAGCTGCCGTCGTCTCTCAGTCTCAAACAGGGCCTGTACAACACGGCGACGAACTATCGGGACGGCCTGATCGATCCATCCTTGGTCGGGACTGCTCAGTGCGCGGTACTTGCTCGTCTGGTTGGCGGGTGAATGTACCGGACAGTATCCATACCTGTTGGGCACGCGGCGGCCCGCAAGTACCCCGCCAGCAACTCTCAGTTCAGTTTGTCTCCAGCACTAATTACTAGTACAGCACTACTAGTACAGCACTACTAGTACGGCACAGCTGCTGCGCAGTACCTGTCCCTCGTCCCCGGGATCTGCCCACCGCGAGAGCCCCTCCAGTCTCCTCCACTTAAGCACCAAGTACCTGCTTGAACCTCCATCTCTCTCATCCGAGTTCCGACAAACCTGCACCCCCCCTTTCTCTCGCTCTCTCCCCCTCCCGTCCTCGTCTCCTGTGCATGCGCGCGCCACTGGCTGGTCCTCGAACCATTGCCGTCCTGCGACGCCATCCGCGGCTTCCTGTCTCTTGCCTCGGATCCCTCCGGGCGACTTCACTCACCTTTCCCGGCCGCCAGCTTCCGTCGACTCACCTCCACTATTTGCGTCTCGCCCCTTGAGCTTGCAATCCAACACTCATCCCTAGCTCGACCGCCTCGCCGTCGCTCCTCAGCCTCGTATCATGCCGCCGCACCTTTCCGCCGACCTGAGACCACGATAAGCCTGGCCATCCACGCCCGATGGCCAGGAAACAACGAATAAAACACAAAGACGGCGCGCAACCTGCCCACTCTGTCGCCATGGCGGCCCGAGATGACTCCTCATTCCCCCGTCCCACCCCCTGCGCCAGGCTCTCCAGCGACAGCACTGTCAGCGAAGGCGCCGCCAGCGAGGGCGCTCAAACGGCCATGACCAGCGTCGCCGACGAGGATCTCGATCGTAATCTGGACATGGCAGACGACGACGACGAAACCGCCGCCGACGAGAACTACGACTATCATGATGTCGACACTGCGTCCCTGTATCCCGTCAGCCACTATCCTCGCCCGGCCAGCCCGCATGGAACCCTCATGCAGCTCTATCTGGATGACCCCATGAATGCCTATTCAGACCAGTGAGTATAGTTCTCTCCCGTGTCGAATCCGAGGCCCTCACTCCTCGACGACATTCGACTGCTAACCCCCTCCAGCGCCGCGTCGACCCGATCCCTGTGGGTGCCGGATCTCGACTATCGCGAGATTCATGGCCGGCGCTACTGCAGAGATTACTACATGCCCAACGACGAGATTGAGCAGCTGCGCCTTTCCCTGCAGCACCAAGTCTTCCTGCATCTTCTCGAGGGCGACATGACGTGCGTCCCTCTCGACGACCCCAAAAACATACTCGACGTCGGCACCGGCACCGGCGAATGGCCCATCCGCATGGCAGAGCTCTTCCCCGACTGCGAGGTCGTCGGCACCGACATATCCGCCATTGCCGAGACCAAGAGCGTTCCCATGAACGTCTTCTTCGAGATTGAAGACGCCGAGGAGTGGGATAGGCCCCCGGACCACTACGATCTCATCCACTTCCGGTGCATGGAGGGAGCTTTCCGGGACTGGCCCTTCATATACGACTGCGTCTACGACTCGCTCAAGCCGGGCGGCTGGATCGAGTTGATCGACTTTGATAGCCTCGAGTCGGTCAAGATCTGGTTCACCGCCTTCTCCGAGGGCTCCCCCATCTTCGACATGGCCAGGGACCTCGAGATTGCTGCCGAGCAGATTGGCAGGAAGCGGGGCATCTCACACATGGACCCGCAGCTCTTGGTGGAAGCGGGCTTCGTGGATGTCCAGGTGACGGAGCACGCGATTCCCATGTTGGTGGGCGACAAGTCGGCAGGCAAGCTCTGGCTGATATCGTGCCTCGACGCCCTCGAGGCCAACTGCCTGCGCCTCCTGACGCAGCAAATGGGGTGGGACCCGGACAAGTGCAAGGTGGCGTGCGAGCAAGCGGCCCGCGAGCTGGCCAACCTCGCCAAGGATCCGGAAAAGGCAAAGGGCCTCTTGGTCAAGGCGCGCACTCTGGCCGCGCGAAAGCCGCTCGAGGCTGGCTCCGAGGCCCAGAGTACATCGGGGCCATCGAGGTCGCCCAGCGCCGAGCTGGTCGATGCTGCGCCTCAAGTCTCGTTCCAGCCGCCGCCGAGCCCGCGACACAGCAGCCGGGGCGGGGTGGAGTGGCAAGGGGAGTGGAAAAAGGAAGCGTAGATGTGAGGGCTTGAGAACTGGTCACGGGCAACTATGCATGCGACTCATGGGCCCAGGCTCGACTGGATGGCATGATACATGTCACAACAAGACGCAAAAATGGGGGCATGATACGGCGTTGGATGCTCTGCCCTGCTTTGAAGGGAGTCGGCTCCTCCCTCATCCCCTGTATTGATGGTACCCTTTGGGGTATGTCTGTTTGAATCTCTCTGCTTGTTGTCAATCTGAGGATACACATCACCGAGACGTCGGCGTGTTTCGCGAATACGTATGGGTGACCCCTTTTTGAGGTTGTCACGCGCGCACTGTACATGACTGGCATGACATTTGGTTGGTGTTTGGTAGCGAGGGCGACACGACAATGACCAATTCGGACTTGAATGTTGAGATGTCGCATATTTGCTTGAGGGTGAAGAATTGATGGTGGGCGGGCAGATTTGTTGAAGATGCGGTGAAGATTAACAGATGGTCGTTTCTTTTTACCTGCCTCCATACGGACATATCCGTAATTAACTTACAGTACGGATACGTACGTAGTAATTACCTACCTAATTACCTCTTCGTACATGACGTGGTTGGTGTGGAGAGCTGTACCGTAGGTACTCCCGTACTCTTCCCGCCCCCATTTCCCGACCGAGCTGCGTACTTGGGGGGCGGAGGCAGCTTCCACCTGCAGCAAACAGACGTCCACCAAAACCAACGACAATCTTCGTCGCCCCAACCTCCGCCAACTGTCGCCGCCGACGAGTCCAAGGCTGGCTGCATCCCCCAGTCACTGCTGACCAGCCGCCGGCTCTCCGCTGGCACCGGCTGGGACCGGGAAGCACGCCTTTGGCTGGGCATGCAGGCCGTGCGACGCCGCCATGTCCCTCGACCTCAATGATGGCTTCGTCGCCGCCGACGCCGGCCCCGGACTCGACGACAACCTGCCCATTTTCACCGTCGAGCGAGTCCAGCTTCAGTTCTCCATCGCCGCCGACTTTGTCGCCGCGCAGGTGGCCAACAATGTCATCATCCTCGCCCTCTCCAACGGACGCATCCTGCGCATCGATCTCAACCGCCCAGAGGACATTGACGGTGAGTCCGCGCAGGGCATGCGCCATCGCCACGGCCGAAAACGCCTGGCGGTGAAGCGAATGAGGCTCACAGGCTTGCAGACATCGACTTGCCCAAGAAGTCGTCCGAGGTTGGCGTCATACGCCGCATGTTTCTCGACCCGACCGCGTCGCATCTCCTCATCTGCACTGCTCTGGGTGAAAACTACTACCTGCACTCGCAGTCGAAGCAACCGCGCCCGTTGGGCCGCCTGCGCGGCGTCACGATTGAGAGCGTTGCCTGGAACCCTTCCCTGCCGACTGCGTCTACGCGAGAAATCCTGCTGGGCGCCGCCGATGGCAACATCTACGAAGCCTTCATCGAAATGTCCCACGAGTTCTACAAGAAGGAGGTGAAGCATCTGAAAACCCTGCACAAGCTGCCCGATGGGCCCATCACGGGCTTGTGGGTCGACAACCTGCACACAAAGTCGGACCTGCGGAGGGTCGTCATTGCCACGCAGAGCAGGATATTCCACCTCGTCGGCAAGCTCGGCCATGCACACGACGGTAGTGGCTCGGCCTACACGAGGCTCTTTGAGTCGGAGCAGCCCGTCGTTCACGAGCTGTCTCGCCCGCAGTCGCCAGCCTACTCGACCCTGGCCCTGTCCCCAGACGTCCCCGAAATGAACCCATACTCCGAGGACGCCCCCGACCGAGCATACGCCTGGCTGTCATCCCATGGCATCTTTCATGGGAAGCTCTCCAACACCCCGGCGGACAACAGCCTGGGCTCGCGCGTGTTTTCCGAGTCAAAGATGCTGGGCGTGGCGCAGATGCTCACAGCGGAATCGTCGGGCAGGCGACGGCCGGCCTCGGAGACGATTGATGCCATGGCGCTCACTCAGTGGCACATCATCAGCCTCGTCGGTGGCCGCGTCGTTGCCACGAACCGTCTGACGGGCAAGTTGGTCTCGGAGCACGAGGTTCTCGGTGCTGGCCAGAGGGCCATAGGCTTCTCGGTGGATATGCAGAAAAACACCTTCTGGTTATTCACGTCGGACGAGATCCACGAGATTGTGGTGCGTGACGAGGACCGGGACATTTGGCAAATCATGATGGACAACAAGCAGTTTGAGCCGGCGCTGCAGCATGCGCACACTCGGACGCAAAAGGAGACGGTGGCAGCGGCATACGGCGATCATTTGGCCAAGAAGGGCCACTGGAACGAAGCGGCCACGGTATATGGCCGGAGCAACAAGCCGTTCGAGGACATTGCACTGAGCATTATCGACAACAACCAGCCCGACGCCCTCCGGCAGTTCCTCCTGACCAAACTGGCCACGGCCAGCAAGTCTGCCGCCATGCAGCGGATCATGGTGGCGGGCTGGCTGGTCGAAGTGTTCATGGCCAAGCTCAACTCTCTCGACGACACCATCATGACGCAGGCGGAGCTGTCGGAGAGCCTGAGCACGGGCGAGTCGCGGAAGCTGCTCGAGGCTGTGCGAAAGGAGTATGAGGAGTTTGTCGGCAAGTACAAGGGCGACTTGGACCGCAGCATGGTCTACGACGTCATCAGCAGCCACGGACGCGAAGCGGAGCTGCTGTACTTTGCCGACGCCGTCAACGACTACAACTATGTCCTGTCGTACTGGGTCCAGCGCGAGCGATGGCCCGAGGCCCTGGCCGTCCTCAAGAAGCAGACGGACCCCGACGTCTTTTACCGGTACAGCAGCGTCCTCATGACGCGCGCGCCGCAGGAGACGGCGGATATCCTGATGAGACACGCCGACCTCAACCCGCGCAGTCTCATCCCGGCCCTGCTCGAGTACAACCGCAACCTGCCTGGCGAGGTCAACGCGCAGAACCAGGCAATCCGATACCTCAACTACGTCGTCTTCCAGCTCAACTCCAAGGACGCGGCGGTCCACAACACGCTCGTGTCCATCTACGCCTCGCATCCCTCCAAGGACGAGTCGGGTCTCCTGTCGTACCTGCAAGCTCAGGGCGACGAACCGCGCTACGACCAAGACTTTGCCCTGCGGCTCTGCATCCAACACCACCGCACGCTCTCGTGCGTCCACATATACACCAGCATGGGCCAATATCTCCAAGCCGTCGACCTGGCGCTGTCTCACGACGAGGTGGAGCTGGGCGCGGTGATTGCCGACCGGGCCATGTCGAACCCGCAGCTGCGCAAGAGACTGTGGCTGGCGGTGGCGCGCAAGGTCATTGCCAAGTCGGACGGCATCAAGACGGCCATTGAGTTCCTCAAGCGATGCGAGCTGCTCAGGATCGAGGACCTGATGCCCTTTTCCCCCGACTTTGTCGTGATTGACGACTTCAAGGAGGAGATCTGCGGGGCGCTCGAGGACTACAGCCGCAACATTGACAACCTAAAGAAGGAGATGGAAGAGTCTTCGCAGACGGCGACCAACATCAAGCTGGATATTGCGGCGCTGGACCACCGATACGCGATTGTGGAGCCGGGGGAAAAGTGCTACGTGTGCGGGCTGCCGCTGCTCAGCAGGCAGTTTTTTGTCTTTCCGTGCCAGCACTCGTTCCACTCGGACTGCATGGGGCGCAAGGTGCTGGAGCAGTCTGGGATGAGCAAGTCGTCGAGGATCCGGGAGCTCCAAACACAGATTCACAAGGGCCTGGTCAACGGCTCCAAGAGGGAGGCCGTGGTGGCCGAGCTGGATTCTCTGGTAGCTTCCGCGTGGTATTTCCCCCAACCTTTCTCTCCATCCTTCCCTCCCTTTCACACATCACCGTCTCACGCCTCGGTTGCGCCTTTTCAGGGGAACCACTGAGAGTGCTGGGGCAATGGCCGTTTTACTGACTGGGCATTAGTATACTTTGCAGCGACTTTGCCATTAAGAGAATCGATGAGCCGTTTGTGACGCGAAACGACAACCGGGAAGAATGGGCTCTGTGATTTGGTGAGCCGAGAACCCCTGTCGCTTGAACTTGGACCTGTCGGCGGTTGAGCGAGGCACGAGCGAGGGCTCTACAACTACTTGGCGCCGATTGCCAGGTTGCGAATCACATGTATTCCCCCGTCAGTACTTGCACTGGGTGACGTCCATGGTAGAGCGCGTGATCATGAGGATTGACACGACGATGCCGTAGAGACCCAAGACCTCGGCGAAGATGAGGATGAGGACCATGCCAATATACAGGCGTGGCTGCTGGGTGCTCGCGCGGACTGCCAATATTGTCAGCGTCAAGAGCGCGGCCCCGCGGATCCGGAACGCACCGCCAGCGTCGCCGACTATGCCGATGGCGAAGCCGGCAGCCAGGCCGCAGAGACCGCAGGCCAACCCTGCGCCAAGATGGAGGAAGGCAGTGTGGGCGGGCATCTTCTCCATGGTGTTGTTTACGATGATGACGCTGGCGACCAGGCCGTATATGGAGAGGATCTGGGCCATGATGGCGCAGAGGCTGTCGGGACGGGAGCCGTCGGTCAGCCAGGCGCCTGAGAGTCCCGTTCCTCGCGGCATCTTGGCGGCAAAGGGGGACGCACATGTTCTGCATTAGCCGGTCAGGGCGCATGATGCCAGAGGCAAAGATGGCGCCGGCAGACTTTGCGGTGCCGTAGGAGGCGCCGAAGGTGGAGAGGATGATGGAGCTGGCGCAACCCATGGCACTGAAGAAGGACTAGGCGAGGCATGAGCGGATGTCAAGGTGGGCTGGAGAGGAGTCGACTGACAGCGTACATGGGGCTGGAATAGGAGGCAGGGAGCATCAGTCAAGGCCGGGAGGCGCGAGTATGGACAGGCAGACAGACCAGCGCTCCATGTTTGCGACAAAGGCGGGATCCATGTTTGTTGAAGACGGCAGCGTCGCGGGGTGGGAGACCCGGGGAGAGCAGAGCCGTGGAAGAGTTGAATGGGAGGTGGTTGGGCTACGGATTGGGGCTCCCTTTAGGTGGAGGCGAGGTAGATGTTATCTACAAGACGCCTTTGCTACGTCGTTGAAGGAGGGCTGTCTGCCTGGCTCCCAGCCCCGCGAGACTGGTCTTTCAGCCGCATCTCATAGCTTTGGAGCCTGGGAGAAACGGCTGCCTGGCGGTGGCTGCGAGTTGCAATTGGCCATATATTGTAGGGCCGCGTGTCGAGACGCCGTAAGACGGGAGTGTAGATGCGCCGGGGAGGGAGAAGTGAGGAGAGGGAGAGTGAAGGAGGAGGAGGAGGAGGAGGAGGAGGAGGAGGAGGGAGAGGAGGAGCAGAGCTATAAGGAAGTAGAAGGAGAGATAGGAGGAGATATGGAAAAAGAGATGGAGACGGAGGAGGATGGACAGAAGATCCAAACGAGATGCGACGGGAGAGGGCGCAAGATGAGCGAATACAAATGTCAACAGTACCTGGCCTGGGACTACCTATCCTACCTGCCACGTCGTCTATTCATCCCAGACGGTCAAGAAAAGGCGGCGAAGAAGCTACAGTCCTTGGCAAGTCAGCCAGGGCGTCTCATGTGTGTTTTGGGCATGGCAGATGCAGGGCAGGGGCCTTACGGCGTGCGCCTTACGGAGTACAGTACTGGTACAGTGGGTGCAGGAGGGCGGAGTGCGCTCGAAGTGGTTTTGTACCGCCTGTTCGCCACTGTAGGGATGTACTGTAGGCAAGTAGGTAGCCACTAAAAGAGCCCTAGAATAAATCAAATACAGCATGTGAACTCAGGGGTACCTAGCGAATGAACGTGCTTGTACCCTTGTACACGCATTTGTGTAACGGTGTATCAACCCCGTCCACGTCTTTGTCTATTCCTGGACACACACAACCCGCTCTCTTCTAACTTAGTTCTTCCTTTGTTCTACCTTCTCTGCATCGGGAGGGAGGACAGATTTGAGCTGTCGACGGGCTATTCCCATCTTATCCCCCCTGTTGCCGTCGCCCTTGACCATTGCCTTTTGGTGCCTCGGTTCCGGGAGGGGGTTGGTCAACGTCGGCTTGATTTGATGACAGCTTCGTCGTCGTCGTCGTCGTCATCGTCGGTCGACCACGGAAAACTCGGCTCAACCATTCGTCTACGCAACTGCCCCGACACGCACAAAATGACGCCGCCCAGAGGCAGACGGGCCCACGGCGGCGGCGGTGCTCCGTTTGAGGCTGGGCTTGCGCCCGGCCGTGCATCTTCGCACAGCAAGCGTTTCGGTCCGCGCGTCGTGAGTTGGCACGTTTGAGTTTAGCCTCTCTCGTTCTCTCCGTCTCTCTCTCTCCTGTGTCGACGTGACTAATCTTCTCCAGCTTCTCTCCCTCTCAGGAAAGAAGTCGTCGACGGCCCACCCGCACGAACCGTCGTCATGCCCGGGCCCGTTTCATCCAAGTATCGGGGGTATCATATTCTCCCGATGTGGAGAGCCCACGCCTGGCAGCTGGGCCTTTGCTCGGATCGTCGTCGACCTTCTTTGAGGCGAACTCCGTCGTGTCGTGCCCGGCAAATCGCTGCCGATTTGCCGCTCTCTCCGTCTCTCCTCGGCCTATCTTCGCCCGCCTGCCCTGTCCCTTCTCTTCACTACACCCACGGCGTCCTCGTTGAACTAGACGAGTTCTACCGTTCCGACTCCGACTCCGCCTCCGTCACCACCTCCTCGTCGTCGTCGCCGTCGTCGTCACCATCGACACCGTCACGTCTCCTCCTCGTCTATCCTCTCCTTCCTGTCCGTCTCTCCCTATCGAAGAAACATTCACGACCTCCACCACCTTTGGTCATTCACCTGTCTCTGCGAGACCTTCATCTTTGGCTCTTCGCAAACACTCTTCGGGATCGGCATTGGGCTTCCTTGTGCCGCTGCTTCGGATTCAACGATTTGCGTTTCCCGCTCTTTACAACTTCTCCTCCAGTGTCTGGTCCTCTAAGTCGGCATAAGTGAATCGACGAGGGTAATCGGAGAGCCAGCGCTCGGTGTTTGTTTTCTTTTCCTTCTCTTTTTGGAAAGATACTTGTGCCGGAATGAATCTTGGACAATGAAGTCGACGACGCTCCTTCTCGCCCTCGGCACCATCATCCCCACGCCCGCCGCCGGCCTGTCTCCCGGCAAACGCCAAGATGGCTCGCCACGCGTGCTTGGTCTCAACCTGCGTCGCCAGGTAGTCCGCGACCCGATAGCCAATGATGCCAAGCGGCTACGGAAGCGCGCCGGATCAGTCAACGCTACCATGGACAATCATGTAGGTTACCTCTGTTTGCCCAAGCTGCCCGTCATTCCTCTTCCATACGAGCAACAGCTGACAGCCGCAACCCCAGGAGATTCTCTACTTTCTCAACGGCACCCTGGGCAACCCGCCGCAGCCCGTGCGGATGCACTTGGACACTGGCAGCAGCGACCTGTGGATCAACACGGCCAAATCCGACCTGTGCTCGCTCAAGTCGCGGCCATGCGCCGCCTCGGGCACCTATAATGCCAACTCATCCTCATCTTACAACTACATCGGAAGCTTCTTCAATATCTCGTACGTGGACGGCTCCGGCGCCTCGGGCGACTATGTCACCGACACCCTCCGCCTCTTCGGCCAGGAGATCCAGAACTTTCAGTTTGGCGTCGGCTACACCAGCACCTCGCCCCAGGCTGTCCTCGGCGTCGGCTATCCCGCCAACGAGGCCCCCATCGCGCGCTTTAAAAAGACGCAGTACGACAACCTGCCGGCCAAGATGGCCAAGGACAGCATCATCGCCTCGAGTGCGTACAGCCTCTGGCTCAACGACATCGACGCCCAGGACGGCACCATCCTCTTTGGCGGCATCGACAAGGCGCGCTTCAAGGGCCAACTCGTCAGCCTGCCTATCCAGAAGGTCGACGACCAATTTGTCGAGTTCTACATCACCTTGACGGGCCTCAGCGTCGGCGGGACCACGGCGGGCGACAACATGGCCCTTGCCGTCCTCCTCGACTCGGGCTCCTCCTTCACCTACCTGCCCAACAACCTGATCCAGCCCATCTACAAGGCCCTCAACGCCCAGTTCGAGCAGGGTGACGGCGTCGCCTACGTGCCCTGCTCACTGCGCAACCAAGACACAAACCTAACCTTTCGCTTCAGCGATCCGGCCGTCATCGACGTGCCCCTCCGCGAGGTGGTCATCGACCCGACGGAGCTGCCCTCGGGTCGGCCCATGGCCTTTGGCGACGGCACGCCGGCCTGCTACTGTGGCATCCTGCCCTCTGACAACTCCATCAGCGTCCTTGGCGACACGTTTCTGCGCAGCGCCTACGTCGTCTACGACATGGGGAACAACAAGATCTCTCTGGCCAAGACGAATTTCAATGCCACCGGATCGGACATTGCGGAAATTGGCACGGGGGCCAACGCGGTGCCACAGGCCGTCGCGGCGCAGAAGCCGGTCGCGGCGACCTCGGGCATTCCCGACCGGTCGTCGCGCAACGGCAACTCGAACAAGAATGGCGCCGCGGGCGTCCCGGCGCCCTCGCTGGCCCCGGTGGCGCTGACCCTGGCCTTGAGCTTGCTGGTAGGATTCGCTGGCTTTGTTTCGTGAGCTGCGCTTTTGAGTCGGCGTCTCTTCCTGGGCGTTGTTGCTGCCGAGACTACGACAAATTGGCCAAGGGAGCCTAAGGGCAGGTTCCTTTACTTATATCCCCATCCCTCAGGATTTTTCCTCGCTTTTCTGGAAAACATTGCGTGCATGGCGACGGCGTTTTGAACGGCTGGGGCAAGCGGGCATGCCTGAAGGGCTGCTTGGTACACCATTTGGGATAGAACCCAAGAATGGTTTTTTTTTATTCAAGGTCAGGGATGGCGTCTACGGGCGGTGTGATGGTCATTCGCGACGTACATGGCTGGGCCGGGCTTGGCTGGATGCCGGGCTTTCACCATGGGAGTCGCATGGACGGGTGTCTGGACGGGCAGGTTGGGCAAGGCATGGGCGGCACTGTTAATGAAGTGAAGACGTTTCGATGCCGAGTTTGGTTGCCGCCTTGACTGCGCGTGCATGCAATGATGGACTACTGTCGTCTGCTGCCCTGTCCCGCACGGCGTGCATCTCCCAGCGCACTCTCGGCGCACTCCGTATTTGTGAAGTGAGCCCCAACTCCAGGCCCGAGCCGCAGTCCGGTTTGTCCAACGGCGCCGAGCCGGGAGGAAGAACGTGGGCGTCGTCCTACGCACGCCGCCTCGGTCAAGCTGTTTGACTCCCGCCCATGAGCAGCTCATCAAACACCACGCCATTGCAGCAGGTGGTGGGGGAATCAATCCGGCGGCGCCCGTCCCGTGTGGGGCCTGGTGGGGAGGGGGTCCCGGCTGCCGATTGCCGATTGCCGCGCCCGTGCGGCATTCGGGGTTTTTGGAGGCCCGGCTGTGCCGACTCTCAGCCCCACCGATGACGACGCGCGCAGCAAGCGTCTTCAGGGAGTGGATGATGGACTGCCGGCTGGGAAAAGGGGGCGGGGAGAGCAGCAAAGGAGTAGAGGAGAATGCCACTCGAGGCGAGAGAATTGGAATTGTATCCGTGGGTCATATGCCATGTCCAAGCCAACATGGCGATGCCAGGTTGACACATCTCGGCCTTCTCCATCGTCTAGGGTGGTGGTTAAACAGCTGGTGTCATGACGCCCCTCCTCTCCTCTGCGCCCATGCCGGCGCCTTCCTCCCCCATGTTCAAAGCCTACTTCGCATGCCCGCCTCCTTGCCCGACGCGTCATTCACCCTTCACCACGCCACCGTGCCAGCCCACCATCTCGGCCAGAAGCGCCCACACCATCTCGTTCTCGGCCTCCGGCGTTCCCGCGAAGCCCGGCACTGGCTGCGCCGTTACGCGATCCTGCAAAGGCCGCAGGTCAATGCGGTTCTCCTCGGAGGTGTTGCCGAGTCCTACGAGGCTTCCAATTGACGTGCTGGCCATGCCCTCTGGCGGTACCACTGTGTCGAGTCTTCCAGTTCTGGGCAACGAAGAGGGGGAGGAGCTTGATCGATCAAGAAGTACCAAGCTTCCCCCACCGCGCCGCCTCGCAACAGCCGCAGCCCAGATCCCGAGGGAGAGCCAGACGCCGCGCTCACCATCCGCTGCCCGCCAGCCGTCACGCCCCACGAGAGCTCTTCTCCCATGACGGCGTCGAGCGGGGCCGTGTCCCTGGCCGCATCGGGCTCGGGGGTTGTGGACACTTGCTTCCGCTTGTGGCTTGCGTGATCCGCCCGCTTGGGCGTCAGGTTGCGCGTCACGATGCGGACGATTGGCTGGAAGCAGTCTCCCCCGACAAGATCTCACAAGGCACCGAGGCCCCTTCCGGAACCCAGTTGCGGCTCGTTGCCACCCGCCGGCGTCAGATGGATCGGCGGAATGAGGCCCTGGGGGTTACCGGCAGCCTGCCCAACAATACGGGTGATAATTACTCTGTGTCCCTGAAGATGGAGCTTCGAACCAGCAAGGGAATGCTGCACTTGGCGTCGCTGGATGAGGCCCGGTACTTGCTGAGGCTCAGAACTTTGAGACAGGCGTCCAGTCCGTTCCCCTCAATGCCCAGGCACGCCTGTTGCAGGAAGTTGTAGGTCATCTCAAAGTGCCGGCCACCTTCATGGCGTGAGTGATGAGGCGCAGATTGGACGTGTCGAGCGGCGTCAGGCCGGGTCGTGGTTGTCCTTGGCCAAGTACACGCATGCAGCCACGGCGCAGTAGAGCGCCACTGCACACACGGGACTCCTTTATTGCAGCAGTCAGCAAGCCCGGAGAGGGGGGGGAGGGGGGCCAGAGACAAGTGGGCTGAAATTGGGCTTTGAGGAGGCTCCCGTACCAGGGCGGTGGATTGAGAACGTATCTTGACGATGCTGACAATCTTCTCTGCCGACGTTCTTAGACGACATACGCTGCTGCGCTTGACCGACTCAGGCAGGCTGTGTTTCTCCTGCATTCCGATGGCGGCGTGGTGCAGATTGAGGTTGGTATGGACGGTTGTCGGATAGCGGATGCTCTGCAGCAAGCGGAGATTGTTGGGCTGGAACATGAAGCCGTTGATGATCTTGTTGTCGAGGTCGCGTGGCGCTCCCAAAGGGAGTCCCGCAGCATGTCGTCGGTCCGTCCCGTCGGGCTCGGCCGGTGGGCGTGCCGGGAATGAGCCGGAACATATGGCGGGTGATGATGGTGTCGGTGAAGCTGTACTAGACAGCTCCCTCGAATACGACATCCGTAAACGGCGACGTATCCTCCTATCAAGAAGAGAAGGCCGCCTCGGAGGCCGGGAGCCGGGTCACGACCTGGCCTTGGCTGAGGGTGCTGGTGGCACAGGAGAGGGCGTAACTTACGTCGCTGGGATCGATCAAGCACGGCCAGCCCGTCCAAATGCTCGCGTGCGAGTCGTAGGTAAAGGTTCCCCAAAAGACACGGCGCCGTTCCTCTAGCTCGGCCCAGGACGTCGCGGGTGCCGAGACGGAGGCAGACGGTCCGTCGCCCCATCGAGCTGATCCAGACCCACCATCTGGACGAGCTGGACGCACTTGGCGCTGCTCAGCGAGGCCCTGGTGAACAGCATGCACTTTGCCTCCTAAGAAGTGATGATGGCCCTGGCTTGGGCGTGGGCAACGGTGATGAAGTATTCTCCGTGGCCCTGGTTCAGGAGATCCGGCCAGCACGCACGCCCTCCCCTCCCATGAACTAAACAGCCCAAGGACAGCTCACCATCATCTCGTCGGCCTCAGCGTACTGCCGGGTCCTTTGATAAAAGACTTGAGAATACCGGTTATACTTGGAGGGTCCGGTGGCCGTCATGGCCCAGATGGCATACTGCAAGCACATGGGCGGCTTTTGCAGCGGCCCGCGGTAGAACGGCTGATAGTAGCGACCCGCATGGATGACGAGAATAAATTGGTACTGAACGTTCAAGAAAGCGTGATTGCTACAGAGTAAAGAATGAGCAACAAGTAGCTACTCGGGGGAGGGAGGGGTTGGCTGCTTACAGCTCTTCCTGCACCTCGATCGGAGGGAGCGACTCTGAGTATCCAAAACCCCATAGACTGGCCACCGCCCTCGAAACCGCTGGTCCTGGCAAGACTGGCCATGTCAAAGGGATCGCCGGCTGGCTGGCCGTGCCGAAGTCGTCAGCGTCGGAGCTGAGCGGGCCACTCTCCGAGGTGAAATCTCTCATGCAAAGCAGAGGCTCGTCGGGGGCGTTGCGGACGAATTAGGGACGGCGCCGTCGACGCCGTCGCTACTGTTGCGGGTGCCATTCTTGCAGCCGCAGACATGGCTGAAATACTCTTCGACTTGAGCTGCGTATGGGGCATGAGAGGCGTGAGCTGAATATCTGTGTGGAAGGGAATTGGGGCGTATCAAGCCGAGCCTCGAGCTCCTTGACGTTCCTGTGCTGAAAGATCGGCTTCCTCCTCGCCTTGGGATAGATGCATTCGCAGCCTGCCCTTGGGTAGCGGGCGCAGGTTGGACTGGTGTGTTCACACTGGAGCTTTCGCAGGCGGCACGAGACGCACGCCAACGGCTCAGAGGCCACGCCGGAGCTGGGACCGGGGCCGGGACCGGAGACGGAGACGGAGACGGAGACGGCTGGGTCCGGCTTTGAAGCGAAGGAGACTCGAGACGTCTCGGTGTGATCCGCCGAGACTTGGGCAGCCCTCAGATGGCTGCGGAACCACGGCGGGTAGAGCGGCAGGGCGAGACCAGGAGCTTGCTTGCTTCTCGGGCGGTCCGTTGTTGAATTATCCACTGACCCGGTCTTTCGGTTTGCCGCCGTCAAGGCCCCAGCGGCCCGCGGCTACATGACGGGTTTACGGCGTCGGCCGGCGTTACTACGACGCCAAGTTACGTGCAGTGCATCTGGTAAAAAGTACTCTTGTACTCAAACCTCGGCGAAGCCTGCTTTGCCCGTCTGCCGAGAAGCATCCCGATAAAGAGAAAAAGGCCAAAGACGAGACGCAGCGCTGTGGAGAGGCATTCACTTTGGGGAGGTGAAAGGGGGGAGGGGGGGTTTGGTTCTCTTCCCCTGGACGCTTGGACAGTCTCCAGCCGCAGACTCGGCCACTTGGCTTTCAATGCGGACTCGTACGTTTGCCAGCCGTGCCTCCGTCACCACTCGGCACCAAGCGCGCCCAATAGTTCGGTCAAGCTCAAGCCGGAGCCAGGCTCTTGATGAAGCTCCCCCCCCTCCTTTTGGCTCGTTTGACACCACCCAGGAACCCGGCCGGGGGCTTGGGGCACGGCTCGCATCTGCATGTCTCATCACAAGACTGTCAGGAGACGCACGCTTCGTGTCAAGAAACCAACCCCCCCCGGCCGGGGGGAGGGGGGGGGGTGAGTTGAATGCAGCATAGCATCGTGACAGGGCGCAGCTGTGTTCGTAAACAGACCGTGCCTTGTACATGCAGCGTCTTTTCCGCGGTCGGAAGATCTCTCATCTCTTCGTGCCGCCGATGCAACGGCCAGCGCACACCTTGGCCGAGCAAGCGGCGCTGAAGACGCATCCTCGGCCGTTGGCCCATGGACCCACGGACTGGTTCCTGAAGGTTTCTGAACATGGCTAATGACCAGACAATGTTGAGCCAGTTGTCCAAGTTTTCTTGCTGTACTCCGTAGGGCTCTCAAAACCTCGCTCGCCCCCGCCGGCCCGGCACAGGCCCAATTCGGCAAGCAGCTTCCGCTCCCTTGTTTTATTCTTTGTTGTTTCGCCTTGGTTTTTTTCATTTAGTTGCCCTCGAGGGGTTTGCGGGGATGTCGTCGCAGGCAGGCCGGGATTGCCATGTCTCGTCGATGGCCCGACTAAACCTTGCTCAGCTGCGACCACTTTTTATTTTTCGCCTCTTTGTTCTGGGGGCGTGTGAGCACATATGTAGCGCGACAGACGAAAGAGGATCGGCGACGGCCACCCACCGGCGACATGGCTCCGTGGACGGGAGTGGATTTGTTTCGACGGCCCATCCTGGCAAAAGAAACAGGCAATCGCCCAGTCCGATTTGACAGGACGAATGCTCCAGGGGCATTGCCTGCTCCCCTGAGGGCATGGTGCCACCTGGGTTCCCCGGCTGCGGCATCTGCCAAGCTGGGATTTTGGTGTCATGCTGGTTCAGCTTCCCATCTGGGGCCCAACATCCGCATCGTCGGCTGCCAGTCACGCCGAGCCGGCATTGACGAACGCTTTGGTCAGCAAAGTCATGCGGCACCGAGCGGGCGGACGCCTGAGAGAGACACCTTGATGGACAGTGCCCGGCATGCCATGTACAGACGACGTTCCATGCACATGTTGCTGGTTTGCTTATAGGCAGCCATTTAGCGCCGTCAGCCGCGCTGACTGCATTCCACACGGCGACGTCGAAGCGGCCAAAAGCCAGCACGGGACCTTTGCTACCTTGGGGAAGGTGAAAAGGCCTTTCTTCATGTGGCCAACGGCAGGTACAAATGCATGTTGCACCGGCGTCGACATGACAGCATGCAAAGGCGGGAGGGGCTGCGCAGCGTATGCTAACCCTCTGGTAGGGATACTCGTACCAGTGATGCATGTGCTAAGTGCTATGCATGCATGTATGTGTCAGTTCGGGGGAAAAGGGCCACAGTCCGAAAATCCTCGGGTCGTCGAGCGGGGCTGGCCAGGCACGATAAGCGAGTTGCGCACCGTGGGCGAAGCTGGCAGGCTGGCCCTTGAAGATTCGCTCGACCAAGGTCGGCTGTCAGTGACGTGGAGGAACGAGACCCTTTCGGCTGGTGCTGGAACCACGTCAGCCTGGCAAAGGGACTACAGTAGTAGCGTGGCTAGCGATTGCCAACAAGTTCCCAGCATGAGTGAATCGGCATGTGAATACGGATGTACGAATACAGTCCGCGTTTTATGCGAGGCGAGGTTCGTCGATGAAGAAACGCACGTCCCCTCCTCTCTCTCCTTTCTGTCACCCTCGCCCCCTGAGGGGGGGAGGGGCCATGATGGCCAAGGCCTTGGGGGGGCGCGCCTGTCGCGCGGCTGTGATGCCTGCTGACAGCGGCAGAAAAGGGACTCGTCCGACTCTGAGGCTTGCCGGAGCCCGCGGGCATACACAGAATGGAGACGTTGGTCTGGACCGCCTGCAAGAGTCATTCAATAGCCGCCAGCCGCGGGGGGACGGTGGCGTACTGTGGAGTACCAACACGGACCGCTGCCACCCTAGGCACGGTCGACGATGAGGCCACGACGGTTGCATGGCCCATGGCTGGAGGCTCGGTTCGGCTGCTTGGTGGACGACTCGAGACTGGCATCAAGATAAGCGAGTCACAACTCAGTGCCTCTGTGGGTGCTCGGCTCGATCACGTGCCGACCAGCTGCTGCATGATGCGCAAAGTACAAAGTACATACGTATGCGCGGTAAGGCGTATGCCTAGTTGCCTACCCCCATAGATGCGATATGTCCGTAATTACTCTGTATACACTATACAGTATACACCAAGAATTCGATGCTTGGGTATCCCGGTAATTTCATACCCGCAACCCCAGCGCGCCGGCCAACCTTGCAAGTCTGTCTCGTCTCCAAACAGCTCTACGCGGCTCTACGCGGGAGGCAGCCGACTCGGCTAGCCGTCTTGCTGTGGCAAGTGATTCCAAGCTACTGTATCCATCCGTACATTGTCTTTGGTCTGGACCACGTCGGGAGAGGCTCGTCGGATGAGGGCCGGGCGGCCTCGGACCCCCTCGTGTGCCGCCGCCCATTCAGAGGACAGCCAGTTGCCCAACTTCCATTATCGGCTAATGAAGGAAGGCCTTGACCACTTCCTCGTATTGCCGCCGTCATCCATCTCTACAGCAGTCTTCAAGGTGCTTCATGCCATGATGAATCATGTCAGGGGCTGGCAGTCATGCAAACCCTAACCGCAGCAAGATCGGGCCAGAATCTGAGACAAAGGGTGGGCATGTACAGTCATGGTAAAAAAGGAAAGGGAAAATAAACATGCCCATCGGCCAACTAACCAGATAATCTCTGATCGCACGGTCCGTGCTTCTGTCTTGTCTCTGGCTGTCCATCCCCGCGGCATCCATCCATCTATTCACGCCTCCCCCTCCCCCTCCCCCTTCCCCCTTCCAGCCAAGAAACCTGTCGTCAACGCGAACCCTCCAACGTTCTACAGACTGACTCCCTTTCTTCCCAGTCATTTCTAAATAGGGCTGGCCCCTCTCAGACACACAGCCCATGCCGACCCCATATTTCTCTCAACCAGGACATCCATGTCTGGCTGACGACGATGATGGACGGCCTCGAAGAACCATGGACCAGCGGTCCCAGCAAAAAGACAGCTGCCCACACACACAAGAACAGACGAGCTCACACCCCTCCCTCCTAAAAGGCCCAAAGTGATTTTGGTAAAACACGGCCATTGACAAGTCACTTCGTTGCAACGGATGATTTACGCATCTCACTCTATCCCAAACAAGTATCCCGTCCCGGCTCCGACACCCATGCTCTCTCTCTTCCTCTCTCTCCCCCTCCCTCTCTCTCTCTCCCCTCTCCCCCCCCCCTCCCTATGCCACTCCGGAGCCCGCGCGCCGGCGAAACGGGCGGGCAGCCGCCGTCCGGGGCTTCCCCTGCAAATGCCCTTGGTCTCTTGGCCGCGGCCCGGCCAGCTATATCAAAGTACTCAATACCTATCATCTCATCCCGCGCCGCGCCGACGTCTCATTGCCTTTGCCCGCCGCTCCCCACAACGTACGCTCGCTCAACCCTTTCCACTTGCATTATATACACACGAATACCTACTCGACCATGTATACATGTGTCATTCTGCAAGATACATGTCCGGGCTGAGCTGTTAAAAAACAGAAGAAGCAAGGAGCACGCTGGCTCGTGATTCCACGCACTCACACAACCAAATCCGGCGCCCACCGAGTCCAGCAAAGTCCACCCCGGCAACGAAAAGGGTCAGGGTTCCTGGGTTTCGAGAAGAGCTGACGGCATCCTCCTCCACAAGGCAACCAGCCCCTCGTCCCAGCCCCGGTGCGGCCTTGGCTGACGCATCCAGTAAGTCCACGGAGGAGATCCATGACGAGCTCGGGTCACCATTTCCCGGCCTGCAGGTCCCTTGTTGTTGCACTGTATACGACGGAGCCTGGTTCCCCTAGGAAAGCGTTGAGCCCTCCACGTCAGAGGTGGAAGCGCCCAATGTGAGTGGTTTGTAATTACAATCTGCAGTTGCCTCGAAAATCCTTCACCACGATTGGCATCGGGTTGGTAAGGTTATTCCCACAGTCTCTCCCTCCCGTATGACCTTTGTTTTTCCTTGCCCGAAACCGCGGATATAGAAAAGTAGTTGCCGCCGCCATTGCCGGTGGCAGGCGTTTGTTTCACAACACAGCCGTCCCGACGTTGCACGGCACGCCCTCGGCCCGGCCAAAGCTGATTCGCTGCTTGAGGTTTCCACAGCTGGGCCTCTCTCTGCTTCAGAGACAGAAACAGGGAAAAGTAAAAAAAAAAGGAAACGGAGTCAGGGGAAGAAGAAAGGAGGAGGGAAGAAATGAAGACTTGACCGGTTCCGCGCGCTGAGAACGGCGCCTTTGGAGTAGATGCCGCAGATTTTGACTCTCGGTGCCTCCCTTTCGCCTGGCAAACTGCCGAATCCCGCTCTGCAGCTTTTCTCCACTGAGCAACAAGGACCCGGCCCCATGAGGCTGTTCCGAACCCTAACAAGATGAAAGGGGGGGATGAGGGGGAGTTTGTACTCCGTACACTAGAAACGTCTGGTCTACTCTTTGATATGCCGCGTACGGCAATATGTCAAGCCTGTTCTGCCGTACAGAATGCCTGCGGAGCCACGCGTGTCTTGCCGCACGTCTCGTATCGGTACATGCCCACCTCTCCATTCATGAGGCGAGAGGGAGATAGAAGCGCGATTCGTCACCCCCACAAGGTCCGTACGGAGTACCGGTGCTCTGCATCGCCAGACAGACAGTCCGGCTTTCTTTCAGGAGAGAGAAAGAGCAAGAGCTCAAGACAAGGCGAATAAGAGAGACAGCAAAGACGAAGAGCACGGGACCTCTTAAAAGGACGGAAGATATATTCAATACTGTTATGGGCAAAGTGTTAAAATCTAAACAATGTTATTCTTCGTCTTCTCCACATTAATAAGGGAACGAGGTCGCCGACTCTACAGCGCGCCGAGCCTCCACCGCCGCCACTTTCCCTCTCACCCTCTCAGCTCGGCAGCCCGTCGAAATCGCCGATAGCGTTGTGAGTGAAAGAGACCAATCACCAGTAGAAGAAAGAAAGGTCGCTGGAACCCCGGTCCTGGTTGAGTTCCCGACCTGCTCGTACATACATACGACACAGCCACGTCCACATCCACACACAATACACATCACGGGGACTGCCCTGCGGCCAGCCGCTCCGCAGCTCTTTCTCTCTGGCCCCTCGCTGATGAAACAAACCGTCCAATGGGTGTTCCAAAAGAAAAGTCAGTTTGTTAGTTCCGCTCTGACTACTTCGTGCTAAGGAACCGAGTGTTCGTACTACTCGGACCATCCATCCATTGCGTAGTCTAGAAAGGGTTCAAACGCGCAACCCCCCCGGGAGATACAAACGATTTCCTGACAAAGAGTCTAGTGTCAACTTGGTATCATTTTGATTCATATTTTACTGCGCTGGCCGTCCCATACATCATGTACCCGCATAATCGTGGGGCCCTCAAAGGCGTGATCGCTCGCTCAACTCGCCTTCCATGCGAAGTACCTGCTCTAGCAGCCGAGCCATTAGGGACAACAGGCCGGCAGCGTCCACAGGCTGTCGTCGTGCGTCTGGTATAAGTCACTCTCCGAGTGTTCAGGTAGAAACCAATCATCACACGCTCTCCCGGTTGAGGTCGCCCAGTCTTCGCTTGCGTAGACGGCCCATTTCCTCGTCATAGGCACTGCCCTCTCCATCGCTAACCGGCAGCGCCTCTCCGCGCTTGCCCGCGCCCCCGTAGTCGCCGGCACGCTCCGTCGAGGCCAGGATCTCGCCCTCTCCGCCAGCTCCGCCGCCGACTCGGCTATGCATGACGTCTGACTCGGCTCGTGCACTGTTGATCATGGCTGGCAGCTGCCGCCGCCGGGCGTTGATGAACCAGTTCGAGATTTGGTCTGTTGGGCCAGCGTTAGCTTTCCCGCGGCTTCGTAGTCCAGGACGCCGCCGCATAAACTTACTCATCTGAAGACCCGTCTGCCGCATCAGCTCCTGTTTCTCATCCTCGGTGGGATACGGATGCTGCAGATGCGCCACAAACCAAGCCCGGAGCTTGTCCGTCGTTTCCTTGGGCAGGTTTCCTCGACGCTTCCGTTGCTTCGCGTCGCCACCGACCTCTCCTTGCCGACCCATGTCTTGATAGTGCGGGTTGAAGTTCCCCCCAGCCGAAAAAGGCGTTCGGTCCTGGGGTCGGATGGAGCTCGTTGACAGAGATTGATAGCGATTAGGGTGATGATGATGACCGTAACTGTACTCTGGAACACGATAAGTCGGATGTCTATCCACGCCCGAAGAACTCGCGCTGATTGCGACATTCTCTCGAGGTCCGGGCATGGGTGCAGGCTCGCTGTCAAACGGCACAATGGTGGGTTGGGGCGGCAGAGTCGGTAGAGAAGGGCGCGTTTCCATTCTCAGGCCGTCCCGTTCGATGGGAGCGAGCACCCCGCCGCTGGACACAAAGGGGCTTGGCCGTGTTGTCGGACTCGTCCACGTTTCTGCTGTTGTAGACGAGGGCTGCTCTCGACGAGGCGGAGAAAGCCGTTGAGACAGGGGCCGCTCGGGGCTTTGGTACAGTCGTGGCACTTGCTTAGATCTCATGGCAGGCAGATCGTCCTCAATCGACAGCCTTCTCCGTTTGCTCGAACTGGGCGAATGGACGTATTCAGGGGATCCCAGCGCGCCGAGACCCGCGATGCTCGAGGACCGGGGAGGAAACGGCCTGCTTCCAAGCCCATCTGCCAACGACCCCTCTAGATGAAGATCGGGAAACGTCTGTTGGCACGGTTAGCTGTGCCGCAATGGCATATGGCTTCTGTTCAATCATACCTGACGGATAGACGGGAGGGCAATCGTCTTGTTCTCGGTGCGCGGTCGGGCGTAGTCGGAAGAGGGCTGGGCCATTTCCCATGGACTTTCGTCCCTGAACAAGGGCTGCGGCTGCGGCGCGGACATTGTGAGGATAGACATTTTTGGCTGTTGAGCTGGGTTTTTCTGAGAGTGAAGATTCGAGTGGGTAGGCCGCGATGGGCTATTGTCCATAACCACACCAACGCGGGCGGAGACTAAGACCAGCCGTCGGAATCGACCGGTGCCGCTGGTTGTTTCGAATTGGATGCCTCAGCTCAAAGTCTCTAGGCCGTGCAGTCTTTTGATGGTGCCGGGGATGAATCAAAGTCGAAGAGGCAAGCCAGGACTGAGCTGAGGAGTAATTCTCCAAGACTTCGGGTGGGGACGTTATATGTACGTCTTGAACATATGTTTGTCCTGTGAAGCACAGTCGCCGTGAACTCCTGTAGATGCGAACGCCGGAGCGATGAAAGCTAGATAATGAGTGACACCGGGTGACAGAACGACAAAGCACCGTCTCGGCCGACCAGGGTGAGAGAGGGATACCCGCGTCTTTTGTACAATCAGTGCCGGGGCCGCTAGTCCCGAGTGTACTGTAGACAGAGTGCAGACGCAGACAGAGACGGGGACCTCCTGGTGGGAGATCAACGTACTAAAAGGGGCACGGATCAAACATCCAGAAAAGGAAATAGTAGAGAGGTGGACCCGAGTGTGAGCAAGCAGAAGTCTTGGAAACGTCAGGCCTTGGTTGTCAATTTTAGAGGCAGCCTGCTTGCAAAGCTGATAGGTCAGGCTAATTTGAGTGAGGCGCGTCAGAGACTCCACGGCTCAGGGCCCGGCGGCCGTGACAAAACGATCGGGAAGTCCTTGGAATCCGTGCACGGCAGATGCATGCTGAAAAAACAAAAGGCACAAAGTTACCGAGCCTTGATGGTGACGAGCACAGACGAGGCACGCCGCCGGTACAGGTGTGGAAAGCCATCAAATAACCGGCGTACCCAGGCAGTAGCCGTTGCAGCGCCCGATCTGACAAACCGGTGAATGATGATGCTACTAAGGTTCTCGCTAGGAGGTGGCCCTGAGATGAGGCCAACTGAGGAAAAGGGGGAGGCGTGTGGTGGAGTGGGCGTCCGAAACTTGGATAGGGGTTCCTGGCCCACGAAAACAAGCTGGACGGACCCGCGCGTCGGAACTGCCAGATTCTCGATTCAGGAAGCCAGATGGAAAGACGACAGAAGCACGAACGAGCCGCTAGCAAGTTGGCCAACCAGAGCAGGGGTGTGCAGAGGTCGGGGTGGGGGGTGAAGCGTGCGCAGCCATGGATTAGTAGGGGGCGTGTGTATGACACCCTGCGGTGGCGCCTTGCTTTGCTTCCACCCTAGGCCCAAGATGACGGATGAGCACTTGCACGACGGGAAGAGGGCAGGGCCAGGGCCGCCTGCGCAACCATGAGACGGCGCGTTCCCTCTTCCTTGCTGATGCCCTGGCACCTGGCACAAGGCCACGGCCAGGGAGCTGCCCCGAGTCCAAGAGTGCCACACCGGGGAGGCGAATGTCCAGGAGCCCTGCAAGAAATCCCGACGCTGCTACCAAGCAGCGTGCGTCCTGGCCTTGACGGCCTGTTCAGCCCGGGGGCGGGCTGACCAAGTAGCAAGGCGTCGTCGGGACGGCTGCAACGGCGAAACCAAAGACGGGCCAGGGAGACAAAGGGACCGTGGCCTCTGCTGCTGGTTCCCCGAACCAGGCAACGAGACGCCCCCCACCGACGGGCTGGTTTCCTCGATGTCGATGGCAGCCGGAACATACGCTAGGGCGTGGCGCCTTAGCGCGGCGGCATTTCCGCCACGATAAATGGTCATGGTGACGATGCTGCCATGTGCCCGTTGGCCTTTGTGATTGGGGACGGACGGGCGGGCGGTCGCGTGTGCATGCTGTATAGTACTTGGAACAACAAGGTTCAGTGTGGGGACCGACCAAATGTTTGGACCGAAACGCACTCTGCCTCCTTGTCCTGCCGCCCAGACAGGCCAGTGGAGACGACAGGCTGGCCAAACAGTTGGAATTGCGAGCCGTACGAGCACACACAGGCGCTTTGCGCTGGTTATGGCCGCTGCACGTCCCCCGTCCTCGGACGTGACCTGACACCTGTCAAGCCGTCCGCTCGGAAGCATGATAGGAGCGACGAGCATGGCCTTCAGCTGCAGTCTGTTGACGAGCGAGAACGAGAACCAGCAGCCCGCCCGCCGTCTCCCGGGGACGGCAGCTCAACTCGCCGGCGCAGGGCAGGGCGTGTCCAGCAGACCGCGTTCGGTGATTGATGCATGTATGTATGTATGTTGCATGTACGCAGCTGGTTCTGCAAGATATCTCGGGTCACCATCCATGGGACCATGGTCGGCCTGCGGGTGAGTGCCAAGGGAGCGTCAGCAGGAGCTCGTGAAGGATGGCAGAGCTGCTGCAGGGCCAAGCACAGGCACGTCTTCGCAGGCATGTCCCCTGCCTGGTCCTTCGGGGGCTTGCCTCATCCACAGACATCCAGCACATCAATCGTTCGTGCTCTGCATGCTGTTCTGCAGAGCGCATTGCCCCATCCATGCCTCGCGCAGCGGCACGGCGCTGACGGTGACTTTGCGCGCGGACAGCCATGGTGAACTTCTCACCTCGGCTACCCGCCAACTTCCGAATTCCGCTGGGCAGATGATTTTTGAATTGTTGCCGGCTTTCCAGGCTCACGTCGCACGCCCCTGGCGAATGCCCTGCCCATTGCCACGCCGGTGCGAGCATGGCAACACCCCTGCGCCGCACCCCTTCTCCGGCATCCACGGGGTGAGCCAGTTCCCCCGTTTGTTTAACTTTTCCCAGTGCCATTGTCTCGGGCTGGCGCCCCCCCCTCCCCCCCCCCTCGTTGCCAGCGCCACCCCTGCGGGTGCGGTTCAGACTCGGACATCTGGGCTTTGTTTCCCAACGGCGGTCGTCGCCAGCAGCCTCGGCCGGGGTAAGCGGGGAAGGATGGGCAGGCGGCAGGCGTGGAAAGCCTGCAGCAGCATGTGCCCCGTGTATGGCATGTGCAAGGCATGTGTGCTCGACCCGCTGTGGCACAGCCTCTGGACTTCTGCAACAGCGTGCCGCCTCCAGCGTCGCAGCCAAGGAAGAAAAGAAAGGAAAAAGAGGAGCTGTCAAAATCGATCGCCCGGTCTGCAGCCAGCAGCTCCTCGTGAGCCGGTGATGGTGGTGACAGCCAACAGTGACAGGCCTGGCCGTCAATCCTGCATGCATTGACAGCTGTCGCAAGATCCAGACAGAAGAACCGACGCCAGCTGGGATGGCGGAATGCTGAGATGCGACTGGCTCATCCGGCCGGTGGTGCAAGGGTGGGCCGATGATCTATCTGTTGGGTCCAGATCGATAGTGCGTGCGTGGGCCGAGAGACCTGTCACCATCGTCGTCCTTGAGCGCGCCGAGGGTGCTTGTATCTCTTGTCAACGCCACGAGGTCATTGCTGCTCCATGATTTGGAAGAAAGGATGGGTGACTTTGGGGGCCGGAGAAAGTCGCCTCCGCACTAAGTTACGGTGATGCCGTTGCTGGCCTCAGGCAGCCCAACCATCATCCCCCCCCTCTCTTCCCAGGGCCCGCGGCTTCCCCGCTGACGATCATAGATTGCCGCCCACCGCCCACCGACCACCACCACCAACAAACGAGGCTGGAACATCTTCTCGTCCAAACCCGCCCGGCATTCGCAGCCTCGCCGGGATACAACCCTGTGCACCCCGGGGACCGACCCAGCAGCCCATCTGCGAGGCCCATGTCGTGTGACGGGCGACAGAGAGCCCTCGCACAGGCAACCGCGCAGCCTGGGCCAAGAAAAAAAATGACAAACCCCTCCGGGTAACAGATTGGCCTTTGCGCCCCCTGGGAGCAAGGACGCGAGCCCCCTCCACTCGTGCTCCCAATGGGCCGATAGCGACGTCACGAGCGGCTCGTGGGAGCTGAGTTAGACTTGGGCCAAGGCCAAGGGGCGCAGGCCGTGGCGTTAGCATCACGGGCCCAGGCTCACGGGTGGTGGCAGGCCACTCCGAACCTCGACAAGCACTGGCCCTCGGTTTGCGAGGAACTGGAGCAGGCCAATTATAGAGCGTGGGAAGACCCGCGGGCTCCCAGACGCTTGGGAGAGGGTAGCGTGCCTTGACAATTATGGAAACTCCCCTCTCGTTTCCCTCGTGCGGTGCGACGGACCGACTAGGGATTACGCTCTTGCTAGAGGTGAACGCCGAGGCACCTGCGAGCTTTCCCAACACACTCGGCGATTTGCGGGCGAGCCACGGTCCGGCGACCAGCAATGGAGCCCGCAAAGGGCTGGGCACAAACTCAAGTTGCCTGTGCTATCCGTCCTCGAGAGAAGGCTAGTCGAAACCGTGCCGCCCGAGCACGACGCCGTGCAGGGAGCCACCCCACGGATGTATCTGCATCACGAGTGTCATGGGTGACAACACAATCTCACGCACCCTCGCCAGATCGGTACTTGGGCTCGCGCAATGCCCTTCACGAAGCTGCAGGTGTGCTTGAAGCTGGAGTCCTCGCGCGTGCTGTCACAGGCTTTGGCACAAAGTCCCCTCAACATGCAGCCATGAGAACGTCAGCATTGCATCGAATTTCAGCTCCTGGCCTTCTCGACGCCCCCCCGGCCCGTGGATTGATCCCATCGCCTCCCGTCCAAATGTATCCTTAGGCCGCAGCACTGACGACCCGTCATCATCGCCAGGGCCTACCTGCCGTGTTTGGGCGATCCTCGAAAGTTGCTCGACGAGGCGGGTCCTGGCGGAGCTGCAACAGTTCGGCGCAGAAACTGGAGAGCTGAGGCATCATCCCTGAAAGTTCTCATGTGACGTCCGCCTTACGCATCCGTCCAATGGACCCCTTTTCCTCGGTGTGTCAGACTCACCCCGCCTAGGACCTAGTGGGCGGGCGGTTGGTTTCCGCAAGTCAGCCCTCGTCCAGTCTCTCGCATGACATGCCGTGGACCAACTAGCAAACCCTCATAAAACAGACATGCCAGCAACGCGAGGCTGCAGGAGCGTGGCCGCTTCGCAAGGTCGACTGCCCTTGGCAAGGGTCTGCGGTGCAAGAACCCGTTGGATCGGTTCTGTGTCGCCTCCCGCCATGGCTCCCATGAGCCTTGCTGCTTGCCGCACACGGACCGCCATCATGACCGGCTCGAGCTGTGACTTGCCGCGGCTGGTTTCACGGGCCGCTCTGTCGGAATGCAATGGGCCTGAGGTCGGACGCCGGGGCGAACTCCCGTCTCGGCCGCGAAGAGCTTGGGGGCTCGAGCCTTGGCCAGGAGAAGGGTTGCCCTGGTGCTACTCCGTCACCTTGGAGCTTGTCAACACCTGACTCAAAACCGCCAAAGTTGCTTGTTCCGGGCCACTGTGCGCTCCAGAGGCCAGGGCCCAGGGGTCGAGGACGAAGTCATCTGGACTCAAGTGGCTCCTACATCGAGACAGGCACATTGTAGACCGTGACGCCATGCAACCCCAACCGTGTTTCTGGGCTTGTAGAGCGGCTGACACACTGTCCGACTCGCTTTGAACAGTGGAATATATGTAGCTGTCCACCCCAATGGCAACCACCACGCCTTTGCCCGGACGTCACGCCACGTGTGCTCCTGATCTCCTCAAAGACCTCGACGCCGACCTTGTGATGTGTAGCTAGCTTTCGCCGACAAAGCCCTACCCCACGGCATGGATTACCACATTCGGGATCATCGTACGGCCTTGCATTTACCACAACAACCATCGCAGAGCCAGGCAGCGGGCAAGGAAGATGCCGTCGAGTCACACATCCCACTTGTGTATTCGACAGCTATTGGGGGTCACTCCATCGAATACCTATGCCGATGCGACACAGGACTTGCGAGGAGCTCATCCGCCAGCCCTGGTATCTACATTGTCGTGTCGTGACGGCGGCCCGCCTTGAATATCGAATACAGCACGCCTCGGCATTGCGTCCGACAAGTCTCTTACTGGAGCGTTAACCTGCAGAACACGAGCACTGCCGGTGTTGTATCCAGGGACACGGTGCCGCTCATTACGCCCATGCGGAGGTGAGCCTGGAGCAGAAACAGTGTTCGTGGTTGTGCCGGGGACATGAAGCTTTCGTGGCATGTGGTACGCAGAGATCTGGGGCATCCTCTTGAGCTACGATGCGCCTCGGCCCTTGGTGACAGACTCGGGACAAATGCCAGTCTTGGATGCTTCACGACGTGCGGGGGCGTGAAGGGGACACGCAGCACGAAGTATCTTACCATGCTCGTTCATCGGATATGCCATGGGTCAGGCTCGTGTGGCACGACCTCGACACGAGCTCACGTGTTCCCAGGCCCTCGCAACCTTGTCGCTTTCTTGTCTGACATGCATACAAAAAGACGAGTCGTGGACATTACTCGACATGGCCGACCCAAGATTCGGAAAGTGCGATTTCGGGGACACGGCGGCTCTGTGCACCATGCTTCGGAGGAGGGAGTGTGATGCAACGCTCTGTTCGACGAAGCAGCCCACGATGTGTCGACTGGTCCGGCGGTCGGGCCTGCGATAGATGCACTCTGGCACATGCGCAAGGAATCCGCATGTGCCGGCCTCGCTAGCAACGAGGGCATCTGACTGGACGTTCGCTCACCGACAAGGGGTAGAGACGGCCGCGGACGCACCAGGGACTCGGGGCATCTTGATTACACATGCACAGAGTCGACAATCCGCACAAGCAGCAAACCGCGCGCCCTGTACTCGCTGTCACGGCTTGTGTGGCTGTCCTGAGGGGATAGATACCAAATTCGAGCAGCGACATAAGCGAATCGATGACGACGACGCAGCGGTGATACGATGCGGGCCCGCACGATAATACGACGAGAATTGTATTTCCAACCAAGTCATTTTCCAGGCCTCTGCGGCCCCTCAGTCCGCCAGGCCCCTTGGCTCATGGCCTTTCTGAGGTGGAGGTGGCGAGTGGTGTGCTCCCGAGAACGACGGCCGCGTCTTGGAAGTCGGGTCATCCCAGGCTCTTTTCGGCGCTTTGCACATCAGCCGTATTGCGACGAGAAGCCTCAGGTGATGATGGAAAGATTGGGTTGTGATGGTCTGGCCCATCAAAGCATAACGGCTTTGGATGTCCAGTCGAGAAAAGCCATCCTACGGCAGGCTTGCAGTATGCAGACACGCTTTCCTCAAGGTTTCAAGAAGGAAAGGCGGTCACTAGCAACTTTGGAGAGTCGAGGCGAGGAGAGAAAATCAACCGCAGCGAGGGGTTCATCTCTTAACTGCCTGGTTTCTCGCCTGACCTGTCATGGACAATGCTTACTCTAGGAGGGATTATCTTCTGCCCCCTCTGCAAGTTCTTGTTTCCGAATGCCTCGTCTACTTGAGATGTGACGATACGAGACGAGGCCTGATGCGCCTCCGGGTGACTTGACATGCTTGTCTGCGTCCTCTCTCCTTGGGCACGGCTTGTGGAAGCCGGGATGCCAGGTGACCAAAATGTGACTGGGGCCACACGCGGCCGCAGAAAGCAAGTCTAGATGGACTGCTTCCTAAGCAGTTGATGGCCGGCCAGCCGATATCTCGAGGTAGAGAATCTGAATGCTGTCCGACGTCTCCATCAGCTATGCTCTGGCATCTGATGCCTTGGAGTGCTCTTTTTCAGTTCCGTCGGCGTACCATGGCAGCAAAGACATGTTGAGCCATGCAAAACGACACACGCGAACCTTGTACTTTGCCTCGGGCGCTTGGCTTCAGCTGCCGAGTCCTGGCTTTTGGTTCCCGGCTGTCTCTGAGAGCTCTTTAAAGATACGAGGAATGAATGGCCTGAATGGGCGTCATCATCCACACATGAGAGTCGTCCAAGGCGGCCTGCTGGGTTCTGCCGCCGATGTGGCGAGACGTGGAGCAAAGTTGTAGGTATTTGGTGGCACGGCCGTCGACTTTTGGTGAGCAATGAGGCGACAGAAGAAGAGGAAAATTGACCGAGATGAACATTGAATGGCGTTTGGTTACACTGTGCTGCACTGTACAGCTCCTTGGCACCTCGGGTTGCGACAACAGATTCTCATCAAGGCTTTTCCTATGCTGGATGCGGATCTCTGGTACTTGCAGGCGCGTCGCATGACAAGGCAGTGACGATAGGGCATACAGTGTAAAGTACAAGATGCACCCACTAGGTACATACTGTACCTCTACCAGTACAGCCCATGGAGCACGTGCACTCGAGCTCGCCTTTCCGCAGCTTCGACCACCTCTACTCAACCCTCAAACAACCAAACAAAAGCACAAGCTATCCAAACCCGGGACGGAGCCCGACTGCTGAGCATCACCGTCCTCGACTGCCGTGGAAAGAAAAGGACCGGTCGCCTGTTCCGAAATCTGCCCACAGGAGCCGTTGGCGGCAAACAATGCGCGAGAGAGTCACCTTTGTCCATCCCCAGGACACCGACGTCGACCCCGAGGCCCTCGATGTGCAGCCGGCAGGTCTCGTAGGCCCCTCGACCGACTCGGTCCGCCAGGATCGGTTGACTTTCAACTTGGATGAGCTGCCGCTGGAGCTCGCCAACCTTCTCCGAGGCCATGATGCGGTGCATCTGAGGTGGACAAGTCCTCGCAAGTACGACACGCTGGAGCCCTTTAGCTCTCGCCAGTCGCCGGGGCTTCATGTATTGTACACTCCAACAGCGCCTGGAGCCAACAACTGGTCAGTAGTCCGTGCTGCGATTGGTGTCCGGACAAGTTCGCTGATTGCTCGGCCAGTTCGAAGCTATGCGAGTTCCTCCAGAAAATAGGGCCCGTTGACTGCATGGCCCCAGAGGTACTCATTCCGTCCCATGCTCTCCTCTGATCAGCCTCCCCGTTGCTCTCGTTGGTTGGAGAGAGCCAGGTCTCATTGCTTTCTGACTTGGCCAATGTAGGCCTTCACCGCTGCCGATACCCGCCAGCATGGCCTCCCGGGGTCCATGTTCTTTTACCAAGAATTGGAGGATCTTTCCACTTTCATCGCCTCTGGGCTACAGGACATCTGCCCAGAACTCGACCCCATCTGTCTGTCCCGGCTGCGCAGCTTGATCACCGCCGCTAGCCTCGATCTCTCATTCGACTCTGCCGACCAGGCACTTAAAATTGCTGCATTCTGGCCTCTGAGAGTGCACTCACTGACCGTTCCCGGCTCATCAATGCGGAGAACCGAGGTGGGCATCTTCACCAAAGGCTCACCACCCAACCTCGGACCCCATGAAGTTGGCCTCGGCGGTGTCCTAAGCGTTCTCGGGGAGCAAACGGCGCCATCGCCCGTCTTGTTTGCCGCCTCATCCCGACATAGACTGAGCGATATGTCCTTTTCCTCAGAATTCCTCATGCCGGCCGGCCTGCATCCAACGCTGCAGTTAAAGCTGAGCACCAACAAGCCCCCGGTTCAAGACTCAGAGTGCGCTCCTTATGCCTACCTTACCCTTCCCAGAAAAATCTTTGCCGACCGCTACCAGTTCGAGGACAGGCTCTTCTTGGCATCTAAGAACCTGACTGCCTCAAGGTATACAACTCTGCCAGTCGACTTGGAGGCTCCCGAGTATACCACAAAGACATGGGGCTCCAATGTTCTTGTCGAGCTGGCCCCCCCCTTGCCCAGTAAGAAACAGGCTTGGACCGTCCAACTGCCACTTCATATCCGCTATCTCAAACCGACGGTTTCTGGATATGCACAGGTCGAGGTTCCGTATCCGGCCGTCTTTTGGGCGTGCGAGTCTGGAAGCGAGGGCGACTTTTCCACCAACCCGTTTGACCGCCGTCATTTAGGCTACGACGAGCTGTTCAGTTCCGAAACGACGTTTTGGCACGCTGCTCCGAAGCCCGAGGTCGGCAACCGGATCATGAGTTCAATCTCGGTCCCTGTGCTCAAGGAGGAGGGGGCTGCATGGGTTCGCCTAGGGACAACGGCAGTCGTGGGCCTGGGCTGTGCGTGGGTCATCTGGAAGCTCTTGGCTGCTTGGATAGGCTCGACGCAACAGGGAGGCAAAGACGAGCGCGAGAAGTCGAGGCAAAAGAAGGCCAATTGAGTGCGACCTTGTGGATGGCGCCGTTCAACGGTCACGTCGATGCCACACGTGGCTGGTGCGCCGTTGGAGGTTGGACACACGACATGTCATGTGCGATTCTTGTGTGTTTATAGAGAGCAGAACACATGCTTCTCATCCTACGGCGCACAATAAAGATCTGGTAACATGCGAGATGCAGTTTCGGTACCCGGGGCATCACCCAGCTCAGCCCGAGACTGGAGTCGAATCGCCACCACGTGACCGACGCGCGGGATTAGCGGCAATAAGAGGCTCGCGACACCAGCTCTTGCTCTCTTCCGTGCAGCATGCGAGAGACGCTGAGACTGGAGGCTTCACTGGACCGCCGGCCGCTTCCCCACCCGTCTGCAAAGAAAACACAGGGGGGGAGACGCCATGAGAGAGGATGGCGCCAACACCTCAGTCGGTGGACACGGCGACAACGCCGGGCAGCGAGGACCGGACGAAACGCAACGTGGCGTGCGTCAACTGCCGCAACTCCAAGGTGAGCCTTCTGCCGTCTTTGTCCCCAGTGGGTGATCACTGATGGGTGATCACTGATGGGTGATGGGTGATGGGTAATGGGTAATGGGTGATGGAGGGAGAAGCGGAGAAGGATGGGTCGAGCTGGCTGGCTGGCTGCTGCGTGGGAAATGAGAAAAGCCCCGTTGACGACGACAACCAGGTGCGGTGCAAGGCGAGCCAGATCGCCGGCCAGCCGTGTCAGCGGTGTGCCAAGCTGGACACGAAGTGCGTCGTCGACAAGACTCACAAGCGAATTACGAGGCGGAGGTGAGCCCATTCTGTTCCTCTCACTCGTAAGGGGCTCACTCACTCACGTCTCTTGGCCACAGCAAACTGGACCAGCTTGAACAAGAGCTGCAGAGCATCAAGCAAGCCGTCCACCCCAAGGCAGACGGCCCGTCGGCGTCGGCACCGGCATGGACTCCTCTCAGCCCCCGGGCCGCGACACACCCGGCCCCTCCGGAGCTACAGAGCCCGGCCCCCATCGGCCCCGGCACGCGGCCCCTGCCCGCGGACAGCAGCAAGAGTACCCTCGGGCCGCCGCCGCCGCCGCCGCCGCCGCCGGGTCAGGACGCGGGCCGACGTGCCAAGACGGGGCCGACGAAGGCGCGGGCGTTGGGCAGTCTCGTCGTGTCGGGCGAGGATATCGACTGGTACTTTATCAAGTAGGCCGTCGTCGCCGTGTGTGCGTGCTGGCTGCTGATTCTCCCCGTCCCGTCATCAAGGTTTCTCCAGTGCTACCACCCGTACCTGCCGATCCTGCGCAAAAAGGACCCGGACGAGTGCTTCGAGGCCAACGCGACGCTCTTCTGGGCCATTGTGTGCGTCGCCAGCCGGCGGTACCCCCGCGACGGGGCCGTGTCGCCGGCCGCGGCCGACCACGTGGGCCGCGAGGTGTGGGCCATGATGGCGGCGCCGGCGCTGGGGCTCGAGGCCGTCCACGCGCTGCTGCTGCTGTGCGCGTGGCCGCTGCCGGGCATCCGTTTCGTCACCGACCCGTCGTCGACGTTTGCCGCCGTCGCCCTCAACGCCGCCAAGCTGCTGGGCTGCCACGTCGGCCGCGGCGCCAACCCGCACTTTGCCGTCGGCCTGCGCCAGCACCTGCACTCGTCGGACGAGGAGGCCTCGTCCACTTGGCTGGCGTGCTGCATGCTCGCGCAGCGGTGAGCCTGACTGGCCCCCCCCCTATGCGCTGTGTAGATGCTTGTTGCGTCGAGGGGAGACGTGGATTTCGCAAACTGGAGAAAGACGTGCGCATATAAACCATCTAACTAACTAACTGTCCAATGCCCAGATCGGCATCGAGCATAGGCATCCCGCCCCCCTCGATCCAGCTCGCCGACGACGGGCCCCGGCGCGCGCTGCAGTCGCACCGCTGGACCGACTTGCTGGCCGTCTACGAGGCCCAGCGCTTCCTCAACCGCTTCTACGCCGCCATGGCCGCGCAGCTGGGCGGCGGCGGCGGCGGCGTGCCCGAGGCCGTCGTGGCCATGTGGGAGGCCGACTTTGAGGCGCTGAGGCCGCTGCTCGTCCGCTTCGACACAGGTGCGCCTCACGTCTGTTTCTCACGCAGTCCGCCTCGTCTCTGTCGTCTTGATGTGCGATGCGGCGTGGAGAGCTAATGCAAGCAAGACATATCCCGCTTCTGCCTCGTCGCCGCCCAGCTCGAGATCCAGACTCACTACTTCATCCCAACCACAGCCGCCCCCTCCTCCTCGGCGACGCCCTCGTCACCCCAGACCGACGCCCCCCGGCCCTCACTCCTGCGCAACACGGCCCGCGCCCTCGCCACGTCGCGCACCCTCGTCACCCTCGCCCTCGCCCTCGAGGCCCGCGCACAGCTCCTGACCCACGCGCCGCAGTGGGTCCTGCGCAGCCTCGTCGACGCCTCGGCCATCATCGTCGCCGTGCTCGCGCACCCATCCTCCTCGGCTCTCCTCCTCGCGCAAGACGCCGCTGCCGACGCCGGGGGCGGTCCAGACGCCGCCGCCGCCGACCATGACGCCCTCGTCCGCCAGGCCTGCGCCGCCATGCTCCGCTGCTCCGTCCGCGACGCCGACCTGCCCCACCGCGCCTGCGTCCTCATGGAGACCTTCTGGGCCGTCCGCAACCTCGTCGCCGTCGCCCCGCCGCCCCCGCTCGGCCCCGGCCCGTCCGCCTGGCCCGACCGCCTCGGCGCCGGCGTCACCTTCTGGTGCCTGGAGCGGTTCCGCCTGGGCCTCAGGGCCGCGCAGAGCAGCACCGACAGGGTCAACAAGGCCCTCGACCTGATTCGTGAGTCCCTGCCTCACGGTCCCCCACCCTGTTCTGAGACGCGCCGGGCCGGCGGAACGCAAAAGAAATCCGCAGCCGGCTCACTGACTCGCCCTCCTCCCATCTCTCCCTCGCAGAACACAACCGCCCCAACGCCTCCTCGAGCAACGACGCCGTGCCGGCGTCGAGCATCCCTCCCGCCAACGCCACCACCACAACGACGTCCAGCAACGCAGCTGGCCCTGCCGCCGCGGACAACACCGTCGACGACCCCGAGCAGCAGGCTGCTGTCCAGCCCGGCTCGGATCCCTTCCAAGACGTCGACTGGTCCATTTTCATGGATGAGTTTGGATGGACCGGCGAAGACGCTGTCTTGCTGGGTCTACCTTGACAAAATGGGGGGGGGCAACATAGTGCGCTGTATATAGGAGCTATAAAGCACACATTGCTTCACGTGTCCGTTCACATAGATATATATATACAAGCACATCATAGGTAATTCACACGGAAAGGAGGCGGCGACGTCTGTTTTATCAATAGTCAATTGACTCCATGACTAAGCTGGATCGACTATTCAAACTCATTCTCCCGTTATGCTCATCGCCGAGCCGTGATGTAACGCTTTTGCCTTGACGCCTGCCAACCACCATCATGTCCCGTTACGCCATTGCGCGTCCTCTTGTTAATCATAAATGTCCTCGTCCATGTTATCTCCAACCAGCTCATCAACAGCATCCTCCTCGTCGTCCTCCATCATGTCTTCGTCGTCGCCCATCTCGCTGTCCGGGTGATTCGCTAGCACCACAATCTTGCCGTCCACCATCTCGACCCGCGCCGTCTCGCCGTCGCGAACGTTGTTTCGCAGGATCAGGATGGCCAGCCTGTTGAGCACCTCCTTCTCAATGAGGCGCGAAAGCGGCCGAGCACCGTAGGCGGGCGAGTATCCCGAGTTGCCCAGGTAGTCCTTTGCCTCGTCCGAGACATCAATGTGTACCTTGCGCCCGTTGTCCTCCAGTCGTTTCTGGATCTCGCCGAGACGAATGTCGACAATCTTGCGAATCTCCCTGCGCGTCAGACGGTTGAAGATGACGACCGAGTTGATCCGGTTGAGGAATTCGGGGAGGAAGTAGTTGCGCAGGGCGTTGAGGACGAGTTCTCGGGTGGTGGTGTCGACTCTGCCCTCCTTGACGCCGGGCCGGGTGAGGTACTCGGCGCCCAAGTTGGATGTCATGACGACGATGCAGTTCTTTGCGTCAACGACTCTGCCTTGGCCGTCGGTGATTCTGCCGTCGTCCATGAGCTGCAGCAGGACCGTCAGAATCTCCTTGGCAGCCTTCTCCACCTCGTCGAACAAGAGGATGGAAAAGGGCTTCCTGCGAAGCGCCTCGGTCAGCTGGCCTCCAGCGTCGTGCCCGACGTAGCCCGGGGGCGCGCCAATCATCCTGCTCAGCGCATGTCGCTCTTGATATTCCGACATGTCGAAGCGAATCATCGACTTGGGGTCGTCAAAGAGAAATTCGGCCAGGGCCTTGGTGAGCAGTGTTTTTCCTGTGCCGGACGGACCGCAGAAGAGGAAGCTCGGTGGCTGGTTGGGGTTGCTGAGCCCAGAGCGCTGCAGGCGGATGGCGTTGGCGACGGATTGGACCGCCTCTCGCTGGCCGACAACCACCTTTCCCAGCACCTTTTCCATGTTGACGAGCTTCTCCTTCTCCGAGGTACGAAGTCGGGTTACCGGGATGCCGGTCCATCGCGCCACGATTTCGTTGATGTGGTCGGCCGTGACAATGTCGGTGACCATGGCTCCTCCAGTGTCGGCGCCGGTTGCGTTCAGGGCGGCATCGGCAGCGGCTTTCCGAGTCTCGAGGTCCTTGATGACGGCCTCCTGCTCGGGGATGGCCCCGTACTTGAGGTCGGCAGCCTTGGCATGCTCTCCATTGTTGGTCGCGTCCTCAAGCCGCTTCTCCAACTCATCTAGCTTGACCTTGGCCTGGTGGATTTGCTCGCTTCTCTTGATCTCGTTTTGGTACTTCTCCCGGAGTGGCTCCAGCTCTTCTTCGACATTCTTGGCATCTTTCCTGGCCTGTTGCAGTCGCGTCTTGGATGCCTCATCGTGCTCCTTTTCCAAGGCGGCGATTTCGATCATCAACTGGCGGAGTTTCCGATCCAACGAGTCGATAATCTCGGGCTGCGATTCTCGGGCCACCCGTACTGCGGCGGCGGCCTCGTCGACCAGGTCAATAGCCGAGTCGGGCATCCGCCTCGAGGTCAGGTAGCGCGCCGCCAGGTTGGCCGCCGCCACCAGGGCGCTGTCTAGAATAGTGACGCGGTGATGCCTGTCATACCTCTCCTTCAAGCCTCGGAGGATGGAAATGGTCTCGGGGATGGATGGTTCCTTGACCATAACTTGCTGGAAGCGGCGCTCAAAAGCAGCGTCCTTTTCGACGTACTTCCGGTACTCGGCCAGCGTGGTGGCGCCGATGCAGTGCAGCTGACCTCGGGCCAGCATGGGTTTCAGCAGATTGGCGGCGTCCATGCCGCCCTCGCCCGACGAGCCAGCGCCCATGAGCAAATGGATCTCGTCGACGAAAAGGACAATCATATCCTTGGAGTCCTGAATCTCCTTCAAAACACCCTTCATCCGCTCCTCAAACTCGCCGCGGTACTTGCTCCCAGCGACGAGCGCTCCGACGTCGAGGGAGAGCAGCTTGCAGTGCTTGAGATTGTCAGGCACATCTCGGTTGACGATTCGCTGGGCCAGGCCCTCGACGACGGTGGTTTTACCCACACCGGGCTCACCGATGAGGACGGGATTGTTCTTTGTGCGCCGCGAGAGGATCCGCACAACGCGGCGAATCTCCTCTTCGCGGCCGATGACGGGGTCGATTTTCTTGTCGCGGGCCATGGCGGTCATGTCAATGGTGAACTTGGACAGGTTTTCGTTTTCCTGCTCCGTGTCGGCTGTCTTGCTGTCCACCCGCTTGGTGCCGCGGATGGCCTGGACCGCGTCCTGGACCAGCTTGGCCTTGGGGACGTTGCCCTCCCGAAGGGCCGTCTGGATGTTGCCCTCATCGGCGAGGGCGGTGATGAGATGGTCGACGCCAATGTAGGTGTCTTTTTGGACCTTTTGCAGCTCCATGGCCTTGCGGAGGACGTTATGGTACGAGGGCGAAGGAGAAATTTGCTCTGGCGGGGGGTCTTGGCTCGGAAGGCGGACGAGCATCTTCTTGAGGGCGCGGTCAAAGAGCTGAGGGTCGCCGTGCGCTCTCTCGACAACCTGGCGGAAGAGGGTGACGGTGGGTTGTGAGGGTCCATTCTGCTGGTCTTTGGACTGGTCCAGGGGCGGGTCGAGCAGCGCGACAGCCAGGTGGACGGGGAGGAGTTGCGAGTGAGCATACTGCTGGGCCAGGGACATGGAGTCCTCGACTGCCTTTTGAGCCCTGTCGGTAAACTCCATTCTCGCGTTCATGCCCAGAGAGTCGTTGATGTGTGTCTTCCCCGCGAAGGTGTTGTGTGATGGCGCTCCTTTGCGCGGTGGTGGCTATGCTTGTGTGTCTCTTGTATTCTGTCTTGTATCAAAGAAAGCTCTTGACGTGTCGAGAGGTTGGGCGTTGGTCGTGATGCGTGTGTCGGGCACCAGCGTTGGGCAGATCAGTTGGGACTTGCAAGAGGATGACGATGAGTATATGGAGGAGAGCACAGAGCTGGCAGACGAGCAATTTATCTTGCTTGCGGGTGGAGCTCGAGTCGAAGCAACGACGGGAGAAATGGACTGATGGAGCAGCAGCTGGTCCAGGCGAGCAGCTCCTCGGGCCATCCAGAAGCCCCCCCGCCTTTCCAAGAGAGGCAGTCGAAGAACCCACCAGAAGCTTGGAGATACTGTACTTCGAGGCCAAAGGTGGGGATCCAGCGATTTGATTGGCTGTTTCAAGGGCGTCTGTTCCTATCTTATCAGCACCTGACCAAAAATCAATTATCAAGGAATGATCACCATTAGTCACATGACCTCGCGCTCGGTCCATTGATTTTCATCCAGCTGCGACCTCGCCGTCGCCGTCGAGCCCACCGCATACGCGCCGTCAACCACACCAACCCCCTGACCATGAACGCGGCACCCCCCGGGGCTCGCCTCGGCCTGCTCCCTTCCCTGCTGCGGACTTGCGTGCGCCAAGCCCACACCGGCCCGGCCCGCCGCCCTGCGCCCATGGGCTACCAGAGACCTGAGGGCCACGGCGAGAGAATCTGGGTCTTTGCCCACCGGAGAACAGAACAAGTCATCTTTTCCTTCAGGGACAGATTAGATGTCCGTCTTCAGCACCCTGGGAGAGAAGTAAAGCTCTGCTGACCCTCGAGCACAGGGCTTCCATGACCTCAAGCAGCTCCCTTTCAACGGCAAGCAGACCAAGCCCTCCAAGCTCCGCAAAGACTACTGGTCCCCCATGGCCATTATCCAGTTCCCAGCCGGCATGGGCTCTGTCGGCCGCTCCGTCTTCCAGAAGCTGCGCGAGCTCAAACACCTGCACGAGGTCTCGTGGCCCGACGAGTTCCGATACAAGCACGAGTCCGAGTACACAGAGGCCGACAAGCGCAAAATAGCAGACGAAAAGGCAAACGGCAGGTCCTACCGGCCCGTGCGGAGCAAGGCGGACCGCGGCAATGCCCTCAACGCGCAAAAGAAGAACGTCATCGCTGACATGGCCGTCGTGCTGGCGGGCAAGGGCGCCGGCAACAAGGTGGTCGTGACTAAGTCGGCAGATGCAGGCAAGGAGGACGGGCAGCTGGTGGCCGTCACCGTCAAGTGGTCCAACGACCAGGACATGGAATTTGCCGAGGTCTGGTCGCACAATGTCACCCATGCGCTCTTCGAGGAACCCGCCTACATGTCCAACCTGGTACCGAAACAACAAGTGGCCGAAGCGTCGCAAGAAGCCAAGGCAGAGGCATGAGTACCTAGATTTCCCACCAAGATCACCATGCAAAGGCCGGTCGGGCAGACAAATTCTACGCCACACCTCTACGAGCTACAAACAATGTATAAATACCAACATTTAGGTGGGCGGGATGGGGAAGTTCGACACACGCCCCCGCGCCTGGATGGGATTCACGCAAGAGACGCACGGGGCGATTCGCTCGTCCGTCATTGTACAACTAGCCTGATGCAAGCGCCACATGAGAGTCTTGTCCTTCTAGGGGCGTTTGTCCTCGATGCGCATGCAAAACTGCTTGAGGTACTCGTAGTGGGGAATGTTGTCGTCCACGACCTGGCGGATGAGTTTCTGGGCCTCGGGGCCGTACTTGTCTGCCCACTCCTGGTTCTCCGACTCTACCGTCGAAGTTTTCTGTCAAGCAACAAGTCAGCATGTCCCGCCGCGCGCCCTGCATTGCGGCGCAACGCCTCACCTGAGCATGTGATCGGCCATTGAGCCTCGTGCTGTCGAGGACGTCGTCGTGCCATCCGTTCCACTTGGCAAAGAGCTTCTTGGCGTGCTCGCCATCGGCCTCGTCCCAGACGAGCATGCCCGGGTCATAGTCGATGCCGGTCCTGTCGCAGAACTGCCGAATCATGTCCTCCGGGTGGTCCAGCAAGTCGTCGGCATCCACCACGGTGACGCGGTTCTTGTCGACGATGCCCTGTCGGACCAGAAAGTCAAAGAGGTGGGCGAGCTCCTTGTAGCCGGCTTCGCAAGGCATAAAGGGCGTGTAAGCCGTCTTTTCGACCAAGGGCGGGATGGTGCAGCGATAGTACGAGGGGATAGAGCGGCGAGGATGTCGGATAAGAAAGGTAAAGTGGAAGCGCTTGAGGGCCTCGAGTGGCATCACCGTCGGGTTGCCGGGCTCCTGTCCGCCGCCAAAGGACTGGGCGATCGGGGGCTGGCTTCCGTCGGGAGGGAAGAAGTAGTGGGCCATGTCCTTGATGAAGACACGCCTGCCCTGGTTTGCGCGTAAGCAGCAATTCCTCGCACGCCACTCGTCCGGTTGCACGGAGGGCTCGTCGTGTTGGGCGAGACACACGGCACGGCTGAAGGCTGCGCCGCGTCTGGGCCATGGAAGACTCGGGCTTTGACAAGGTGAGGGGGGCGCGACTGGGTTTAACAGTAGATTGGAAGTGAAGAAGAGGAGGGGGAAGATTGATGCCACTGTTGATGACATGCTCGGGCATCCCCACTTGGGGACGGGCGGTCGAGAGCCATGTGCGGAAAGAGGACGCGAACCTGTTTTTCCACCTTGTCAAAGTCACCGAGGATGGATTTGTACGTCTGGTGCGAGCCGGGAGCTGCCTGGCGAGTGGCAGCGTCGTCCCTGAAGCGGTTGCTCAGGAACTCGGGGCCGAAGTAGTAGGCGTCGGCAAAGGGCTCATGCTGGCTCTCGAGCACGTCACGGCGGGTCATGAAGACCTAGGATTCTCTCAGTCATTCTCGTCCTCGAGTGTGTCCATTGGCGAGTATCGAGATACTTCATACCCGTTCAAAGGCCGTGGAGCAGGCGCGCGGGTGCGTTGCGACGAAGACGGGAGGTTGCACCATTGTTTCTTTCCTGCCTCGGGATGTGCGACGGGCGATTGAGTGGTGACTGGTTGTGGACTGTGGCGTGAGGCTTGGATGGCGATGATCTGGGCAGTGGGAGAGGTGAGGGCTTTGAAGAGAAGGGGAAGAGGACGAGGGAAGAGGGAGGAGAGGAGGGGAGAGGAGGGGAGGCGGACCAGGTGTTTCTTGCACGTGGAGGCGAGACTTGGCTGGTTCGGTCGATTGAAGGGGGCGAGGGCCACAAGAGGAAGAGGAAGGGGAAGAGGAAGAGAAGGACAAGGAAAAGGAGTACGTCAGTCAATCGTGGAGAAATGTTGAAGAAAGCGCGCAAGTGTAAGGTGTAACGAGGATAAAGTGGACAAGCTTAAAACCAGAGCCGACGATGCCCTGAGCTGAAATGCACTGGTAAAGTCTACAGAGCAGCTACGCCCAGTCCTTGTAGCTGCGAGTACCACCTCCCCGCTGCCAAGCACCCGGGGCTCCTTGCAGCTACGAGTCAAAATGGGCGTTGCGAGGTATTGGTAGTGTATCTGGCCCTAACTACTCCGTACAGTAATTACAGAGAATGTGGCCCTGCAACCCCTCTTCCTCTTCCTCTTCCTCTTCCTCTTCCTCTTCCTCTTCCTCTTCCATCACTTCCTTCCTCTTCCATCACTTCTCGTTCGACCATGACGTGCCCGGCAAGGCAGAGAAAGCAGCTGTGGCTGGGGGATCTCCCGATCCAACTGCGAGACGAGGCATGCTGCAGCTTTCTCGTCCACGTTCGGTATCGCGCTGGATTGGTTGGCCCTCGTTTTCTTCAGCGCTTGTTGGTTTGTGGTGGGCCGCTCGACGTCATGCCCAACAGCCGAGGTAACAAGACGACGAGAGATGGCGCGGCTGCTGCACCAGCGGGCCGAGAGACATCACCGCGGTCCACGTACCAAGATCGATTCTCTGCGTCACGCCAAGATCGATTCTTGCGTCACGTCAAGATCGTTTCTGCGCCACGTCAAGATCGTTTCTGCGTCACGTCACACTACATACAGTACCTTTTTAATCAATCGAAACGTCCCTTCACCCCCAAAGCCCTGCCTCTTCACCCAAACCACCTTCTCCTCTCCTCAATCACCTCGGGCGCGTCGTCGGCAAAGTGCAGTGATTTCTTGCCCTTCTTCTTCTTGCTACTGAGCCCCCAAGGGTCTTGCATCGCCGACTCCTGCGTCGGCTCCTCGCCATAAGCATCGCGCTCTGCTTCCGGCTCCGGTTCCAGCGTCAATATCGACCCAATCTCTTCATCGGCCCGAGGTTCGGCGGCGACTTCACTCAAGCTGGCAGCCTCCTCCACCGGCACATCTTCCTCGGGTGGGGCGACTTCCTGCACCAGGGCATCTTCTTCCGCCAAGGGAGCCTCTTCCGGGAAGTCCTGCTCAGGTGCCACAGCGAGCTCCTCTGCCTCTGCCTCTGCGGGCATTGACACCTCTGCCTCTGCTGGCCCATTGGGCGCGTCAATGGGGACGTCAGTTGCCCGCTTCCCCTCGCCCCATGCCTCGCTACCGACATGGTTCTCTAGTTGTCCGTTAGAGACGGGAAGAGGCTCCTTTCCCGATTTTCTCTCTAACCCAAGCCCGTGGTCAGCTGGGGACTTTACATGTCGTGCCTCTCGTAACCTCGACAGTCCTGGGCCGAGGGAGTTGCAGAGATGGAGAAAATCCCTCTCACCCGTCACCACGGAGCGAAAGCTGTTCAGGCGCTTGAGCTCATGCAGGGCAGTCTCGAGGACGGCAAGCTTCTCGCCAAGATGGGCACGCTCATTCACAGTGGCCTCGCTGTCCGCCGCGAGGCTCGAAACCTCGTCGCCGCTCATGTCGTAAATCTTCTCGGGGTCAAAGATGGACGGGAGTTTCTGCAAAAGGCGGCACTCGATGGCAAGGGTGCCCACGGCGTCGACTGCGGTCTTGAGTGCTACCTGTCACGGCCGGTAATTCGTAAGTAAGGGGGAGGAAAAGGTCAAAGTGAGACCAACCTTGTAGTACGCCTCCATGTAGTCGACGGCCAAAGAGCTCCCGTACAGCTCCATGTCTATTTCGCTCTGCATGGCGAGCAGCTCCGAGAGATGACTTCCACTCACCATCAACACGTCTGCCTTGTCGAAAATACGCTGGCCATAGACTTTTTCGATGTGGGCAGTAATCTCTCGTCGGCGCCTCTCACTCTGGGCCTTTTGGACATTTCTGATGAGGTAATGATTGTAGGTAATGGGATGGACGCTCGTGTAGGGCTCCAAGACCTGCTCAAATGCGGCATCCAGCTCCAGCTTCAGATCCTCGATGCCGGTGTTGACAATCTGGAGGATCCGTTCCGCTGTTTCTTCGACGGCCACGTGATACAGCGCATCATGGCTCGTCTCGGACACGGCAAGCAAGATTTCGTCCTTGAGATCCATGGCGATTGCTGTCCACGGCCGGCACTGGTCCGCAAACAGCTCCCCGACAATAAGCGGGTTGAAGGTGCCCGGGAGCTCACAGCCCCGGTTGCGACGTATCAGATCCTTGACTTCTTTGACATAGTCTGATCGCAATACCTCTTCGCACTCTTGGGGCTCATGATGGTCGTCGCGGACTTCTACTATGCGTCGGCTGCGGCCCTTGTCGTACATCGTGTTCCGAAAGTCAGTCAGCGTGTTTTGCACGACGGCACGCAACCGTCGTCGATACCCCTTTTCCGTCCTGGCGCTACCAAAGAACCGGTCGTTGTACATGCCGTCCACCGCCGCCTGCATCAGCCGGGAGAAGTTCTGGCTGGTGTGAAGTAGATAGCGGCGCTGCTCGCGGACGGAGCCGCGGGGCTTGCCCAGCTTGTCAAGCTTCTCTTTACAGGTCCGGATCCCGTCCGAGACATCGCCAAGAAGGCTGGGGAGCTGGAGGAGGATCTGGTCCTTGAGGACGTTGCTGAGTCGAGGCTTCAGAGACGCCACGCCCAGGTGCGACGGGTCGATGCTGGTCCATGGTGCCCGGGAGAGGAAGTCGGCCTCGGCCTCATCGCGCTCCGCCGACGTGGCGTTGCGCATCTTGTAGTCGCGGTTCTTGAGCACATGCCAGCCCAGCCGGAACTTGACGTCCCGGTTCTGCGCGAGCTGCACGTAGGCGGCCTCGCTGGCCGAACCCTCATCCAGCGTGTCGGGCTTGGTAATGAGGCCGAGGGTGCGGACGCCGGCTGGGTCCAGCTCTCGCGCGATCCGCGTCACCTTTTGCAGGGCAAAGTCGCTTTTGGCGGAGACGACGGCCAGGATGATGCTCCTCGGCCTCATGAGGTAGCGCATGACCATGTCGGTGACGAGTTCGGCGTCTTCGTCCGACTGCGCGCTATTGCCGGCCTCGAAGAGACCAGGGAGATCGACCATGGTCAAATGAGGCTGTTCGGGGCCGCTCATCTCAACGCGCAATATGTCGTCGCTGAAGACCTTTTTCGGCCCGTTCAGGCCCATGACCTCCTTGGCCTCTTCGATGACGTCGCCAAGCTGGGGATCCGAGGCGTCAATGGTGGGCTCGAACAGCTTCAGCTGCTTCTGCTCCTCCTCGGGACGATCTGCGTCGGGAACAATGGACACCTTGACGTTGACATGAGGAGAGCGACGCAGAATCAGCTCCGTTGCAAAGCGAGTGCAGAGATTGTCCTTTGTGGGAAAAGTCATCCCGGAAATGGCTTCCAGGACCGAGCTCTTGCCGGCGGACTGGTCCCCGGTGACGATGATCTCAGGCAAGTCGACATAGCGGCTGATCCCTTGAGCACGAAGCTTGTCGATGATGTCGAGGAGATGCCGGTGAGCTTGCGACTGGAGGTTGACGGCCATGGCTAGGGAGTATGTAGAGATGCGAAGGCAGGCGGAGGGTGCTCGCCAACGACGTGCTTGAGGTTGCGTACGGGATCAAAGCCAGCGGAGCAGAATGCGCAATCATGGCACGAAATGGAACTTTGAGCAGCAGCCAGGCCTGAGATCAAACGCTCTGGTTTATAGCTCTGCTGAGAGGCGGGACACGAGGCCATCGCAGACAGGTGGATGAGGTGCGCATATGCATTCACCAATGCATCGCCTAAGCGGACAAGGATGCTGATACGGCCACGACGCTCCACAACTGGAGAGAGACAACTCACGTAGACGGCGATCTGATCAATCGGATCCGGGGTGTGATTCTGCCCGCGGCGGCACAAGTGTCTGCTCTTTCCCATTGGCTGAGGTCGGGCACTCGTGCGTTGTGCGATGCGAGCTATAGGATTGGGCTATTCCTCGCAATGCGGACTCTTTAAGGCGGGCCTCGTGCCTCGAACTTTCTTTCGGCCTTGCGCCACTCCTTGGGCGCATTGAAGCCCAAGGCCCCGTGGGCGTCGCTCCCGGGCGTGATGGGCATTCCATGTCTCTTGGCATGCCAGCTGGATAGGGAAATGAGCTTCCTCTTGACGTGAGCGCAAGGGCCCCCGTCACCGGCGCGTCTCCCAGCTCCCCAGCCACCTAGAGCTCTCGGCGACGTCACGTATCTTGCTCAGCGCACTCTCCACCCTGCCATCCTGACCATACCTGTGGCCTCCGAGCTCGACAAAGAAGACGTACTGAAAGGGGGCCCGCAGACTGGGCCGACTGTTGATGCTCGTCAGGTTGAGGCCGCACTCCTTGAAGCAGCCCAAGACATCGGCCAAGGCGCCCGGGGAGTCGTGGGGCACCGTAAATGATACGAGGGACTTGGTACCTAGGGGGTCATTGTTGCCAGCAGGATTCGATTGGTTGGCACTGAGGGGTTCCTGGGGGGGGTTTTTTGTGTTGCGGATGATGAGGAAGCGCGTCACGTTGTCGTCGCGGTCTTGAATCGACTCGGCGAGCACGTCGAGGCCGTAGATGCTAGCCGCCAGCCTGCTGGAGATGGCAGCAGACGCGCCAGTCCCGTTTCGCCGCACAATCTCGGCGGCCCTGCTGGTGGAGCTGACCTCGTGGATTTCGGCGCCCTTGAGGTTCTGGGAGATGAAGTTGCGGCATTGGCCAAAGGCCTGAGGGTGAGAATGAATCTGCTTGATGCGTTGAAAGTCGGGCGCTGCCGCTGTCGGCGTGCCATCAGCCCCGGGAATGGTGGCGTTGCTCTCTCCCGGTGCCTTGAAGCCGAGAAGGCAGTGCCTGACGTCGACAAAGACCTCGCCTTCGACGGAGATGTCTTCGTAGCGGCCGTCTCTGTCGGCGAGGTTGTCGAGTGTGACCACGACACTCCCGTGGCTGGAGTTTTCAAAGGGCACAACCCCCTTGAGGACATGGCGGTTCTGCACTTGATCAAAGACGTCTAGAAGCGGAAGAGGCTGTCAGGGGCCGAGGAGCATGACGTTGACACGGCACGCCTACCGGTGATGGTTGTTGCCGGACGCAGCTCCCACCTCTCTTGAGGAAAGACCTGAAGCGTGGCCTACGTTTGCCCTCGCCGCAGTCAGCTACGTGAAGTAGCATTTGGGAGTAGAGAGGCGGATATCACCTGGTGCGTGTACGAGGCAGCAGGGCCGAGAAAACCCACGGGGGGCTTGGCAAGACTAAAGGCCATGGCGCTGGACAGGGGCGACAGAGGCTGGGATGATCGCTCGGCGTCGGCTGGAGGCGCGTCTTGGCCGTCTGCCGGTCTTGTCATGGCTGCCAGGAAGAGGCCAGCGGGTGGATGTGCAAGGTATGCGCTAGTAGAGTCTGTGTTGCTGCGGCACGGGACGGATGATTCCAACTAGACAAGGGAAGACCGTGTGGGCGTCAGGGCTTGTAGATGCAAGCGGCTGAGCGTTAAGTTTCGGGTAGTCGTTGACGTTGAGCCTTTATGTGCTTCTGAAGTTTGGAGTTCGAGATCCATATATTCCTGGCCTCGACATCGTGGAGGTTGGCCAGTCGAGCTTGTGATTGGCTCAACCTCAACCTTGAAGAGTTGAGACAGCCAATCAATCACGTGGGCTCGAGAGTACTTACGTAAGCTAAAGCACCTAGGTAGGTTCCTTATCTAGGGTACCCTAGAGAGGCTCATCATCGACGACGGCTTTCGACTGGAGAAGGTCATGACAGCGTCACTTCTCCCCCTCCTCCATCAACGCTCAGGGTCTTACCATGCGGCATTCAATGTCCAGGGGATCGACGTCTGGAGGCCAGCTCGTGTTCAGCTGTGCTGTTTGCTTGGCCAGCACCTCCTTCATGCAAGCGCATTTACTGCACGCCCTTGACCTTGGACCGGCATGAATCTTGATCTGTCATTCTATTTTTACCGGCCCGCCTCGTGCAGAACTCGGATGCCCGCAATCGCAACATGTCGGAGTCACGTGGTCCAGAAGGGATGACCTTGCCTCGGTCGTCATCCGTCCAGTCGGTAACGCAAGACTTTGCAGGTCACGCTGCCTGCGCCCTCTCGTCGGCCGTCATTTGCCTCGGCGCGGCGGTGAGCATGGTCAACTCGCCGAGACCCCGAGATCCGGAGAGACGGCTTCTCATTCTTTGGCGAGGCACGTGAGTCCGAGCATTCTGTGGTATACCTCGATATACCTCGCTGGGCTTGAGGATCTGGAACCACTACAGCGCCGCTCCGCCTCGTTTTCTGACACCGCTTCTTTGCCTGGGTCTTCCATGCGATGCGGCTTGGGTTGGACAAAGGGCAGTCAGTCTCGCATCTTCTCTCGTGCAGTGGCAAGCGCTCGCTGGCGCATACTTGGAAGTGGAATCATGGTTTCGGCCAAGGGTGTCGACCGAGGCTGGGCCCGTCTTCACTACTGGCTTGAAGATATGCCTCGGGTCCATGCAGGGAACTGTGGCCGGGCGGCTAGCCACATATTCTGAAACGTGCGCGACTACGTAGCTGAGGCATGCACATGCAGAGTGAAAAGAGGGTTTGGCTCGACAAGGGAGGAGGGATAATGGGCCGAGCTGGCTTCAAGTCAACGAAGGGACAAAGAGCAACGAAAAAAAAAGCTCGCATTCGGGCGCGGCACCTGAGGGAAGGGGGGGAGGGCAAGCAGCAGGCCCCCGCCCGCTGCCGGGTCAGTCCGTGCAGCGTGTCCGAGCGGAGAAAGAGAGGGCGAGAGAAAGAGAGAGAAGGAAGATGCAAAGAGAGCGATGTGCAGCAGATAAAACGCGCGGGGTATCTGGCGTTTTGCATTGGCTCGCGTTGATGGATGGATGGATATAGCCTCAACGCGTCATGGCACCCCGATCCCAAGGCAGTCTGACGGGATGAATTGCCTAATTTTGTCTGATGGAGCATGCAGACCCGCCGCCTGTCTACTGTACAGCAGATGCCTGCCAGCCACGGTTGTGAACAGTCTCTTCGTGGTTGTCCCGTCGACGACCGACCGACTCGTAGGTGCAACACAGCAGCACAGTCAGATGCGTAGCAGACGAGCTTGATTGGGCAGGCCAAGCTGTCGAAACATGGTTGGTTTCATCCTGCGCGGGCGTCGACCCTGCACCGGCGCCCACAGACGTGAACACAAAGGACCTTACTCGCCCGTCATCCCATCATCCCATGATCCTGCCATGTCTACCCCAAGTTACATGGCTAGGCATGTCTGTCTTCTTGATGCGCCGCAAGGCTGGCTGACCGCTCTCCCTCTCCCTCCATCCGCTGTTCTTGCTCCCACTTTCATGACCCTTGACTTTCATTTCACCTCGGTCCCCGCTCACAGCTATTCCGGGCGAGCTGACGTGTGTTGGGCCTCATTCTCGCAGGTGGGAGAGGCCCGGTTGAGCGAGTCAAGCAAGGCCCAAGGGGCTGTGAGGGATAGGGGAATGGCCGAGGCGACCAGTTGGGAACGGTGAGCCAAGGGAAAGGATGAGCCATGGATAGGTTAGCAAAGCAAACGGGGATATAATAGATCTTCATATACTGCTCGGTAACGGAACATGGGAAATGTGGATGGCCATGATCAGTTGGGGATAGAGTCCATCCAACATTGAGTGTACAGAGTGCGTGGGCGCGCCATCAGCCCGGCTGGCGTCATGCGCGCAAGGACAAGACGCCAAGTAATTCATGGCTCATCTTCGTCTGAAAGGGGAAGAACAAGGACGACGATCCCCGTTGATCGACCCATCCACCAAGACGGGGCCGACAAAGGACTCCGGTGGACCAGACGGTGTGCTCACGCACCACCAACCAAGATTGCACGGAGCTGGGCCATATGCCTCTCTCCATGACGATGCGATGCAGAGCGAGTCAAAACGCCGCCTTGGGCATTGCCGAGTTTCCGTCTCGCCGCTGCATGATGATGCTCCTCCAACGTCGTTGTTTGATTGAGGACTCCGGGCATGGCGATATGATGGCCCGGGCAAAGGACGCCGTCGTCATACCGCGGTAGCGAACAAAGTACGTATGTACTATGCAACAAAAAAGTCTTTCGAGCTGTCAAAGATGCCGAGGCAGGGGAAGAAGGGTGCTCGTCTCCTTCGAGAAGTCCCAGCAGGGCCCGCACGGTGTGCAGTCTCGGGTCAGGATCGCCCGTCGGCCGCCCACACCACACAGCCATCAATCAATCAATCATCCGGGGAGGAGGGGGGAGGACGGAGGGGGGAAGACGGGGGCGGTTTCACCTTTTGCCCTCTCTGGCTGGCAGCTGGCGCGCCACGAAAACGAGGCATGCAAACGAGACACGAAAACGAGGCATGTAAAAAACCGGCGGCAACTCGCTACCGGCAAACGGCGAGTTGCGACTCGCCCGCGCATGATGGAGATTCAGGGGATGCACGCTTGGCGGGCGGGGAGGGGGGTTGCATTTTACAGGGGCCTGCTACAGCGCGGAGCACCACTGGAAGGGTGGGTGGCTGCCTGCCTACTGTAAACGGCCCGGAGCTCACTTCCCCAAGCTACTAGTAGGTACTACAGTGCTATTACTGTAGTTACCTAGTACTGTAGCCCTCAGCGGACAGTGAGAGCAGCGGGCGGGGGGAAGGCCGACCCATTGCACCTACTGGACGGACGGGCGCCCACTGTAGCACCGCAAGGCGCCTACGGTACAGCGGGTACGGGGCCCTGCGGTGGCTCGTCTTCCGGTGGTGGCTCGACGCTGCTACCAGCCAGTCGAGGCCCAGCCAGTCGAGGCCCAGCCAATTTTACAGAGGCGGAATCTTCCAGCCACTCATCCACTCCCTCTCGCGCGTCGGCGCATCTCGTCTCGCGCCTGGCCAAGCTCGACGTGCCTACGAAGACAGACTACTGAGACGCGAGGTGCAGACAGACAATGGTTCCCCCAGAGTCGCAGCCCGTGTTCGAGGTGCCCGTGCCATGGCATCCAACCAGGTTGGCCCCGGCCACTGAGAGACGCCCAGGGCGGGGCACCGCCCCTCTGTAAACCGTGCCGTGGGTACCTCGAATGCTCCGTGCATTCCGTTTGCCTCTGTCCTCTCCTCGGGCATTTCATCCGTTCCTCTGCTCGCCATTCACAACCTCCACGGGCAGAGGCCACAAAACACATCCCTGGGCCTCCGTGGTCTCTCTCCCGCCCTCCCCACCGTCGTCGCCCGCCTTGTTTACATATCATCCTCTCCGCCTCCCCTCCTCGTCCGTTTCCTCCTCGTGCTATTGCCCGTCGCCCGCGTTGCTGCTGCTGCCGCATCTCACTTTTCTCTCTCTTTGTTCTTCGCTCGCTCTCGCTTTCCTCGCCCTTGAGCTGTTTTGCCGCCGTCTCTGCCGGCCCGGAAGCTCGGCGGCTCAAACGAACAGGGGAGAAAAAGTTCGCTCGCTACGGCAAACGAACTCTTTCGTCCTTGCCACCTCTTCGCCGTCTCGCCTCGTCTTCGTCGCCAGAACCCTCGCGACAGGCCAACGAGCACCGACTCCTGGACGCATTGTCCGCCCGCCTTTCTTCACCCACCCACATTCGGCGACGGCTGGCTGTTCCGTCACCTCCCCCAGACCATGGCCATGCTCGCGTCCAAAACGCCCTTTTCGGCCGCCCTCGGCTCCTCGGCCACCGTCTCCAGCAGCGCACCGCCCTCGTCTGCCCTGCCCGCGACGTCGCGGAGAGTCCCCCCTTCGGCCGCCGGAACCCAGACGTATCCCAGCCCCACAGAGTCCGACTTCTCCGACGCCGACGGCCCTAACTCGGTGAAGCATTGGGACGAGGACCGCGTGGCCGACTATCTACGGAGCATCAACTGCGGCGATTACGAAAAGCTCTTCAGGAAGAACCACATCAATGGCGAGAATCTGCTGGAGCTCGACAAGGCGGTGCTCCAGGAAATGGGCATCGACAAGGTCGGCGACCGCGTCCGCCTCTTCCTCGGCATCAAGAAGCTGAGGACCAAGGCCCATGCCAACCAGAAGAAGCGTAATAGGGTCAGTTGGCCCCCGCTTGACTCGGTCGCCCGCTATCGCTGACAGGCCGTGACCTAGGAATCCTTTGCTGCGCTTGAGATCCATTCCGCCCCGGCCTCTAGTGACCCTGCGAGACAACTCAGCGCGCGTACGACGCCCATGTCCACCACCAACAAGCGATACTCGCGTCAGATCGACCTGTCCGCGTCGCTCGATACTGGTAAGCCACCCTCCCCTCCATCTTCACCCCATGAGCGGTGCTAACTTTTCCTTAATCAGCTCGGCAGCCGCGCTTCCCCCCTGGCGCCGGCTTCGTCAACGGCATCGGATCCGGCACCGTCTCGTCCAGACTGCCTGCCTCGTCCTCGGATGGCCCGCCCGGACGCCTGGCGACTACGCATACCAGGAACAACTCGAGCATGGACGGCTCGCTGATGGCTGCCCTGCCGCAAAACCAAGACGTCATCCGAGTCATCTCGACCGGGGGCGTCACAAAGGTGGTCAAGATTGCCGGCTGCAGCACCTGCGAGGATGTCATGCGCGTGACGCTGCGAAAATTTGCCCTCCGCGAGGACCACGAGCGAAACTACTGCTTCTGGGTCCTGACCGGCATCGACCCCGATCCGACCCAGTGTCGGCGCCTGGGGGACACGGAGCTCTGGCGCATCATCAAAGACCAGCGTCGCCCGGAGCGGAACCGTCTCATCTTGCGAAGGGTCCCCGCCGCGGAGCCTGGCGATGCCGAGCTCCAGCGCGCCGCCGCCATCGCCATGGAGGAGGAGCAGCAAAAACACGCCAAGGCGCTTGAGTCGGTGGACAAGCGAAGCCAGCTCAAGGTGCAAAAGGTGCTGGGCGAGAAGTGGAACGACCAGCTCCAGCAGCCGCTGTCCCCCATCTCCTTCCAGGACCGGGAGCGCACCGTATCGCAGGCGGCCAAGGACCTGGAGCGACCGTCTACGAGCGACTCGTCGCGAAAGCCGCAGCGCCGCAAGGTCGGCCTCCGCCAGTTTGGCGGACTGCGCCCGCCGAGCGAGCTCATCGCCTCGGACCTGACGTCCTACTTCCCCGACCACCCCCGCGAGGACATTGACCGGACGGCCCGGCTGTCCATGAGGCGGTCGTCGCGTCTGAGCAAGGTCAACAGCCGGCTCAGTGTGGCCAGCAACCTCAGCTTCGCGTCCAGCATCCAGGACGCGCCGCCGATCCCGACCATTGCCGACGCCTGGCTCAACAATGGCAGCGCGCACGTGGCCAAGGTGCGGGCCAGCGACTCGACGCACGGGCGCATGCCGCACTTTTACAGCCGAGACTCGATTGCGTCGTCGATGCTCGACACGCTGCAGGAGGAATCGGCGCACGAGCCCGACCGCAAGTCATACGTGTCGTTTACCGAGAGCGGGTCGGACACGGCGGCGGTGAGCGTGACGGATCCCGACGGTAACACGACGAGGTCGAGCTTCTTCGCCGACAGCTCCATGACATCCGGGTCGTTCCAGGACCTGAAGCAGGCGCTGACGGACGACGGGGAGGAGGCGGACGAGGAGTTGCAGAGTTTTCTCGCCGGTGAGTCGTGGGACGACAACAAGTGGATGAAGGGGGCTCTCATCGGGCAGGGCTCGTTTGGGTCCGTGTACCTGGCGCTGCACGCCGTGACGGGAGAGCTCCTGGCGGTGAAGCAGGTGGAGACGCCGGCGCCCGGTGCTAACAGCCAAAGCGACACGCGCAAGAAGAGCATGATTGACGCGTTGAAGCGCGAGATCAGCCTGCTGCGGGAGCTGCGGCACCCCAACATTGTGCAGTATCTCGGGTGCAGCTCGTCGGCCGACAAGCTCAACATTTTCCTCGAGTACGTGCCGGGCGGGTCGGTGCAGACGATGCTCAACTCGTACGGGGCGCTGCCGGAGCCGCTGGTGCGCAGCTTTGTGCGGCAGATCCTGACGGGCCTGTCGTACCTGCACAACCGCGACATCATCCACCGGGACATTAAGGGTGCCAACATACTGGTGGACAACAAGGGCACCATCAAGATCTCCGACTTTGGCATCTCCAAGAAGCTCGAGGCGTCCAACATACTGAGCGGGGCCAACAACAACAAGCACCGGCCGTCGCTGCAGGGCTCCGTGTTTTGGATGGCGCCCGAGGTGGTGAAGCAGACGTCGTACACGCGCAAGGCCGACATCTGGTCGCTGGGCTGCCTGGTGGTGGAGATGATGACGGGCAACCACCCGTACCCGGACTGCAGCCAGCTGCAGGCCATTTTCAAGATTGGCGGCGGCAAGGCGGCGCCGACGGTTCCCGAGCAGGCCAGCCAGGAGGCGCAGGACTTTTTGAGCCAGACGTTTGAGATTGACCACAACCTGCGGCCCAGCGCCGACGAGCTCATGGTCAGCCCCTTTCTCGCGCCCATCACATAGATGCGCTCTGTTTCTTTTCTTTGCTATTCCGACTGTTGACGGGCCCTTGGCAGGAACCGGGGCACCTCTTGATCAGGCCCACCAGTATCTGACGTGTTCTTTCTTATGATTTGCTTGGACGCACTTGCAGCGGAGGCGATGAAGGAGGCCCGCAGGGCTCTTGGACAGAGGGCGGCGAAGGGGTAATGGCGTGTATGCTGGACCGGGTGCCTGGGCCCGGTATCGGGAGGCCCGGTGACGACGCGGCTGGCCGTCCTCGGAGGAGACGGGGGTGGCTGCAGGATGGATCAAGATTCACGACCGTCAATGTACATTAAACGATGGAAGGGAATAGAGACATGAATGATGACGGACTCGCGAGGCCAGGGTCTGCCGATGGCTGCGGTGGCTGGCCGTTGACCTCGGCTCGATTTGGCCATTCTTGCCGACGGGCGTAGACTTGGTTGGATTTGGTTGCCGCCTAATTATTTCCACTCTGGCCTGTTCGGCTTGGGCGTTGGTGCTGATGCTGCCTGGCCACGGCCTCTTTGGCCGCCTTTTTTTTCGTGCCCCAAGGCACATTCTTGCTTGCCTGTGACTCGTCTGCCACGTGCTCTCCCCTCGCTCTCTCGTCTTGTCCTTCCCCTTTTGCTCCATCCATTCTTTGACTCCATTTCATCCTGCTCCTTCGACCTTCAGAAGAGGCATAAACCTGTTTAAAATAAAAAGACAGCTTACGAGCACTCGCCGCCACCGCAAGCGGGGGTTCCAATCCACAAGTCTTACCCGCCAACATGGACATGGACTCGCCGCCGCAAGAGGACAGCCAGGCGTCGCAGAGCAGCGTCATGACGGTGACGCAGGAGAAGCGGCACGAGGTGCTGTACTTTGCCTACGGGAGCAACATGTCGACGGCGCAGATGCGGCAGCGGTGTCCGCACTCGACGCCCGTCGGGCTGGGCCTGCTCTCGGGCTGGGCATGGATCATCAACGAGAGGGGGTACGCCAACGTCGTCGTCGAGGACAGGGCCGAGGCCCCGGGCGTCTACGGCCTGCTGTACCTGCTCCCGCCGCGCGACGAGGAGCGGCTGGACGGCTACGAGGGCGTGCCGCAGGCGTACGAAAAGGTGGCTTGCGAGGCGCGGCGCGTGCGTGACGGCGACCTGCGGGCTGTCGACGAGCCGGTGACGGTCCTCGTCTATGTGGACAGGCAGCGGGTCGCGGAGAGCGTGCCGCGCCACGAGTATGTGGGTAGGATGGAGAGGGCGATTGGGGATGCGGTCGGCAACTGGGGGCTCGACGAGGGCTATGCGAATCGTGTCATGCGGAGGTTCTGGGCCAAGTGAGAGGAGTGCTTGGGGACGAGGCTCGGCGGAGCGATGCTGCCGTGGCTCACACGCAGCCCAGCGCGTGTCTGCCTGTGCGGTGACAGCCTTTTGATGACTCTTTGGCTGGCTGGTTACATTCAGCCAAGTCCTTTTCAACTGTTTTCTTGATTTCATAAAGTCTTGTCTGGGTATATGCTGCCTATCCCCCTCCTAACGGCTCGCGTCAGGACAAACATGGGGGGAAGAGGGGGTTTACAACGCCTGCTCCAAGCAAGCAGGGGGGGATAACAAAGAAAGAGATGATGGCCGAGGATAACACGTCTATCTAGAAAGCTCAAAGAGAAAAGCGGTCTAGCACTCCCACAGCGGGACGCACTGCTGGGCCGAGTCGACGCCCATCTCCTTGTAGACCTGCTCGTTCAGCGCGACGCGGGAGGGGTCGTCCTTTTTGGTGCCGACGCAGGTCTGGAGATAATCGCCGCAGCCATCGAGGCCGCCGTCGCGCAGCTTGGCCTTGACGGCCTGGTCGGCGCACTGCGTCTTGTGGAACCAGGCGGCGCTGGCAAAGTTGAGGTTGTCCTGGGTGACGAGGGCCATCATGGCCGCCTTCTGGGATTTGCCGAGGCCGTCGGCGTCGGTGGCATTGGCCAGGTCGTCGGGGAGCTTGGCGACGACGTCCTTTGCGTAGAGCAGATTGAACTTGGGCGACTGCATGTTGGCGGTGCCCTGGCCGAGCACGCCGGGGCTGGGGCTGACGTTGTGCTTGAACTGCAGGCCGGCCGACTCGAGCAGCATGAGGGAGACGAGGCAGGCGGCCTCCTGGACGCAGCTGATGTTGTGCGCGCGGAACGAGTCGACAATGTGCGGCGCGGCCTGGGCGGCGGTGCGGCACTCGTCGCCGCCGCCGTCCTGGGTGCCCGAGCACTGCTTGGTCGACGGCTTGGCGCGCTCCATGGCCCCGGCGACGTCGAGCGCCGCGGCGCAGAGGCGCCCGGCGGTGACGGCGGCGAGGACGCGCGAGGCGGCCGAGGCGAAGCGCATCGTGAGGGTTGCTGGCGGGCGAGGCTTTGGACGGGGGGCGGGTTTGGGGGACGGGGAGGGAAAATGAATGTCTGTAACGGCGTGTGTTCCTGGCTTTATCTGCTCTTCCTTTGCGAGGCGAAAGGCGTCTTTCTTATATCGTGGAAGAAGGGGTCGTGAGGGACGGCTTGGTCGGTTGACAAAGACTGAAGCGTGATGGGACAATGGGCGCTGCCGCGTTGTGCTTTATACCACAACAATAAAGACTGTGAATCGCAACAATGGACCAGCCAGGTGAATGAGTGATGGAGCGCCGGGTTTCAGTCGACGACGAAGCGGTGCCCTTGGGCCCTTTTAAAGACAGCGAAGGCACTCTCGCGCATGAAGGATGGATGAATGGATCCCGTCGTCCCAGCCCCTGAACCGGCCAACGCCCGTCTCCACGCTCGGTCAAAAGCTGCCGGCGCCCAGCGTCGATCCCCCTGCTGCGACGCCGCCCAACAGCGGAGGGGAAAAAGCAAGGAAGAAAAGGGGCGGCAAACAAGGAAGATGGAGATCCAGGGGTTTGGTCTCCAGATGCGCGCCGCCGACGGCACCGGACGTGGCCCAGAAAGAATGGGGGGCCTTTAGCCGACTTACATGCTCAAGCCTCACAAGGCAGGGAGCGAGGCGGGGGCACGGGCGTTTCAGCGTGAGCCCAGCCCCCTGGGAAAGAGTGGGATTCGTTGGCGACTCTCCGTCCAGTGTTAAGCCATCCGTACATGCGCCCCGGCTTGACGAGTGTTCTGGTTGGCTGCTGCTGCTGCCCGTTGGCTGTAGGCGCCGAGTATGTGTGTTTGTGTGTGTGTGTGTGTGTGTGTGTGTGTGTGTGGTGTGAACCGACCGGGGTGGGTTTCGGCCCTGTCCCTTCGGCTGCTGCTTTTCTCGTCCCACGGCCGGACGGTTCGTTCGGACGACAGCGAGGGGGGGTTCCGCTTCCTTTCTTCTACGGGGAAGAAGCGGAAGAAGCGTGTAGCAAGCAACAAGGCGCGCGATGGAGTGGCTCTTTGGGGGCTCCCTGTGGAGACGGTGTGTGAGGGATGGGAAACCGACGCTCATGCCCGCGCGGGATGCATTAGGCTTTGACGACTGGCCAGTCCTTGGAGCGGAGAGCGAGAGAGCGTGGCCTGTACAAAGCTGAGCGGCCTGTTACAAAGCAGAGAGCAGCAGAGAGAGAGTCGCGAGCCTGACCATGGCTGGCCCATAGCCGTCGTCGTCCATTCGCCGTTGGCGCTATGCGTATCCGCACATGCCTCAAACAGCGCCCCCGCGTGCCTGACGGGGCGGCTAAGCAGTGAGACAAACATGCTGCTGCTGCTGCTGCTGCTGCTCGCCGGATACTGGCGACAGCCACCCGCGTCCCACGGCGGCTGAGTGCAGGAGCAAGCCTTTTTCTCTCTCTGTGCTGTTTGTTTGCCGCCCGCACCGCCTTCTCGTCGAGGCTTGTCTGCTCTCTGTCGCACAGGGCGTGCGAGCGACGGGCAACCGGGAGCGTCAGGAGGTGGTGGCGTTTCTATACGAGGGAAGGGGGCGGCCAACAAGGGCAGAAGAGGCCGAGCTTCAAGGGAGGATCGAGGCCTATCGTCACGTAACAGTGGGAAAAATGGGGTCGTCACGTGGCGCGTCCCTCGGCGCGTCCCTCGGCGCCCGAGGCTCACTGGCCCCACACTTCTCCCGGTGCCCTCCGTCCCCCCTCCCCGGACAAGCCCCCGCCCCCCGGGGCCGCCCCCCTCCACCACCTTCACCACCGAGAGTGTCCCCGAGATGGCCCTGCTGCTGCCCCCGCCGCCATCTATGCACCGCGACGACGATGCCCCCGCCGCCCACATCCGCTGCCTCGCCATGTCCATGGGCCAGCCTCGCCGAGCCGTTCCGCTGACCCTGGCCCTCTGCTTGGCCGCCGCCGCCCGCATGCCCGGCACCCTCGCCGCTGCCGCTCTGGCCGCCGGCCCTCGTCCCGCTCCCCTGGGCAGCCCCCTGACCATTGCCCACCCCAGCGGCCGCCTCGACGTCGGCATCATCCTGCCCGGCAACGCCGAGACCATTGTGTCGGCCGAGCTGCTGCGGACGGCCCGCGTCCTCATGAAGGGCCATGTGTACTACTCGGCCTCTTCCTGACACGGCAGGGCTGGCCACTTTCAAGTCCGTGTAGAGCGCCAAAGGAATGCCCAGTATATTGGCCTGTTTGTACCATCATACACTATGTACTCGAGGACGTAGACTGTCTTTGGTCCTTTCCTCGTCGTCTCTCCATTGACACCCGCCGTACAGAGGAGTCACGTCGCTAACAAGCCATGACATCGCGCGTGCCAACCAGCCACTCGAGTCGTGGCCTTGGTTTCGTTGGCCTGCCGACATCACATCACGGGGCAGTTATCCTTGTTGGCCTGCCACGCAAGCTTGGCGTACGGTAGCAACAAGTCTGTAGCTTCGCATCAGTGGCCGAGTCTCGTCTTCGCAAGTTATCCCACCCCTGGTCACATGGGGCCGCTCACCTTGGGAGGAGAAGCTGCAGTCGATGTAGCATTGCACCGTGTCGGCAAATTCCTCGCCGAGATTGTCCAAAACGCGTTTCTTGATGCTACAACGGGGTCAGTCTTTCTTCTTATTCTTCGACCCTGATACGTCAGGCACGCTGTTCACGCACAAGTCGAGAAATATGACGTCGACCTTGTCTGGCTTACTGCCATCCTCCGGGAACGAGGCACGAGTCTCCCAGTAGTTGGGGATCTTGTGGCTAGGGATTTCCGAGTGCTCGGTGTCGTCGCCTGCAGAGTGTCAGCCACGCCTGCTTGGCCACCGCCCATGGCCAGGAATGAGACGCACCGTCATCGCCCCAGTCGTCAGAGGTTGCGTAGCCGGGCACAACGGCCTCTTGGCGACGGACAACGCCACGGGTTTCGCGCAGGTCGCGGCGACTCATAAAGCCCAGCGTCGGATCGGTGCATTCGTCGCGAGGGGTGGGCATAGACACAAGATGTCGCTTGTCGGCAGGGCCCCTGTTTAGCCTTGTTTACCATTGTCAGTCATGGTGTTGCAGGTTCGACAAGGGAGAGCTCACTGTTGGATGAGTCGGGAGGCCTTGTCAAACGGCACATCGGGGATGTACAGAAAGAGGTTGCGGAAAGGCGAGATGATGAAACTGTCGTCGTAGGTGAAGGGACCCTTGTGCAGGTCGAAGCGTATGGCCCCCGTGTTGCCGAGGATGATGCGCGACCTGTCGGCGCGCGTCTTGTTGACCACGATGGCCGACACGGCAGGATAGATGACGCCGGGGAAGATGTTTTTCGTCTTGTCATTGAAAGGCGCGCAGCGCATGCACCAGTCTTGCGGCGCACAGCCGTATACATCGCCCAGTCTCAACTCATCGCGCACCTCTGTGATGTCGCTCGTCACCCGTTGGCCGGAGTGGTGGTGGTCAAAAGCCTTGCTGCCGTCGTTGGAGTGGTACATGAACGTCTTGCGGTTCCAGTCGAGATAGCGCCGCGAGTAGACAAAGGGCGACTTGGACCCTTTCTTAGCCGGGCGTGAAGCGTTCTCGACACCTCCAAGTTTCGCGACACCGCAGTATCCGCTATTGGAGGGGTTGAAGCCCGACATGGAAAGCCAGCCAAGAGTCTCGCAGTAGCGGCCGGACTCGAGTCCGACAGCGGCGTCATCGTAGACTGCGAGGTCTCGAATATGGGTGTGCCCTCCAAAGATCTGAACTGGCGTCTCCGGATGCGCAGCGCGAATAGCATCGAAGACGACCTTGAAGGTGCTGGAGGGATCGGTTTGCCGAACGGGATTGTGACCAAAGAGGATAAACAGATCGACAGGCTCATTGGCGGTCAAGGTCTCGGCGAACCAGCTCTCTTTTACCATGTCCTTGGCCTTGAGAACCCGAGAAGCGTTCGAGTTGCCTTGGCGCCTCTCGAGTCAGCCAGCGATGCTCGCACAGGCCCCAGGAGAGTTCCGGGCGTACCTTTGAAGTCAAAGAGCACACCGAAAGCTTTGATACGCAAGCCCTGGGCGGTGGTAAAGTAGCGGTGGGTGGCGCCCACGTACTCGTATTTGCCCGACGTTTGGTTCAACACCTGGACGTTGGACGTGACATACTTGTCTCCCCACTTGCGAGCATACTCGTTGAACATTTGGTAGGCAACCTCGGACACGTAGAGCTCATGGTTGCCTGGGTCTCGGTTAGACAGTGACCGAGTTTGCACATAAGGGGCGGTCCGCGCTCACCGATGGCGAGGAGGTCGTAGTCGATCTCTTCAAAGATGGGCATCGACTTAGTGCCGTCGACCTTTGTGGCATCGGACAAGCCGGTCCCGTCATGGAGGTCGCCCGTGTCGACGAGCAAGAGATCGACGCCCATTTTGCCAGCAGTCTGTTTCATGCGGCGGGCAAAGGTGACAAAGTCGCCCCAGTCGGCGCCATAGTTTTTCTCCTTGAGATGGCCCTCGAGCCATCCATGCGTGTCCGTCTGGCGGGCAGTCAGTCAGCCGCCATGGCCCTTGACACGAGGAGCCGTACTGTATGGAGGAAATTGATCTGACCCCATTCCAGGGGAGCCTTGGGACCGTAGGCGGCATCCGGGGCACCGGGTTGCATGCGCTTCACATGGCGGACGTGCTCGACCTTGTTCATGGGCCCGTAGCAGCTGTTTTCCTCGCAGGCAGTGACGCCCGAGAGCAGGGCGGCGATGGCGCCTGCGATGGCGAGCGACTTGAACATGGCGACGGCGTTCGACGGCTGGGCTAGACGGCTTGGTGTCCGACGGTGTTCCTGTCGAGCTGCCACGGTGGGCGCGGGCGCTATATAAGACACGCATATCTAGTCCCGGGGCGCGGGCCCGATGCTCTGTAGGTTCCGTCTGGTGTCTCATCGGCGGCCGCTAGAGAAGTTGGTTGGCCTGTTGAGCGGAAGACCCCCTGTCCACAGCGGCATTGTCGGTGCCACCAAGGCGATGCCGAAGCCGATGTTGAGGGCTCACCTTCCCAAATCGTTGAGCGGGGTCTGAAGGGAGGGCAAGGTGACCGAGATGGCAGCCGACTTTTGCTCTTGTCATCCGTCGGGCGAGAAGCCAGCAAAGCAATCGCCTGCAAGCATTACGGGGGGGGGGGGCGGGGGGCGGGCGTCGGATGGCCCCTCTGTGTGTGTGCCGAGTCTCCCGGTTGTGCTCGCGACGAGTTATCGCCATCTGTTTGCTGACTCTCGATGTGTGGTCGAGGCCCTGAGCTCTGCCGTGACTCTCGTGGTTGAATCGGCCACCGTGCGTGCTGTGCGGTTGCTACCGGCTATGCCCAGGCCAGCAACAATGGTTGATGTCGAGAAAGGGGGAGGCCGCAACTTCTTTCCTTGCTTCTTTCCACTTCGTCCTCCAGCTCAACATGGCATGTACGTACTGCCGTCTTCTGAATGGGCGTTGGACGTAGGGTAGGGTCTCGGATCAGTCACGTGAATGCGGCCAGACCAGCTTGAATACCAAGGTCAAGCACAGAAACATCGTCGCCTGTCCTCATCAACACCACCACCGACAACGGGGTCCCGTCTCCATCGGCCTGTTCCTAGTGTCTGCTGTCTGGTCGCCCCGCCGGCTCGCCCCTGCTCCGCGAAATCATCTGCCGGCGCCCGAGTTTATTCACCGATCATGGCCTGACTTCGCTTCGCCGCCAAGGCGCGAAGCCTTGTTAAAGTACCATTGATAACGACATGGATCTGGCGAAAGATTGCCCCGGCGATGCAACATTGCTGGCGTTTGCTCATGTCTACCTACGTCCGCTGCGCATGGACTCGACGGCCTTGACGGACACGGCCAATCCCACCCATAGGTCGCAGCGCTCTGGCACATGGCTCGACAAATCAGGGCGGCCTGAGACTGATTCTCCCTCAACTCGCAGTCACCAAACAGCGGGGAATCGCCGTTGCTTGTCCATTCCAGCGTTGGTTGTTTTCCCCTTTGGCCATCAACATTGGCGGTCAAGGTGCGACTCTTGATGCCCATGGCCTTTGGTTCAGTGTGAGGTGCAAATGGCCGCCATGGGTGAGGGTAAGCCTGGATCAATCCAGTACACCACTCGCTGGTCAGCACGGTGAACCTTCTCGAGATTGCTGGGCCTCCTCTTCTTCTAAAACTTGCACGGGTCGCTGCATCCCCGGTCACTGGGGGAAACAGGAAATGAGAGGGAGAAAACCGCACCAGACGAGTGCACTCCCTCAGTATGGGATCGCCGAAGGACTACAAGTTCCGCTATCAGCCCTCCCTTGGGCTCTACCCTGGATATCTTCGAAACAGTCGAGTTACTGCCCGACGAATTATTATAAACACCCGCGACTGGCCCGCAAAAAAGCCGACGCCAGATCCTCTCGTCGTTTACAAAGCCCAATCTCCCAGGGGGCATGCAGAGCCAATGTCGCGCATCTCTCTCCTCTGAAAGCCAATGCTTCGGTCAAATCGACATTTGAATTACGGCCGCATGTGCGCGAGGACATTTTTGCATGCATGGTTTCCCACCGGCTGCTTGTGAGCAGCATGTATCAGTTCGGCACGCAGGAATGGCCCAAGCCGAACGGGTCGACCCCTTGATGCGTCGCCTAACAAGGAGGAATTCCAAACTCCTCCCAAGCCATTCCGCCCAGTGCGTCCGACGACTCATCCACAATGGAAGCCCTGGGGAACGCTGAGACAAGAGCGCGGTCACCTGCTAGACCCAGAGCAACAGACTTGGCATACATAAACGGCTCGGGAAACCACCAACTTCTCGCTGGTAGGACATCACGTTTACTTGGGCGCCGTACAATCTCCTTTCAGCGCCGACAGATATAGCCTGACATTGTCCATCATTCAGCCCGCAAAATGAAGTTAATATATCTTCCTCTCTTCCTCGCCGCGGCTTCGGCCAGCCCAGTGGAGGTGAGAAACCCCCGCTGCCTGTCTGGTATCTTGTTGATGTGCAAGTATAGCTAACCCAGTCATCAGCAGAGCGACACCAACATCAACACAGATGCTTCCGAGGGCCTGAACCTGGCAGCCCTCCTGCAAGAAGACGGGGAGGGCCTCCTTGGGGCTCTTGACGGTCTCGGTGTCAAATTCAATGACAAGCGTGACGAGGTTATTGATTTGGACGTCGGCAAACTTCTCGGCGGCTTGCTGCAAGGCTCGAGAAATACCCATCAAGGCAGCGAAAAGCGTGACGAGTCAGCCGACCTGCAGCTCAGCGCCAGCCTCGGAGATTTGCTGTCCACAGATGTGGTCGGCGGCGGCTTGCTCCGAGGCCTTCTGGACAACCAGGGCGAGAAAATCGAAAAGCGCGATGAGTCGGTTGACCTGGAGGTTGAAAGCACGCTCGGAGATCTGATGTCTAATGACGGGACTATTGGCGAATTGTTGGATGGCCTCCTCGGGCGCAAGGCGAAGCGTGACGAGTCGGGCAATCTAGACCTCGGCACCACTCTTGTCGATTTGCTGTCTACGGAAGGCCTTCTTGGCAGCCTCCTTGGTGGCTTCGGCGGCAATTCCAACGAGAAGCGCGACGAGTCGGCCGATCTAGACCTTAACGCCAACCTCGGAAACCTATTAACTGATAGGGTCCTAGGAAACTTGCTGGGGAGCCTTCTCGCCGGTAATTCTAATGACCAATCCAACGAGAAGCGCGACGAGTCGGTCGACCTAGACCTTAACGCCAACCTCGGAAATCTCTTGGGTGAGGGGGTCCTAGGAAACTTGCTCGGGAGCCTTCTCGCCGGTAATTCTAATGACCAATCCAACGAGAAGCGCGATGAGTCGGTCGACCTAGACCTTAACGCCAACCTCGGAAATCTCTTGGGTGAGGGGGTCCTAGGAAACTTGCTCGGGAGCCTTCTCGCCGGTAATTCTAATGACCAATCTAACGAGAAGCGCGATGAGTCGGTCGACCTAGACCTTAACGCCAACCTCGGAAATCTCTTGGGTGAGGGGGTCCTAGGAAACTTGCTCGGGAGCCTTCTCGCCGGTAATTCTAATGACCAATCCAACGAGAAGCGCGACGAGTCGGCCGATCTGGACCTTGAAGCTAACCTCGGAAACCTCTTGACTGAGGGGCTTCTTGGCAGCCTGCTGGGAGGCCTCGGCAGCAATTCCAATGACTATTCCAACGAGAAGCGCGACGAGTCGGCCCACCTAGACCTCACGGCCAACCTCGGAAATCTCTTGACTGAAGGGGTCCTGGGAGACTTGCTGGGGGGGCTCCTCAACCACGAGGGAAATGAAGACTTGGAAACTCTGGCGGGCCAGTTGGACGAGCAAGATACGGAAGGCAAGGTCGACGATGTGGAGAAGGCGGCTTCTGAGTCTTCGGAGCAGGCGCAGGAGTCTAAGCAACAGCTAGAGCAGGCGCAGGACAAGGAGGAGCCACCGACGAATGCAAACGCAGAGCAGTAGAAACTGGCAGGGTGATGGGTCAGCGGCGTTTGATGGATTCGAGAGGTGGTGAAAGAGGGACGGATATATATATATGGACGACGCATGATTTTGTTTCTGGTTAGCACGGAGTTGACCTGGGATCCGGGATCAGGGGTTAATTAGCGGGACGACGATGGGTAAAGTGACTCCGGCGTCTGCTCGATACATGATTGAGTCCACCGGACGAGCCTTCGGCATGTGCCTGCGCCTAGTGCTTGCCGCCGATGAGTGAGGAGGCGCAAAGACGGGCTGCCGGTCCCGCAGCGGAGCACGGCGCGCCAGCCGGGTGCCGTTCCGATGCCGTTCCGATGCCGAGCCGGGCGGAGGCTCCTTGTAGGTATGTACTTTGCTATCCGACGTCGAACCGAACTGTGCAACCTTGTTCTTGTCGCACGCCCAACGCAACCTCCTTCATCCCACGTCTGGATTCTTTTCACGCCCGGTCGCCGCCACCGTTGAGTGGACAAGGACGGCAAGTCGACCAAACGATGGTGGTGCAACAGGAAGACGTGGCGGCGGCGGCGACGGCGACGGCGACGCAGCACCCTTACTACCCGCGCACGGCGTCGATCCCGGGCTTCGTGGCCAACCAGTGGCCGATGGCCCAGCTCATGGCGGTCTTTGTGTGCGCGGCCGGAGCCATTGTCGTCGCCGCATACCGCGTGGCGGCAGTCCGCTGCTCTCGGCGTCTGGACCGCTTCGCCGCGGCTTGGTTTGCTCTGTGTGCGTTGTCCCGTCTCCCCCCTTTCCCCGCCGGAGCTTGCTTGAGCTCCCCCTCTTGTTTCTGCTGCTTGGACGGTGGTTGATGCGTAGAAACAAGGTTAGGCGGCGCTTTGCATGTCACCTTTGAAGGTTCGTCGTCTTGCCTGGGAACCGACCCTTTTTCTCCGTGCCCCTTCCGGGGAGAGGGCTGTGATGGGATGTCGAAGCTGAAAATGGAGCCTTGCATAGGATACTACATCCTGAACCGGACGAGCATTGCCGGGCAGCAGACGGTTCTGGCGCAGCTGTGGAAGGAGTATGCGCTGAGCGACTCGCGGTACCTGACGTCGGACGTTTTCACTGTCTGCGTCGAGACGATTACCGTGGTCAGTCTCGCATTCCCCATGCTTCCTCTCTCGATCTTTGTTCCCGTGTTCTCACTCTCTATATCTCACTACCATGTCCCCGACAAAGACGGAGACGCGGAGGAAAAGAGACCGACACGAGACAAGAGGTGTGGACTAGGAGAGAGTGAAAGCGCAAGAGCTGACTTGACCTCGCAGCTCGTCTGGGGCCCGCTCTGCTGGCTGACCGTCGGGGCGGTGCTCGGCCGCTCACCCGCCCGCCACGGCCTCCAGCTCGTCGTCTGCACGGCGCACCTGCACAGCGTCGCCCTCTACTACGCCACCAACTGGGCCGAGCACCGCGCCACCGGCCGCTGCTACAGCCGGCCCGAGTTCCTCTACTACTGGGTCTACTACGTCGGCTTCAACATGCCCTGGGTCGTGGTCCCCTCTGGTAAGGCTTCCCCTGCCCGTGGGTGGAGGGAAAAAACGGGAGAGGTGTACCGTGGGGCTGACTGACAGGACCACAACGTTTACTCGTCCGTTCTAGTCTTGTTCTGCGATAGCTTTGCGCATATGAGCCGCGCGTTCGCTGCCCTGGACGGGACGAAGCCTCGAAGCAAAGTGCAGTGAGTGAGTGGCAGTATCAGTGAGCAAAAGAGGGATGAAGGGTGACGCCCCCCTTCCATGGCCTTTATGAGAAGCCCTCGGCTCGCCATACGGCAGCGTTTCGTCTCGTTGGGGTATAAACGAGCCCCCCGAAGACCTGAGTCGTTGGCATTTGTGTGTATACGTGTGCAAGTTCATGCTTGGGCATCTCGCCAAACTACAATACGAGTTCATTGAACAAGAGAATGTGCGAAAACAATCAAAAACACATACAGCAGTCAACAGAATCTCGTTTGCAAACAAGTCAAGAAAAAAATGAAGAGCGAGAGAAAGCAGCTCACACCACGATGCCTCTCCCCTGTGCCCCCCCCCTTTTCGCATCCCCTGCTGCGTAACAACGCGACCAACCACCACACGCTCACACATACACAATGCACATGTACATCTGCACATGTGCATTGCAGACACGCAGCCGACGGCGTGGCAAACACGCTCTCGCGCCCAGGATCCAGGCTGCCGTTCCCCGAAGCCGCCTCCCGCTCCCCTGCTGCCGTCCTCCCCAAGCCGCCTCCGGGGCACAGCTTCCATGCCGCGAGGTCGTGTGCGTGTCCGGGTGGATGTGTTGTATATGTCCAAGTGCTCAGTATGATGCAGACGAGGCGAGTCGAGCAGGTCACAGCAGACACCAGGGCCTTACGTGTGGTGGAGTTATCGCTTGGGAGTAGAAGCACAGATGAGAAGCGACGAGTTTCACGCTGGCACGACCAATCATTCGAATAGAGACAGATACCTACATGTGCATTGATATAGCAAGCAGCCCCTTTCTCTGCGTGTCAAGGCGCCCCCCCTCCGGCCTCGCTCGACGCACACCCCCTTTTCCTGTCGTGACACGACGATGCTCGATATCCCACTCCAGCCCGCACCGGTACAACGCTGCCAACGCCGGCACCCGGGGCTAGCTAGCCGGGGCCACCCAGCAGCCCTCAGTCATCGCAGTAGACGACGTCGTGCTCGTCGCCGCGGACGTCGACAAAGACGTGCACCACTCGCGGCGCCGGCCCGACGCTCGCCACCACCATGGCCAGGCAGTCGTCGGCGCCCGCCAGGACAAACACCTGGCCGTCGACGCGCACCCTGCGCACCGCGACCTCGCAGCCCCCGGGCCGGGCCCCCGCCGGGAAGTGGCGCGGCGACGCGTTGCCGAACTCGCCCGCCCGCCGCGCCAGCAGCGTGCGCACCTTGCGCTGCACCGCCGTCACGCTGAGGTCGCACTCGTCGGCAAACGTGGCCTGCCCGTGGCCCGCCCAGTCGACCGTCAGGATGATGCTCATGTGTACCGGCGGGCTCATGGGCGGCGTCATGGTCATGGGCATTAGGTGGTGCGTCACGGGCCGCGCGCCGGGTCCCTTTAACAGGGGCGGCGGCGGCGGCAAATGCCCCGGAATCTTGGTATTGTTGGCGCCTCTGCCGGTGTCGCCCATGTTCCCCGTGCCTGGAAACCTTCCGGTAGGCCATCCCGGAGGCGGTCTGACGCCCAGGGGACCTGGAGGCGGTTGCGGGCCGGCCTTGTTGGCCCGGACCGGAGGTGGCGGCAGGCCCGTGTTCCATGGCCGGTGTGCGGCGCCATGTTCCACAGCCAAGTCGAAACCGGGCAGCTTCTTGGACCGCGCCTTAACCTTGTCCTGCTTCCGGCCCGACGACTTCTTAGGAGCCTCGATGACTTCCTCTCCTTCTTCCTCCTCTCCAGCCGAGGACGAAGAGTCAGAGCCCGAAGCCGACGCCGAGCTCGCCGTCAGCGTCGACATCGACGACGCGAGGCTCTTCTCCGAAGCCGACCCCTCCGTCGACACATCCCGCAGCCCCGACCGGCGACCGGGGCATCTCTTCCTGCCGCGCCGCCGCCCGGGCGTCCCCCTGGCGTCGAAGCCGTTGGCGGTCACGTACCGGTCCACGGCCTGCGCCGACTTGCGGTGCAGCTCCTCAAAGGCCTCGTGCAGCGTCGGCGCCGCCCCGCTGAGCACGGCGGTGCGCTTCCCGGCATCGTCGGTGCGCAGCACGTGGACCTGCCACCTGGTGCCCACGGCGTCGAGCTGCGACACGACGTCGACATCGATGTCGCCGCCCAGAAACGTCTGGCAGTTGCCTGTTGTTCTTGATGAGCACCCCGCGACCAAGTGGCGGTTGGAAAGGAAAGACGGGGAGGGTCTGGTTGCCTACTCTGTATGAGAGCCTGATATATGATGCCGGCCGGGCTCGAAAAGGCCATCGTGGTCGGTGCAGCGGGCGTGGTCGGGGCGGGACGATACGAAAGCGTCATGGGCGGCACGGTGGACGGGCCTGAGGAAGCGAGTCTCTGTGATGGCTCGTCTCCAGAGCACAGGGCACGCGCCTGTGCCTTATTTATAGATGGCCCATCGTCGGTACTGCGTCGCCACGCAGCTCGCAGGCAGCCATTCCTCCGGTGAGGGGAGTAGATGGAAAAGGGGGGAGGGTGGGGGAGACGTTGAGCAACACTCGCTTGCCCCCCCGGCGTGTCTTTCAACGTCCTCCGCCTCCTCCCACTTGCTGTCCCACCTATTCGTTCACGGTCTCGTCCGACGACGCGAGCAGGGACAAAAAGCAAACACCCCGGCCACTTCCCGATGGCCGGACGCAGCAGCAACGCCATGCACCCTGCTGTCCGTCCCCCAGTATATCACCAGTCACAGGCGGGCCAGAGGGCCTCTGCCTCCGGTTCGAGCCCTGCCCTGCCGCCGCATGTAGGCAGCCAGCTGTACATGGGCGTGGGCCTGTGCGATATGACGGAGCTGGTTTGCGTCGTGCTCTGGTCCGGCCCTACGGGAGCCGGTCGCTCGCACACGCTGCGCCTGCAAGCCACCTGCACAACCTTTTTGATTCACCGCACGACGAGGCCAACGCAGACGTGAATCCAGGCGCTAGCCGTCGTGGTCTGCGTGCGAAGGACGGCCACTGGCCCAGCGAGCTCGATGCAGCGCCGTCTGTGCGCCTCCGCACATCGCCCTGGCTGCTCATCAGCCCCCCCCCCTTTCTTCCTTTGGGCTTGTTCGTTCACGGCCTCAGCCCTGAGATTCACGCACCGGCTCCAGAGCCATAGCAAATGGCTGTGTCTCATGTATCGGCCGTGCAGCACGGTGAAGACAAAATAGCAATCATGCTTGTCTTGCTTTCGCTCTCAACCGGCCCGTGTTCGTGGTGCCATCGTATCGACCAAATAGGCCGCAGCAGCCTCATTTTGCAAGAGCCGATTGGTCGCCACGAGGCCAAGTCCCTGGCGACAGCCTCATTTTCCGCTCGCCTTTCTCCACCTCCGCAACCCTTTCCTGCTCCTCCGATTTGACGCCCCGCCCTGGGGCCGTTGCGGGTCACAGATCTCAGTCTCTGTCGGCAGCGACAAGTGCGCCATCCAGCTGCCGATCCCAGCACGACCTCATCCAACGGCACTTTGCCCGTGAAAGAGAGGGGGCAACCAGGAGCCTTTTCCCGCTTCATTCCCACCTCACTGGACAAGAGAGCGTGGTGCGTCGCGTCAAAAGGGGGGGAGGGGAAGGGGATACGAGGCAGAAAGACACAAACAGATGGAAGAGAGAGACAGAGGAAACTGGTCACTTTGCTTCTGGCTCATCTCTTCCCATAGACATCCTCCCGAAAGGCCGGCCCCCCACACATCCCCGTCATCTAATGTCAGCAAGTTGCATCGTCCGTCTTTAATCTCACACGTCGGCCTGTAGCCGCTCCAGCCGCGAGGTCAGCGCTTCGACCAGGGCCGTCTCCCTCGACAAGAGTCCTTGCACTTGCTGGAGCTTGCTCCGCCGGATATCCTGCGGAATCCTGATTTCCCCTGGCTTGGCCGCTTCGACATTGCCCGGCTTACTCAACGACCCCGCCTCGTCCAGCAGTTCGGTCTGCAGACTCGTCACTTCCTCCAGCCGCTTCCACGGTTGCTTGGCCTGCTGCCGAGCCCCAATCGCCTCGCCGCCCGCCTCGCCGCCCAAACTGGCATCCAGTATCCTGACTTCCTCCACAAACGCGCGTTCCTTGGTGCTCAGGTCCCTCGTCGTGGCTCGGCCCACGAGCTTTCGCAAGCTGTCCACCCGTTGCGCCAGCTTGTCCTGGCGAGTCTTGGCCTCGGAGATTCTTCGATCGTACGTCGCATTGTCCGTCTCGTGGTCGGGCCGGTGGGCTCCGCTAATCGTGTCCACCTTGCCCTTGACCTCGTTGGCCTTGCGAATCTGTTGCCGCAGCTCCGCCTGAAGCAGCTCGCATCGCCGAAACAGCTCGGCTGCCGCCATTCCAAGTCTAAAGGTCTCGTCGCTAAGGACCTTGTGGGCGTCCGTGAAGATCTGGAGCGTGAGCGGGCTCAGTTTCACTTCCTGGTTGACAACTGTCTTGTGACGAGACGTCCGCAGACGTTCGAGCAGTGTCGGCAGCGCTGAGCCTTGGTCAAAGGCATGCGGCGGGTTGAACACGGGGCGAGGCTCGTAAAATTCCAGCGGAGCCATGCTGGCCTCGCCGTCCAGAGGCGAGCTTTCTTGGCGTAGCGGCTCCGTCTCAATGTCCGGAGTCTCAAACGTCAAGGCCACCGGCTCGTAGGGCGTCGCAGAGAGCAAAAAGTAGCCCAGGTCGGGGTCGCGGATGGCCACGCAGGCAGCCAGGGGCACGGCGACGTCGGCTGTCGGCTGGGCGTAAATCCTGTCCCTACCGGATTGCGAGTTGACCAACAGTCCGATTCTAAAGTCTGTGCCTGCCTCGTGGTCACCGAGCAGCTCTCCCTCGAGGCGAAAGATCCACGACGTGAGAGAGATGAATGTGATGGCGGCATGGTGCGTGACGAAGAAGTTGTATCGAGACGTGACGTCGGTGCTAAACAGCGGCCAGCTCTCCTCGCTGACCTCGACGGGGCTCATGGTATCGATGGCTTGGAAGGCGAGGAGACTGGGCTCCGGCAGCACCGGGGTCCGACCCGGCCTCGACTTGCTCTTGGGCGGCAGCCACTGCGCTTGAACGCCGTCAAGATCCAGATATATTCGGACCTGACCGCTCGTGGAAAGCAGGCAGACGACGCCAAGCGACGACCCTTCTTGGTCGCCCTCTTCCAGATCGAGCTCCTCCTCCTCTCCCATCATGAGATCATCCGTCTCGGTTCTCTTGCCAATAACCAGGATGTCGGTAATCATCGTGTCCAGGTCATCGCCCGAGTCGGGATCTGAAATGAGATCAAAAGGGCCCTGGAGTCGTGGAATCACGCCAGGCCTCGACGGCCGTGTGTAAACCTCCAACAGAGGCTCGCCAGGAAGCCCCTCGATGACCTGAGGCTCCTGCGAGTCCAACTCGCCCATCCACTGTAGTTGTTGCTGTGCCAAGAGCTTTTCGTTTTCGTCGACGCTGGGGTCATCCTCGATGCTGGCGACCGTGGTCACAATGGAGACGGACAAGGACGGGATCAAGGTCGGCGGCGGTGCCCAGCGCTGCGGCAGTAAAGGGCACAGGGCATACAGGTCCCCTTCTCTCATAGCGATCCAGAGGGTCATGGGATTCCACCCCCCTGACCCTCTCGTCGCGAAGCTGGCCGCGGCCACCTCCATCTCAAACGAGTCCGGGGAAAAGGCCTTGTTGGTGGCCGCGTGGGACGCGGTGAAGTCTTGGTCCAACGTCATGCCGTCGGCCAGCTTCTTTAGATCGACCGAAGTCGAGGGCGAGTCGTAGGACCACCGATCGCTGGCAGACAGCTCCCACACGCGGACTATTGCGTCTGCCGTGACGGTGACGATGCAGGAGCCATTGACTCCCAGCGGATGCCACAGGGCGGACACAATGGGTGATCGAGACGTGACGTGAGTGGTGGGCCCAAGCGTGAAGATTTTTGGGCGCATCGGCCCCGTGTCCTCGCTCGTCAGGTGCGACGAGTCTGGAAGGACGCAGATGTGGATGGTGTGTGCCGTGAGGATGGCGAGATGCTGTGAGCTGGGCGAGATGATGAGCTGGCGGATGTCATCTGCCACGGGAGTCTTGAGCGTCTGCAAACCAAGTCAGCACCTCTGCCGGGTCAACGAGGGCAGCCCGGCTCACCCGAAACCCGGCGGCGTGTTCCGTCTTTCCAAAGCTCTCTATCGACTGTATCGAATCCTCTCTCTTGATGCTGCGAATGCCGGAGCCAGACCTCCCGCGCGACTGCTTGGCCGCCCAGTCATCTCTCATGTAGACCAAGTCGGCCCATCGAATCTCCTTGCCGACGGCAGCAAAGACTTCGGTGCCTCGCCGGGCAATGGTCCTCCGGGGCCCCGCAGCGGGCTTCTTCTTGGAGGAGTAGGATGGCGACAGGGCGCGCGATCGAATCGCCTCGGCCAAGGGCTCGAACAGCTGGTGGCCGGGGGCGTTGCCCGACAGCCAAGCTGCCGAGTAGTGCTTGACCTTGGGCATCGCGCAGCTGTGCTTGCGAGTCGGTGATGATGGTCCTCGTCCAGCTTCTCGTGACGTGGCGAGGGCGAGATGCGGCTGCAGGATCCAGCAGCGAGCGTGTGTTGAGGGCGATTGTGAAGAGAGAAAGTTGTGAGGATGAAGCTAACAAGGTTGCAAGGTTGAGCATGGGTCTGTACCTTGCGCTGCACGTGGAGAATGTACTGTACCCAAGGCACCATCGTACCGCTGAGTGTTTGCGTGGGCCGCTGTCTCGGAGGCTGTAGAGGTACAACTGCCGATCGCTGAGCAGGTACCCCTATCGCCTTACCTTACGTCTCCACTAAATAAAGAAGCTCGCAGCATCTCTGCCACACCTCCAACATTCACTCATCGCGCGTGCGAAAGAGGCTCCATCGCACCGCTCACGAGCCCCAATCGGCCTCTTCCCGCCGTCCGTCTTCGGCTCGCAACCCACGAGCAGCTTCCTCCTCTCCCGTCAACCCATCAGTCGACCTGTCGGGCACGTGAGGATCCCGTTGCTTCTCACCATGCGCCCGGGCACGAGGAGCACAGTCGACCGGCTCGACAGGCCGAGCGCATACTACCAAAGCAGGGTACGCCCTTCCCCAGATTCGGGCATCGCGATGCGATTCACTGGCTCACCCGTCTGCAGAACAAGCGGAGACGCGACCGCGACGACGACGCCATCGAGGAAAAGCCAGAGCCCGCCGTTGACCCCCTCGCAGACGCGACGACCCTCTACGTTGGCAACCTGTTTGTGCCCTTGTTACGCCCTGCGCCGTGTCCAGCCTTCCAGACTAACGTCTTTACCCTTCCGACGCAGTTCATTCTACACGACCGAAGAGCAAGTCTACGAGCTCTTCTCCAAGTGCGGCGAGATCAAGCGCCTCGTCATGGGCCTCGACCGCTTCCAAAAGACGCCCTGCGGCTTCTGCTTCGTCGAGTACTACACCCACCAGGACGCCCTCGACTGCATGAAGTACATTGGCGGCACCAAGCTCGACGAGCGTATCGTCCGTACCGACCTCGACCCCGGCTTTGAGGAGGGCCGCCAGTACGGCCGCGGCAAGTCGGGCGGCCAGGTGCGCGACGAGTATCGCGAGGACTTCGACGAGGGGCGCGGCGGCGTGGGCAGGGCGATACAGACCGAGAGGTTGAGGGACTACGACGACGAGGGGCGATACCTGCGCTAATCTTATTCAGTCTCTGGGGTTGAGTGGCCAGAGTTTGATGGATACCCAGAAAAGGGACAACAGGTACAGACTTTGTCCTTGCATCAATAAGTGAAGCTTTTGAGATATTGGTGATATAGAAGTCGAGCTGGCCATGCCGTCATCAGAGCGGCTTTTCCCTGGCCTCGGTATTCCCAAAGCCGTTCGGTATCTTCCTCGTCGGATCCGTGGATCCCTCCAGGGTGTTGTTCTATGTATACACGAGACTGTCGTATCTGTACGAACCTGTCTCCGCAGAGCATTGTTCCCCACGCGCAATCGCCATGGCATCCGAGTGTGCTGTTGCTGCTGCCGCCGCCGCCGTCCCACAGTGTGCCGCCTCAGTAACCGGGCGGGTTGAGTCTCTGCGAAACCCTCGTCCACTTGGGCAGTTCTGCAAGATCCAGGTTAGCCTTTCCAGCCCGAGCCTCAGGAGGCGGAGGAGAAGTGGTGGTAAAGGAAAGCTGGGCTGAACCCACTGTGAATGCCCTTGCGATACCTCTTGGCCTTGCGGTCAAAAATGGTGTACTTATCGCGCGGCAGCATCTCGGCCTCTGTCGGCATCTCGGCCTTCCACCGCTCCAGCGCCTCGAGCGTCTGCCCTTGCCTGGCCAGCGCGGCGTCGACGGTCGCGACCACGTCGTCGACGGCCCGCAGCCGCAGCCGGTGCCGTCTCTTCTGGAACTTGGACAGGCGCCAGGGAATCTTCCACAGCAGGCCGCCCGACAGGGGGTTGGTGATGCGGAAGGGGCCAAACATGGCGTTTGTGACGGTTGAGGGGGCCAAAGGCGCCCAGAGGGAGACGGCTGGTCTCGTCGGGGCGTTTGGCGCGGCGTCGGGAGGAGGATGCTTTGCTGGGGGCAGTGGCCTGGGGATTGATATCGAGGCTGGAAAATGCGCTGCAGCAGATGGTGGAACGGAATATTACAACGTCCGGTCAGTACCCGTACATACTGTAGAGTGAGTGGTGGGGTAGGCTGGGTAGCACTTGCATCCACTATCCCCGTTACGCTACAGACCAGAAGCCACCGTCTCGCCGCCTCAAGAGCCTCCTCTCCTGCGCCTGTCTCTCTCCAATCGGGGGTTTTGCACGACGACCCCTCTGCCGTCACAAATGCCTACCTCGGTCCAGCAGTAAGAGGCAGAGAGGTGCGCGCGCGGCATCGACGGGCCAGCACCAGCAGCGGTAGCAGCAGCAGCAGCAATGAGCTACTACTTCGCCATCGTCGGCGCCCAGGACAACCCGCTCTTCGAGTACGAGTTCGGCACCTCGAAGCAGGGCGGCGATGGCCAGTCGCGCTTCTCGGACCAGCTGCGCCATCTCAACCAATTCATCCTGCACTCGAGCCTCGATATTGCCGAGGAGGTTCAATGGGGCCACGGCCAAATGTGAGCCTTTCCCTCCCTGCTCCATTCTCCCCTCTCTTCGAAGGAAGGCCAAGGAGGGGCGGAAAGAGAGAAAACAAGGGAGATGAAATTTAGAGACGCTGACGAGCAGCCCGGGCCGAGGCGATGCGGAGACGCAGGTATCTCAAGTGCATCGACAAGTTCTTCAACAACTACATCTCGTGCTTCGTCACCGGCGCAAACGTAAAGTTCCTGCTGCTGCACCAGCCCTCGGCCCCATCCTCCACGGGCCCCTCGTCGTCGCGCTCCTCGACGGCCATCGGCGCCAACCCCACCAGTCCGGCCACCGAGGAGGCCATAAAGATGTTCTTTGCCGAGGTGTACGAGAACTGGGTCAAGGCCGTCATGAGCCCCTTTTACAAGGCGAACTCCGAGGTTCGCAGTCCCGTCTTCCGCGCCCGCGTCGCCGCCGCCGGCCGCAAGTATCTGTGAAGCGAGGGGGGGGGGGCTGGGAGGCGGATGCACGGTACCACACGAATACCCAGGCTTGAATTATCGGTAGAGACGCGTTTTCTAGGCCGGGGGTCACAATCATGGCCCCCTTCTCGGCACAACTGGCGACCAGGCAGACATTGCCCGTGCGAGTCGAGAGGCTGCGCGTTACGAGACACGTAGCAGAAGGTGGATGAATGAATCTTGCAGTGGTTTTCATTCAGTAATAGCGGATAAAAAATCGTCTCCCACGACGCGTCCGAACTTCATGTCCCGTTCCCCCCCAACGCCATAAATAAAATAGGTTCGTGTACAAAACCGTGCCATGCTATCACACATACACAGAGCGGCCAGCTACCCGCGTAGCAGACGCTCTAACCACCAAAACCGTAGAGGGTGCGGCCCTGGCGCTTCAGCGCGTAGACGACATCGAGCGAGGTGACCGTCTTGCGCTTGGCGTGCTCCGTGTAGGTGACGGCGTCGCGGATGACGCCCTCGAGGAAGCTCTTGAGAACACCGCGCGTCTCCTCGTAGATCACTGGAAGCGGACGGGGTTAGACGAGGACTGCGTGATGAGGGAACGGCTGGAAGCATGGCTACTCACTGGCAGAGATTCGCTTGACACCGCCACGGCGAGCCAGACGGCGGATAGCGGGCTTGGTGATGCCCTGAATGTTGTCTCGTAGAATCTTGCGGTGACGCTTGGCACCGCCCTTGCCGAGGCCCTTGCCGCCCTTGCCACCTGAAGCGGGCAAATGTCAGCAGCCATCATTACCAGGCCAGACTCGAGGCCGAGAGCGTCGGCCACGCATCGCGACCGACACCACCACGGCACACGAGAGAGAAAATAAAAAAGTCACTTACGTCCAGTCATGATGATGGGAGTAAAGAGGTATTGAAGGTGAGGTAGAGTCGCGTCGTTATCGCGTGTGACGTCTGCTGCAGACCAAGAACGTGTATGGGAACTGGGCGGAAAGAAGAGAGAGAGAGAGAGATGCGGGGGATGTCAGGGGGGGGGGGACGCGAGGTAGAGGGGGGGGGCCTGGAATAAATACGCGGCCGCAATCAGTAGCGGTTAACGCAGGGCGCGTGCATCAGTAACACGTTGCCTTTGTTAGCTCGGTACTCCGTACTTATTGTGTGGAAAATAAATGTCAATAAAAGGGTGGCTTCGATTTTTAGGGTTTTTGCGCTATGCCTGCTTCGGGTAGCCAAGGGGGCGTGTGGGCATTAAACTGGCAGGCACGCAAGTTCAATGCTTCAGGTGCCCTGTACTCCCCAGAGGAACGAAGTATCGGGATGTATCTTTTCAACTGCCTCTCTATGAGAGAGACACGTGCTGTATACGGAGCACAATAGAGCTGTAACCAACTCTTGTCTCAAGGGGAGAAAGGGCAGCTTTCGAATCGGCACTCACCTTCGTGTGACTCGCTTACACGCTCTGATCGTCTGCTCCCAGGCCAGATTTAACGATTGTTAACTGCCACCTCGCCACGGCATCGTCTATCATGTCTGTGCCTGCCTTGCTCCCTCCGTGCTGAACCCCGGCGAGTGACTCGGGTAAGCTTGTCAACCCATAATGGAATAACCTCACCCGGGCTAGGAGACGCGGAGGAATGCACGCGCCGTAACTTCAAGCCCATCCACTGCTCGCAGGCTCTTGATGCGCATGCTGCGGCTCGTGCCTGCCAACTACTGATACACCAAAGCCGGTACCTTCCTGTCCAGCGGCCCTCTTCGGTTCGTTTTCTTGAGCTACCCTCGCCTGAAAAAAGCCAACGCCGACGCCATGCATCAAGCCCGTCGTCTTCTCACGCTGCCAAAATCCTAAGCCTGTCCGCGCCGTCCCTTTCCATCCGTCCCCTTGGCCCGCCGCCTCTCTTCCATCTTAATTAATGCACGGTGCCATCGTCGCCAACGTCCAAAGAGCATAGCAAGCAACCATCCATCAATCGTGACCTCATGCCATCATCGAGTCGTCCATCGGTACGTCCTCGAAACTCTCGATCGCTTCTTTAATCTTGGGCGCAGCCTGCGGGCGAGCCAAGTTAGTCCCATTTCGCATCATCCAGAACGGGCACGGCTTGTTCCTTCTTACCTTTGGATCCAGAGACAGAGCAATCGTAAAATGCCGCACCGATAGCTGCTTCTCGTTGGTGTTCTTGTAGAGCGTGCCGAGCAAAAAGTGCACCGTCGCTTCTTCGGGGGCCAAGTCCTTCAAGATCATCAACTCCCTCTGCGCGGCCTCGACCTGCCCCACCGTTAGCAGGGCCCGGGCCTTCTTGTACCGGGTCTGAGCCGCCCGCGGCGCAAGGTCGGCCGCCCTGGTGTAGGCGTTGAGCGCCTGCACCATCTGCTTTTGCTTCTCCAGCGCCGTGCCCATGCAGCAGATGAGCACCGCATTGTTCGGGTTGATGATTTGCGCCGCGTAAAAGTGGTCGTACGCCTTGTCGTACGCCCCGAGTCGCTCTTGGACCCTGCCGATGCCGTAGTAGGCATTGTAGTGCCGCCGGTCGGCTGCAATGGCCTGCCGGTACGCCGTGAGCGCCTTTTCATATTCTTCGTTGCTGACGTGCTCGTGTCCCTGCAAGGTGAAGGCGTACGCAAACTTGGGATCCAACTGCGTGGCGCGCTTGAAGCACTTGAGCGCCTGCTCCGGGTCTCGGGCCAGCGACCACGCATTGCCCAGGGCACACCATGCCTGCGGCGAGTGCCACGCCGACTCGACGAGCTCGTGCGCCAAGAACGACAGGTCCGTCTCTCGCTTGAGGTGCCACAGGATGGTCGAGTACACCTCCATGTCTTGCAGCCGGGATGGCGCCTGCACACGCATTCTCCTAAAGAACTTTTCCGCCTCCGCGTACGAAGCCTGCTCGTAATGGGCGCGGCCCATCTGGGCCAGCACCCACGGCGTGCCTTGGTGAGCGGACGGCAGTGCGCTCAGCGCCTGCAGGGCTTCCTGGCACTGGAACCGCGAGAGCAAGTAGTATCCGCCGCCGAGCTTCTTGACGAGATCGAGGATCCACCTAAGCGCCTCCTCCATCTTGGCCGCGTCCGGCTCTGGCAGCCTCGATGCCGCGGGCTGCGGCGCCTCCTTGGTCCTCAGCAACTGCCCGTGATCGGCGTCACCGGGGTCTTCGAGGGGCTTCCGGTTGCCGCTGACTACCCTGCCAACACTGGAGCCGCTGGAACCCGGTCGAACGATGCGTGAGACCGGGGGCCTAGCCTTCTTCAGCTCGCGCCCGGCAGAGGCTCCAATCGTTGACGCTCCGGCGTTGGCCCTGGTCGAGGGCTTGAACATGTTCAGCCTGGCGCTGCGCCGCGTCGCCGGCTCCTCCGAGTTCGCCGACCGAGGCACCGGGTGTCCAGACAAGGTCCGTTTCCTATCGGCGGTGTTCAACGCCCCCGAGCGGAAGCCGGCCATCGGCGCGTTGGGCGCGTCAGACATGAGGTCTGGAGGCTGTTCTTGGCCCCTCTCCTGTGGCCTGACGTTCCTCTTTGCCCCTAGCCTGTAGTTCATCCGCGGCGGTGCCTCTATGCCATGGTCAATGGGCTGTCCGTTGCGTGCTCTTCGGGGCGGGGCTTGCGGGGGATCGTGTGATGGGTATCCCGAGCGCGAGGCGGTTGGATCTGTTAGCGGCGTCCCCGTGGGAGTATCCATCGCATCCACAGAAGGCTGGCTGTTGGTCGAGGCGGCGAGCCTTAGCCTGGCGCTCTGAATCTTGGACATGAAGTCATCACCGGGCTCAGTAAACATGTCGACGACCGGGCTTGACATGTCAGCATGGGGGAAGCTTCCATTGAACGGGTCAATGCCCAGTTCCGTCGTGACACTACGCGCGGCAGGTCGTCTCGACAGTGGATCCAGAGGGTTTGCCGAGATATTTTCGCGACCGTCGGCAAGGGCCGAGCCAGGCTCAAGCTCGAAGCTTTGTGTCAGGACCTCATTGGATCTGAAAATGTTTGGCACGCGGACATTGATGCCCATGTCGCAGAGAGCGGTAAACGCATCCCAGATGAAGGGATTCTTCTTGAGGGCCTCCTCGAAGCAGCTGACGGCCTTTTTCTTGTCTCCGTAAGCACGATGCAGCTTGCCGAGGAGGCAGAGCACGGTGGGAATGTCAGGGTTCGCGGCTCGAGTCGTGGGCGAGTGCTTGCCAATGCTGCATTTCTGGGACCACAGACCCCTCGACTTCTCGAGTGCCACGATGCCGTCCTTGTAACGTTCCAAGGCCATGCATGCCTGCGCGAATACCCAAGCACAGCCCAGGTGAATGCCACGATATCCTATGGGCTTGGCCACGTCGTACGCGGAGCGGAAATCGCCGACTCGGAGATGACATAGGGCATAGAGATGAAGCGCGTCGCTCGACTTGGGCTCCTGGGCCGTCAGCCGTTCGGCGAAGAACAGGGCATTGTCGCACGAGGCATTGTCGAGGTGATAGTGTATGACCTGTCGGAGGAGGCCCCCAACAGCTATCGGGTTAGGTGCCATGCTGGGCGGGAGCGCTTGTTCCGAGCTGAAGGATGGAGGCCCTTTAGCTCAGCGGCGGTGCCATGGGAGCCAAAGAGGCGGACGGGATATATTGCTCAGAGACTTGAAGAATATCCCAAGCTTGTTGCCGTGCAGAGGCTGGCCGACGGTGACTGACGTTGAAGCACTCGAGGCGACGTGAACCCCGTGATTCGAGTCTCGGAGCAAACCACACGGACAGGCCGTATCAATTCGAAGAAGATGCCTCTCGTGCAAAAGGCAGAGCGAAGCAAGGCCGCAGTGAGAGGAGGGCGAACTTTGTCAATGCAGGCGTAGACAGGGACGGCGGTGGATCCCTGCGTGGACGCTTGCGGCGACAAAAACGCAGCAAGGGAGAGAAGACCGCTCACGGGAAGAGCCGCCGCATCGCCTGCGGCGTGTGTGCAAGCAGCGCTCGTCTGTTGCGGCGAGCCGGCGGCTGCTGCAGCTGCAAAAAGAGGGAGGGTTGCGAGCGGGAGCGCGAGACGGACGATGATGGTTCCCAGAGGGCACGGGAATGACGAAGAAGCGTGACGGCCAGTGGGCAGAGTAGAGGTGAAGGGGGGCAGGCCCAGGTTGGCCGGGAGGCGCGCAGTTGTCTGGCAGTTACTACTAGTGCCAGAGCCCGCCTGATTGGACGGGAGCGCGCCGTTAGGCTCTGTTGCCAGTGGTTCAGTGCCCGGCAACAGGCCAGCGAAAACAGTGGCCAGCCGCTAGAAATTTGGGGAATCGGGCTGGTTCAGCGGCAACCCACTGCGGCTGGGGCCCCATCCGTCCCGTCCGCTAAAGTACCCGTACCTAAACTAAAGTACCTACCTACCTCGGGGTCGCTGAATCAGCATCATCCCAACTCGACGGCTCGCTCACCTCGGCTTCCACCTAATTAATACCAGCCTCCCCTTTGTTCGTCCTCAAGACACTCACACCTTGCTACATCCGCCTACCTGAGAAACCCTGCCGCTGGCTTGCCCCGACTCGAGCAGAGCCACACATCATGGCGCAAAAGGCCAAGAAGGACCTGGCCAAGCACAACACGGCCGCCCTCAACGGCCTGCACCTCACCTCGCTCGCCGCCAACTGCATCTTCCTGCTCTTCCACTTCCTCCTCCGCCGCCGCTCCTTGCTCGCCTACGCCATTCTTTCGATCCCCTCATTCATCTGCGAGTACGTGCTCGAGGTCTCGGGCCGCCCCAAGTACGATGTCGCCACAAAGGCGCTCAAGAGCGCCGGGGAAGACATGGGCGCGCGAGGCTTGACCGAGTACATGTTCGACATCATCTGGGTCACCTGGACGTGTGCCGCCCTGGTCATGTTTGTCGGTAACTGGGGCTGGATCCTGTGGGCTGTGATTCCCGCCTACGGCGCCTATCTCGGCTCGGGCCTGTTGGGCATGGGCAGGCAGAAGATGGCCGAGATGCGGGGGGGTGGCCAGAACACTGCACCTCAGGGCAACCGCCGTTCGAGGAGAGCCGCGTAAAGCACTTTTATCCAGGGGAGCTCTCGCCACTGTCTATCCTGACATTCCGTCCAAAGGCCGTCCGTCTTTTTGCCCGCCGCACTATTCGATTCGTCCGCGCCGTTCTCCAGTCCAGCGCTCCAGAGTGTCGTCGCCGACATCGCGCACCAGGATGTGAAAGTGCTCGAGCGATCGGACGCTTTGCAGAGCAACCCAGTTCTTGAACCACAGGACCTGCTTCCCCCCGCCCGGCCCGAGCGCATCAACAAAGTACATCTTGACGAAGTTCTGTACAAGGGCTCTGCTCTCCGGCGTCATGTCGCCCGTCTCGGGATCCGTCGGTATAGGCGTCCGCGACCACACGACAATATGCGTTATTTCAGGGTCCAGCCCGTACGGCCAGTCGTTGAGGAGGACCTTGTAGTCTGCCGGGCTCGCAAAGGGAACCTGGGATGAAGGGGTGAAAGGGGGCTGACCCCAGGATTGGGGCAGGCGGTTGGCGAGGATGTACTGGGACATGGAGCCGTACTGCGCCTTGATGTCGGCTGTCCACTTTATGTATCGGCGGAGATCAGAGGGCTTGCGTTTGAGAACAGACAGGTTGTTGGTCTCTGCGCGCCCGGGGTGAAGGATGAGCTGGCGGCGTGAATAGAGGACGCACAGCTTGGGGCCTCACCTATGATCTGCTCCAGGTCTGTCCAGCCGTGTTTCTTGAACTCGTCGTCTGTCTGCGACAGAACCCATTTGTCTACATTGGTCAGGGGAAACGGCGCTTCCTCGGGGTGCGCCACGTTGTCGCCCATGATGCTGTCGTCTCGGCCCTCGTCGCAGTCTTTGATCAAGCACAGAGGCAAGAATATGTCCACGGTTTGCCGCCTTGAAAAATGGCGCTCGTCAACGGCGTCGAGGTCATTGTCTGGCCGACGGCGGTAGTCGGGCTCATTCGTCTTATATACGTGGCCGTGGGCGCTACTGGAGGACGCTGGTACGGAGGTATCTCGACATCAGCACCGGCTCGCCGCAAAGGACGTTACTGCTAATCAGAGTGCCCCTAGATAGGAGCATCTTTTTTTATATTATTACTCGCATGCAGCCTCTAGGGCCATGGCGAGGCTAATAGGGGCCTAGGCCCCTATTAGTAGTCCTAGCTAGCTATAGAGCCTAGGGGCTTATAACTAATTAGGGAAGGGGTAGCTATAAAGGTAAAGATAAAGGAAAGGTTATTCTAGTTCCTCCCGCGCGGTGTTTCCCCCCCCTAAGGGCCCTAGGGCCCCTAGGTTACTCCTTTTCGAGCTACTTAGCTATTCCTATCTCTATTTTAGCTAAGAAGGTTAAAAGGGCTTCCCTTTATTCCTTAGAGCTATAGAGAAAAGGTAGGCTAAGGGCCTCCTTTTATTTTTTAAAGGCTTAATAAAGGAATTTTCTTTCCCTCTTATAGTTCGGGTACCTTAAGATAAGGTGCCTAGCTATATACCTTCCTTAGCTATAGCGGTAGTTATCTTAGTCTACCTTATTAATCCTTTTTAAGAAGGAAAATAAAAAGCTAGCCTTAAAAAGGAGCTAGTAAAAGGCTAAAAGGGTCGGCCTAGGCCTCTTTATAAGGTCCTTTTCTAAGCTAAAGGCTAAGTAAAGGGTCTTTTAAATAAATATATAGTACTTACTTAGGCCCTTAGCTTTAAGGCTTTTAGCTACCTTAAAAGCTTAGAAGCCTTTTTAATAGTCCTTAATAGCTTACTAAACCTTTCTTTATAAGTAGCTAATAAAGACTAAAAGGGTCCCTTAAGTAAGGGCCCTTAAGCTTTTCTTAGTTAGCTAGTTAGCTAGCTTATTATTAAAGATCCTTAGGTAGCTAAGGTACTAGTATAGCTATATATTATAAAAGGCTTCTAAGCTAGTTAAGAGCCCTTTAATATATATAGCTAGGTCTAAGAAGCTTATAACCTTCTTTATAGTAGCTTAGCTATCTATAAAGATATAAGGCCTTTATAAAAGGGTTAAGGGGGCTAGGTCTTAAGGGCTAAGGCTTCTTAGCTAGGTCTTCTAAGACTCTTAGTATTATAAATAGCTTTATATTAGCTACTTTAATTAAGGGCCCTAGGTTCTTATAGTACGCCTTAATAAGCTTATTTTCTAAGCTTATTTTATAAAAGGAGTAAGTATTAGTTTTTATAAGAGACCCCTTAAGGTATCGCAAAGACTATTACGCTATATAGGTAAAAGTAAAACGCGCTTTAATAGGTACGCTATAATTAATATATATAACTAATAACTACGTTTTTCCGATATAGGGTACCCCTTAAAGCTATTAGTATAAAAGGCTAAGGGCTATAGCTTAAAGTCTTTTAAGCTAGCTAGGCTAGCTAAGAGGTATTAATACTATTTCTTAGCTAAGAGCTTAAGGGCCTTTATTATTATAATAAAGGCCTTAAGCTTTAAGGCTTATAAGGGCTCCTAGCTAGCTTTCTTTCTTTTTAAGTTATAATTAAGCCTTATAATAGCTACTAAGCTTTTAAGAAAGTAAAAGAGCTATATATAAAGCTTAATATTATAAGAGCTTTTACCTTATATAGGCCTAAACTAAGGTCTAAGCTAAGTCTATATATAAGCGGCCTTTACGCTTATATAAGCTAAGCCTATACTTCTCTTTCTTCCCCCCCTTATAGATTATTAACCTTCTTTTAATATACTATACCTAAGCCTATACCTTTACTTACTCTATAATAGTATAGTCTACCCTTTATTTTATCCTCCTTATATCCCTATAAATAAAATAGCTATTTTTAGCTACCTTTAAAACTAATATTTAATTACTTAGTTTAGTTAAACCGCCCGCGCTAATATATATATATATAAAATATCTATACTCCTATAGTTATAAAATTAAAGCAAACGTAATACTTAGTTCGCTTAAGTAATTAAGAGCTTCTTATAATAGTAAGGCTTTATACGACTAAAAGTAGTACTACTATACCTTAATAAGTTCGATAGCTCTTTTATAAAGCTCGAGCTATAGCTACTTTATATAAAAGTAAAACTCTATATTAATAGCGCTATAATAAGGGATATTTATACTTAATTTAACTATCTTTACGCGAGCCTATCTCTATACCTATAAAAGTATCTTTTACTATTTATATATATTAGTATAAATAAACTAGCTAACCTCCTTATAAAGCTTTATACTAATTATAGTAAACTTAATATAGCTAAGTTAGTAAGCTAAGAGCTTATAACGCTTTATTAAAAGTAAAATAAAGTAAGTAATTCTAGCTTACTTTATATAGTTTAAAGAGGTCCTATATTAAGTAGATATATATAGCTAGCTTAATATAGTAAAGTATAATTACCTTATTATAAGCTTAAATATAGATTGGTATACTTATATAAGTAAAAGGTCTATACTACTAAATATATATACCGATCTTATTTACCTCCTTTATAAGCTTAGTAGTAATAAGTTTCTTTTTTTATCCTCTTTTATAATATAAGAAAAGGATAATACTAGTAATACTATAGATATCTTTATCTTTACCTTAAGGACTAAGGATAGAAAGAGGTAGTAATAGGAAGGTTATTATATAGGCTATAATAGTAAATCTTATTAGTTTTTAAAGTACCTATACTAAGAGGCGCGGGTAAATATACTTTAAGTAGTAAAGGGGTATATACGCTAAGATAGAAAAGAGGTTAGGTTTAATAATAGTAACTTTAGTAATAAGTAATCTTAGTAATACCTTTATAGGCTTTATTAGTATTCCCTTATATATAGTAATAGCTATTATATAGATAGAATATATACTTATAGCAATTAAAAGGGCGGCTAAGATATAAGAAGGCTATTAATATAATATAAATATAGTAAAAGGGAGTGCCTATATAGCCCTATATAGGAGGGAGCGAAGCTTTATATATTAAAGTACTATCCTTTATATTAAAGTAATACTATTTATATAAAGATATATTGCTATTTATATAAAGGCCCTATTTTTAAGATATATACTAATACTAGCCCACCCTACCTATTTATACTACGCCTATATAATAGGTAGCGGTACTACTTAAATACCTACGCCCCCGCTTACTTATATATATATATATATAAGAAGTAATAAAGGCTATATAATATATACCTCTTAATTCGCTTAAATAATATATTTCTAGGCCTTAAGCTTAAAGTTATAATAATCGGCCCGTTAATTAATCTAGCTCCTCCTCTAGCCCTTATAGCTATATAGGCGGCGGCGGCGGCGGCGCCTTAATTATATCCTACTTAATAATCCCTCTAACGCTTAATAAAGCTAGCTGCCCTAATAAAGCTAGCGGCGCGCTCCTCTTACCGTATCCTCCTCTTAATCCCTTTCCCCTTATATTTCCTCGTATAGTTAATCCTTATTATAACGCTATAAGAGATCGCGGACTATAGCTAAGTTTATTAATTTTATTATACCCTTAGCGCCTTTAAATACTTACGTTAAGCCGCCTTAAGCTAGCTTAACTTAAATTAAGTAGCTATTATAATACTATTACTATTATCGCCGCCGCCGCTACTACTACCGCCGCTAGTTATAATACTATTCCTATAAGGGAACTATAAAAGTCTTTAACTATTATAGGTTATAAGCTTAATCTATAGCCTAAGCTATATAGTTATATATAGAGGGCTAGATCCTATATATATATATATATATAGGCTAGCTATATATAAAAGAGCGCTATATAGCTTATTAATATTATCTTATAAATAGTACCTATATATATACCTTTACTTACTTTATAATAGTATAAGCTATTAACTAATAGATCTAATAAATATCTCCTTAAAAAGGGTACCGCTTCCTTAAAGGAGCACCCTATTACCCCTTAAGCGGATAGGAAGTATTATAGCTATCCTAGAAGTAATTAAAGGTATAATAGCTAGTAAGAAGAATAAGGTTCTCGCTATATTAAAGGAGCCGTCTATAAGACTAGTATTAACCCCTATAACCTTTATAACGCCGGTTATAGCGGCGGTACTACTAACGTAAAAGCCGCTTCTTTAACCGACTTAGGACGGTAAGCCTAAGTCCTTTTACTTCTTCCTTAGCTAGCTATAGATAAAGTTTATAATAAATAAGAAATAAGGCTTAAATAGCTATTATAATATAGCGTAGTATTTATTCCTTTATATACTACGAGAGCCCTAAATATAGCGGATCTCTAGATTCTAAGATAAGGGCGGCCCTAAGGGTAGACGTAACTAATAAGACTTCTTTTAATACCTTATATATACGTTTAGTAATATATAAGAGTAAGAGAAAGTATAAGATAGGCTATAGACCCTTAAGTAAAAGGATAGGTAGACCTTTAATAAATTCCTTTTTAACTTTAAGGAGACGCTCTTATAAATAGTAGGAACTATAGTATATAAAGATAGCGCGAAGCTTATATAGTTATAGAACTTAATTACGCTAGCCCTATAAGAGCTACTTATCTTTATAATTATACCTATTAACTACGGCGAGTATATAAGCTAGTTAATAAAAGTAGTATAAGGCTATAAGTAAACGCTATATTTCTAAAAGCTCTATAAGTATATATTATATAATAGTAATAGGAATACCGCCCCTTTATAAAATAAATAGCCGGCTATTAATACTAATAAGGATACTTTAATATCGGCTACTTACTTAAACTAAGCTAAACGCGGTAGGAAGATACTATTAACCGCCCCTTATACCGCCCTATACTTTAATTAGTAGGTAAAGTAAGTAATAAGCGAGGAGATTAAGAAAAGGAAAGCTAACGGCCGCTACTTATATTATAG